TATGAATTTTATACTCAGATATATATTAGATAAGTAATTTTATATAAGCTAACTAAGAGAAAGTTTACTTAATTATTTTAGAGAATTTTATAGAACTTATTTAATTACTTAAATAGTTATAATAGTTCGAGCTAAATTCTAATAATTAAGGACAAATTTAGTAGAAAGCTCTTTAGATATCTTCTACTAAATAAAGGAAGTTTAATAGTATTTAATATAATTAGGGATTTTAAGCTATAAATATATAGATAATATAATCTTTTAATTACTTATATTAAGTATAATTAAAAGAAAGCAATTATTCTAATCTAAGAAATATTAGTTTATTAGATCTAAATAAAGAAATAAAATATTAAAATTAAGCTTTCTTCTTTATATATATATAAGCCAAATAGTAGTATTAAATAAATAGAATAAAAGATTATAAATAAGGCTATTATAATATATTTAATAGCTAATTTGCCTGAAAAGCTATAGCGGGAAAGGTTTATATAGCTCTAATCTACTTATTTAATTAGAGTTCCTTATATATAAATAACTAAAGAATATTAAATAAAGTACTTAATTTATAGTTCTATAATTATTTTCATTAATATAATTCAGAGCTTATAATATAAATAATAGTTAATTTCAGGCCTAATTAAAATAGAATCTATATATATAGTTCTAAAATATATCTAATAATTAAAAACTATAAAGTAGAATAGAATAAAAAAGTATTTAAGATTATATTATATAGATATATCGGATATTTAATTAAATATATTATATCTAATATTTATAAAATCTGGATTCTTATATTTAATAAAGTAATTATTATATATAATATTATATTTAATAAAAATATTCTCTATAAAAAGAATTATAAATATACTAAAGGCTATAATATAAAGATTATAAAGAATATAGTAGAACTACTTCTAAAGAATAAGATTTAGAATACTAAATTAATTTTTAAGAATAAGGAATTATAATATAATAGCTTATTAGAATAAATAGAAAATAAATCTAAACTAGAGAATAATAAGTAAATAAACCAATAATTAAAAGAGCCTATAAATATATTAATAGATTATAACTTGAGGGTAAGAAGCTCTATAGCCTTACTAGAAATAGAACTTATAACTTTATAAAGTACTTTAGAGCCAGAAAGTATACCAAAGCCTAGAAGTAGTAGAAATAAAGATATTAAGCTTTTAAGAAAGCTTAATATTATAGAGAGAAATATAATAGAATATACCGGAACTATTAGAAAAATATACTAAACTAATAAAAGCGGGAAAGAATCTTTTTAGAACTAGTAATAAGGTCTATAAATAAAGTAGAAAGCTTATCTATAGAATAAGCGGATAGCTTAATAGAAATAGAAGAATTCTTTATAGAAAGAGTAAATAGCTCAGCTAAAATAGAAGATTAAATAGTAAAACTAAAGAGAAAATAAATAAAGAAGCCAATTATTAAAACTAGAGATAAGCTAATTCAAATATATTTATATAAGAGAAATAATTAGAATAGAGATTCAGGTAAAGCTAGTAGTAATATAATTACTATAGTAAGTATACTATTATAAATAATAGGTGAATTAAATTAGATTAACTACTTAGAGTTTCTTTTAGGATTTCTCTAGCCTAATTAGCTAGAGAATTATAAGAAGGAATTTAATTATAAGACTATATATACTATAATTATAGTAGTAGTTTAATTAAGAATATATCTAGAGTAGAGAGCTCTGAATTAATAATAAGAAAAATTTATATTAATAATCTTTTAAAAGCTCTAAAGATATAAAATAATCTAAAGAAATATCTAGCTAGAAAGTACTTTAAATCGGATACTAAACTAGAGATTAATAACTTTAAAGCTCGAAATTACTAGAGAATTATTTCTAGTAATAAAGCAAATATATCTCTAATTTCTTTAAAATAAATATTTATATATAAAATTAATTTTAATAGATATATTATTCGGTATTACTTAAAGCTAGTAGTTTATAGAGATCTCTAAAAGAAAGTATTACTTCTATTTATATATACTACTATACTTATAGTAAAGTCTTTTTAAGTAGCTAGTATAATTATAGTTTATTTTAATCTGGAAATAAAGTAATTTAATATTATAAATATATTTATTAATATAAAAAGAGATTCTAATAGGCCTATAATAGTATATAAGCTATTAGATAGTTTCAAGATATTAGGCTATATAATCGAGGTAAATTAAGCTCTATATAGGCTATAAGACTCTTTTGCTTTATAGTATAAGTACTAAACAAATACTTTTAAAAGAATTGAACTTTCTAGACTTAATAAAAAGCCCTATATTTATATAAATATAGATTATAAGGTCTTTATTATTTTTTATATAAACAACTTTTAAGTATTTTATTATAAGAATAATAAAGTATATATTTAATTAATTATTACTTAGATTAAAAGAATTTATAAGCTTTATAATATATAGAATAGTTTCTAGAGATTTATATAATTAGAAATTAGAAAGCTAAAAAGCTCTAGCTAGTTTATAATACCTATATTAAAAAGATTACTAAAAAGTTTAGAATAGTAAATAGAAAGTACTCTAGTATTCTATTATCTGAAATTAATCTTTAGAGATATAGTAGTTAAGCTTATCTATATTAAATTAAGGTATATAAGAAAAAAGTTAAATTACTATTTTATACTATAATTATAATTAGACCGGATATAGCTTTTACTACTTTAGTACTTTTTCAGTTCTTAATAAACCCTGCTTTAAAGTATTTTATAGCTATAGATTAAGCTTTCTAATATCTATTTAAAACCCGGTTTTTAGTAATTTAGTATAATAGGAAATATAAAGAGATATAGCTATAGATTATATCTAATACTTTATATATAAATAACCTAAATATATAATAATTGAGCTATAAGTATATAATCTCTTTATTTAAAGGTTTAATATTATAGAAAGCTATTTAATAAAGTATTATAACTATCTCTTTAACCAAATTAGAGATATATAGAGTTATTTATATAATAAAGGAAACTATAGCTTTCTAGAGGCTATTTAGAGATCTATATTTAGATCTTAAAAAGTTCTAAACTATATTCTGTAATAATAAGCAAATTATTTAATTAATTATTAGAAAGAATAAAAGAATTATTATAAAGCTCTATTATATTAATATCTAGAATATATAGCTATATTAAAAGTATAATAAAAGCGTCTTTTAAGTTTTATATCTTTAAATAAATAGTATATTTATAAATAGACTTATAAAAAATCTATTTTAATTTAAATTCGAGAACTTTAAAGCTTTATTAAATCTTTAGAATATTAAAGTAAAAATCGAAATAATTAAATAATATAAAAAAACACTTTTATTTATATCTTTTATTTATAAAATCTATTAAAATAATAGAGCTTGAGAGCTAATAGCAGGAAATCTAAAGGCGCTCTATTATAGTATTAATAAGCTTATATAAAAGGCCCTTTATCTAATTAAATTACTTCTTATTTTTCTTAATAGCCTCTTAAATCTTAGCAGAAAAGCTCTTACTACTATTCTCTTTATTAGATTCGGTAATCTCAAGTATAATATAAATAGAGTACCTAAAAGCGGATAAATGCTTTAAAAAAGTCAGAATCTATAAAAGAGAATTAAGAAAAGAGAGCTTATAACATCTTTAGTAGTCGGGAGTTTAGTAAGAAAGAGCTATATAATAGAAATATAAGAGATCGGAATAATAGAATAAGAATAATTAGAAGTATACTTCTAGTAATAAGAATCTCTACTAATAGTATTATAATAAGAACTATTACTCTTGCCTTTTAGAGTAGAAGAGACTATATTAAGTTAAAATAAGCTTTGAAATAATATAGAGAACTTATAGTAACCTATATAAGGGATCTTTTTGAGACTAGTATAAGTAGAATAAGAAATATAAGGCTTTAGTATAGACTTCTTTATCTTTAGTAGAGAAGTACTAGAAGTATTAGAAGACGTTACAGGAATCTGAATCTCGATATTCTATTAAATATAAGCTTTATATTAATAGTTAAGAGCTATACCTATAGTAGACTTGCAAGCTACTTAATACTATCCAAAGTCAGTAAAAAGTAAAGTAAGAATATATTTTGGGTTGAAAATACCTTGAATTTGCGAGCCGGAATCGATTTAATAGTAGTATAAGAAGAGGTAGAACCGGTATAAGCTATATTTGTAATAATCGGAAGCTTGAGAAGGGAGCTCTAGAAGGATGTCGAAGAAGAGCGATTTGATTGGAGGCTCTGGAGTTGGTGGAAAGAAGGGGTTTATATAGGGCTTCCCTGGAATTCGGTAATCTGGGGAAATAATATATACTAAGTCTATTCGGTTCGGAATATTAATACAGCTCTACAAAACCTATATATCGGACAAATTTTGCTATTTCAAAGCTCTCTAATTGGGTAGAACAGGTAGAATACGGTATCGCGCCTTTCTGGGGGGTGTATTGCAGTGAGAATTACTGATTTGGGGCTAGCGCAATTGCTTTGCTTAGTCAGAATCTGTATACTTACTTCCTGAAGCTTCACACTTCACTCAAGCTCTTTTCTAGCTAGTTCAATAAACTCTTTTAGCATTCAATGCAACTCCCTACTCTGCGATCTTTACGTACATTATTAAGCTTTTTTATAAATAATCTCAAGTTTATATTATTATTTTAAATTATATTTTGAATTAATATAAAGTAATAAAAATGCTTTAAACTAATATAATACTATAATTAAAGTATTTAAAATTTAAGAATTATTACCTTTAAAAAGAATTTCAATAAGTTATAAATATAAGATATTTTAAATATTAAAAAGAAGATATAGAAATTAAAATTCTAAATAAATAATTATAAGAAAAACGCGATATATTATTAATTTTAAAGTAAAGATATATTATATAAACTCTATTTATATACTCTTCTTAGCTATTTTAGAATAGTCTTAAGAATAGAGGTACAGCAGTTTGGAAAATTATTATTTCAAGGCTCAAAACTTCTATTTTAATTAAGAGCTAAAAACTGAAGAGGTAAAGTTTGTACCCTATTTTCCCCAAGAGTGCCGCAAAACGTCAAAGCCCAGACAATGAGCTAATTGGCGAGTTAATAAGGATTCAAACAGTCTAATATCGTTCGCTAACCCTGTTCTCTTATTCAAACCAAAGCTCAGACATAACACTTGCAACAAAGCAGTCTTGAAGTGGGTAGCAAAGAACCAATGTTAAAGGAATCAGTTGCAAGATGATGTTGATATTCATCTGAAAATGCGCAGCTTCTGAAATTGTAAACGAGATCTAAATAATAAACATAACTACAAATGGGGTATGTAGCTCATGAAATTTGTGTTGGGCGTCAGATAAACACCAACTGGTACATGCCTCAACGAAATGAATGACTCAATGACAATGAAAAGCCTCGCGCCAATATACAGTAAGACAACAGAAATAATGGCAATGGCAGCACCTATCCATAACAAGACTAAAGCAACAGTTTCCAGCCAATCTGGCACCTCGAGATTCAAGGTCATACTGCGAAAAGGCTGATATTCCACCAACATATGCCATGCATCCATAGACTTAAAAAATGCGAAGATTCCAACAATTCCAGCGATTATAAGACCCGCGAACCCAAGGAGGATGAAACACGACGATTTCCAAAGTGTTAGTTCGATTTCGGTTGGGAATAAAGAATTTATGGCAGAAAGGTGTATCCCGCCATAGGCGGCGGGAATGACAATGACCGCGAGAGCAAGTAGCGTGTAGAGATAAAGATCGCCACGCTTGCCGAATATATTGAAGAGATCGGTGAACTCTTGCAAGTCAAAAAAGTTACTTTGCCTCTGGTTGATTAGGGATTCCCCGTAGGGCCGAATACGTCGTGCCTCGAAAGGGTTGAAAGGCTTCTCTGTGATATCCCGGAATGAAGGCTTGAGCGAATTTGTTTGAAATCGCGAGTCGTCTTTCCCATCCAGGAGCTCCTGAGCGAAGTTGCCAGCCATGCTGAGCCTATTAAGATCTTTCTGGGACAGGCCCACACGAACTCCAGATCCGTAATTTCTCTTCCCACTTGGATACCAATTGATATTAGGTCCCAGCCCCGAACTAAGAGCCTGGCCGCTTTGAAAAGCAAGAACTTCAGGAGCACCATTTGCTGGCTTAAAACTCTTCACAACGGCCTCTCCAGCGAAGTAAGGAGACTCGAGGTCTCGTGCGATGATAAACGCGCTGTTTTCTCTTTTGGCACTTCCTAATCCTACCCCCTCGGGGTTCGGGATGTAAGGAAGGCCTCCCAGATTTCCCGCTTTGTGGTTCGAGTAGAAGGGAAGACGGACTAGATGGTTTCGAATGCGGTTGTCATTCTTTTCTAGCGGTATTTCTCTGCCTCTGGATCTGTCATACATGTCGATCTCGGATTTCCATGCTTGAGGCGTGGTCTTTAAGTTTCTGTAGAACATAAACTTTGGATCTTGGCTCCTAGGTAACTTACTGTAAAAGCTCTCGAACCACTCGTGCGAACGAAAATCAGAGATCTTCTGGAATCCACTGGCTCCAGCCCACCTCGAACTGGCCACAATAAATGCGAGAGCATTAGGAAAGTCCTCGGTTGGGACGACGGTGGGTTCGTTGATATCGTAAGGCTTTCGAAACCACAGCGTGTACATAACAATGGCACAGAATACGTGGACCAATGTGTGAAATTCAAGAAGGCTGATTGGAAATCCCGCGATCTTCCGTTCAATCGCTTGGCCTGCCACCCAGAGAACCTGGACGCACACGAGCCCTTTGGCAAGATCTGAGAAAGTCAGAAAGTCGTCAGGATTAACCACACGGCGCAGACATACAGTTGGCTTTGCTCTTGTCGGAAATCGTCTCTTTGGAGAGGGTAAAGTAATGGCCGTGCTGTGCAAGGAGCAGGATGCCATTTGTCGTAAGAGTCGCCCGATCGAGGGTATTGTGCAAGTGATCAACTTTGACTGCAAATCCACCCATAACAGCATAATAAGCGTATGTCATGTCAAACGGGTATTCAGCTTGGGAAGCTTCGGCCTGCCAATGCTTTCGTCAGTCCAATAAATAACAAGCACGGAATCCATGTACCTGTGAATTCTTAGCGGGGATCGCTTTGCGAAGGTTCTTCAACTCCTTCAAAAAAAATCTCGCCGTAAGCCACTGTTGGAAAGCCGTAAAGACCACAATCTCAGGTGCGAAGAGAGCGATGACAACCCATTTTAACTTCCGCCGCCAACCAAGCCAAGCAGATTCACGAGGTGGAGGAACATTGAGATGAATAGATGTCCAGACGCATAAGACGAGAGTAAATCCACAACTGTAAAGCAGATTCCAAGTCCCTCTACCCGACGGATCATCAACCCACTGAGGATCCCGAGTCAGCAATGATCTTAAAAGAAGAATCTCCAAGTGTAGCAACTTGGAATACATTGAGACTGGAAAATGAGATGACAACAGCTCGCAAATTCTTCCAGTGGGGGAGGTAAAGGAAGAGCGAAAGCAGAACCGTGGGATATACCTACAGATGGAGCGACTCCTGTATCCTTAATCGTAACATTCGGAAGCGGAACCGCCAGCGCAGGCCGGAGACACAAGTAAACAACAAGAGACAGCATTTCACATCGCCCTCAACCGTGAAACAATTGTCCAAGAAAGATGACATCTTTTTTCCGCCAGCCTTTCCATTAATGCCAGCAAGGCGCAGCAGCGGCGCATGACGGCGCTCGTTGGCTGTTGAACCAGACGCGATTCACCGTTCCGCAGCTTTGAAACAGGGGCTGAGGCTCGGCGACAGAGTTGAGGTGGTGGCGCAGTTCCCCAGGCGCGGTCCTGGAGACTTCGCTGGCACGCGGGCCGAATGCGTAGTTCTGGTCACCAGCTGCGATGGAGGTTGGAGGGAACTCAAGGCAAAACGATTGAAGTCCGGCAGGGTTGTGGGAGGACGGAATGCTGCGAAGGAGACTTGAAGGTTTGATGAAGGAGCTCGAAAAGGGAAGGTTCCTCCTCATTCCTCTTTCCCACAGGCCTAGCCTTGCTCCCAGCATCCAAAAAGCGCAGGAACGCTAGACGCGCTTGACGAAATGAAAGTCATATTTCCCTTCGATGGGACTGAGTTATGATATTGTTTACAAGTAATATCGTGCGGCCATGCTCGCACCAATATGGGCCCCTGGTATTAATAGTCGGACTTGACGTCGCGCTGAAGAGGCCCTTCCCTTTAGTCGGGGAAAGCGAGTTGGCCCGCGAAAGTGAGTTTGCCCCGCAACTTTTGTTGTGATTTCACACCAAATTTTTTCGCGAGGAACATCAAGAATCAATACACGATTTTCTCGCGAGTATCGCACCCACGACTTTTCTAGTAATTATAGGTTTTTATCTACGCACTAAAAACTCTAGCTCTTAAGTATGCGATGGGTAACTATGAGATGGCGAATAAAACGTATTAATTAGATTTCTTATAACTATTTCCTAATATATATTTCTAGAAGGTGAAAAACGCTGAAACGGGCTAACTCGCTTTCCCCGACTGAAGGGAAGGGCCTCTTTAGCGCAACGTCAAGTCGACTATTACTGCGGGTCAGCGACACAGTCGAAAATCAGCGATACGGTCGCTTTTTTCCCCCTAACAACTTTTTTTATAATTTTTAATAAATTCACGACACAATACAGGATCTTAAAAAAAAAAGCCTATATAGAGGTACGCATGATAATTATATAACTTTTGGCTTCTTGCGATTTTTTGAATTTGTAAAATTGTGGAAGTTATTATAAAAACGACTGTATCGCTGTAATAAAACCGCATCGCTGATACGCACCAAGCCCGCAGAGACGTAGGCGCGTTGGTGCAAGTCCTGTCGCAAGATTAAATAGTAATATGAATAAATCAAATCAAGTCAAATCAATTAATGTTTGTTTATAGCCCCATTTCCTAGTAATGTACAGAGAGCCCTCCGTACTACCTTTGTTGTACTCGGAGCTTTCCACTTTCTATTAAGCCGCGCTAGAGCCACCGCTTTGAATCACCTCCTCCAGGTCCGCCACCCGCTTCTTGAGCTTCTTTATAAATCCCTCCGCGCCGTACTTCTTTCCCTCTTTCATAGAAGTAGCTGATTGGGCAAGACGCTCAGTCACGGTTGGGTCGGCTTGGAGATATTGCCGCATCTGGTAGGACTGCTCGTCTTTCTGGTGACTAGAAGATAGTTAGATTGTTTGACTGCTTTCCGTAGATCTTAGAAATGATTGAAGTTAATTGGGTACACGTACCTGCTCTGGTCGCCCGATAGCTGGAAGTAAGAGAATTTGGAAGTGGTAGACATAGTTGAGTTGATGTAGAACAGCAAGCGGTTGTTGATTGGTTGACTGGCCTTCAAGGGAAGAATGAGCTAAAACCGGATTGCGTACAAGATGATGCAGCAGTTGTGGTCCGAGGATGTTGATGCAAAATGTGATATATTTTCTCGTAAGACGTTTCGGCTTCCATGATTGAATCGGCAAGTTTATGTGTTCGTTGAGATGGACGGTTTTGTTACTGGTTTTTGCATGAGGTTTTGTGGATTTGGTTTGCGGTTATGTCACGGTTATGTCGGCTTGGGCAGGGTTGCCCGCCACAAGGCCCTGCTTTATACCACTTTCTGCCTCGCCGACAATAGTCGCTGCCCAGACCAGATTCAGCTGGACTCTGCGGCAACTCGATTGTGATTTGGAAGCCGTGATGGAAATACCCAGGATGGGCAATTCTTCGCTGAGATGAATGCCATGTCCCGCTACGAAGCTGTCTTGAAAACACTAAGCGTGAAAAGAAACAAAAACATCCAAACATGGAGCTAGGGTTCAGGGGCGAGATGGCACTACCTTTTCCTAACCTCTCTGGGAGGTATGTACCTATGTACTAAGGCATTGCAGCCCCTCAAGCTCTGGCAATATTCGTACCAAACAATCGGATTTCCCCCACTGAAACCTGACCCGTGAAAACCAAAGATGGCCCTGATTCATAAAGGTTAAAATTTGGTGTCCGTGTCAAGGATTTCAATGGCGTTTTGTGAAGGCTCCTGTCGAATGTGTTTTAGGGTGACTTTGGTTAAGGGAAGGCCAAAACTGAAGGTAAAGCGGATTGTGGCAGTGACGCCTTAAGCGTAAGAATGTATGTGTCGTACGGGTACGGGTACTACCGTATTATCTGGTGTATATGACCATGGTCTTATAGCCCGTTCCACATCTGAATAATTCGTCAGGGAATGGTCTTAAGCCTGAGAGGGTCTAGTAATACATCGATCCCACTAAAAACCGCTTAGTGTATGGTGTTGTGCTTACCCCCCTAATTCCTCATCCCTTTATTCTTCTCTCATTCTCCCTCCTAAAACCCCACCCGCACCACCAATTGCTCTTGATATTATGTGCCACAAATTATATACATTGAGAATTAGCTGAGAAATCTGCTAGGAGATTACTTGAATTACCTCAAACTAGCCAATTAAGAAATAGCTTAGTAATATAAGACCATGGTCTTCTATTACTAAGCTATTGCTTGAGGAATTGCTCTGGAAATGGTCTTCTATTAGGGGGTGGTCCTGAACGAGGGGGGGGGTCATATACGCCAGATAATACGGTAGGGAGCTTAGCTCAGCTTACTCGGCAGCTCCCCTTTATTTAGCTAGATCTAGAGGCTCCCTCAGAGCTTCTTTTAATCAGACAACCATTTATGCAATCACTATTTCTTGCTCTCTGCAATAGTATGCTTACCAGGGAGGTTTATACCTCCAAATGAGATTGTCAAACTCCTGTCACGTGACTCTCACGTGACAACTCTCTTCAAATGCAAGATCGAGCAAAGCAAGATGCTAGGCGTAAGAATTTAGTAGTACAGGTGCACGCAGCCTCGCGCAGGACTTTCCTCAGGCGTCTTGCGTCCTTGCAGGCTGACATGATAACAGTCTTAGCCAAGGCAGGGAAGGGAACACCACAGGAGGAAGTTGACAAAACCAGGGGAAGCGATGATTGGAAGGAAATGGCCCTGCAGCTCGCCCGGCTTGTTATGAACAAAACCGGAACAAAACCGTGACAAAACCGTGACAAAACCTGGACGGCGGCTTATTGGCTCTCGAAGAGGCAGCGGAGGCAGGGCTGCAATGGCGACGTCGGGCTGCATATTGGCGCTGGCGCAGCCACTTGAACAGCTCGAGATCGGGCGGTGCGCGAGCCACTCGAATTATTGTATAAGGCTGCCGACCTTGCCTTGACCTGCTTCCACTGTTTGCGTACTTTGCCCACACGTTCCCTTGCCTTCAATTTTTGTGTCAACGATCTGCTTGCCCAATACTTAATCAGACCAGTTGATAGACCTTAGGTTTGGGTTTGTTTTCCCCACTTGATAATCTTTTGCGATCTCCATTTTTCTGCTTTGCGATTCGGTATCAGGCTGCGGCTCCCTATCATTATTCAGCGATGGCTCCCAGAAAACGCGCGATTCCAGCAGAGGAATGGGAGCGCCACAGAGAAGTCATCAAAGGTCTGTTCGCCCAGAAACCCCTTATTGAAGTCATTGAGGAGATGAAACAAAAATACAACTTTGAAGCAACGTAAGTAGAAACAGTCCAGGCAGTTATGCCTGCCGTTCTGATGATTCTTATAGCAAGTCACAATACGAGGCGAAACTCAGGCTTTGGGGCATCCACAAGAACCTGAAGCGGGAACAGTGGCAGGAGCTCTTAAAAGAACCTGACAATATAACCGCAACAGTCTTGAAAACTTCTTCAGGCTATATGAAAACGCAGCCGAGCATTCAAAGAGCTTTGCGACGACTCAAAAAAACACCTGGCGCAACACTGGGACAAGCCAGCCGTGACTCAGCATCATCGCATCCTCTGATCCGGATGGCTAGCTCCTCTGCTGGCCCTTCCGTGGAACAGGTATCGCGGGCAGCTCTAAGTCCGGGACTTCCCAGACAACAAACACACGACGTGACGCGGCTTCCAGACCTTCATGGCGCTTCGTCTAGTCCCGAGTCCGCCCTTTTGCGTCTCGGAGAAGCCTCTGCGCAATTCGACCCGGCGGACTCAGCTAGGCTATTCTCATCAGAGCTCGATGACCCTATGTCGTTCTGGTGGAATCTTGACTTCAATCCTCACACGGATTGCGAGCCGCAAACTGCTCTGTTCGACGTAGGTGGTCACGAGATGCTTGGGTTGGATTTGAATTCAAGTTTGGACAGGAATTGGCAAATCCGTGCAAACGCCAATGTGAGCCCTTTAGGAACCAGCCTGATGCGTCGAGCCAGTCCTATCAGCCCATCCCAACTTTTCCCGGACGTTGACCACTTCTTTGGGTTCAACGCAGAACAAACTCAGGGAGAGAGCCGTCTCTCCACCAGCGCACAACTTCCTACACAGAACGGAACCCTCGAAGGTGGAATTTTCGACTACGTCAAGTTTCCCCCCACTGGTTTCACTAAGCAATGGCTGAAGGGACTGCCCTTCTCCAAATTCGAAGAATACTTGCGTTCCCGGGATATTATTTCCACCAATAGCGAATCCTCTACCCAGCGACGGCTTGGAGCTTCTTTGTCTGGTAATTTTGCTCTCAGGTTCTTGGAAAACTCCTTCTCTTCCGGGTCTATATCGATGGTCCAACGTCCACCTGACTGTCAAAACCCTCTTCAGAAGCTTGGCAAGCTCCTCCCAGGAGAGAGTACTGCTATCATCTCTGAACAACAAATGACCGAGACTCGCCTTTTCAGAATTTTGCTCTTCTCCATGATGAACGGCTTCGTCGGACTAGATCATATCCCGATGGAGGATATCCTGAAGGCCATGGGTCATTTCAGCACCAACAAGTTGTTGCTCCAGATTTTGGAGGAAGGGCCGCAGTTCACTGCAAGGACACTGGCGGACAACATGTTTCGAGCCGCGATTGAGGCGAAAGATCAGCGCATCGTCCAGCTGCTCCTTCAACGCAAGTTGGTTGACGTCAATGATACGGTCTGCTTCTTTCGGAATAGAAGGTACACCCCGGTGGAGCGAGCAGCAAGTCTCAAGGCACTCGGGCTCATTCGAATCCTTGTGGAGGCTGATGCCGACGTCAATAAAACGCATAAAGATGGAGTTAACGGTGGTGCGCTCAGAAAATTACTGTGGCCAGATGCTGGGCCACCCTATTCAAGAGCATTTACGGCAACACCAGGGCTGATTGATACGATCGAGTTTCTCATCGGGAAAGGATCTAAAGTCGATGTTCGCTTTCTAAGTGATACCTTGGGGCTAATCCCAACTAACGAGATTGTTTCTCTCTTTGCCCGAAGCATACCGCCGACAGATCACCAGGCTTTTTTCGAACCCAATACCGCCTGGTCCAATGATCCGCGTTATAGTTTACTCTGCAGGATCGCAAATGTAGTAGATGATAGCACCGCCGCAACCATCCTTCAGAACACCATAGAATTCTGTGAAGGATCTGGATGCTCAAAGTGCCTTGAAAGGTGGTCGGAGTCACTAGAATACGCCGCTATCGATGGTGCGAAAAGAGGACATTTCCAACTTGTTCAAGTCCTCATTGGCCGCTTGCCGTCAACCACAAGAATATTGAGTGCTGCAGTTAGGTCTGGGAATAAGAACCTTATCAGACTTGTTCTTGACTTTAACCCCATGCCGGAGCTCGATCCTCCAGCTCATATTATTGACGAACGGCCGCTTGTATACCCCCCACCCACGACGCCGCTTGCCGAGGCCGTGCGGATGGGGAATGCCGATTTGATCAAGCTGTTGGAGGAAGCCGGTGCTCTCAATAACCTCGCAAAGGGAAGCCGTTTAGAGGCTCTGATACTCGCGGCGGCTGAGGGAGGAAACATGCTTTATATGGAGTTGCTACTGAAGCGGGCTTCTAGCTCATCACACCAATACCGGACCACGTGGGATGCGGTACGGCTTGCCCTCGAAAATGACCATGATGACGTGGCAAATTTTTTGTTATCGGCCGGCGCACAATCCATATCCATCCGTAACCGTAACTCGGATGATCCTAGCACTCTTCACGCTGCTCTCGGGAAGCGAGATCACAAATTAGTGCGGTCCCTCTTAAGTGCCGATATCGAGTATTTGTCCCGTAGCGACATACCGAACGAGGTGGCCAGCTGGTTTGATACGTCAATCATCTCGGATCTGGCATTCGTATTTCCGGACCAGTCATTCCTCAGGGACAGGATTCCGTTTCACAACATATGTATGCAGTGCATGAAAACAAATAATGTAACATTTTTCGAAAACTTGTTGGAATCTACTTCATATAGGGATGATTTGCCCTGGAATTCATGTCTTGCAAGCGCCATCAGGATGGGTCAGGTTGAGATGGTTGATCTTCTCCTTCAATATGGCGCTGATCCCTTGGACGGCGAGGTCCTAAAAGCGGCCATACCGGATCGTACTGATATGTTTCTGTTCCTCTTTGGGCAGGATAGAAAACAGCGGAGGGTTCGGAAATGTATTGGTGCTCACATTCTGAAGTTCGTCATGGCTGAACGCCCCGGCAATGCCGAGATACTGGATACTCTTCTGGAGAACGGGTTAGTTAATTTGATCGTCGCCGAGATACCTAGAGGAGTCCCCGATGGCGATCTTTATCGTGCTTACGAAGATATGCTCACACCTCTCGGGCTAGCCATCGTTGGTTTACCTGACTTTTGCGGAACCAATCTCGGGGCGGTTAATCGGCTCCTTCGAGAAGGTTCTGATCCCGACGGCGTTGCAAGAATCATGGATATCGAACCCCGAGTTGGCCAAACAGCAATTATGCTTGCTCTCGAAACAGGACGAGAAGACCTCATTCGCCTATTGGTGGTGGAATACAAAGCCGATGTGAACAAGAAGACCCATCTTTTCATCAAGCAGACACCGCTTCAGCACGCTGCTGAGCTAGGGGACCTCGACATGGTTCGCCTACTACTGGAACTCGGCGCAGACGTGAATGGGGAGCCGGCAATCCGCAGTGGCGGGACGGCTCTGCAGTTTGCAGCCATCTCAGGGAATTGCAACGTGGCAGCAGAGCTTCTCGAGCAAGGGGCCCCCCTACACGCGCTGCCCTCAAAAGTAAATGGAAGGTGGCCCTTGGAAGGAGCAGCAGAACATGGCCGGCTTGACATGGTCCAATTCCTGTGGAGAGCCAAGGAGTTTTCCTTGGATGGCACAGGATTTCAAGAGCGACACTGTCTTAGGGCAATGGACTTTGCACAGAGCAATGGGCATCTAGGATGCAGGGACTTGGTCGCAGAGCTGTCTGGTTTTTCTGTGGATAGACTCGACTCAGAAGACTATGGCGTGCCATGGTTAGCTTACTAAGACTTTCTCCTATGTAACACTCTTTGGTATGAATACAATGAATGCTTCGGTTTGTTAGGAGTTGAAGCACTCAAAGCTTTTCCCCAATTTCGTCTCGGGTTCGACAATTCTTTCTTTTGGTGCGATAATAAAGTCCTGAGATCAGAATAGACTTGATCTCGAGGAGCATTTAACATGAAATCTCAACATCATAAAATCACAATATCACTCACTTACAGCCTTCATCCGATGGTTCCAATTAGAGTTTTGAGTATTTTCAAGCTTAAACTTCAGGGTCGGGTCCGAACTGCGTCTAAACCAAGTTTGACGGTCAGAACCATCACAGATCCCCTCCCGACATAAATTTGTGCGCGCCATCACAACTCTACGTTCCAGTGCAAATTCGTGTACTTGAAACCGAAGAAGACCAAAATATAGACAGCACTGTAATTTAGACTGCTTTGGTTTAAGTGTGAAAGGTCTCTATACTCTAAATTCTAGTATACTAAATCCGTATCCTTTAATAGTCGGACTTAACGTCGCGCTCCGTCTCGTAACTCAGTGAATTGAATTATTTTGATCTTGAACTGCAATTGCACCCACGTCAATAGGTTATACTGATTTGCAAACGCCTCGATGGTGTTGTTGTATTCTTCAACAAGGACAATGTGCTGGTGAGGAGCTCCCTGGAGCAGTTCAATGATGGAATTGCCTGCTGCGAATGTTGGTGGGAGGTACGAACGGGTATGCGTTTGATGGAATCGGATAAGGTGCTCGCAGTACCTCAAGCATGGCATAGAGACTCACGCTCGGTAATTCGATGACCAGGGCGGGCCCAATCTAATTGAATGACTCAGGGAGCTCTCCGGTCCACTTCCAGGATACCCGAGTTATTAATAAATCCAACTAGTTTGTTCGAGTGCGCTGAATAAGTCAGCAAATTTTGGCGCTGAATGAACATTGTTGGATACAGTATGTTGCCCGGAAAAAATGGGGAGCGAGAGCATTCCTTTTCCAGTGCAGTAACTTCTGTCGTGAATGGGGAAATTCAAGCCGATAGGGGGCTAGTAGCAGAAGCACTGGAGCTCATCCTCCAAGGTGTTTTCATGGTGCTGAACTGGCTCCAGTGCCTGAAAGAACCTCTGCGACTGTCCAGCAGTCAGGCTCACTAAGCAGGGATAATCGAATTTAATGCAACCATCTCATTGCTGGCCAGGCGATGAATGACCAAGTGGAGTGCACTAAGAATTGTGTTAACTAGTCCGGACATGAGAGTTAGAATTGATTTCTCCAAGTCTGAGTTGAAGTTTCCTGCTTCTGAACATTGTCCTTAGATTCCTTGGCAATTGCGCAACATATATCGCTTGAATAAAAGGGGGCAGATGTCGCTAACGGACTTAGCTCGGTTTGGTTAGCGACCTCGCTACCCCTTAAATCCGCTTCTCCCGAATCTTTTTCCACAAGGCATCCTAGCGGGAAGGAAATGTAGGTATTGACTTCGTCATCTGAGAAATCATCACCGCGGTTCAAAGAGATTCTGATGATTCAAATGAGACGCTAGACAAACAATCAGAGAACATCAGCAACCTCACCAGATGATCCTCCCCGCCCTTTTAGCTGTTTTAGTCATATTACTTTAAAAGAATAACACTGCGGGAAAGTTACAGCTTCTTGTCTAAGCTTAATTCATAGTAGGATTCGATCTTTCTAATTGAATGAATTCATGTCTTCTCAAATCCAAACGGACCCTATTCGAAACCCCCAAATTTTCTGATCAACACAATGAGGTAAGCTAGGAGCGCTAGATGAGACGCTCATTATCATGGCTGAGCTACGATTTTACTTCGGCGAAACCATGGCCGTCCACTACAGAGTCGATCAAAAAGGGGGTTGGTTTTCGAATGCACGGCCAATTCACCGGCAATGCGAGTCGGGAACACCGACACTCCCTATCCAAGCCATTCCCCGCTTTTGCCGCTTTTGCCCTCCACGAATCAACCACGCTCTATTTCCAACAACTCCAACTCTATCAACCGGAGGCTCTCCACCTCCCGTCGCGGGATCCGCGCAGGAAATGAGAGGGACTTTGAGACGAACGAACCGTGTTTCAGATGAACCCCCACTGCAGCAACATGGCGGGGGTCATCCAACCAACCCGTGACGTTACATTCGCCCGAACTTCGACCTAACTATCAATTCACGTGGTTTCAGCTTCACTCAGCTTCACTCAACTGCACACCTTTCTCCCTGCATCAACGCCCTCAAAGACTCCTTCCGAGCTTTTCTATAACCTGCCCACAGGACACAGGAGACACTTTAAAACCAGCCCACAAAATGGCACCCCACGCCACCTCCCCTCCCCCATCAGAAATCACCCGTCTCCCCGCCCCCTCCCGTCCCGCATTCTCCCCCTCCCCACCGCGCCTCCTGATAATCGGCGCCGGCAACCGAGGAAACGCCTACGCATCCGCGATCCAAACCTCCACAAATGGACTCCTGGTATCAATCGTCGAGCCCATCCCCGTCAAACGCGCTCTATTAGGACGCAAGTTCATCTGGGGAAAGCGGGACGCTGAAGAAGGCGAAGAGTTTAGTGATTGGAAGGATTTTGTTTCATGGGAGACGGAGAGGAGGAAGAGGGAGAAAGAGGGCGTGAAGGTGGTGGAGGGCGTGGATGCGGTGGTTATTTGTGTGCAGGATCGAATGCACAAGGAAGTCGTGCTTGGTCTTGCACCATTGGGATTGCATATTATGTGTGAGAAACCGCTCGCTACATCTCTGGATGATTGCGTGGAGATTTATCGGGCGGTTTCTGGGACGGGTGGGGAGAAGAGATTATTTGGGATTGGACATGTGTTGAGGTATAGTCCGCATAATATGTTATTGAGGAAGTTACTGGTTGAAGAGAGGGTCATTGGGGATGTGATGGCTGTGAATCATACAGAGCCGGTTGGGTGGTGGCATTTTACGCATAGCTACGTTCGGTATGCTCCCTTTTCCACTTCCCCATTGTTCAAATGAAACTCGAACATCAACTAATGGATGGAAAAGTGGCAATTGGCGCAAAGAATCCACCTCTGCTCCCTCACTGTTAGCAAAGTCATGTCACGACATGGACATCTTGCTCTGGCTCCTCTGCTCCCCACCTCCTGGATCCTCAAAGCCTCCGCACTTGCCAAGCACGATCACCTCCTCAGGCTCCCTCCAATACTTCACCAAGCCCCGCAAACCCACTCAAGCCGGCACAGCCACAAACTGCCTATCCTGTCCCCACGAGTCCAACTGCCAGTTCTCAGCCAAGAGAATCTATCTCGGCCCACAAATGCAAGGACGACAAGAACACTTCGTATCAATCGTCCTCCCGGAAATCGAAGACATCGTCGCCTCCCAGGGGAAAGAAACCGGGGAGCAAGCCCTCCTCGCGAAACTAGGTGAAGATTATGACTCCACGACGCCGGAAGGGGACGTGGAGAAGAGAAATTGGTTCGGGAGGTGTGTTTTTGAGTCTGACAATGACGTTTGCGATAACCAAACTGTGACGATGACCTGGGAGAATGATCCCATTGCCCTCGAAGGCGAAAGCCCACTTCAAGCATTAAGTGGACGAGGGAGTAAGACGGCTACGCTGCACATGGTAGCTTTCACACACAAGATCTGCCAGCGATTCACGCATATTTACGGCGAGTACGGCGAGATTTTCGCGGATGGCGATAAGATAGAGATTCTTGATTTCGGGACTGGAGAGAAGAAGGTGCATTGGCCGTATGTGCCGGAGGGAGGGGGGCACGGTGATGGCGATGAAGGGCTGGCGAGACAGTTTGTGCTTGCTGTTGATCGGGTGAAGAGTGGTGGGATGGCGGTTGACAGCGCGCAGGAGGAGTATATCGGGTGTACTGCTGAGGAGATTATTAGGAGCCATGCTGCGGTATTTGCAGCTGAGGAGGCGAGGAGGGGGAAGATTGTGGTGGATTTTGGGAGCTGGTGGGAGAGTGAGGTTGAAGGGAGGTTGAGAACGTGAGCCTCAAAATTCTGCTTTCGCATACTGTTGGTATATATAAACATATCTGCTATTCAGATATACAAGAATCAATCGAATAACTCCGAGCTCCTCCCAGAAGCATTATTGAGCAAATCCGTTACCACTCGACAGATCATTTCAATCATCATCTCATCAGCATCAGTGAGCTGAGCGTCTCGCAGCAAACGGTTCATGGAATCAGGATGCCACTTCCTGCACTCTTTCCGTATTAACTTCACCGGACTTGCATCCCTCGCCACCGCTCTCTTCAAGAAGTCATTGACATTGGAAGCCTTCACGTCCCGATAAGATCCCGACTTGACAGGCCACGGGATGGCATCTCGGATATTGCCCTCTCTCAACGGAGTTGCTCTAAACTCTGCCCAGCGTTCCTGGTATTTGATCCACGATTGCTCCCATTCCTCTTCTTCTCTCCGTTCAGCTTCACGCTTCTCTCGCTCGCGTTCTTCGCGCCGTTTTTGTGCTCGTTGGCGGATCCGCTCGTTTTGTGCTGCTTGCTCTTCGCGCGCTCGCCGATTCGATTCCTCCTTTTCTCTTTCTCTTTTCTCCTTCTCTAAACGTTCCTTCTCTAAACGCTCTTTCTCAAGGCGTTCTCTCTCAAGGCGTTCTCTCTCAAGACGTTCTTTCTCCAGGCGATCTCTCTCCCTTTCCTCACTCTCCTGGCGTCTCCGCTCTGCCTCCTGCCTCCTCCTCGAAGCTTGCTCGTTCGGTCTTTCATATCCCTGAGATTGCGACCCTTGACCATCCCTATCATCTCGCAATTGAGCCAAAAGCTCTCTCATCTCTCGCAGTTGTTCCCGGAGCTCGTTTATAGTCTGCTCTGAGTCTTGATTCTTGTCATCTCGGACGGGTTTGGTCGGTTTTCGTTCATCAATCCGTGGGCTTAACTGCTGGATCTTCCTCTGCCACTGCCTGACAATGGATTCAGCTTGGCCCTGGTGGTATCTAACACAGAGCGCTGGTCCGGCGATGGCCCGTAGCCGTGATATGACGGTAGGGTTGTCAGGACGCAGGTACGCGATCTCGTTCAGCGTGGCCGTGATGAAGTCTCGATTGTCGCTCCGGATCGGATTCCGGCAGCGTCGCCCTTGTGACGGGGCGTGGCCGATACAGGTTATGCGTTGGTATCCCGGGTCCATGTTGATGATTCCTAAGGTCTCTGATGGGTCCCAGAGCTTCTTTCTTTGGGTGGATGTGGCATCGTAACCGAAGCGAGTGGAAAAAGCCATTGATGATTAATCTTCTGTATACTTTTTGGATGACTTGAAGGTAGAGAATGATGATCAGAAATACAATTCATCAAAGAACCAACGCTGGTGTATGTATATATAAGTAATGGGCCAGAGAAATGCAGGCCGGAGTGAACTGAGGATAAAAGCCGGGGTGCTGCACAGCCGTGACCCGACACTCTGGTTGGCATTAGCCCCAACGTTAAAGTTGGAAAACGTATGGTCAATGCAGGGTTCAAGATGGAGCCACTCCCCACCACGGAGGCTATGGCGTTCGTCACTGCCACAGTAGGTGTGGGTGATTGGGCTCCCGCGCTCCAAAAATATGCCTTGAAGCATAATGTGTGCCACCCTTTGCACAGGTAACATTCATGCGAAAGAGACCAACAGGGTTCTTATTGGCCCATTTCAAAAAAGTTGACACCTCGTGTCATACCGGTGATTCTCTTCGCCCACAACCGTATGTCACTGACCGAGTCTGCGGCCCGAAGCGCTCCGAAGGGGGTGTCACAGCCACTCGCACTTAAGCGACACACCCCTTTTCAGCCTGGCCTTGCGTCACATGCTCTACCTTCACCCGTTCACACTGTGAACTCAATAGGAAAGTGAAATAAAGCGAAGAACAAAGCTTCGCTAGGGGATAAAGTGGAATGCATCATCTGTGACCAAGGTACAATTAACCCTTTCTCTCGATGAAACGTAAACGATGCTCCCAGAAATCAAAGATCTGGATAGACGTCTCAACGCACTTTTATTGCCCCGCTAATGTTCCATGGGTTTAACGCTCGCCCGTGGCTGAAACTCCATGCAATCTAGTCCTTTTCCATTCTATTCGACCACAGTTCCGTCGCAGGTCACGACCCAGCACACTCCACGCGCTCCTTTCTCCAACCCCTCATCCCCTCTCCCAAGAATTCTTCTCTTCCTCATAGTACTGATTCATATCTAGCCCTCCCCTCTTAAATCCGCACTTCTGATAAAACCCCTCGTTCTCCGGGCTACAACCAAGGATACTCTTGTAGCAACCAACGTTCTTCGCCACCGAGCTCAGCGCCTGAATCATCTTCAAGCCCAGTCCCTTTCCTTGCTCCTCTTTCCGGATGGCAATCTCCTCGATGTGGGCTACGCTTCCCAAGTCGTGAATGCTGCAAGATCATCATCAACATACCCATTGATTTTAGTTTGGGGATGAAGACGTGGGACGTACAATTTCCTCTCAACCATCAACGTCCCCGTCCCCACAACCTTTCCCTCATGCTCAATGACCAGAAAATAATGAACACCCAAATTCTTCATGTAGTCATATCGCTCCAGAAATCGTGACTCGGAGACATCACCGGTGGAAGTGAGAACTTGGATGCACTCAAAGAAACCTTTGTGGTAGTCTTCTCGTTCAAGGGGCCGGATTGTGTATCCAGCGGGGAGAGAGGAAACGACGTCGGCTGAGATGACGGAGGGCGAGAAGTGGCCTTTAGAGGCGGACATTGTTGGTGCTGAAAAGATAGGTAAACGCCGAGAACTTTGCAGCACAGAATGGTCAGTACGAAGTCTCGAAGAATATGTGGCGTCGTCGAATCGGGGAATGCCCCGACGAGTCAAGAAACGGTTGCGGCAGAGGGCATTCCGGCGTACCTGACTGGCTGGGTGGGAGTCCCAATCCAAGAGGTTGGTTCGTGGAATGCTGCTACCCCGCCCGAGAAGACCGACCCGTCAGAAGATCAGTGATGAACGGGCCCCGTACCACTGAATAGCTCGACTATCTTCCCGACTTTGCCAGGTTTGCTGCGTGCAACGTTGCCTCCGTTCCTGCTCCTGTGTTGAGCAAATGAAGGTCGAAAGGTGAACAACGATGGCGGGGAAAGGGGGGAGGCGTTCAAGAGAGGTAGCCCTTCCCTCCCCCTGTCGTCCGAACCCAACGCCCTGGATGGCAGATAAGCCACGGCAAACCGGTCTTCAGAACGGTGATCTCGGCCAAATTTGTGCGAGCACATACAGGGTTTAGCCTCTGTGCGTGCGCCACGGGCGTTATCGTACCCCACTAGCCCACCTTGCAGGGTTTCAGGGTTCGCCTCCACAAACATCGCACTTCAAACTTTCTAGACTAGGACGATGTCCCGACTCTGAGCCTCTCACAGGAGGTTTAGCACCACCCAATATTGATATTCGAATAAACAGCAGTGAGACAGAGTTCACTGGTTATCCGACAGGCTGTTCCAGACGGCCATTGGCCGTAGAACCGGGACCAGGTCTTGTCAAAGACGCCAAGCCTGCAATCCTTCTTCACGAGGAAATGATAAGCCGGACACTCAGGCACGAAACTGGCTTGCTGGTCCGACATGGCTATCGCAGATCCTAGTCGAGCGCACGAGGGCAGAAGCTTATCGAGCTTATATAGACGTGGACCTTCTGAGAGCTCGTCCAACCTCATCTCCATCTCTCAACCACACTACGGGACCATAGCAATCATGGGTGCCGCCGAAGACAATGTCGTCGCCAGCAGCAATGCCCACGAGACACACACCGACATGAAGAAGGGCGCTCTTCTCGAGATTGACGCCACGCGAGACATCACCACCGCAGAACACGACCTCGGCTTCTGGGCTGCCGTCAAGCAATACCCCACCGCCGTCCTCTGGGCAATGTTCTTCTGCATCGCAGTCATCATGGCCGGTTTCGATGCCCAACTTGTTACCTCCTTCTATGCGCTCCCTGCCTTCCAGCAACGGTTCGGAAAGCTGTATGAAGGCGAGTGGATCATCTCTGCGCCGTGGCAGACGGGTCTTGGCATGGGGAACCCAATTGGACAAGTCCTTGGAGCTCTTGCTTGCGGTTGGCCGCTGGAGAGGTTTGGACGAAGAATCACTCTAGCGGTTTGTTGCGTCTGGTCGATTATCTTTGTCTTCGTTCAGTTCTTCTCGACCTCAATCGGGATGCTGTGTGCTGGCGAGATTCTAGGTGGCTTGGCGTATGGTTTCTACGTTGTCATTGCGCCCACATATGCCTCTGAGATTTGCCCCTTAGCTCTGAGAGGTGTACTAACAGCTTCCGTCAACCTTGCTTTCGTCATTGGACAATTCATTGCCCAAGGTTGTGCCGCTGGCTTGGAAAGCAGACTCGATGAGTGGGCGTACAAGGCGCCATTCGTATGTTTCCACGTCCTTCTCGACGGTCAAGACTAACTTGAGATCAGGCAATCCAATGGGTGTGGCCTGTCGTACTTCTCATCGGTCTCCCCTTCGCCCCCGAAAGCCCTTATTGGTTAATCCGCAAGAACCGGAAAGAGGACGCACGAAAATCCCTCTTGAAGCTCTCTTCCGCCAAGCACCGTCCCGACATCGACAGCGTCCTCATCATGATCGAGCAAACCGACCTCCTTGAACAAGAACTCGAGTCGACAACCACATACTTCGACTGTTTCAAAGGCGCTAACTGGCCCAGAACAGAGATCTCAATCATGGTGTACCTTATTCAAGTCATTGGCGGCAATCCCTTGATCGGATACGCAAACTTTTTCTTCGAGCAAGCGGGTCTCAACCCTTCTGATGCCTTCAACAGTCAGTCTTCCCTCTCCAGACCCATTAAACCAATACTAACACCTTACAGTGGGCGTCGGCAACACAGCCCTCGGTTTCGTCGGCACCTGCCTCTCCTGGCCCCTAATGTCCTTCGTGCGTCCCCCGCTCCGTCCCTCATTCCTAACTAACACCCCTCAGTTCGGCCGTCGCACGATCTACAACTCCGGCATGACATTCATGACTCTCATCCTCTTCATCATCGGCTTCCTCGACTTCGGACGCTCCCACTCCGGCGCCGTCTGGGCCCAAGCCACACTAATGGATATCTGGACGTTCACGTACCAAATGACCGTCGGCCCCATCTGCTTCGTCATCATCTCCGAGATCTCGTCCACGCGCTTGCGGGGGAGGACGATCGCCATCACGACTGCTGTGCAGGCCATGGCCTCGATCGTGTTTACCGTTGCCATGCCCTATATGTTGAGTTCTGATCAGGCGAACTGGAGAGGCAAGGCGGGGTTTCTCTTCGGTGGGATTAGTCTGGTCTGTCTTGCGTGGTGTTGGTTCCGCATTCCGGAGAGCAGGGGACGCACGTTTGAGGAGTTGGATATCCTGTTTGAAAGGAAGGTGCCGGCGAGGAAGTTTAAGAATTACGATTTGCTGGCTGAGCATCATGAGGTTGGTGGGATGGAGAGTCCAATCAATGTTTGAGAAGAGTGGAAACGGAGTCTTCTGGGAGGCGTGTTAGATATTATAGTTTGTAGATGAGTTATGCCTATTAAATATATCCCAAGTCATGGTTGATTCACTTTCATTGTCTACTAGCCTCACGTGACTGACTTTCTTCAAGGGCAGTGATAGGAGTTGGTTTCCCGATATTCCACCCCTTCTTCTAATTCCATTTGATGCGCAGCGCATGCCAGGATCCCACGCAATACCTTGTACAGTTTCTCGGGTTCGGCTGTGTGCCATGAAGGCAGTTCATGGCCTTGCTGAGCCAGCCCCTTCTCTCTTTGCAAACCTTGCTCCAACAGAGATACAATTCCCAACTACCCTCTCCCATCTTTTATATACCGACTATGCCCAGTCAACGTTTCTACTCTAAAAAATTATTTACAGCGCCATTATGAGAACATAAAAGAACCCTCAAGGCTTTGCGTACAACTACCTACATCAAATTGTCTCGCAAAAAGGTCGCACATTCCGAAATTTCTAGCTCATGGTTGAGAATTTGAAAGTACAACATTCCGAGGGATATTTGGATAGCGGGCTTTGGTGAGTGTACCAGAACTTCTTCTATATTGACATTGTCTGGAGGTACGTAGGACGCAGAGTAATGGCCGCAGCTCTAACCTATCTCATTCGCAATGGCCTATCAACACCTCGACGCAAACTTCCAGACACGCTTTTGACTACAAGAATCTCCAAATTAGCCTGCAGCCTCCTCACAAATGTGTTCTCAATTCTCCGCTTGTAAAGCCTCCTCACAGCAGCTAAGTGCTTCCCCGCACCCACTTCGTCCTCGCAAAAAACCTCATACGCAGCAAGAAACAGCACGTCCGTCGCGTCGTCTTCCTCCCATACTTCGCGGTCTTGCATCCGCCCCTGCAGCCCGTGCAATGCTCTCGCGGCATAGCCGTGGGCCAACCTGTCAGTTGTTTGATGATGGATGTACTGCATTCTCGCACTGGTAGCAGCGAGCAAACAGAACCAGCGCGTTGAATTCCGCAAGGAAGTTTGCATCATGGATGTAATTTCTCGTTGCGGGATGGGTGGCTGGCCATAACCTATGCAGCCCGGAAGCTTGAACGCGCTTTGTGTCCAGATGTGAGAGAAGTACCAGAGCTGTTCTAAGGTTGCGGCATCAAGAGAGATTACGGAGGTGGAAAATGGATCGAAAACGCTGCTGAGAGGGTGGAGCTCCAGCGCGGGACAGAAGACGTCGCTTATACCGCTCTCGGAACGGAAGGTGAGCTGTCGATCAAGACCGGCGCAGGGAGTTTTACTCCCAGACTCCGAAAGTTGGATATATGGAATTACTTCGGTATCTCCGCAGTCTTGGCTCGATGGTTGCAAGGACGATTCTTGAGTAGGATTTTGCAAGCTCTCCGTCCGAGCCCAACCCAGAGTGAGCGGCGTCCGCTTGATAGGTCTCTTGACACGGCTTGATTTATGCCCGATAGTTACGGCATGGGAGCGAATCTTGCGAAAGTTATCTTTCTCGTATCTGCAATTGGATAGCGAAGAGGAGTCTCGGGATTTGTTTACCCAGACGAGATTTGAATTTGCGGTCATTGTGGCCGAGATCGAATTTGAAGAAAAAATTTGCCGTTAGACGGGTTTGGTGGTTGGATTCTATAGCATAATGTGTGGATGTACTGTCGTTCATCGGAGTTAAAATTAACCCCGTAACCTCCACGAGTCTTAACCCTTTTCGGTAGTAACAGAGATGACGTTGATTGGTGCGTTGTCTATTCGCCCCAAATTCCCACACTTTCTTCGCGAGATGCTTATACTGCTGCAACTAGGCCTCTTTCGGCAGTAACAGGTCTCATGTCGATTGGGCAATCGAATATTCGCCATAGAACTTCTCACCTCATGACAATAACTTGACTTGCAACTTGAGGGCACTGCCGTATGCTAGAGTTTCCAGAGATATATAAATATGGACAAGGTCCGACTTGTCCTTCAACATCTTCATTCAATCATCAACTCAATTTCTCAGAAAGCAATAATTACGAACAATGTACAACCTGCAAGATCGAAAAGTCCTAGTGACAGGTGCAAGTCGCGGCCTTGGCGCAGCAATTGCAAAAGCTTTTGCTGAGGAAGGCTGTGACCTTGCCATCACTTATCTCGGATCGAAAGACAAAGCAGAGGCTGTGGCTGCTGATATAAGATCCTCCACCGGGAGGAAAGTAGTGGTACTTCAAGCTGTGAGTATAGCGATTAGTGAGCACAGTGACCGGAATTCCAGCTCACACCGTCACAAGGAACCCTGAATGCAAGAGGATCATCGACGAGGCGGTCAAAGGACTTGGTGGTCTTGACATTGTTGTCAGCAATGCTGTAAGTGCAACGATCCACAAACCTGAGACAATTACTAAGTAATTTGCGTAGGGAAACACCAAGATCGCCCCATTCGGAGACATCGACGCCCTCACCGAAGCAGACTGGGACCACACCTGGAACCTCCTCGTCAAATCCAACGTCTTCCTGCTCCGTACAGCTCGTCCACATTTCAACGCCAACCCCGACGGCGGCGTATTCTTGATCCAGTCCTCTGTCGGAGGACTCTTCACGAACGGCAGCAGTATGGCGTACTCTGTCTGCCGGGCTGCTGGACTGCATCTCAATAAGTGTCTGGCTGAAACACAGGGCCCGAAGATTAGAGTAAATGCTGTTTGTCCTGGCCTTGTTCATACGGAAAGAACTACACTCTTTACTGAGGAGCAGAGACAGGGGTATTTTGACATGGCAAAGTTGAAGAGAATCACGACGCCAGAAGAGATTGCCATGACTTTTGTGTTTGCTGCTAAGAATTCTGGCATGACGGGGGAACGCATCAGGGTTGACTCTGGGATGATTATAGTGTAGAAGTTGCACTTATTCCAAATTTCCATAGGACAACTAGGGTAGATAGATATCGAAAACTATTTAACATGCTAAGACAAGCTGCTTTTAGCAGCAGGGGAGGTTCAGAATTGCAACTGACCCATTCATCCTAACTGCCTCGCTCAAGCAGTAGTCCTCGTCTTCACGTTTTCATAACTGTCACTTTCGTTGCCCATAGCTTCATCATCTCCGTTGCTGCCAACCTCAATTTCTTGGGCCTCAATGTTATTTATGTTCTTTTTGGATCTACCATTTGCATCTCCGGGCGCCCAGATGGTGATCACGAACGCCCAGGAGTTTTCAAAGAGACTGATACATACCCTCCTTTTCACAGATAAGTCAAGACCCTCAATTCTGCCCTCATATCGGCGGTTTAGGTCGTCACGAAGTGCAAAGTCGGCCAATGATACACACCCACGAATAGGCCATTTGGCAACTCTCACCTCAAGGTCCCGAGGTGTGGAGTCAAGGCGACGGACAATAAGAACCATCTGAGCTCCATTTCTCCGGTGCGAGATTCTAATATAAGCTAAGGTCTCATATCCGGGTTCGCCGGGGTCGACTCCCCTGTCTCGCTCGATGGCACCAGGATACCAAATGCGCCTGTCAACAGGGGAGCGGAAATCCGAGACCACCACAACCCTGCCCCAGAAATGTGGAGGGTAAATCTCGTCCACCGCCGCCTTTGAAGAAGGGAGATGGAGGCCAACGAAAAAGGTCTTGCCCAGAGTCTCGATGTTCTCTTCACCCCCCTTCTTTAATATGGATATTGTGCGACTTTCATGCATCCATATTTTGTCATCCATCTCATGCGTGGCACTCATCAGGATTGGCCGCGCTCCAGCGGGTCTCTCAAACCAGACTCTCGTGGCATCCTCCCCGAATTGCAAATGACCCCCGCTTCTATTCATCACCAAGGGGAGAACGATTTGGTTCGTTGTACCTTCAGAACAACAAAGATAGGCGTACATGAAGCTCAAGCGATCAGTTTTTGGTCTCAGGTAAGAGAGTTTCACACTTAGTGTAATGTTAGCCATCGAAATGACGGCTTGGGAAGAACGAAGCCCGTGGAGATTGTAGCATCCAATGAAATATGCAGGCGATGGAGCAAAAATTCCATGAATTCCATGGGTTCCGGATGAATTGTAGCCCCACGCAAAGATACTTAGGTCGCCGGACTGGCGGATAATCTCTTCCTGCAGGCGGGCAAATGCTTTATCGCCTTCCCCGTATAGTAGCGGCATGTTGACATCAAAAATACCAAGCAGGCAATATGCTATATCTTCTTTCCGTGTTGTTGTGCGAGAAGCCGCCCATGACATCTTCTTGGCCGTGCATGCCCTACTCATATCGAAGCCGCGAAGGATATTCCGGTCGATATGAGTGATATTTTCAAGAAGGGCGCATTTTTGTTCTTTATTGAATAGGAACTTCCATCCCTGATCAAAAAAACACACAGTTCGCGGCGCCAGCAGCTCTTGCAATGTCCATCCGCGTTCGAACCAGTTGCTTTTTCGGATCTTGGATTCCATCTCGTCTTGTCCCAGATTGGTAGGCACATCGGCCAGGTAAACCAAGCACACCAAAGCATTGTGGTACCAGCGGAACATAGAGTTGATGGCTTCGGATAATTCGGCATTGCTGGTTTTATCAATGCAACAGGTATCGATCCAGACAAAGCTGCAAGAGTGAACCTTCTCCCCTCTACTGATCTTTTGATTTCGAGCCATTTCAATACAAGAAACAATTTTAGAATACCCGGTCTTTTTCCTGACTGCGGCTTTCTCTTCTTCCAGCTCATAGTACTGCTCCCGCAGGCTCTCGTGGTAGTAGTCATTCTCGTGCCGCGGAGCCTTGAAGGCATGGTGGGTCGTGATAGTTCGCATTCTGGCCTCGATCTCCTGAACCCGATTCCACTCCTGGAGAGATACCTCCTCTTGACCCCAACGGTGAGACAATATTGCGTACAAGGCTTCCCTCTCGTCGAAAAACTCCTCCATCCTCATGGTCTCGATGTTGAGGAGTCGCATCGTCGGATTGAAGGAAAGTGACTGTCTCACTAGTGCGGCAGAAGTAAAATAGAAAGAACGCGAGGTGTAAGAGGCCGTGTTGGGTACGGTTTTGATGTTTGTTGTCTGGTAAGGCTCGAGCAGCATCAACGGGAAGTGAAGTCCGCAGGCTGATGTCTCAAAGCCACGTGCACCTCTCTTGCCGAGTTCTGAGTTTCAGAACATGATTGGTGTTCTTAAAATAGCCCACCCTGCTTTTTGTCCCAAATGTTGGAAAGAAAATCAGTGTGCCCCTGCCAACCCCTGCAACACCCCTGTTTTGCTCGCGTAGCATTCCTAAAACATGGGTATACGCCCAAAGGGGAAATGACAGGAGGCCAACTCTGATTAGAATGCATAAGCACCCTCTCTGGATAAACCCTAGAACGGGTGCTTATGCAATTGAGAATTGGATTCCCTTCTAGCCCCCTTCCCCCGCATTTCGCAAGCTAATTTTTATAATTTTATTATAAAGTAAGGCTTTCTTTTTCGGCTATTCTTTAGCCCCCGGTATATATACAAAAGGTAGGCAAGACGTACGTCCCTCTGTCCCTTACTTATAATCGCTTAGAAAGTATATCCTCAAGGATATACATATACTTCCCGTACTTAAGGTATAAGTGTATATATGCTCCTGTAAGGCGCCAAAGGCGCCAAACGCCGTGCCCCTGGCCTCCTAAGCTCCTAGTATTAGTAGAGAATATACTTTAAATATAGATGTGCTTTGTATACAGATATATCCCGCACGCAGATATATCCCGTACGCAGATGTGTCCCGTATACAGTTGTGCCCCATACGCCGTGAGGCGCCGAAGGCGCCAAACGGGGTGCCTCTAGCCTATTAGGGTCCTAATATTAGTAGAGAAGTAAGCTTTAGAACTCCCAGAACTAGCGCTCTGTCTAGTTTGGAGTATAACTAGAAGGCCCATCTCATTCACGGACGAATAGCATATAACCACGCGAACTTAACATGTGTTTCGGGTCTAGTTGTTGTCATTTCCCCCGCGTAAAGTTGGTAACTACCATTTTTGTCACTACATGAATAGGAATCGGCGCAGATGCGAGTCTAGAATAGCGCCAATAAATCCAGGAGCCTGGTACATCTATTTATCGTAAGATCATATCAAGTTTGTTTGTGTCCTAAAGAACATAAAGGCTAGGTACTCTCACACTTCCACGCCTTGAATTTCTGTCATTTCGCTTATCCCAAATATCCGTGCACCAAAATAGGGGGGAGTATGGTGGGTGTCTTACCCGTATTCTGCTCTCAAATGAGAATCGCTAATCTTATCTCCTCAACCCACTGAATGGAAGCTCTATACCAGTCTCTATAGTCCCTAATCAGTCTTGAGTGTCGACTCACTTCCATTGTTCCAATCACATTACAACTGATTATTCTACCTCTTGCATTCGTCATGCCGAGAAGTAAATGTCCACGATTACTAAACATTTCTTCATGGCTATTCCACCACTTCCCTACTCTGTAAATTGCAATATCGGAATGAAGAACTATTGTATTCCTTGCCCTATCAGTACATCATTCAAGTTAAATAAAGGACTTCTCCCCGCATTTTGCAAGTCTCCTCAATTCAAGAATCTCATCACCATCCCCCTTTCCCTAAACATAATGACTCAATATTTCGAGTCAGATGTATCTGTAGAATTTCCCTTCGCACTCAAACGTGTTAACGTCCTCGAGTCCTATATGACGTAGATCGATACTGGAGCTCCACGGACAGACAGTCAAGAAGTAGCCCTCTTCATCCACGGCAACCCTGTCTCCTCTTACCTCTGGCGCAACATCATTCCTCAGGTCTCCCCCCAGGATACGCTGCGTTGCACCAGAGCTAATTGGCTTCGGTTCCTCTGGCAAGCCTTCCATACCGTACCGCTTCACGGACCAGGCTGCATACCTCTCCGCATTTATCTCAGCTATCCTACCCAATGATAAAGTCATCCTGATAGCACAGGGCTGGGGCTCGGCAACTGGCTTCAATTGGGCTTCCAAAACGAAGAAAAGGCGCTTGGTCTAGCATTTTGGGAATTCCTACGTCCGTTCCCGACTTTCGATGACCTAGTCGGTGGACCTTCTCAGACACTCTACCATAAATTCAGGGATCCCGTCGAAGGACGAAAGATGGCGGTGGAGCAGAACGCGATGATAGAGCGGGTACTGCCTAATGCGCTGCTGAGAACGCTCACTCAAGTCGAACACGACGCTTATCGAAGCCCATTTCTAGACAAGGGGGCAAGGGAGCCGTTGTTCGTGTCCCTAACGAGCTGCCAATTGAGGGAAAGCCTGCTGATGTGTGGGAAATTTGGGAGAGGTTCCATGAGTGGTTGCTTAAGAACGAGGTGCCGAAGCTATTGTTCTGGGCCAAGCCTGGAAGGTTGGTTACGGAGAAGCAGGCGGCGTGGTATTTGGAGCATTTGAGGAACGTGAAAGGAGTTTGTGTTGGGGAGGGGTTACATTTTCTGGAGGAAGACCATCCGCGTAGACTTGGGACTGAGATTTCAAGATGGCTCTCGGAGGCGGTGCTTTGATTTTCTTACATAAGAGAGAAAGAGAGTACGAATTGGTTGTGACGTGAAATTTCCCCTCACGTTAATAACTTCTCCATGAATTCAAGACAAACTTCAGAAAATTCGTTTCCGTGTACTGGATTTCCAGCGGGGAAGACCTCAAAACACGTCGGAAACCACCTTCGCTTCTAATCAATGAACCACCGTAACAAAAATTTCCACCATATAAGCTTGACATCATTACTTCCATCAAGTATACAGAGCTATATTTGATCTACCATAATGATAAAAGAACACTTCTTGATGTTGCCTTTACATTGCTCACAACTAACCTTCTCCCAACAATCGAATAGTGTGAACATTTCTCCCTTTCCTGATCATTCCATTCTTTGGTCTCCTCTTTCCGTTCGCAGAGTGGATGCTTTATGAATCATTTTTCGGGGGTTGTGCTCTGTTAAGACTGTTAACAACTGTGGTATGATCTCTTATGTCGGGGACTGCAGGGTCCAATAATAAGTCCGATCAAGCGTCCGCCGTGGATGCAAAGGAGGACTCTTCCAGGGTTTTCTCGAATCATTTCTTCCGCGTCATGCCAAGCGATTCTTTCGAGAAGCCCAGCGGCACCCAAGAATAACTGGAACAACACCCCTCTTCTGCTTCCAACTTGCATTGCATGTGGCGTTTTGAATTCGGCATTGCTAATAAAGCATGTGGTGGATCTAGCTAGCGGACTAATTCTGTGGCTCAACGATGCCGCCAGACCTGAAACATACTTAAAATATCCAACAGCAAGGCTCCAAGAAGGAAGCAAGAGGAGTTGTAGGTAGCGGTCGGGTAACATTTCGTTTCTTCTCACCATCAGCCACGGGCAACGCTTCAAAAGTACAACGCAATGTTCTCAACAATATCAGTTTCAACAAGTAGAATGTAATGATCACAAATTTTGACTGCATTTCTTTTTCAGTTTAACCTTAAATCTAGTACTTAATCAGAACTTTTGAGGTGTGTAGCCTTAAAAGCAAGTCGTTCCTTGTTGTGACGAGACGGGATTCGCAGATTGCCAAACATGATGTGAATGAAGAGAAAACACTTTTTTAAAACGCCAAAAAGGAAAGAAAAAGCAATTCGGGAGTGTGTGACTTCTATGACCGAATAATCACTCGGCTCCAAAGGCAGTGCTTGACCGCATGCGCATCCATTCAGCCCAAGAGAGGGGTGCGTACTTTGCCGGCGTGTTCTCATCGCAGCAAGTTAGAATACACTCCACAATGGCGTCAGATCCGGGGGCAACGAAATAAGGAATCGAATAACGTTGGCGCATCATTCTTGTCTCGCCCGAATATCGATCCTGGAGAGGTGGAAGGCGCACGCGATGCAAAGTGGATTTCAGATAATCTCAATAATCCACAAAGTCAGCCCTTGGGTTCAATGTATGTTGTGAAAAAGATGGCAGAAATCGGCCGGAAAACTTACCATTGCTCCAGTGCTGCAGGAGATCGCCAACGTTCATCACCAGTGCATTCTCAATCGGGGTGACAGAAATGAACTTCCCCGGCTCCCTTGGCGCCTCGACTTCCAATCCACCACAGTCGTCCTGGAACAACAGGGTTACAGTGCCAAAATCAGAGTGCGTACCGAGACGCTCCTTCTGTCCCGATTCTATCTCGACTGCGGCGACCGGCATGTAATGTCGCAGGGCGATTTGATTGCCATGGCCATCATGGTACTTCAAGAAGAATTCTTCGTCATCCAGTCCCAATCCAATGGCGAGAGCGCGCAAGATAAGCTGGGTCGTCTGCCAGCATTCCCAGTAGAACTTGGTAGCGAAGTCTTTAAATCCGGGGAGTGTTGACTCTGGTGGCCAGATATTGAGCTGTTCCTCATTTTGGTCGCTCCCATAGTTGAAATTCTCCTAAATATTTCGTTAATAAATATTCTTCACAAGTCTACATATCATCGATTGGATTAACGTACATTGAAATCTGGCACTGTTCGCAGGGTCTGAACTGCCTCTTTGTCTCCATCCAATACTTGAACAGCTTTTTGTACACCTTGCCGGATGTACCCGCGAAATGCTATCGATTCCTTTGGTTTTTCCGCCTCCATTTTCTTTTCATGCGACATGTCGAAGAACTCCTTCGTCCATGCAAATGCATTATCTAGAGTTCGTGGGGACACTCCGTGGTTGCGAATGTGGACGAAGCCGGTCTCGTGACATGCCGTTATGAGTTCTTTGGCGATTGCTAGACGCTCTAATGGTGTTCCTTCTGAAGTCCATACGGAAAAGTCCACGATGGGAAGGCTCGACGTCGCCGCCATGTTGAATTGTCACTTGAGAGGTTGAAACAAGACTAACGGGACGGAACTGTAGGAGTCAGACCGTTTGTCTGGCTACGAAAAGAGTATTCTGTGGACCTTCCGCGGACCGCGACTCTGGAAAAGCTTGAAGTTGGTGTATCAAATGTTGCAAAGGAGCGACGCGTTCGTACCTTCCACTCGTAACCGTAAAGGTGATTCGTGGAAGAGAATAGGCCACAAAGCAATTGCGTCACCCACTAAAATTGGTGTTCCTCGCTAAATTTGTGGCACGGACCAGCTAGGCACAGCTGGCTAGAAGTACCTCCCGTACAAAATTACTATGTAGAGTACTTGGCGCAATTGGCCTAATCGCTTTCACGAACACTTGTCGTGACAGGTGGAGATACAAACGGGTAAAGGATTTCTTTTCCCTTTTCAGAGTACGAACTTGATGCCGGTCGTGAGATATGTACTCCTGTTTTTCAGAGACCAGAGCGAACATTTGACTTATCATCAGGGATCGCTTTATCAGGCTGACTGTATCCACGTGTCGAGCAAATCAAAACATACTACGAAGAAATAAAACAGGATCTGTAGTGGATTACTCACCAATTTTTCGAATTGGTCAATCCATTGTTGTATTCGCTACTTTTCAGGGCAAATTAAAGTCTGTGCTTAAACGCAAAAATCTAAGACTTTAGAATCTAAACATTAATTCAACTACTGTGGTACGGCAAGCCGTACTCTTCAAAAATCATGTTGTTTTGGCGGTTTTGAGGTTTTGGTCACATGGCAAAGGCCGCGGCCTTTTGCACGTGACTTGCGGGAATCACATAAGAAAGCTGGTTTTTCTGTAGTCCTAGAGAACAATCCTTCCTTAATATTCAATCAATTGAGCTTTTGCACACTGTATACTGTTTATGCTTTACCGTTTACGCTTTTGATCTTGTTGTTTTGCTGTCAAGTCACGTTTTGCGCTCTGGTGTACTTTATATGGGTTTTTGTCTTGTCGCAGTTTCCCTCCCACACTACTTACTTATAAGAAGAATTTCTACGACTATATAAAGATAATTAAATAATAAAGATATAGGCTTGTCTTTAAATTGAAAATAAGAACTAGCTTGCTGAGTATTTATTATTTAATAAAATTATATAATAATTCTTTTATTATTATTATTATTATTATTATTATTATTATTATTATTATTATTATTATTATTATTATTATTATTATTATTATTATTATTATTATTATTATTATTATTATTATATTTATTATTATTATTATTATTATTATTATTATTATTATTATTATTATTATTATTATTATTATTATTATTATTATTATTATTATTATTATTATTATTATTATTAAAAGCTAAACAAGATAAAACTTAATAATTTTAAAGAGTACAAATTTATACCTCGAGAAAAACTCTTTGTAGACAAAAAATAATTCAAGAAACATAGAAGTTAAAGAAGTTATTTTAAGGAGAAATAGATTATTAACGAAATCAGTAATTAGTGAGTAATCCACTACATGTCTTACGAAAATGGTATGTAGTCAAATGCGGCTGGTGATGGTATATTATCCGCAATTCTTGCCATCCTTACCGGCATCGTAAAGTATCCTAATCAACACTCATGCCTGCGCGGTTTGTTACCACTCAACGGCTCATTACACCCAAAAAGCTGGCAATTGCTCGACTTGGCTCAACTTGGGCTTTATGGAGATTTGGAAAAGAAATGAAAGGCTTTCAGGATAGGAGAGGGACCCAAAAAGAGAATTTCATCACTACCATGGCTTTGCAATGACGTAAGCCTCTCCAGCCTCTCCAGCTATTGTGTCGCTTATGCTTGATAGGGATTCTCAGAAATTCCCCTGCAACAATTGTTTGGACACCTCGTAATTGAAATTGAAACACAATAGAGTGGCCAGAGTTTCGAAGGAAATCCTCTTGGATGTTTCTAAACGGAGCTCAGAGTCTGTTCTACTCTCACACAGCCTCCATCCAGCCTCCCTTTCCCCTGAGGTGCGGTTCCGTAGCTTGCGTTATAGGCCTGCCCAACCCACCCCCACCTTCGATGTCACGTGTTTATGCACTTTTTCAGGAGTTATCACCCCATGCATCTCAGCAGAAGCTCTTAAGTCTCGGTATCTTCCACCATCTTCCAACAGTGATTGAATGGCAATTCGCTCAGTCCTCCTTCCAGCTCAAAGCCAAGAACGTATCTCGCCAGCCCCACCGCTCTTGACTCTTGACAGACGTGCAAAATGGTTGGAATCTGACGTCCTTTTCTCAGTATAGAATCATCTGCCACCCATCTCTGGATCTGGTTTCCTGTTGATATGGTGATTGGGATTGGAGAGGGCACGGTGAGGGACAAGAAGCCGGTCCAGATTTTGAGGCGGAGTTCGGCGGGAAGTTGAGAGAAGAGCGGAAAAATGGATGTGGTTTCCTCAGTGGGCTGGTTATGATTGGAAGCTTGCATTTTCAGTAAGTATGATAAAGCTTGAAGATGGAGCACATGTGCATGCAGAAATTGAAGTGTTCTCTGTACACGAAGATCGGAAAGCTAGTTGCGTGGAAACGAGAGGCAAGCTTTGATAAATTGCGCGGAAGGTTAGTTGAACACCGTTCGATTGATAGATTCACTGGAGCAACCTGTCTGCCTGGCGATTATGAGTACATCCATATGTACGTCAAAAATCAGGGTCGAGACTGCCATGATTTGTCCTCTACACGCCATACGTGTAGAATATTTGAGGATATACGCGGTGTCAAAGGGTATAACAAGTTGGGGAGTGAGTAGACTAAATTTTATTATGATCCACCGCCGGAAGATATTGTCTTTCATCAGATTCCATTAAGCACATCACTTTACTCACATTTTCTAGCTGTAGTTCTTATACACCAGCTTTTAGATGCTCTGAATCCGAGCAGAGTATCCGTTTTACTTGCAGCCAGCCAGGCTGTCGAACTTGCAACACCCCTATTGCGAGTGGCGTCGCTAAGCGAGTTGCCAAGATTCGGCTCGTCAACCTCACTTCCAACCTCCAGCTTGCGTGAAAGCATTCTTCTCTGTTGAACATTTTCAACCTCAGTCAAAAAATCCTAAAAAAAATGAATGCAAATTAAGTCTACGAATATGAAATGATAACGGCGGAAGATACAATCAGGTTGATCCTACTCTAAGCCGCAAGGCTGGCATACAATGCTCCCGCATCTGGGCTACGCTGGATTGATGCGACAGGGACTTAGTCGAACATTCCGTCGCTCTTTATTGAATTCCGCCTTCGCGTCGATCTACATATCCGTAATCTACAGCATTCACGAGGATAGAGAAGAAGTCTTAACGCTGTGATAATTCATTGGTATTCTTGGCTCTTGAGTAGTTTAACTCTGAGGGAGAAGCCATGAAGCTGTGCCTAGCTAGTGTCGATACCAAAAGACTAAATTCAAGGTTGCTGCTGTCATATTATATATAACAGAGTGCAATACTAACTACAAACACACCAAGATTGCAAGCATGGCCAAGCTCCATGCGCTTGTGACAAGTCCAGAAGCAGCAGAAGTGTGCGAGGAGGTCTGCACCGGCGTTGTTGATGTTGGTATTTGCGACGTTGTCGAATTTGTTGCACTGACCGGGAAGGTAACTTTACAACTGGCATCATACGTTGCCGGTATCACCGTGTTTGTTCCCGTCAAGTTGTTATACGCCAGCCGGATCAATGTCTCTGCCCTGGCTGATACTCAGGCCAGCCCCCCTCGTAGGAACTCAAGCCTGCCTTTGGATTCTTGGCAAATGCCGCCCATGCACCACGGATGTACTTGCCGATAGCCACCTCGGTGCTCGTCGACGCAGGAATGCAGTGCCGGTGGGCAAGGTGTCGAAGATTACCGGTACCTCGCTTCCGTGCCAGGCACCCGGGTCGGGTACCGTTGTCAGTGCAGTGTTGGGGAACTCTCCAAAGTAGCGGTATCGCCATGTGGGCAAACCTGCGGTGATGCTGGCGTTGGCCCGTGCGCCGGCGGGACAGGTGAAGCGATTCAGATTCACGGTAGCAAGTACGTCGGCGGTTATCCCGGTTTGGTTCATCAGTTCTGCCTGGACAGCAAATAGGGCAGCTTCGTTGCCATTATTCCCAATGAGAAGGGGGATTTTACTAAACCGGCCAGCAAGAGTCCGAGCCGTGTAGTCGGCGAAGATGGTGGTGTTGTCAACGATGGGCCCCCAATTGACCGAGCCGCCCGAGGCCGCCACAAGGATCGCCAGGGCGTCCTTGGATTGCATGCAGGCTGTCACCGCCGTGCTGTTGGACGAAGAATTCCCGCACTTCAGCTGAGAAGCTACACTGAACCACGACACTACATTATCTGCCATTGGAGGGATCAACTGGACCGTCCCGGATTCAAGAATCATACCCGACAGGATGGGATCTGTTGCATATGCATAGGAATAGAAGTCCAACGACGCGGCACCGGCTGACTGACCGAAGGCCGTGATGCGGGTAGCGTCACCGCCGAAAGCTTGGATGTTATCACGAACCCATTCAATGCCCAAACGCTGATCAAGCAACCCGACGTTGAGATCCTGCAATGATGAGCTGCCTGGAAACCCAAAGATGGTCGTCCGGTAGCTTCGATGGCTGTCAACACTAGCTTCTCTTGGTGGTAGAGGCAAAACTTACTTGATCGATACTACAATAACGTCTTCTTGTCCGGCAATGTTCTGTCCATTGAACAATGATTCACTCGACGCACCAGTCAAGAATGTTCCGCCATAGAGCCACACCATTACCGCTTTGTTCTCATCCCCGCCACTTGGGACCCAAACATTGAGTGTGAGACAATTCTCATTGAAGGTATCTCCTACCTCAAAATCTGGCAGAATATCCGCGAGTCCAGCGGCAGTAAGGTTGGCGGCTGCAACGTTGCCAGTAAACCTAGACTGTAAAGCATTTGAACTCATGCATGCGAATCCCTATGAGGAAATGAGATTATATTAGCAGGTTCCCAGAAAACAACAATAAGTACTAAGGAAGAGGGCAAGGGACATATACAAAATCAGATCCATTGACAACCGAGCTTGGACTCTGTAGCTGCACTGGAGGATAAAACCTCAGATTGCCAACTGGCGGCTGCGCGTACGGGATCCCGAGATATTCGGAAACACTTGTTGCATTGCTCGCTGCGTGACCGCTGATAATGCCGCTGGAAGTCTGCACCTGAGAGCCGACGCGCCTCCGCGAGCTGCACAAGGTACATTGTACGAATTGGACCGAGACGATGAGAATGGGGATGAGCTTCATGGTCCGGTTCGGTCCCTGAAGCCAGTGAGCGGGTGCCTTATAGCCGATTCAATACGTTGCTGCTGAATTGGTGGTAGATAGCTGCTTGCATTTATCGATCGTGATGTGAAAGTATGAGGGAAAGGATATCACAAGGTATTAAAGAAAAACAGAAATGAGGATCCACAAGGCTGCAGAGACCAGTCTATAATCGATTTCAAATTTGCATTCTGTAAGATCTCCCTCTGATCTAGCCTCCGGTCGCCTACACTTACGAGGATACGAAGAGCAAACTAAGTCCTTGCATGGCCGCCTCGTTGTTTACTTAATTGGCATGCAATACGATTATACGACGTCACGGCGAAGGACCCGCCAGCAATCTCCACATCCATGAGGAGAAAACTAGCAACACCAATCGCTAATCCCAGCCGTATGATCTCGCGCCTTCCACAGTGCGAGGGTTAACCTTAAATTGTAAGAGGCTCTAGCGAAGGAATCGTCGTCCTTCGTTTTAATTGGCTTCTGAAACGATTTTCGCAGACTTGAAAATGCATCCTTATCCCTTATTGGTCGAGGCAGGCAGCAAGAGGCCCCAGTACGACTACGACGACACCAGGGTGTCAGTTGCATGGATGAGAGTCGTGCTGGAAGGGGCCAATTTGGGGTCCTGACGCTGAAGTGAAGACACTACAGCAGAATGGGATTCAAATACTCCACAATACATAAAATGAACACCAAAATCTGCACACGGGACATGAATAATTACCATGCGGTTGTGCAGATTTAGTTAGTTTAGTTTGAGAGCTTGTTGACCAAAGGGTGGAGCAAATATTCAGGGTGTGCAGACGAAAGTAAAGTCAGTTCCGTGGCGGCCGTCGTGTTCTAGGTTTTGCAGACATCAGGTATCGGCGGTTCAGGCATTGTGTGATAGTGGCAGACAAGACTATATTTCCAAGATTGAAATTTCCTCCTATACAATTCAAATTTCAACTTCAATTACCTGCTGATCCCTCGTGGTGAGCATTCTGCTCACGGTAGCCACCACTGGCCCATGGCAAACTTTAGCGAGTCTTGCCTTGAAACTCGGTTCGAACTCCTGAACAAATGGGCCCGAATAAACATTCGATTCAATTCGAGAAAGGGATATCGAAAGCGAGTAGCAACGACAAACAGGCTATTTGCGCTTATCCTCGCCTTGAGTTGAGAACAAGAGAAGTTCTGTTTTTAATTTTGGAAAGTATTTGTTTCACCTCAAGGTCCAACATCGACCTCGTGCAACACAAGTGCGGAAACCTCGTGACCAAAGCCACACGACATATCCACGTGCCTTACTTGTCATTTTGCCACACTTCCAGCCCAAATGCTCTCCAAATGATCTGTACCTTGAAACCAGATTTATGCACGTTGTGGATTGAAAGGTACTGATGAAGGCACGCAGACACAGTTTGAGCCATGAAATTCCCGCGCAGAGAGCCTTTTCACATCAGGCGGGGATATATGTGGGGTTTTCCATGATCAGTATGGAACAATATCCGAGGTCATACCTGGAGCCCACTGAGGTGGTATGAAGAGTATCCCTGTATGGCCTTCAAAACTCATGTACCCCCGACCACTCTTATTTCTCCTCTCTAGCTCCCCTGCTCCCCATTTCTTTTTGCCTTCTTCTTTGCTGCCTATCTCCTTCTCCCCAAACTCCGTAATAGCTACTCTCATCCCTTTTATCAAGATGCCGAAACGAATAATCCTCTGCCTAGACGGAACCGTAGGTGTTGGGGGAGAAACCCCTCCTATTTGTGACTGTTTCATGAGATTTTCCTTAAGACAATGTCCTCTCCCGAAACAACCCCAATTGAGCAATTGCTGACTCCCCCGTTACCTAGTGGGACTCCGCCGACGAAGGCAGTCCCTCGATCCCCTCCAACGTTGCCCGGCTTTCACGAATGATCGCTAGTGAGGGAAAGACCCAAGATGGATTCCCAATCGCACAAGTAGTCTACTACCAGTCAGGCGTCGGGACCGGTGCAATGAACAAATTGGATAAGATATACCAAGGTTCCTTCCCCTCCAATCCCCCAAATCAAAAACTAATCATCTCTGGAATGTGTAGGAATCACAGGTGTTGGCGTCAAAAACCACCTCCTCTCGGCCTACCACTTCATCTGCACCAACTACACGCCCGGCGATGAAATCTTTTTGTTCGGGTACTCGCGTGGGGCATACACGGCTCGAGCACTAGGTCGCTTCCTCACCACATTAGGGGTACTGAAGCCGGAGGATTTGGAGTTGTTTCCAGGGTTGTTTAGGTGTTGGCTTGCGAGCTCACGGGGAAGTGGTGGGGTTGAGTTCAGCAATCAGAGCCGGTGGGAAGAGTTAAGAGGGTGGACTGACTGTGGGAAAGAGGAAGAGGATGGAGATAGGAAGAAAGGTGGCGGGAGGGGGGCTGAGATGGGAAGGATGATGCCGAGGACGAGGGTCAAGACTAAGCCTACCCCGGTTAAGATTTGCGTAGAGGGCGTTTGGGAGACAGTGGGCAGTTTGGGGCTGCCGGAGAGTTGGTTTACGAGGTGTACTGGGTTTAATAAGATGTACCAGTTCTATAATACGGCGTTAGACGACAGTGAGTGATACTGGAGGACGATATGGAGAATTGACTGACTTATCGTAGAAGTCCATCACGCTTTTCAAGCGCTGGCTTTGGATGAACATCGAGGTGCATTTAATCCAGCTATCTGGTATCTGGAACCAAAGTTCAAGGATAAGGTCAAGTTGAAGCAATGCTGGTTTCCCGGATTCCATGGTGAGGTAGGGGGAGGCGTTGCAGGCCCTTTGTCAAGAGACCATCTTGCCATCGAAGACATTACATTAGCTTGGATGTGTGACCAGGTGGATGGGTTGCTAACCTTCGACGAGGAGGCATCGAGGAACATACTTGGAGAAATCAAAGAGTATGTGAAATGGGGTGTGGCCAGGGAGAACGACCCAACAGGATTTCTGTACAACCTTAGCGTTGCTGGTGGTAGTCTGCTACTGCGGACGCCAGGCTCTTATCATAAAAGATTGCGATCCCACAAGTTCTCGAGGCCAGAGGAGTATACCACCAATGAAACAATGCACCCATCAATCAAATTACTCATCGACCAGCCCGGAGCAGGCTATTTTCCAGCGGCACTCGACTCTCGGACGGCTTTGAAGATGGTGACGGTTCCGAGGTGGAAATTTATAGACAAATCTGAATCTGGTCAAGGGGCTGTTTGGACTCGGCCTTGCACTAAATCTGGAAAGGCTGCGATTGAAGTCAAGGAACATGTTATCAAAGAACGGCCTAACAAGAACAACTTCGAAGCAAGGCTTTTGCCAGTGGCCGTGCAGGACATACTGTATAGAAGAAACCTGGAGGAATTCGATAGGATGTATCAGAGTCAAAGTTCTTTTGAATGCGAAGAAAGCATTTGACCTTGAAAGGACAAAGAGATAGGTTGCAAATGAAGTAGCTGAACGCCGAACGATACTGAGATCAGCCGGCATGGCCTGAGCTATAAGAGTAAGAGAACCTGAGGTCGCTTCAACCTTGTTTCTCGTATCTGGTGCCAACATACCTCTAAAGTCAGATACGGTGATAGCTCGCGATAGCGAGACTAGATTTGGATTGCACGACTTTGCTAGGACGTCGCATGAAGGGCTGTCAATTGTTCTAGAAAAGAAGGTTGGGTCAGAAAAGGTTGGGTGGCGGAGTGGTTTGAAGTATTTTAAGGAGTCCACATAGGCCAATAAAATGTGGTAAGAGATACGAGCAAAAAAGAGTAACAGACTATAACCTTCCACTTCTCCCGACTTTTGCTTTTGCCGTTGCCTTCAAGGAGCAAACCCCACAAACCTTCATGTCGCTGTTGGTTTTCTTCTAGTTCTGCTTAAGAAGGCAGCGGCCCTGGGACTTTGAGCCCGGGCTTTAGCCTTTAGTTTACGTTTGAGGGCTTTTACCGCCTTGTGGTGTCTCCCGCTGTTTTTCGATTTATGCAGCTGCTGTTACCGATGCTGCTCCAAACATCTATGACAAGCCTGCTTTGGCTGCACTACCTCCCTTTTGCCTTAATATAAGGCTTCATATTTGGTTCAAGTGCAGGAATGAATCCGATTATTCTCTCCTCGCACGCGGCAATGCTGTATGCGCTGAAGATTTTGGCGCACAACCTATCGTCAGCTCAAGCTGTGGTGACTCATCTTATTCTGCACTTCGTCAACAAATTACAACCACACTCAGCTTGACGCAAACAGCAACAGCTAAGGTCAAGGCTGCTGCTGCAGTCGTTTGGGTTTCTTGAAGGTCAATCGTTCCTCCCCCATTTTGTCTGTCCGGTTTGCTTACATCCTATATAGGCTTCATCGGAGATACCGTTACAGCCGAGCAAATTCTCGAGGCTCCAAAAGAAGCAGATGTTCACTCAGATGATAGTACATATCCTGGTCCACGGCAGATCTGCTCAGACTGCGCTGGGCAGGGAACTTACTTACTTCTGGTCTGCAGCTCTGCTAACTGTTCCTGTGATTCTACAACTTGCCCAACAGCAAGCCGTGAGCCAAAGTGCTCAGATACTAATTACGATCCCTTTGAAAACAGGACATGCACCAAAGAAAGTCCCGGTTGTGACTGTACACCCGAAGAAGAATTGCCTGGTGTTGAAGATATCACGAAGATTCTCGAGTGCGATGAGTGCGGGGAAAGTTTGAACAGAAACAGAAAGTGCCAAGGGGTAAGTACAAGTCTTACTCTTTAAACATCTCATGTTCTAATATATCTACTTTTGAATCAGGATCCAAATAACAATCGTAGGTGGAAAGACTGCAACTGTGTAAGGCCTGGCGAGGACCCTGGATGCACTTTAATGGCATTACAAGATCCGTCAGGTTCAGTCGAAGAGAAGAAGAAAATCGCTGAGATATTCGCATCGCTTCCCAAATTTACTGCCGATGGCCTGGCCAATGATCCCGATGAGACTGATGTAACATGGTAAAAAGCTGACTAGGCTGCCATCCCAGCGAGATCCAGATGGCAATCCCAGTGTAAGCAGTTCTGCAAACGCGTGGTGCACGTCGATGGAAGGCAGGATAATCAGCAACCAATCAGACCTGGAAATGTACCGCTAACAATGTATCCTTACTTACTATGCATTTTGGCTGTCAGCTGAGTACTGGTACGGCGCCCTAGCCGAAAATAACTGTGGTAGCAAGGCCACCATTACGAAGGATGAATGCACGAATCTAGTTACAACTACCATGGAAACTTGTGATCCGAACTCCGGTAAAACTCACGGAGGATTTCGGCCTTTGGCTGGAAAGTGTATTCAATATGTATATTCTCGCCGTTTCTTACTAAAATTTGATATCATTCAGATACATATACTTGAAGAAGAGAGAGTAAATCATATCTGTGGAATCAACTTGGTTGTTCAAGGTCACTGACTTTTGGAGATCCTCCTAATATTTGAGCCGCAGACCAAGCTCCTTTCGATAGTCTGCTCAGTGGTCGAGGGATAGAGAAACGTTTCAGAGATTCTTGTTTTCTCCTGGACCAGCCCATAACCGGCTTTGGACTAACGGTCGTTAGGATTTCTCGTTCCGGCTACCGCTGGCTGGAACGTTGCTCGAATGGCATGTCCTAGTTTTAGCTGTGGTTGGTACGGCTGCGAAGGACAAAAACGATGCGACGCGGGGCTGGTTGCTTTCGGCATCATATCCAAAGAGGAGGTCGCCGACGATCAGCCCAAGTTCAAAGGCGGCGACCTCGCCTCCTGCTCTCGCTCCTCCAACTTTCCCTCCCTTGGAATTTTGAGGTTGAGAGTAATTGAAATAGCCTAGGAAGAATTTGGGGTTCAAGTAGGTCTTTCAGAGCGTGGGGAAGCAATGACTCTGGATGAAATCAAGTCCAGATCTGAACCATCGAGCAAATACTGCGAGTCATTTGCGACGATATATGCTTTCTCATGTCACGAGCACGTTCAGATCTCTCGCTTCTTGTTGCCGCAAACGAATTTTACCCATTGGCATTCTGTTTAGTTCGGGTCCTTCATGCAGACACCTGAGATTGAACCCAGTTTCGCTGTAAGGGCTGCTGGCGTCACTGCACCACATAAAACAGCACAAATTCTCTCTCTTACAGTGAACACTCTACTTAACAGGCGTTCTATAGCAGCCGGAAAGATCGAGACTTTTCAGCTCAGATGCATCTCATGATGGCCACTGGACGTTCTAGACTTGCTGAAATCAGATGCCGTGCTCAATTGGTGTGTGAGGCGGGATGAAGACGAGATCGGTAGGAAAGAGGGCTGAATGCTGCATTGCCGGAGAAGCTTCTCACAAGGTCGAAATGAGTAGGCCACGCCTATTCTCGAGAGCTCAAAGGCATAGTAGTCCTATCAGCAACTCCTTACGTAGCTGCGTATACCTTAGTTATGACAAGGGTATGCCACAGCGATCACGTGTTGCTTGCAAGAGAGTCATGTGACTTTGGTATGTCATGTGGAGCCGCCTCTCTTCTTCTCTTTAATCGCAAATCTGGGGCAAGCCCAATGCATCCTCTTCATACTCATCCCTTCTAAACTTTTTCTCTCTTCGGTTCGTGTCTCATTCTCCAATGACGTAGGTACAGCCCTCAGGTCCCATCCACACCTCGTGGACACGACCAGCCTCAACGTCGATACGATCGCCCACAGTGTATGTCTTCTTCTCGGAACCTTTCTCCTTTGGATAAGTCATTGTGAGCTGTCCTTTGCGGATCAGATGTGTCGTCAAGCCAGCGTGGGAGTGTGGACTGTAGTGGGCGTTCCTGTGGCAAACAATCAGCCCTTTGTGTCTCGGCACTGGGGCTATGTTCCCAAGGCAGACTTACGGGCCATCGGACCAGGTGAACACGTGTAGGAATCCCCACGACCGGACTTCTTGCTCAGACTCACGTTGTGGCTTTGCTGCCATCGTGGATGGTGTTGTGCAAAAACTGGTGAAGTGTAGTGTTGACGAAGTGAGATAGGTTGAATCCCCAGGAAGTCGCTCTAGGTAGTGCGCTCGGATGAACCTCGGGCCGTGCCTTCTCCCCGCCACGGGGCGACCGCGACAGAGGGACGAAAACAGCAAGGCACACTTCTGCAAACAAGAACCTCTATTTATTGATCGCCGTATTCGCGCATTTGCCTCCAATGGATGGGGCGATGATTTGTTTATTGTTTGCTGACGAGTCGGTTCCTGAAACCCGCCGACTCGATTCTCGTTTGCAGCCAGCAGATCTGTTGGGGGCTGAAGCTAAGCAGCTGAAAGCAAAGCCTCGCACTCATTCTTGACAATCCCTCCTTAACCATCCCACCGTCTCCGGAAGAGTTTCTCTAATTTACGAATCGCATGACAATAAACTCCTCATGATTCTGGATCTCAATTACGCGCGAAGGTCAGTGGTTCTCTCCTCCCATCAACGTCAGGCAATCCTGGGCGGGAATCAGGTACGCCTGCAGCACGGCTGTCTCACAGGGCTGGCAAACAGGAATTCTCGGGAGGGCAAAAATCATCTTGCATTCGACGTGGACCGGTTGTGGTGCCATTCGCTGACATGGCCAGCAGTCAAATACGACCGCTTCCTCCATCGCGATGCCTCTCCTTGCTCCCCCAGGAAAGCAGTTTTCCATGCACAAGCTCGTGGCCATGTCGACGATGATGTCTCCCACAAATGGCACACACGGCCTCCATAGCCTAGTTCCGAGCAAAAACAATAGCCAGACTGCCTCTACACATCATGTATACTTCTCACACGCGATCCAAGATCATCTACGACGAGTCTACGACGATGTACGGGGCGAGGAGCCCACTCTGACTCGTCAACGATTCGAAACATGGCTTGCGACTGTTCAAGCTCAGCCAATAGAGCTGGAACATGAGGAATACAAATGCGAAGAATTTCTCCAGGTCATATATATGCATCATGGCTTCGACGCTCTGGGGGAGGTTGATGTGGAGAGCAAAGATTTAAGCAGGCCTCTCAGCAATTATTTCATCAGCAGCAGTCACAATACTTACCTATCCGGAAACCAGTTATCTTCGAAGAGCTCAACCGAAGCTTATAAATATGTGGGTTTGGCATTATGCCCATGAATTCAATTGCTGATTACTAGCAGGTACTCACTCGCGGATGTCGCTGTATCGAGATTGATGTCCACAATGGAGAACCAGCAGATAGCAAATCGAACCATTCGCGCTCCCCCAGCACACACTCCGAAACGAAAGGGGAACATAAAAGGCATATATCTATATCTGGGAGCACGATGTCAAGTCGTGCTGCGGCTGCGTTGGAGAAAGCCGAAGAGAAGTTTGACAGCGCAAAGGCCAAAATTGTAGAGAAGATGGAAAGGTCGGGCTTAGGAAGTCATTCCAGTTCGTATTCCAACCCGGAGAACCAGGTTGAGCAACGTGGACGACCAGCGACCACGAATTCGCTCGAAGTCGGAAGCCCAAACGGCAAGAGGCCTGCCTCTGTACGATCAATGAGAAGTGGCGAACCATTGGTTCTACATGGATGGACTTTGACCGCCCCAGTTGGCTTCAGAGCTGTCTGCAGAACTATTCGAGAAACAGCTTTCCTGACGAGCAATCTGCCGATAATTATAAGCTTGGAAGTCCATGCAGATGTTGAACAACAAGAGAAGATGGTCGATATCATGCAGGAAGAGTGGAAAGGCCTTCTCATCGATCAAGCCCACGAGGCATGCAATCCGGAAGAGCGACTCCCGAGGCTTGAAGAAGTGTTAAACAAGATTCTTATCAAGGTGAAGAAGGCGACTTCAGACAAGTTAGTCCCATCACCCTCTACGAACTCACTGGCTCCAGTCAAGTCACGGACGGACGGCGATTCAGGCCAGTCTGGGTCAGAGGACGAGAGGAGCACCCAGAAGAAAAAGGTCAAGATCTGCGAGAGGCTCAGCAATCTTGGGATCTATACTCACAGCGAGCACTTCGTAAGCTTCGAAGCAAAGTCGGCTAGAAAGCCACCGCATGTGTTCTCAATCGGAGAGGGCATGATCAACGAACTCCACGAAACGAAGAAGGAACAGCTGATCGCTCACAACCGCGATTTCTTCATGCGAGCGTACCCAGCAGGCTTCCGGATCGACTCTTCAAACCTCGATCCTTCAGGTTTCTGGCGAAAAGGCGTGCAGATGGTTGCGCTCAACTGGCAGAATTGCGATATGGGCATGATGCTTAACGAAGGAATGTTTGCCGACGAGAATGGCTGGGTATTGAAACCTCCGGGCTACCGCAGTGATCCCAATGAGCCAATCCAATATAAAGCACTGGACTTGAAGATCACAGTCTACGCGGGCCAGCACATCCCCATCCCGGCGAACCAGACAGAACGAGGTTTCCACCCGTACATCAAGTGCGATCTACATGTGCAGAAGCCGGAGATTCCTAGGAAGGACGAAGGAAACAAGGATGAAGCTAAGAAGAAAGAACCCGTCGACCCCACAGACTACAAGCAGAAGACGCCCTATCGGAAAGGCGACCACCCAGACTTTGGGGAAGAAGGACACGTCTTAACGTTCCGAACGGTGGAGAAGGTGGTGGAAGAATTAAGCTTCATCAGGTACGTACCCATCTTGGCGTTTTCGCCTGCTCGAATCAACTGGGTTTGCCACCCAATCAGCCAAGCGGCCTGCATTGCATATTCCACACCGCCGTGAATCCCAAGGACCGGGTACTCCTTACCTGTGGTCTATGCCAACTCCTCTTTGAATTTACCCTAGCGCCGCGACGGGCCGTGTTGCATTGGTCGGTCCCTTGAAAAGGGCTGATGTGGATCTCCTGACGAGACGATCCGTTCCGGGACCCGGGTTCCCTGCTCAACATTACGGGAGGCCGCTTCAAACTTCCTCAACTTTCCCCTAGATTTCCCCTTCACGAAAACATCTTGCCATGCCGTGCAACGCTTTCTGGCCTTCACTCCCATCATTCTGTTCCTTTAGTTCCCTCTTTTCTTGATTCTTGCTAACTCGGTACCACATAGATTCAAAGTCGAAGACGAAAAGTATGCCAAGGACACCGCGTGTGCGTGGGCATGCATCCGTCTGGATCGCCTGCAGCAGGGGTACCGCTTCGTGCACCTGATGGATATGAAGGGGCAGGCGACGCAGGGGCTGCTTTTCGTCAAGATCGAGAAGAGTCTTAGGCCGGTGGAGAATGTGAAAATTATTCCCGTGGTTGCGATGTAAGGAATCCGGTTGCGCGTGAGCGAGCACAGATATGGCGTGAGTTTGGGCGAGCGAGCAATGAGAAGGAGACACTAAGGAGATGAGATGGGGGCGTTGGAAGCATAGCGGCACGAGATGCAAAAATTGTATTTGTGATGAGCGCTGGCTTTTGGATTCGTTATTTCAAATGTGGGAGCAGAGGAATACCCAAGGCAGGCAGGCGTTTTTGGATATCATCATACCTGAGTTTGCCGTTAGATCTTGTTTTGGTAAGGCATTATATTTTTGGAATATTACAGCACAGATGGAAGGGGAAGTTTGGCATGCGATGCAATATGGAACGGGGTAGTTCGGCATGGCTAGCTGGAGAATACGAATGGTTGACTGAACGCGTTCTATTTTTTGAATGTGATAACACGACCGATATTTGACTTTCAAAACGCCCCGTCCCCAACCTCGATCTCGTTGTCCAGAACGTCCTCATCACGATAGTTCGTCCTACTGTGTGTGTTATGTCACATGCGGGGCTGGAGCAAGTCGTGGCAGGAACGCTTCAAGAGCAGTTCGCGGTTTGCGGTTCTGTTTGCTTTTCTCCTGTCCTGTTGGCTTTGAAGGGTGAGGTTACATTGCATTATCATGCGAGATCGATGTCAAGCTGTTGCGTCATACCCGAAATCGGGGGGAGAGAGCACCGTGACCGGGTCCGTGGTATCTCTATGTAACCTCGTGGAGAAGGCCAAAGCGCGGGCACCTTTCATTCGCCGATCTCGATGTTGTGCCGCACTGCTGCTCAAGACGAGCGATGCTTGCAGGAGTGAGGGATTGTCGTTCAAGAAGCGCACTCGGAAATTTCCTAGACGCAAGATGGGGGGGTGCAATGCGAGATGCGAGATCGGTGGGCTATGAGAGGTCAACCCGGTGGCTGGTACGTGGCTGCGATTTTGCGTGTAACTATGTAAAGGCTCTCTTCTATTAAATAAACTTACTAATTAACTTATATATTTAGTGACTTGTAAAATATACTTTGTTTTAAGAATAATAGCTTAGCTTATAATATATATTATATAATACGATTTCGGCTATATCTTGATATATTTTTATGTATATTCCTTATGGGAAAAGCTTGAAAGATTTTCGTGCTGCTCCTCGACGCAGTACAAGAGATCTTCGGGCGTTTTTCGGGGGCAGAAGGAAATTTCGGACTTGCGAGATGCAAGCTAGATTGTATGCACGATGGAAGGTTGGTGGGATGTGAGATGTGAGATGTGTCATCGCATGCCGTGAGACATTCGGAGCTATCTCCGTAGAGCAGCAGGACTGAAAAGGTCTGGATTTCCGTTGTAATCTTGTGGTTCCTGATGGTACGTTATGCTCGAGAAGATGCATTGCTGCACGTGATAGTTACAGTACACAAAGTTGTACGAACTGGTAACGCTTGGCGCGTTTCCCGGAGAGTGGAGGAGAGGGAGGTCTAGATTTTGGGGTTTGGCTGTGAGGTGTAGTGTGTACGGCGAGAAGGTTTGATGGAATGCAGTGGCAGGCAACACATCATAAAGGTGCAGCTCACAATGCCAACAAGGCATAGTATCGCGCTCTGGCTGATGGGTGTACAATACGATGGGAAAGTACTGCGGAGGCATCTCCGCAGCACATAAAAGGATGAAAAAACGGAACTGAAGGGCACGGCGTGCCGGCTGCACTCCATGTTGATGGAGCACGAACTGTCAAACGGGTCGCATGATCCCTGTTGTGAGACGCTGAGTTGGCGGCATGTTCATGAGCCGCAGATTCTGAAGCTGCGATGCCGGCTGAAAGTAAGATGCAACGAAATCTGCAGAGATAGAGGGAGGTGGTGAGCATGTTGCAGGAAGGAAACCGAATCTTTGAGATCCACCGACCGGGTTTTGCAACCTCGGACAGTGGAACTGCGAATTGGTCGGCTTTTTCGCGTGCAACAAGGGAAGGAAATGTAATTATCTAGTTCTAGAATTCATCCAGCACGCAGAAGAAAGACGGCAAGATGAAGGGTAGTAATATAGTCTAAGGTAACTTCTCAGTACAGGAAATAATCTTAGAATACAAAAGAAGATCATCTCTCAAGCTTCTCAAGTCTCGATCGGAGGTGATTTCGCCTCTCGAATTCCGCAAATCTCCTTAGAGTAAATTCTTTCTCCCAAAAAGAGTATGCAATAACATGAACAATAAATTTTGTCACCAGCTACAGGTGCCAGAGTGCATTTGCAGACATGCAGGAAAGTAGGAAGAACATGCTAAGGGGGGAACCACGAACCACGAATCAGTTGATCTCTGCCATACTTTCAGTTCAACTTGCGCTCGCACAATGACAATGACGATGGCAGCATGCACTTCCCGCGGGCGGGCCGTTGCCATGTTCGTGCGAGGCCGTAACATTCTTCAGGTCATGCACCGAACACAACACCACTGCCAACGGTATCAAGAAGTCGAAAGAGGCTATTGATGTAACCTTTGGGGAGAGTCTAGACTAGCCCATGTCCCCAGGAGTGTGGACTCGAGTTGCCCATTTCGTTGAGTAGGAGTGGAAGTGTTAGGACTGCAGGTAGCCGTCGAGAAACAAGCGTGCTATTCACCACATCAGCAGGGGAGATTGCCGGGTGTTACACGGGTTGAGCTGCCGGCGTGTCCGTGGAACTGGAGTCAAGAAATACTGACCAGCTTCAAATTTTCGTACCCAAGTTGTAGAATTTCGGAGGATTTGGGAGGAAGGGAAGTTGCAGGGAAATTCCGCTGGCAGAAATGCTTCTGTTTTGGACCCTGGTCGTAGTGTTGCCATTCATTCGATGCTGCGCGAGGGCGGGACAGGCATTGCGGGGGTCAAAAGAAGAAAATGCGATTTGCAAAATCTTGGCTGGAATCAGAGATCAGCTGCTAATGTCATCCTATGCCGCTGTTACACAGGATATTCGCTTGCCCGACCCTTGGAAGCGCTTTGTTCCCGAGTCCCCGGGTCGGCTGAGACATGCCTGCACGGTGGAAGCCACTGGAAATCCCAGATTTATGGCGCAACTGGCGCAGAGTCAAAGAAATCTGAATACGGTAATACCCGGTGGCATTGAGTATCAAGAGTTTCCGGTCTGCATTTCAGATCTGGGTGCACGTTTGCCCACGCGGTTTTGCTTTTTCATGGACGAGAGTGGGGGAGACAGACTCAATTCGGCTGAAAATCTTGGGGCACGGCGCAAGGTGGAAACCGGGGTAGCTTTCCCCGGGCCGGACTCGGGCCAAAGCCCTTCGAACGAGAGGGCAACGGAAGCTGAAAGTTCTTTTTCTGACAGCCCGAGCCGTTGGAGTCCGCCGTCCAAGTAGAGAGAACCTTGAAGTGGATACGCGAACAATAACATCAAAGACAAGTAAACCGGAGCCTTTGACCGAATCGAGAAGCCTCTTGGCCGCCTCTGAGGTCTTCTTGAAGTTGCAAGGTCCCGTTTCGAGACGATGGGCGCCCGCTCCTAGCGGCGTAGTCGGGCGGGTGCTCTCAGGAGAAGGCATCAAAGCGAGTTGTGGGACCTGGGCGTGAAGGCTCTGTTTTTAAAGCTCAGCATACCATTTCAAGTGCGGGAATCGAACAAACAAGATCCTGTTGAATAATGGTTTCCTTCACGAGCCATGAGAACCGAACTGATCCTTGTGGTCTGATATTTCAGCCACCATGCAGTTCTACATGCTGCAGCAGGCCCGTCCTGCCGGTAAGCACAGACTTTCACCTGCAGGGTTGAGAGGAACCGGGTGACAACAGAGGTAAGCCACACGCTGATTTTGCAAGGGAGTCTCCCAATGTGGGATTCCTCTCTGGCAAAGATTTGTAAGAGGACGAGAGATAAGTTGACGAGATTCCTTCCAGTGGCTGAGGACAGCCCCATGTCGTTCCGCCTCTCATTCGCGAGAATGTGACAGATCGGCCGTGGGTCGACTAGCGCGACCCGGTACCACAGCTCGTCAAATTGGAGATCTCTGATCGCCTCTGCATGATCAGTGCGCACTGCGCAGGAACACAGATTGCTCTTCGATAAATCAAAATCGTCGGAGAAGAGTGCTTCCCCACGCACAAAATATCATTCCAAGTGAAGTTCTCTAGTTCATCGCTTGGAGCGCTGCAACCCAGTCTGGCCATGCAAATTTCTCGTGTTCGGTCGAGTTATCGAAGTGGTGGTGGGCACCACCTTGATTGGACTGTGTCACGGTCCCCCTCCGCGAAGTTACCAATGCGGAGGCACAAAGCCAGCTCAGACATATGATACGAAGTACTCCCCCCCCCCCTAAATGTTTGCTAGCGCGTATGTTTTGGGTATAGGTACGGGTAGGAATCCAGGGTGTTTAGCCAGTGAGGAAGTGCCTTTTAAGCTGGCTGAGAGCCACTGCTAGGGCAGAAAGCCTTCTTGAACCTTCTGCGCGCACCCTTGCCTTGATACACAGACCACTTTTTGCCCTGTGTAAAGGGTTGACCAGGTGCTCGAACCACTCAGAAATCGTACCTTATCGAAAACTGGGGCAGTGGAGGCCGCTAGCAAACATTTAGGGGGGAGGGGGAGTAGGACGCCTCGACCCTTGTCATACGCCGGCATAGATCTGACAGAGCCCTATGCTAGATTCAATCGGGTTCGACTTGTAAAAAAGTGCTGCTAGGAGTAAGTCGCGTGCATGAAACATGCTCAGGACGTGCCCCGGCTCCCGAGTCAAGGAGTCCTGAAAAAGCAAATGACAAACTGAATGACATACACTCTTCGACCCACAGCGCATAAATTCACCACCCCCGCGTTGATCGAAGGTGGAGGCAGAGTTCGCAACTTTGGACATTCTCGGACAAGGCAACTCCTCGAAGGACGGAACTTTGAATCTTGCACTTCGTCTTGCCATTGCCGCGACATTCGTTTCTCTCCACTTGAAAAACAAAAATGCCCAAAGTAATGCTAGACCATCTGTAAATTTGATCCCCTGTCCGCCGGGCAAAGACGCCGTTCGATGCCGTTGATTAATCCTTGTACCCACCATTCTGGAAGATAGGCAAAACGAGATTCCCCTCCAAATGGCTGGAAATCTGGCCGTAGCGAAGATCCACCCAAGGGGGCCTGTCAAGCGTTCCCGCCCGTGCGGAAAAGTAAACTGCTCACGAAGATCATCTTCAAAAGGGTTTGTGGGCCGAAAATTTGTGACGTATCAGGCCGTGTGCGCCCCTAACCGACGATTACCTACCTCAGACCCCTAGAATGAATCGACCCGGCATCTTCACATCGGTCCCACCCTTGCAGAAGTCGACCCGGTTATCTGCGTCCACGGTGCCGCACCCATCCTCTAGGACATCTTCAGCTCTCCACTCGCTTGCCTCCGGTTGGCGATCTCGGTTGCCTCTGCCTTGCGCGTGAGATGATGGTCATGTCTCCACCACCAGCTTTGGTCCTTGATTTATGTTTTGTTTCACCCCGCGATTGCGAGTGCAGCGTAGCATTGCCAACAGTCTAGTGCCTGGCTGCAGACCGTAGGATCAAAGGAGCTGCATTGCAGACTAGTGACCTCCACAATCGGCAGATAGCCGCAATATCCATCTGGGCTAATTTCCTTGGACCGAACCAAAGGCTTCCTGCAAGACTCTGAAATTGTGCGAGCGAAGTTCTCAGATCGCTCGCGACCACCAATTACACATGAGGGAGGGTATATATATATCGTGTCCATCCCAGGTCTGACTTCAGCCAAGGTTCAGATCATTCGCCCTCGACTCAGCCTTCTCGTACTTTCGTTCAACCTATCAGCCAAGAACATTTAACATCTCCCTACCCGTATCTCCGAAAACACTGCAGGCGAAAAGATCAGAAAGATGACTCGCAAATCCACCCCACGCCAAGCTCCAGGCCATGAGACTCCTCATGTTCTGTTTCACCGAAGTGGACCATTGCCACTCCCAAACCCGAGTATCAAGGGTGTTCCTGTAAGTAAACTCTCTCACCAAAAAACATTAGATATGAATTGCGAGCTGACAGACAAATAGATGACAGGAGTGAGATGCCCAACTTGTGCTGCGAATGGACAAGAGGTCTGGGTCATCCCAGGAAGAGCCTGCTCTTACTGCGGTACCCACTGCTGAGTATTGGATTCCGAGTATGAACCCTCGATCAAGTGAATGGGAATAACGAAGCTAACTGGAATCGACAGAAACACTCGAGGGTGACGGTGCTGGCATCGAGATTAGCAGTGTGCTTGACCGGCAATTGCGAGTCTGGGAATACATTGATTTGTCCAATTGCGAAGATGATGGGTTTATCACCAGACGGACCAGATTCGCTGATGGTGTACCGGGCCATCGGTTTTGATATATGGGTCGTTTTTGGCGAGTTGGGAAAAGCATGTGCTATTTAATCTTAGAAGTGATTCCAAGGACGGCGTGGGATTGCAGTATACTTACTTTCTATCAACCACCTTTCTATTCACACGTCGTTTGGGCATTGCTAGCGTGATCTGATGACGCATCGAGACCCAGAACATCTGGTGAGCATCGAGCGACATGTGTTATTATCTGAATCGAACTAATCCGCGAACTAGTCCACGAAGCTGTTGGGTCGGTCAGGCCAGGCGGCACGTTGCACTCCACATGCTACAAGGTATGCGGTTAAAGAATCACTGACATGCTCATCCAAAGTCCAGGAAGCCGCATCGCCTTTGCATCTTGAAGCTCTTGAAAAACTCAACTTACTGCGAAGAAGTTTGAATCGACATGTCCGAAACCGAAAGCTCAAACTGCGAAAGCCGGCCCTTATGTACTCCGAGATTCTGACACGGGAGCGCAGAATCAGCTGCGAGCGAGCGTTTTAGGCCATGTCTTATCCCCCTTTCCTTGAATCTGGATCCCAGCGGAGCCGCGCTGTCTAGAGCTGTCGGTAGATCGAGATCTCTGGTCGAGAGAAAATAGTGCGGGAACACAAGCATGATGCAACAGGGCAAAGATTGGACCTCGAACCGTCTCGGAACTGACAGCTCACACTGACAGCAAGGAGGCATCTCCGAAAACCACTCAAAGTGCTTGTCCAATCGGCCAGTATTTAAAACTGGATGTTGAATCACTGCCGAACCATGTCTTCTCGATACTGATCGATGCTGCTCAAAAGACGCGCTACTCGGAAGATGGCGTCCCAACAGCGTAGAATGCATGAATCGCTCCAAACAACAATCAACCCCTCCCGCAAGGGCTTCGTCAATTGGCCTACTTAAGGTTATCGACGAAGATCGATTGGTTTCTGACAGATTGCCGACACGAAGGAAAACCCTGCAGCCAGAAAATCCCCGAAAATCTAATCCAAATTCAACCAATCCTGAGAAGGGCACGGGGGCACGGGCACGGGCACGGGCACGGTGAGCGTGGGTGTTTGGCGGACGTCATGGTAGACGCGCGCATACCATGGCGGGGCAGCTCTCTCGAAGAAGGGAAATTGAATGGGCGTGTCGTGAGGGCTATCGTGAGGGTATCGTGAAGATCTCGCGATGTCAGATTTCGATGTTAAGGAAGAAAATTTTGTTTCTGGCAGGGACGAGGATAGCCCAAGTCAACATCGGACCGAACGTTTTTCCGCTCCGATGTCCCGTGACCGTCAAAAACATTGTCCCTGCATTCTTTGTGTCCTCTATTCCCTATTATTCATTATTCGATTAAAAGTCCATGTCTTTCTAGTTTAAAATCCATGCAAAAGGTGCTCAAACTTAATCTAGGGTCAGAGCGAAGCTTAGTGACACGTGACTCGCCTCCTTTATGGCAATAACAAAAAGACCATTTCCACTTTAAAACAAAGAATCATGAATTCGAGACGGTTAGAGACGAACCAACTCAATACCGCAATTCGAACCCCGACATAATCCTGCAGCAACCGATCCACCTTTCGGCAGTCCAAGTCGCGCTTGGCCTACGTTTGATGTTTCTTGTGAGCTCTACCATTGAGCTACGCCCCCTCGAATGTTGACGAAAACTCCCTATTTCAATCTAAGCAGTGAAAAAGAGAGCTTCGTTAAAGCGAATCTTGCTGGAAATAAGGGTTCAAGGGGCGAGGCCTTCGGAATGGAAATCTTTTTGCATCAGAGCATTTATTTAAGCCCATATCATGGGCCTAAAGCTTAGTGTCGTGATTTGGAGTCATATGTCTGATATGCGCTATCTCTCCCCGGATGTGGTTTTGTTGTCTTTTGGTCTTGTGGCTATCATTTGCAATTAGATAGGGTACTTGTGCCAACGTGGCTCTAATCATGCCACGTTGAAGACGAAGATAACGAAAGACCTGCTGGAAAAGCTGGAATTGAAAGTGCTCCGCGGGTTTTGACGAAGACCATTCTTCGAATCTTGTTGAGTTTGAGATGGATATCGACATGTTCAGAGATCTTTCTAATGATCTGAAAACGACGACGGACCGGAGTAACTCGGGCACTGGCCACAACACATGAGAGCCTCAAGAGATCATATCACATCAGAAGCACTCAAGCTGTTTGGATCGCAGCACGAAGCAGTGTATGAAAAACGCAAATATCTTGGATTTATTGACTCTCCTGCAACAAATGTTCTGCCTCAAACTCCGCGCTGAAAATATGCAGTTTTACCGTTCCCACCGAATCTCCAGCCCCAGTCAGCAGGTTTATAGAAGAACTAGTAGAAATAACGATCGTTATGCAGATGCAAAAGAATTTCTGGAAAGGAGACCGATCAGGATCTCTTCTTTCCCTGCTTCGCGGTCATCTTCCTGAATGCTTCCATACCACCGGCGCCGATCGGTCTCGAAGCAGGGTCCAAGCCTTTGCTAGCATCGAAATTGCTTCGTGGTGCAATGGTGTAACTGGTGTTGGCAGTTTCCATCCGAGCTCTATTGCTTCTGATGGGTTGGGCAAGAATACGTTCTCGTTCGATGTCACGCTGGGAGAGGCCTGCTCGTTGTGATGACGGCATCTGGGATGATGAGATTCCGGAAGGACGAAGTGCAAGTTGAGCGGCCCTGTAGATTTGTTAGTGATGTCCAAGGTAGTGAAGAAAGAGAGAGCGCATACTGGTGATCAAACTCTTTCGTAATGACCTTCCGCTTCTTGTAATCATCGCTTCGCTTCAAGATTGGTCGTGACCATTCGCCCAACAACCGCTCAGCGGTTCTCTTGATGCCAATTTCGGGCTTCTTGCTTTTCGTGTAGTACAGGACAACCTTGCCGATTCCGCTACTCAACAAGGCTTCTTTTTCGATGGGTAATCTTGTCAGGGCAGAGAATAGGTCTCGTTGAATATTGTATGCTGGCAAACTGCCATCATTCAGCGGCTCCAGGAAGAACTTGACTGATTGGAGGAAGTTCGTGTCGGGATCGACGATGGAATGTTGCACGGTGTTTCGATTAAGGAGGGCAACGACTTCGGGAAGCATCTTGAGCTTATGAATGGCGGGCTGACCCTTCTCACGGGCTGAGTTGTCTGCTTCGCAAGCTTGCTCCATCCGAATCTTCAGGGCTGCGATTTCATCATCGAAAGCTTCTTCTAGATCCTAGAGGAGGATTAGCGTTAATCCCAAGACACGGATAAATTGTACACACCACTTCATCCTTCTTGCGTCTCCTCTTGTTGGGATTCTTCAACGCAGCATCCATCGCCTTATCCAACGCCCGACGTCTCCTCTCTTCCGGTGTCAAATTCTCCTCATTCTCGGGTGTAGCAGGTCTCCGCTCCTTGGCCTTATCCCTATCCTTCCTCTCCCCATCAATTCGTTTTGGTTTCTTCACTCTCTTCCCATCCACCAACTCTCCATCAGGATCCTCGTCGTCATCACGGCGGGATTTCTTCTTCTTGTCACGCTTGGCCTCCTTTGGCTTCCTGCCATCGCCATCTTTGTCTGCGCGCTTCCGCTTTCCTGCCTTCAAGGTCCGAGCAATATCCTCATCGATTCCGACCAAGGGCCTATCCTCCAAGGCAACCGTTGTAGGATCGAATTCAGCGAACTCAGCTTCGTCGACTTCAGACAGTTCGGATTCGTTGTCAGAGAGGTCATCATCGTTGTCGTTCTCAGCGTTGTCCATATCAAGATCAGGATTAACTGCGGGTGGAGGAGGGGTATCTCGATCTTCGGACATTGGTCTGTTTGGGTCTCCCAAATCGTCGCCAGCTTCTGGAAGAGGCGTGGTAGGCTGTGAGTCTGCGTCGGAGTCCGACATTGTCGTAGAAGCGGAGGAGTGAACACGGAAGGGGTTGTAGTTAGCGAGAGGAGGTTCGTGGCGCAAAGATAATCACAGAACCTCAAAGTTGCGTCTGGGTTCGAGGACGTGGTGAATACCAAGATGTCGATTGAGGAGGAAAAGGATGATTGTTCTGCCTGCTTGATATGCTTTTTGATGTTGCCGTTCACTTTGACTTTCGAGCCAAGGCTCACTAGCGCTGAACCTTAAATCCGAGGCCTGATTGTTTATTTACTTGGAAGCAGCACGACGTCTTGCCACAACATCTTCCTTCCTTCTTATCGATACAGCCTTTTCGCCATGTTCAACAACATTCAATCCAGACGCTCGCATGAAAGTCCCATGGACTGGGAATGGCAGACTCAAGGCCCGACCGATCCCAAGTCTCCCTTTCCCCAATTCAAGCCACAGCATGGCAAGAAGCGTATGTTTTAAGATCCATGGGAGAATTCCTAAAGGTGACAAGCTAACATTCAATGCAGAGGGATTCGAATCCAACCAGACTTCTAGTTCTTTCATAGCCGCATCGTCCGCGCCAGCACCACAATTCCGCAATCCATCCTTCACAACACCACGGAAACCCTTTGACCAAGAGCTTTTCTCCGAAGTGTCTGGTGCCGAATCATCCCCAGCAGACAACGCAGACGCAGAGGATACACCAGATCCTCCGAAGACTGGCCAAACAATGACTGCATTTACGAACGGGGGCACAGTGAGACAGCCTATCTTCGGAAGGTATGGGTCGAGCTTTCTAGGAAGCAGCCCTGGCCGGGCAGAGCAGCGGCGGGGGAAATACGCAAATGCGATAATAAACAAAGTTAGGAAAAGAAAGAGAATAGATCGGGATTATGCCTTGGTCAGGGGCCACCGGGAAGGCTCCGACTCCGAGTCAGATGGCGACGAATCTCGCCCTCGAAGTGGAGGACAGCAGTCAAAGCAAGAGTCCAAGGAAGGCTGGTTTGCGTCTACCTTCAACTACATCGAATCGCACCCAAACCTGCCGAACGTCCTCTCGATCTACGCACAAATGGCGATCAATTTCTTCATCGCAGGGCTCACGGTGTTCGGTATCTACACATTCTGGATGACTGTGCGGGCTGATGTCGACAAGGCTTCGGATGACGAGCGTGCACTCGTCCTTGCTGAGACTGTAAGATGTGCCAGAGACTATGTGGATAACAGGTGCGGGAGCAATCAAAGGTTACCGGCACTCCAGATACCCTGCGAAAGTTGGGAACATTGCATGAACCGGGATCCGAATAGCATTGGTCGAGCAAGAGTGAGCGCACACACTTTCGCCCATATTTTCAACAGCTTCATCGAGCCGATCAGCTACAAGGCTATGGTATGTCTACCCTTCCCCCTATGGCTCCTTCCAAGGTTGGCTCGGAAATCCAGCTCACACACAGTGACAGATCTTCGTTGTGTTGATTGTAACGGTCTGCATCCTGGTCAACAACCTCGCCTTCGGCATGTTCAGATCGAAAGTGTCACACATACCTCCTGCGCAACCTTTCTTTCCTCCCAATCAGCACCAACAAAACTTTCAATGGGGTGCGCCGCCCCAAACACCTCAGCATACAATGGGATATGATGTATATGGGGGCCAAACATATCAAACAATTATGCCGAGCCAGACGCCTGGGCAGAGGAGTCCGAGCAAGGGGAATAGAAGTCCCAGTAAAGAGGAGCGGAGTCCGAGCAAAGGGCATAGGAGTCCAAGTAAAGAAGACAGGTTTTGATGGAATGGGATTCTGGCGTTTCCAAAATTGTAATATTGGAATAGGCGCATGGGACGGAATATCTGGATTGGGAGGAAACTGTACCAATAATACGTCACGAACTCAGTGGTAACGAATACGAAAGGTTACTTGTGGACCAGTTCAGTGACTGGGAATTTTTGAATGTCATGTTTACTTCTTGAATTTTGGATTCTCTCGAGGCAGCATCACGGAGATGGCATGTGCGTTCGATAGTTTGAAGCAGCACCTCCGTCGGCACCCGGCATGTAAGATCGAGCTTTCTTCGCGACAGCATCAAATGTAATCTATCAAGTTGTCGAATCCTTTTGCTTCGCGGAGCAAGGCCCCTCCAATGTTCTCCCACTGGTCAGATGTCCAGTCCTCCAAATCATCATCCTGCTTTGATAGCTGCTTGTCCGACTGGTGGCTTTTGTACTGTGGTAGCCACGCTTTATCGAGTTTTGAAGTCCTTTCCACGACCACGACCTAGCGCTGTTAGGATTCCGAATCTCCTACTATCAATCTCAGACATAGCCCAGCCAAAGGAGAATTCACCTCCGTCTCCGCCTAGAAATTAGAACTGAAATTGTTGGCCACCGTGTCCTCCAGGAGGACCGAATGATGAACTTTAGAAAGGATTCTGTCGTTGTTCGCGATCGTTGGGGTCACCTCCCTGGCCAGAGCTTGCCTTCATTTCTGGATCCCTGCTAGAATCTGAATCGACTCGTCCCAGTCCGATATTTAGAATTGTCTTCGATACACGATCCGTTAAGTGGGCGATCTTCTTCCCAGTTCCATTCGTCAGAATCTGTCTCTCTTTCAACACACGGTTCGATAGGTGGGAGATCTTCAACTCCGTGCTGGCGAGCATGTTAAGCATTGACGAACATTGTTCTCGTCTCTCTGCCTCGTATAACACAGTCCCTACACTGTCACTCCGTGCATTTATATCTGCCCCCGCTTCCAAAAGTATTCTTGTTACGCCTTTGTGGCTATTGTATGACCCCGCATGCACTGCTGTATGAAAATAACCAGCTTTTGCCTCGACGTCTGCACCAGACGAAAGGCCGAACCGAACAATCTTTTTATGCCCAAATGCGGGCTACTTGTCGCTCGCCAAGGCCTTGTGCAGCATCTAGCCTCTTCTGGTAAGGCGCTTGGAGGTGTCCCTGTTTAGCGAGAGGGACTGAAACTTTCACAGTGAGTTTGGGGGAAGTCGACTTTTGTTAGCGACTGTACCATACAATTTCTTGATTCTCGCTGCTACCCCGCCTCTGTCACCTCAGACATTGCGCCTTTGCTCTTCATAATTTCTGCAGAGACTCGCTATACAAAGGGAGCCAGAAAGGGATCCCCAAAAAGAAATAGATATCCTTAAACAGCCCCAGGGTCTAAAAATGGCCCCGTAGAGCGACGTTTCATAAATCCAGGCTATATAGTCGGTTCAATCAAAGTAAATGTAAACCTAAAGGACTCTCTGCTGATGCAAACATACGATGTGGACCATTTCCATATCTCAAGCTGCTTTTGGATGTCCGGCGGCAGATCTTCCTATGGATCTGTATGTCTTATTTTGTAGAGGTTCTGCTCTCATCATAGACCTCGAGAGGGTCAGGGATAGGTAAGTACCTGTTTGGTACAAGCCGACCCTGAATGAATTCGTGCTAGCCAAACGATAACCATAATTTTGGTTTATTGATTGTGAGTATTTTTAGCTCGTTGCCGCTCGGGAAAACGCCATAGATGCAGATAAGTATTGTGGCTGCTGCCAAGGGCGCGTGTAGGACATGCTATACCGTAATACCAACCTTCAAAAGTGAATGGGTATTCCTAATGCTCTTTATTTCATGTCATTTTGACATTAGTCCTTTAGTTATATCTAGGGAGTTTGGGAAATTTCCTCAGTTTAAAACACGAAGACGACTTTCTAACGCCTCTCACGACTTACGAACTCACGAGCGCAACCGAGCTAGAACTAGATCTTTACGACGGATTGATAAAAATCACGACACAAACAATGAAGTTCTCTGCCTCTCATCCTTGGTTCCTTCTATTCAATCTGGGTAGGTGGAGGCACTCATTATTATTCTCGATTATCAGATACTGACACTAGCTGACCTCTTTGCTAGGTGCAATAGGCTTAACCATCTGCGTATTATCAGGGTGTCGAACTTCATCCGAATCGAAATATTATTTGTACCGAGCAGATGGCCCTAACTTAACGCATGCTATGGATAGCAACTGCACATCATGCAATTTTAGTACTGTGCCGGACATCTACATGTTTGGGCTTTCTGGTTAGTACCGTTTCGCCTGTATCCTCACACTTACCACCACCACACTTCTGCTCCAGTTCGTCAGGACAACTGTTAACGTGCAACCAGGCGTTTGTCGGTCGACGAATAAAACCATAAACTGTCAGCGCAACTTCCTACATTCATTCAACATCTCCGCAGCTACCTTTGCCGATATCGCGCCTTCCAACACGTCTGAATTCACCAGCGCAGCGTCCATCAACCACTCTCTTGTTCGCCGCCTCTCAGACGCTGTCGGCGCCATCCTGATTCTTTCTGTTATCCTCAGCTTTTCTTTCATCCCTCTCAGCCTCTCCCTCGAGTCAGGTTTCAGTAAAATCCTACTCATTTTTCTCGCCTTCGATGCCTGTGCGCTCTTCTCTGCCTTGTGCATGATTTACTCCATCTTTAGGAACGAAATCGCGGGCGCCTATGCTGCTACACCAAACGTGGATCCAATAAACTGGCCCGTGAGTTTCGGCCTTGGAGTTTGGTTGCTGGCAGGGGCTTTTGGGTGTCGGCTGTTGTCGAATCCCATTTTGTTTATCGGTTTTGTGGCGCTTTTGCTCGCAGTTGTTCTGATACCGATTGCGATATTGTTGGCGTGCTGCTGTGGAGGAGCTGAATATGAGGTTATCGTTGTGCCTCTTTCCGATTTTGTTGTATGATCGATGGGAAGGAAGATGACGCCGTTTGTTTCTCGGTCTTTGGCTGTTAAGGTGGGGGAACCTCCTAAAGTGGGGGTGGTACTAGGTGATCTGAGATATTTTCGGCTAAATATTGGGGATATAGCGTTCAGTGAGGTATCACAGAGCAAATTTAATCATCATATAAAGCGTCAGCATAATAGGGATAAGGCCATTCACGCTTATAAAAAGCAGAAAGTTCCCATCGCTCTAAGTTGTCGAGCTGAAACGACTTTGGATGCCGAGCGACTATTAAACCCAAATATCAAACAACCATTATGAGATTCTGAGAAACGCAACACTCTTTTAAAAAACCCGCGATAGCAAATATTCCACCAGATATTTAAGAGAGATTTAACAAGAAATCCATCATATTATGGATCAAAGGCATGCAAAATATGATATATTACAAAATTTGACCTCCACCCACCCTCTCGCGCATTTCTTTCCACTGTAGCATTCAAAAGTTGCGAAACAGGGCCTTAAGCGACCTACACAGGTTTCCTGAAATGGAAGCCCCAGAGACCTGCGCTGGCGGGCTCGCTTAAATTGCCACTCATATTTACGGAAGTAAAGTGACCGTCTACTGAGTACAAGACATAAGCATATCTCATTGGTTACATAGGCGTGGTGGATAGGCGTTTACGATTTTAGGTGGGTGAGCACGTCACGTGCCGATTCATAAGTTAAAAGTTCGAGTCGAAACCACTTTGACGAGTGATCCTTACGGCTTTCCGTAGTGTGCAAGCTCGTTACAAGTTGCTGTAACCTTAGCGGCTGACCAAGCTCCTGGAAGCGTGCACCAGGTGTATGAGATAATTAATCAATCAATCAATCAATTTCCATCTATGAGCCCATGTACCGCAACAACTGCTGAGAACCTTCTGATCCTTAACCTATTTCCTACACCTTTTCACTCTGAACTTCCTTCCGCCGCATCCCAGTTTGGAAGCATCCTCCTCGTACCCAACCCACATGGCATCTCCCACCGCCGCAGTTGAGCCAATGCTGGCAAGCTCAATGAGAGTGTTACGAAACATCACACCTCTTCAAGACTTCGTTGCCGCCTGGCCATTGCTCAAGCAGAAAAGTCTCGCCTCACCACCTACGTTGACAGAATTTGAGCGTCGTCTATTCCTTGATCTCCCAACCGAGGACCTAGAAACATCCAACATTCGTGCAGCAACCATTCTCTCACGCGAACAGCTCATCGAGAAAGCGAAATCAAGCCGTGAAAATCTTACCCAGGAAGAACTCAAGATCTTGTCAGATCGGTTCTGGACACCGAGAACGATCACGGAAACCCATATCTTGATGGATGCTTTTAGGAAGTCAGGCCCAGAAGGTCAACAAGAATTTCTTGACGGGTGGGAAGGGGAAGCATCTTATGAGGTTACTTTCAAGATTGGGAGTATGGAAGGTGCGAAGCGTAACATTGAGGCAAGAAGTCAGACGCTGCGCGCTGCAGCAAATCTAGTCTTGCCGGATGCCAAAGAATGGATTCAACATCTGTATCAACAAGAGAAGAAGAGTTGGGGATTTATATGCCTTTACGATGCCGCTGTTCAGAAATTTAACCCACAACGACTTGATCATTTCGAGTGTACCAAGGATGGGTTCTTCCGCCACGCACTCATGTACAACGGGTCAAAAGACATCATTGACACAAAGTGGGGTTGGTTTCCTTACAATGCGCCGAATAATATCCTTGCACCAATAACAAACCTCGAAAGCGACAATGACTACCCAAATGGTGTTATACTTCGCAAAGCCTTTCAGGAAATCTTGAGAGACCCGCAGGAATACCAAAAAAGGGACGATGTCACTCCCACAATAACATATACAGGGCATTTCAAGGACGGAATTGCTAAAGCAGGATTTCTCACGAACACTTTTCTTCTTATTGACCCCATTTGCATTGAGTCTATTGTCGAAGACGGATTGCAACCTGCATCAGTAGGCTGGGACAATATGCGTGTCCTTGCATTTGAAGCAGACTTTCCGGTGCCGGGTCGCGAATACGAAGAAGGATATCAGGGTTTCACATGGGTCCGGCTGGACCAATTGATATATAACTTCTACGAACTGAGATTACTAAAATCTGACGAGGTCAGGATGGATAAGATCTAGAAAGCGGCACAGAAGAGTCAGCATCAGGTATTTGTTAGTATGGATCTAGAAGAGGCAGGAAGCCATACAAATTCTAGTGGTTTGCGGGGATTTACTTGTGATAGCGTTATTGGAAGAAAGTGGTATGCTGTGAGAGATGCTAAAGAAGCAGCCAGAAGAGTGGGAGAACTTGGAATTTGAATTGGGATGTAAAATTATCTTTTTGAGTAGATAGTCCTACTAGCCTTGAATATTTGGAACCAAAGAGTGACAAAGACGTTGAATTTCCTAGGCTTTGACTCTTCCAGCTAAGTACAGGCATCCATGTCAGTAGCTCCCCCCTTCTCGCGACAAATTACAATGAAAAATAGTATTCCAAAATGGGAATGGCAAGAGTAGCGATGTCCCATATATTACGCAAGAAGTTCCGAAATGGAAGTCGTCCATCAAAATATAGAAAGACGTCTTAAGACGTCAAATTCTATGTACAGTACTAGCCAAGAATATTAAAATGAAATTCTCTCCTTCGTCCTCGATACTAATTAAATGGGGTTGTGTTAATAAACAGCCCGACAACCTGGTTAGTAAGAGAAGGAGAGAGAGGGGGGGGGGGGGGGGGGGGGGGGGGGGGGGGGGGGGGGGGGGGGGGGGGGGGGCGTTTTAGTCTTTCCCAGTTTGGGCGGCGGTTGGCGGGTGAACCCTTCTAGCGAGAACACCGAAACCGTGTCTGGAGCAAAATCGCGATTTCACAAACCCAAAAACCCAAAAACTAATCTTTGGAACACGTCGTGTCGCACCTCGACCATGTCTCCGTCCTGTTGTAATGGCAAACAGGGCCGCCTCTCTGAGACAAGCGTGGCAACCGCGTTGGCGCCCGTCGAAGAGTGTTCTTCAGTATCCAAGCCGGGAGATGGAGAGACTTGCTGCGATGGGGATCAAGTCGAGCCCGCAGTCGAAGCTGAAGCTCAGAAACCCGTGAAGAATGAAAAGACGGCCAGTCCTTGCACTGAGTGCAACAACGCTCCGAGCCCGGGACAGCCTTGCTGTGACGGTAAGTTGGCCTATACCAACAACCAATTCTAGTGTAACAATAGTAATACTACAGTATACTCAAAGAATCCTGTGTGGTTCGCATCGCTGTTCGCGAGTGCGAGAACTCGTGTGGCTCTGACAACGACTGTGCTACCATTTCGAGTGGGTGCAAGGATTCTCGTAAGTTTCAATCCCTACTCTCCTGTCCACTTCACCAATACAACATAGAGAAGGGTGACGATTGCTGTACGAAAACTCCCAAATCTGCGAAATCCGAGAAACGACCATGCCAGCGTCACTTGCAGTCAGCCATGAGCCGCTTCCAACCGACTCTTGAGGCACTTGGATGCATTTGCCGTGCGCTTTTTGCCTTGAACCTCGAATCATGCTGTGCGAAAGGACAAAATGCTCAATGCGGGACCCGTCGATCTGGTGCCAGGACCTACAGCTCTCTTTCATTTCCAATGTCATTGAGAAGCGCAAAGGGCGATAGCTGCTGCTCTGTATCCCCTCTTGATCCTTGCAAGAAGCCAGCTGAGCCAGGGTCATCGGCAACCTCGTGTGCCAAGATATGCTGCAACGAGAGGGCGAAGCCGGCGTTAATTGGGGCAACATCGGGTGATTGCTGCTCTGGCGGTTCATGCTCGAAGGAGAAAGAGATTTTGGGGATAACAGCTTCCGAGGTCAACCTCGACCTGGAAAAGGGAGCCTTGGGTGCTGAGCATGTTGTTCTTAGTATTCAAGGAATGACCTGCACTGGTTGCGAGACGAAGCTCGAACGAACTCTCGCCAATATACGTGGTGTCTCGAAAATTAAAACCAGCCTAGTTTTGTCGCGTGCTGAATTTGATCTCAATACGACTCAAACCTCCATCGACGGAGCGGTGGCACGACTCCAGAGAGCAACAGGCTTCGAATGCCAGAAGCTTTCCAAGGATGGCCACGAACTGGAGGTTCTCTCGCCTGGCGTTCAGGAGATCTTACTTCAACAACTGCCACCAGGTGTATTGAGCATCGATCCTACTACTAATGCGACTTTCAAGATCACTTACGAACCTCAAATCATTGGAGCTCGAGACATTGTTAAATCAGCTTTTGATCAGCAGCTAAAGCTAGCGCCTCATCGTCTAGATCCATCGATCTCGGCAGGCAATAAGCATGTGTGGCAAGGGGGGTTGGCAACTCTCATATCCGCATGCCTCACCGTGCCTGTCTTGGTTCTAGCTTGGGCCCCCCTCCCAGAACGAGAGATCGCCTATGGCTCTACATCACTAGCATTGGCAACTATTATACAGATATTCATTGCAGGCCCTTTCTACCCTGCCGCCTTGAAGAGTTTGATATTTGCACGGGTCATTGAGATGGATCTTCTCATCGTCTTGAGTACTAGCGTCGCCTATATTTTCTCAGTCGTCGCTTTCGCCATGCTAATTACAGGCAAGCCGCTGTCAACAGGCGAATTCTTTGAAACGAGCACTTTACTGGTCACCCTGATCATGTTAGGCAGATTCATCACCGCCCTGGCACGACAGAAGGCCATAGAGTCCATTGCTATCCGCTCATTGCAGCAATCTACAGCCATGCTAGTCGAGAGCGATGGCACAAGTACCCGGGACATTGATGTACGACTTCTTCAGTATGGTGACATCTTCCGCGTTATGCCTGAAGCAAAAGTTGTAACTGATGGCACCGTCATCTCGGGAAGCTCAGAAATCAACGAGTCAATGATTACAGGAGAGTCGAGCCCGGTGGCGAAGAGTAAGGGCTCGCCTGTTGTTGCTGGCTCCGTCAACGGTTCAGGTACCTTGGATATTCGATTGACTCGGCTTTGCGCCGACAATACTATCAGTACTATTGCCAATATGGTTGACGAGGCAAAACTATCCAAGCCGAAGACACAAGCGTTGGCCGACCGTATTACTGGATATTTCGTACCAGTTGTTGCAGCCATCGCCATCGTCACGTTTGTCATCTGGATTGCTGTCGGTATCGCCATCCAAAAAAGAAGCAGCTCAGATGCCACTGTCCAGGCGGTGACTTATTCTATTGCCGTTTTGATCATCTCATGCCCATGCGCAATTGGTTTGGCTGTGCCTATGGTTATAGTAATTGCTGGAGGCGTTGCTGCAGAAAAGGGAGTCATCTTCAAGACAGCAGATACCATCGAGGCCGCTAAGAATGTTACCCATGTTGTTTTCGACAAGACGGGCACGCTAACTACTGGACGTTTGAATGTGGAAGAAAGCAATTATATTGACGGTCTAACGACAGATGTTAAGCCAATCTTGCTTGGGTTGGTATATGGAATCAAGCATCCCGTATCTCAGGCGATCACTGAGCACTTACAATCCCTTGACGTGTCCCCGGCTACCGTTCTCGATATCAAGTCTCTCCCAGGGAAGGGCGTTCTCGGTAACTGGAATGGCACCGAGATTCGCGCCGGGAATGCATCGTGGACTCAAGCTACTCCCTCATCGAAGGTACAGCAGTTTCTCACTTTTGGTTCAACAGTCCTTTGCTTCACGGTCAACGACACTCTTCGAGCTATCTATGCGCTTCAAGACACTCTTCGCCCTGAAGCCGCGTACGTCGTCTCAACTCTTCAAGCTAAAGGAATTTCCGTTAGCATTGTCAGCGGTGATGAAACAGGCGCTGTTCAGAAAACTGCTGAAAACCTGGGGATCCCGTCGTTGAATGCTCTGTCCCGTTGTTCACCAGCAGACAAGCAGGCTTACATCCAGACACTAAAGACCTCCTCTGCAAACTCCACCGTCTTCTTCCTCGGCGACGGCACCAACGACGCAATTGCTCTCGCTTCCGCTGACATTGGTATTCACATGAGGGAAGGCACAGATGTCGCTCGCAGTGCCGCAGACGTTGTCTTGATGCGTGCAGACCTTCGCGGCGTGCTTGTGCTCATGGAGCTATCTCGCAAGGCACTGCGCCGCATTGTGTTCAACTTCGCCTGGTCATTCGTTTACAACCTGTTCGCCATCTTGCTGGCCGCTGGGGCATTCGTCAACTTCCGCGTCCCGCCCGCCTTTGCAGGAGTGGGTGAGATCGTGAGTGTCCTGCCGGTTATCGCTGTTGCGGTCGGTTTGCGATGGGCCAAATTTTCTGCTTAGAGTAGCTCTCGATGGATCTCGCTTGGGAGCAGCGAATGTCGACTTCCATTACTTGTGCTTACCCAAGAGGAATCAAGATTAAGCTCAATAGAATTCAAGGACTAAGGATACGCAGCAAAATAAGGAATACATATTTGGGCTAAGTTACTATGGAGATCGCTCAGGACTCCGAAGTAGGGTCCGCGGGTTTAATAGCACGGCTCCCAGAGAGGAGAGATTTTTGCATTTCGGTGAGATTGTTGACATGCCCTTGAATTGAATCTTCGAACTCTGCAGATGTCATCCAGCCTGACCCATGGATAATGACAAGCATTTCTTCCATTTCGGAAATATCAGCCAAGGCTTTCAAGTGAGCGGGAGAGCCTTAATTTTGTCTCGAGGCACGTGATCAATTGCGCATGGCCATTGTCCTCAGGATTTGAAACTGAAGAGAATTCTTCGCGATAGTTTGAGTCCATCACCAGATTATTGAGTTCGACGAAAGAATGGCAAACCTTAGTCGGTAGAGTCCATATTTGTGTTCCCATGTAAATTCATTCTCTCATGCCTCGCACTATTCTGCTAATGTTGATGATAGTTATGTTGTATATGGCCATAAGCCAACCCTACCGGTTTGATTGTAAGACGGGGAAGAACCTGTCGGAGATTCATTAGGCGTTAAAGACTATAAATGCGTTGAACATTTCCAGTGTGAGGAGTGAAAAAAGTGACCCAGGATTCTTCATATACTTCGCATGAGTAAGTTTCGATTCGCCCAGCGCTATTAAGGATAAAAGAGCTCAACAGCACGTGGCTATTTATTCCTTGAACCCTCTTTGCGTTGGACAAGGGAGAGAGGGGGAAGCCACACTTACTTTTCAGTGGCCCAAAGTCAAAGTGTATAGAGTCCCCTTTTGCCCCAACAAAATACTTGTCAAACTATCCAACGAAAGAACCTATGTACTGAAACAATAGACGCCGGTGTAGCACCGAGGCTAGCCCTTGGGGGGAGGGAACGGTGTAAACAATACGCCATACGTGAATGTCCTCACTTTACTTCCGTTTGCCTCTAAATATCATTGAGATGAACCGCTTCCGCCGACTGCTACCCGACTTTTGTTGCTCACTGTCAGTGGTCCGAGTTAAGAGATCTCCAAGCGCTCTTGCATCAAAGTCTGTTATCAACATTCTGACGACCTCGGATGCCTTATGGTCTCCGCCCATCAAGTCCCCGAGGAAACAATTCGCGTTGAGATCTGCGCCATGGCTCAACATATCTTTGATGATAGGCAAGGTATCTTCGAGGCTTCTCCCCGTCTGCAGACTCTCATATTCTGCCTCTAGAAAAGCAATCCATGGCGTCTTGTCACTTGAGGGATTATGTAAGCCGCAATTAGGACCATGGTAACCACAACCCTTTTCAAGAAGTAAGACGACCATTGGCAAGCGAGGAACTGAGACCGGACAGGAGGCAGCTGGGAACAAGGCACAACGTAGCAGCTCGGCTTGTTGAATCACAGGAAGGCTCGGCCGCTCGCCCAGCTTCTTCGAAACGTAACGGTGAAATCCGTTTTGAACAGCTTCTTCCAAGACTAAATAACCTGGGTCTCTACTACTGTTCTGTTTGCTTCTCTCGTGGATCGAAAACAAAGTCCAGACACTTCCGAGATAAGACTTATGCTGCGCAAGGGCAATTACGAGGTCGTCAAGAAGGCGGACCTCTAATGCCAGGGGATACTGGCTATCTTCCAGCACATTTGCATGACCGAAGAAGAGGTTGATAACTCTAGCCATTGCGTTACCAGTTCCGAAATAACTTCTGTCTTGTGGGGCTGTTTTGACCTGGGCAATCAATGATTGACAGATGGCAATATTGGCATCAAAATCTGTGCCAACCCACTTTCCTAGCATTTTCTGCATGTCCGGGTCTCGAAGAAAGTCGCGAACCGTTCGGTGAAGGAAATCCACCTTCAGGTTGAAAAAGTTCTCGGTTCCTCCGCGATGTTCGAAGGATTGGACTTCTAGAAGGCCTTTGCAACAAGCGTTGAGTCTTTTACACATTTGAGCCAGGCGGCCGTCGATAATCGCCTTGCTTACAGGCCCCGCCTTTAAGTTCTCTAGAAATGAGGCCTCTTGATCCATGTACCAGTAACTCATAAGTGACAGAGCGTCGCGTGCTATCAAGGTGACTTGAAACATCTGCGCCGTTTCTTTCCTGTAAAAATTGTCCACAGTAAATAGGATTCGTTCAAAATATTCGTTGAGATCTGTTGGGATAAGCCGGAGTCGTCTTTGCAAGTCCACGATCCTATCGGCATTCGTAAGTCCTTCGAGGAGTGATCGCACAACAAGAACGACCCATAAAAAGACACCTAGGTAACGGGGAAGTCAGTGATGCTCGATCCAGGCTCTCAGGAAACTTGGGACAAGGAAAACAAATTGTCTCAGAAAAGCCAGTACATTGAAATAGGAAAGAGTTTCTCCCCAACACCTACACCTACGTAATTGGGGACTTGGAAATTCCTTGCTATATGATCTTCCCGGGCAGCCAGAACTATTCTACGGGAGAATTATAAAACAATGTGAAAAAGGAGATGATTGCTCCCCAACAACATACCTCTTGCTGCGTCGAGTATATCTTGAACAAGATCGCCGTAGCGATTGTCCCTTTGCTTCAACTCTTGAAATCCTGTGTCCTTCTCGAGAGTGTCGGCGATATACGATCTGATATCGTTTGAGGTTAAGTCCTGCATATATAGTTTCATCGGCTGATCTTGACCGAAGGCTTTCTCGAATTCGTTCCAAGGTCGACTAGATACGCACAACTTGACTTGTAGTGTTGATTTTAGCAACTCAATGAGTCGGATAATATCATTCGGCTTGCCGTCATACTCGTCTACTCCGTCAATAAAGAAGCAGAATCTAGCTTTTGACTCCCCGAGGTGAGTTGAGACGACTTGAAACGCATCAAGGAGCTGTGGCGTCGATAACGATTGTGCCGCTATGGGGAGTCGCGATTTCCCTGAGATAAGGGCTTTCCAAAGGGCAGGAGAAGCATAAGGGATCAAATCTGGTGTTTGACGTAGAATCTGGTACAGTATTGACCGGAGTAAACCTTCTTGTGATTTCTGCAGAGCTTGTCTACCAGCGTTCCAGAAGAAGAACTGTGCAACTATGAGCTGTCGTCCCTTCGCTCAGGTTTCCAGATTAGTTGCAGTGTCTTCATGCTCACAAATGAATTTCATGAGTGTCGATTTTCCACTACGAGGTCAGAGAGTCAGCATTGATCACGCCCAAAAACACAACTTTGGGAACAATCAGGGAAGTGAGTGATTTCTTGCGCTTTATAGTTGTGCAGAGTGAAGAGTACTGTGCCATGAGAAACTCGAATTCTTACCTGCCCGGCTTTCCCGTCACCCAAAACAGAGTATTATCGGACTTCAGCCATTTGCCGAAGTTTTGGGCATTCGGAGGTTGACTAGGTGATGGCCGATTGCGAAATATCCATGAGAATGTCTGCTCGTGCGCTTTTCGAACTCCGATTTGACGGTCATCTATCGTATCGAAGCGGATGAAATCCAGAATCGTTAATTCAGAAGAGTATCCCACTCCCTTTTCAACAGCATCAGAAAGTTGTGCCAACGTCCTGATTTCAGCACCGTCTTTTTGCAGCCCGTCTTCAATTTTCTTGAAAAGCTTTTGAAAGTCTTCTCGTAGACAATCAATCTCCCAAGTTCTCGTGGCCTCTAAACGACGATTGTCCGAAGCGATCTCATAAAGTTTCGAGACGACCTCGGCTTGCTGATCTAGCAAAATACGCGCATTCAATTGATTACTCATTCTATCGAGTCTCCGTTGAAGCGATTCAATGTCGTCCTTCTTCCACTCGGTTCTGAGTGCTTGAACAAAGCTGTCCCAGCTTCTGGTGTGGTCCCCTTTCAACTTGAGACTGTTAAGTACCCCCAGCAGTTCTCTCGATACCGCAACGCACTGGTTCCCCAAATCTACCAGAGTATTGTCCTCATCCGAATTGATCTTGCTGCCTGGGGAATTGCGGGGTTTGGCGCCTTCTGCAAGCTTTTTGATATGCGAAACCAAACTTTCCAGCTCCAAATGCTCCGCGCTTGCCCCAGACTGTGAAGCATACAGCCTCGTAGTAGTAGAGAAGAGCTTGCTTGCAAAATCAACAAATTGGATGATGTTGCTTGCCAGACCGAGGGCAGTGAGAGGATCCATGGTGCAAGGCTAGGCGACGAATATGAACGAACTCTCCAATCACTCGTAGGTGTTGGGTATCCGGATTCCGTACCAGTTCAGCGCTGATGCTATGTCGTCCTTCCGGATGCGTCAGAAACACTCGCGCGTAGACCCAGATCCCCGAGCATTGATGAAGCTATTGGCATCTCCTCCTTTTCGTGATCAGGCTGGGTATAAAATGAGTTTATGAGACACCGCTAGTGTGGGGCTAAACGAGGCTTGGGCATGCGGCCAATGAGACAAAGCTGCAGGGGCTCTCCAATGCAGCTTTACTCTTCCACGTGGATCAAAGGGTGTGGAGTTGGGGGCAAGGCTTCTGAATGAGCGATTGCAAGATACGTTTTGGTAAACATCAGGAATGAATTGAGGCAACGGAGTTGGATGCTTCCCGATACGAGGCACGAGTGTGAGGTGTGAGTCTCTCTCCCGTCCTTAGGGAGGGGCTGAATCGGCGGTTAGGCGAGCCCTCGCAATTCTTGGTAATTCCCCGAGCACAATTCAGGTTAAGTGGCTTAGCATTTGCTCCTCTTTCAAAAGGAAGAATCAGAAGATTAACGAGCTTGTAAACGCAGGATCTTTTGCCTCACTTGGTGTTAGAGACCACCAGAGAGTGTGGAATATGAGTTGCGGAGTCCTGACGGGTTTGGGAATTGGGAATCGGGATGAAGTTGTTGTTATATTACACTTAACTGAAAGGACCTATAATACCATTATTTATGTTTGTGGCCTCCTTATTTACAACTGAGGGTTTTCTCATAACATTCTGAAGATATGAACTAAATACCCAACATATTGGAAGCCTAATTTAGCAGTAACAGTTAAGGATTCGGTTAGTGACAAGAACTCTACTACTAAAAGGTGCTGATCACTTTTTACGTTTCCTGTGTATGTAGTGTTCGTACTGGGACATTAAGTTTCCGACTGAAGTTATCAATGGCCTAATAATACTCGTACTTAGGATCAATAGGAAGTTTGTTTCAACCACGCAGTCTGCCTTGCGCCAGCCTTGATATTACTTACGTAAACAAGGATTGTGGCATTTGATATGCGCCTGCACTTCAGCTAAGAGACAACTGCCTCATCGAGATTTGCACACTTCGCTCTACTATTCTGTTCCCCGTCCTACGTGCAATATTAACAATGCTCAGAGATGTCCTTCGGTTGGTCAGCAGGCGAAGACGGGTTCAGCGACCCACTTCAAAAAGGGACGATCAAGAAGCATGGTACTTCAAACAGTGTCGTTCAAGTCTATCTACTCTTAACGCCGTTGAATCCCTTCAATTCAATAATCCGTTCGATCCAGTCATAGACTCAGGCCAAGGTCCCTGCACATTCAAACGGCTCTTTTGCCCAATCGGTTGCTCCACCCACGTATATGTACCTTTCTTTCTACACGTCCAAGAAACACCTCCCCACCGAATATGCCGACACCATGTAGGAGAAAAAGAGAGTCGTGTCGTTCGAGAAAACGAGTGGCATTCGATTCGTTCTACCTCATGTCTTATCGCCCTTCCCATCCAACAGGAGAGAAGGTGACAAAGTAGTGGTAGAGGGAGAGGACTACCGCTTCTTAACCTCACAAGCCCACCCCTCGATGCCCTCCCCCTTGCTCCCCACCGCCAAGCCCTCAATCTTCAGCCCCCGCATGCCTACGGTATCCTCTAACCATTCCGCGCCAGCCATACCCCCCGCATTCGCCCTCTTCTCGGGAACCAACTCCAGCATCGGGACCAAGAACTCAGCCACCTTCCTCGCCTCATCCTCTTTAAAATGGTATTTCTCCTTCAACACATCGGGCAAAGCCCAGTGTCGTAGCCGGTGTATATTTCGCAGCTCGCCTTTGCGGTTGAAGATTTCTTGGCTCCATTTTCCGGAGAGGCAGAGGGATTTCGGGAACGGGCCCAGGAGCTCGATAATTTGCGCGATGTGGTCGTCGTCTTTGCCGTATTTGGTGCCGGATTGCGGGTCGAAGAGGTAGTCACCGGTTATGAGTTCGAAGACCTGTGAATTACAGATGTTAAGATATGACTTCGGGGGAGAGGTAGGGAGAGGAAAGTACCATAGCAGCCATACTCCAGACATCTGTACTTGCACCCCATTTTGCGCCGAGAATAACCTCTGGGGAGCGGTATTGCCTTGTCTGGATATCGTTTGTGAAATGGTGACCTGTCCAACACGCATTGCCTAAATCTGCTATCTTGACGGAGATCTTTTCGTAGCCGGTTGTTTCATCTTTCTTTTCACTCGAGGAGGACTTGTCTAAAGAGATGCCGGAGACTTCACGGGTGAGGATATCTCTGCTTGCATGTTAGGCTCGTTCCACGGGTAAAGAGAGGATGCGTACGCTGTCCTTTCCCTCTGCTTGTGCTTTTCCTCCTCGTCCTTATCGTTCTTGGGAGAGCCGTCTTTCGAGCCGCCTATAGCACCACTCATTACGACAGACTCTAAAGAAGCGGTTTGGGTGTCTTTGACGGGAGAATCATTACCTTCGTGCATCATTTGGTTTAGACTTGTGTGCGAACCTGGCGTGCTACCAGGAAACCGCATCAAATCAGCATGGTTGAAGCTGGCGTTCAATGGACTGGGTAAAGGCTGGCTGCCCGTGATGAGTGTCCGTCGTCTCCTCCTCCCATTCGGGTTATCTTCCTTGTTGTCCTTCTTCGGCTCCTCTTTAACAAATGTCTTGACAATCTGCTCCACGTCCCCGATCTCTATCAATACGTTCTCAGGCTTCAAATCTGTATGTATAATTCCACACTCTCGGTGCAGGTAGTCTAGACCCAGGAGGACTTGCTTCGTGATCTGCTTGACGAGCGGCATGGGGATGCCTCGATGATTCCACCGCTTGATCAGGCCCAGAAGATTCTCGCCCAGGACCTCAAACACCATGCAAACGTGCGTGCCATTGGGGCCTTTGTGCTCGAAGGAATCCAGAAGGCTGACGACATGTTTTCGGCCAGGGTGATCTGGTTTGGCGGCCACGATCTTGTTGAGCAGCTTGATTTCGTCTATAGCGGTTTCGGTGTAGTGGGCTGCGGACCGCACGACCTTCAAGGCGACGTGCTTCCCCGTCACATTATCTCTGGAAAGCCAGACTGTCGAGAAGTGACCCCAGCCCAGCTTGCGCACCACGGTATATTTCCCATCCTTGAACTGCTCACCAACAGAGACGGGATGATAGCCGCCCTTGCAGTAGTCTTCGGAGTCCTCTTCATCGGCAGTCGTCTCGGCGGCGTCTTCTCGTGACGAGGACGACGAGGGTGTTCGGTCTTTCATATTTGTATTGTTCACTGCGCCGGTGGATCTGTGGCCGTGGTTATTGGTGGTCAGCAGGTTCTTCAGCAGCGAAGACATTGTGCAGGTGGATGTTGTGGTAGAGCAGATCGGCCTGGATCATTTTGAAGGCGGGGATTGGTGAATGACGGACGTGCGCGCACACACGGCGGACGTTGTCGTGGTTGTGATTGTGATTGTTTTGTGTTGCGTTGTGGTCGAGGGGAGGAGGGGGTGAGGTCTGGAAAAAAGGAACTTACCCTGCAGCAGGCTGATTCGACGATGCCATGTTTGAGGCAGCTGAGGCGCCTTCAGCATCCTTCTCTTGCGACTGCGACTGCGCTTTCTCCTGCTGACCCTCAGTTGTGATGATGGGCTTCAGCTCCTTCTTCCGCTTCTTGTTGGCGTTTCCATTGGAAGCGTTTGCGACCTGCTTTGCCTTCTGGATAGCGGCCTGTTTGATGTGCGAGCCGTTCATGATCTGAGTTGGTGGTGGTGCTGGCGGGGCCCGGGCGGAGTCGGCGTCTCCTGCAGCAGGAGCGCGGAAGAGAGGCAGCTGCTGGATGCTGAATGTTGGATGCTGCTTCTTTCTGCTGATGCTGCTGTGTGTTGTGTTGTGCTGTGAATGTAATGACGCGGGCGATCCGGTCGAAGCTGCTTCTCTACACTATGCTGCGCCGGGTAACTTGATGCGCTCAGCACCGCGCAAAGTCCGAGAAACCGTCCTGTCCTCGCCTTGTGTCTGCCGCTGCTGTGCTGCGTGTGCTGCGTGTGCAGCGTTGATCGCCCACGGCGGCGGCGCCTGCTGTGATGCGAGGACTCGTGCTGCGACGCGATCAGATGCTGAAGATGCTGCCGACTCGAGCCAATTCCCAATTTCTCCAGGAGGAGAGGGAGAGATGGAGCGCGACGGAGGCAAAGGGGAGGTCGGCCCCAAAAAACATGCGCTTCGTGCAAGGCCCGGCCGGTCCAAGATTCGCGACGCTCACTCGCCAGGCGTGCCGTCTAGATCTTGGACTGTGGAGGGGTTTAAACTCGTTAAAGAGAACCTGCGCCTCGCATTCAACGAACCCACCTGATATTACTGGCCGCAGATCCGGAGCGCGGGAGATTCAGAAGATCTGTATAAAACCCAAAAGCGTGCACAGGGACGTGTTTGATGGAGTTCACGTCACAAAGATACCGCGTCAAGATGGACAGAGAGGGGTTGGGCGGCAAAACAGAGCACATGGGAGCTCACAAATAGAAGAGAGCGAGAAAGCGCCTACGATGAGCTGTCTAGCCAATGACGTAGAAGAAGCCCCTCCTTGGTCGCAGCATTAGTAAGTCAGACCACCAGCCATCAACAAAAAAGACGCAATCCCCGGGACAGGAGCTTCAAAATGTCTCGCGGCCATTCAGCGCAACGAGGCGGTACAAGGAGTGGGGGAGGGTGAGGGGCGAGGAGCAAGGCTTGGGATCCATTGCCATCACGAGAAAGGAGGTTGTTCAGCTGGCATTGCATGCAGATCTACCCCCTGTCGGTTGCCCGAATTACCTGGCGTCTTTTCCCCTGGTGAGGCGTGAGAAGATGTGGTCAGCATTGCTTCGGGGATACCTCTTTGCATGTTCCGCACTCGACCTTCTCTCATAGGTGCGAAACCGACCTTTGATATCGAGTCATGAAGATATCCTTTTGCAGGGCTGGATCGAATTGTGATCGATGCCAGGGGAGCAAGCGGGGTTTCCCTGCCAATGCTGACTCATTTCCCGTGATCGAAATACCCCTTTTCTTGGCTTCTACCCCACCTCAACCATCGCCAACTTTAATCATATTAACGTCCTAGCAGGAGCTACTCCATTCACCATCACTCCTACTATATATCACTTATTTTGATGCACATCTTATGACCGCGAAGCATTCTACGAATACAAAACGACGACTTGTGACGAGACCCCAACCCTCCACACTCACGTCAAACACCTCCCTATCTACACTCATCACAACGGTTTCCGAAAACATCTTTTCCTACTCTCCACCCATTATTCCATGAGTATAAGTCTTCGTTCTTGCCCTAAGCAAGAACAGTTTGAGGCACCGGAAGAGAGGATGCAAGGTTTTTTAAGGCTAATACCGGAAGATTTGGCTAATATCACAGATTTACTTTAATTTTACAGGGTAAAGATATTAGGACAAAGATCGTATGATTCATATCTAGCGACGGCTCAGGGCCATGCAGAGCGTTGAAAATAGCTTTTTTTGACGGAGCTTCACAGGCCAGTTCGTCTTGTTCGTCAACACCTTCCCAAAAGGAACGGTAGTGCTCACGCAACCGTTCATCCTTGAAACGCGCATGCTCTTAAAATTGCTCTTAAAATTGTGGCTTGTAGAACGCAACCAGGTCGTGGAGTCCAATATCAGCGAGGACCTTCTCAGCCGAGTATCTCAGGCCGTCGACATACCTTTGCAGAAGTTCCACAAGAGCAGAGGGCTTTCTTTTATCAAGGAAATCGGCAATTCCTGCGTAGACTCGGATCCAAGCTTCGACGCAGTCGTAAATTAGCGCAGCCTCGTGCTCCTCGAACATCACGCCGGGTGCTCCGCGGTGCCACGATGCCCTGGTTCATCAGGACAGGAATTCGTACTTGTGGCTGCCCCAGATAGAAGGATAGTTTACCGGTTCGACGACTTCGTCGCCGGGGTCGCAGAGGGTCAGTAAAACAATGCTCTCCCAGATGCAATTCAACATTAGACTTGTATCAAAAGCAACTGCTTCTGATATACGAGGACAAGGGGACTTAACGCAGACGAAGGGCAGACGAAGAAGCTCTCGAGGACGATCCGTTGTGCTCATGGGCTCAAAAGAATAAAAATAGCTCTTGATCTGACAACACGGCGGAGAGAGGAAACAAAGAGGCTGAGACAGTCCCCCAGAGCGGACGCTCTACCAATAGAATGATGAGTGGAGTCGAATTAATGAATCGACTCTACCAACCGACCAGACTCGAGCCTTGCTGCTATTTAATCACTACCCGATAATTGCACTATAGAAATAGGGGGGGTTGAAAACCACTTTTGCTGGAATGGTTCGAATCGTCAATTACAGCGAATCGACAGGTTGACTTTCTCCAGATTCCCACTTTAAGCATTGCACTCTACATCCAAAACTTTGTAAATGGCCAGCAGAATCACAGTCAAGAACAATCTTAATTCGGGCCAAGATCTTTTATGATTTTCTTCATTTCTGCCGAAGTTCTCTCCCCGCTTCGTAATCAAGTGTACCTGTCCCAAAACCTAAAACCGGTTCCAAAGAAATCCCAACGCCATGACAATCAAAATTGCTTCTTCTGCACGCCATCCGGCCAAAGAGCTTCATACCAAGCGAGCCAAAATGTCTTTGTCCTCAAATCATTCCCATCATGCTTAGCATTGCCTCATGTCGCTCTTCCTCAATCTTGTCAGGAACCGAACCCTTGGGAGGAAGAGTGGCGTCAGCCCAAGCAGCATCTCCTTCCGAAATCTTATTCTGCTTGGATTCCTCGAAGTAGTTAGCAAACTTGTCGGAGAGCAGGTAATCATCGATGAACTTCTGCCTAGTTCTATCGGTGGGGATGCTAGGCTCTCCGGTTTCTTCGTCGACCACCCAATAGACATTATCTTCACCACCACACATCTCCTGCTCCATGACGACACCCATATTCCAGGAGACCACATGCTGACAGTAGCTGGTCAACACCTCGACCTGGTTTGCAGTAAGATCTTTCATGTCTTTTCGGGCAACCAAAACCGTTGGATCTTCTCCCCTGTCCCAGATCTTGGGTGCATACTTCCAATGCTTGCTTGCGACCTTAACATCGATCATCAAGGAGACAGCGCCCGGGTTCTCATACAGGCTGAACTGTTCATTTCTCGGCAGTTGGGTCATCTTCTCGTTCCAATTTGGGTTGGGTGGGATTCGCTTCAAGAGAAGAGGAAAGCCCAAGTACTTCGAAATGCCCGATATGCCGCTGTTCTGTAAGAAAACTGGGTGAGAGCGAGATATGGTGACTTCAGTGAACTTCTTTTTGCCCTCAAACTTCATCTCTCCATCGCAGCAAATCTTGACAGCCTTGAACCAGCGTCCCGGCTTACGAATATAGTACGGATTTTGCTTGTCGGACTCGAAGATGTAGTTATTTCGGGAGAGACAATCGAATGAATAACGCAAGTCGGAGAGGCTGACATCATTATGATTCTCCTTGATCTCCGGGTCATACATTTCTGGCTCCGTTGGATGCTTCACTATCGATTCCGTAATGTTGACGACGACAAGATTGCCAGCCCAAGGGGCGGCAGCAATCGAGTTATGTTCGGCAGAGCCATAACCTGCGTTCAATGTGAGGAAGGATTTGGTCAAAGGGCATTCCATGAGAGCCTTGTCTCCCATGTAGATCTTCAGATGCTGTCCACCCTGCTTGTGACTCATTCCTCTGCCGAACTCCATGCACTTGGGTAGACCCTTTTGCACATCCTCCAAGTGATTGTACTCTGGGTATTCTACATCATTATACTCCGGGTCGAACTCAGAGAGGACGTGGATCTTCAGCCAGATCAGCTGGGGATTGTTGGAATCCACGGGAAAGAGGATGGCAGCTTTGTAAATGACTGGCATAACATCATCGGGCTCCTTGTCCTCATCCTTGGGAATTGGTCGTGTTGCGAGAAATGCCTGGTATTTACTACAGAGCAGCTTGTGAAGAGGGAAGTCATTCTTCTGGCACTCGGCGGAACAGTATGCCGCTGCCTTGCATCGTGTGCATTTATTCGCCTGGTCCTTGCCACAGACTGTACATTTTGTCGATGCCATCTTGCAGGATGGTTACTGATCAAATGTACCAAATTGGAGTTGTCCTTTCCGTTCGTCAGCTTGACTGTTGCGAGAGACCACAAACTTGGCTGAAAGCGAAGGAGAGCTGGAATAACCCCCAGCGATTCAAAGACAGACACATTGTACTCACCGAGAGAAGGTCGATGTGACTATTTTCTCAAAGGAGTGGCAGCTCAATTGTACTTGCTTGTGGATGCAAAGGTCGTTGTCTATGGGAGGTTGTTGATCAGCAATAGTCCGTTCAGGCCCAGGAAAGGCCATGTGAAGGCGACTTCCTCATCACCCGACGCAAGTGATCGAGAGGTTGAAGGCTTTAACTTACATGCTGTGGTCTCGATGACAGGTTACTGACTGCTCTGGTTATTCTGGAGAGATCCCGGAGAGCGCCCAGAGTTTTGCTGAGGTTGTGGTTGTCGAGAGCAGGAGGAAGGGAGTGGGGTCGAAGGCGCGGTGCCTTTGTAGGCGACTCGATATTTAGCTCCGATCACCTGTCATTTCCAATTCACTTCGAAAGCAAAAAATTAATGAGAAAACGTCATTTCGTTGCAATTTTACTCTTACAATGTCCCCATTGATATCAGAACATTCTAGCCACCGATTCATACATGTCCCCTAACACCAAGTAGAGTCGGGTGCATCCCTCTGTCTCTTTGCTGGACGCCCCCGCTGTTTGATCCTTCCTTCTGACTATGCACCTGACTTGACGGTTTGGGTCCTTTCGCCCGCACCAAGTTGCTACGCGGTGGTGGAACAGCATCAGCCCAAGCCGCATCTGCTTTTGCCCGTTTCTTCTCCTGGAGCTTCTTAGGGAATTCCTCAAACTTCCCAAACAGGAAATACTCCTTGATAAACCGTTCGTTCCTCCATTTGCTAACGGTGAAAGTCGTTTTTGTACACTTCGTGTGGTTGTTCCACTTTGCTTGGTTCATTGGAATCTTGGATAGCCTAGCCCCCTGGGCTTCAGCTTTAAGCAGTTGTTTCAGCGGTACCATCAACTCATCTTGGGTGAAGAGGATCAGTGCCTCGACATGGTGGAACGTAAGCACCTCCTTGTTGTCTCGCGCCACAATCAATCCCACGTCTGCTGTCACTTCCGTCCAGAGTCCATCCAGAAGCCCCTACCGGCTGCTACCTAAGTCCCATTGTCGGACAAGGTCGTGTACATTCAGATCCCAATGCTACAGGCCAGCCTGTGCTCCGCGTGTTTGTGCCCATTCGTCTATCCGGGGTAATCCATCTGTCCATTCCTTACCAAAAGAAGCCCAAACCTCATGTGCCTTGCTATCAAAAAAATGTCGCCGAGTCGTGAGAATATAAAGTGATTCTGAGGGATTTCTATATCACGGTATTGCTTAACCCCGCCGATTTTCATTTCCTTACGGGCGCTTATTTTCACAGCCTTGACCCATTCTGACTTGCGAAGACAGTAAGTATTTGGCTTCTCGTCTTCGAAAGTATTGTTGTCTTGAGAGATGAACTCGAATGCTGATCGGAGATCCCCAAGTGTAATGTCGTGATTGGTGTAAATGTCGCAATCGTCCACTTGTGGCTGTTCGTCTTGCGTGCAGTACAGTACAACAAGATTTCTAGGGGGAACGCTGAGCCCTTCCTCGTCCCCTACTTCAGTTGTCTGCTGATATCCTGCATTCAAAACCGGGAGGCATTTGTTCACCTTCCACTAATCCCTGCCCCCCCCCCCACAAATGTCCCACCAGATATCTAGCTTGCGGCCAAGCCTGACTCAGTACTCTGTCTAGCATTTCTCGCACAAATTTGGCTTTCCAATTGCCCTAGATTTGCCAATATATTCCCTCCTCGTGGTTTCGATCTTAACCCAGATCAGGGTTGGCTGCTCCGAGATGCAGGGAAAGTGAATGGCTGCTTTATAATCGCCATGAGTTTTGTCGTTCCCAACAGGCTTCAATGTTTTCGACTCCGGGCGTGTTGCGATGAAAGGCCCATACAATCCGCAAGGCAACCTGTGCAGGGGCCAGTCTTCTCCCTGGCACTTCTTCGAACAGTAATGGGCGGCTTGGCAAACTGCATCTCTTGTCCGTTGTAGTGCCGCAAATAGTACAAGGAGCAAAAGGCGCGGGCATGTTGGGCAAGGAAGGTTGGTCGTACCCGCCGAGTATGGCACTACCGATCCGTTGATTCTATTGGTGTGGTTAGATCATGCCTCGAGGTGGAAGGAAAAGGTGAGTTGAGGACGAGGCTATTTTTGATGCTAGACACCACAAAGTAAACAAGCTCCTGCCAAGGAAGGAATCAGCAGTTCGGAACGATGGAGGTCTGAGCGCCCTAGGAAAGGACACTCAATATAGAGATCAGAACCGCAAGTCGTAAATGATCCGGATTTCGATCGAGGAGCTGGTTGTGGGAAGAAAGACATCGAAGCAAAACGTGAGGTTGAAGTCGCGAGGATTTTTCGGCGCCCACTTCCCAAATCAGCTGATCCATATCCAAGGTGAATTGAAAGTACACTCACTGCTGAAGGCAGACTAAGCGAAGAAAAGTGGATCGGTTTCTCCCTTGCTCGAGGTAATGGCTCACCACATCTGAGAAAAGTGCTTCCAAAAATGCTTGTTGTGCTGCCATGTGTCGCTGCAGTATATGTCTCCTTATCAACCCCAGAATACAAAGAACTCAGTTGTTTGAGATTCTTCAACTATCCAACTTAAGTCAAACATCCCATTAATTTATATGCAGGTGATAAAAGCTTTCAACACATTCAGTACCAGAATCAAAACATGCTTCTTCTCTCACAATCCCTTCGCTGTCTAAGTCCAATTCTCCCACATCCCACATCCCACTCCCTATAAGCGAATTTCACTCCCACACAATTCAGTGCCTAATTGTGAGACTATTGCTTCTTGTTTATATACAACCTCAAAAAGCATCCGTGGACCTAAAAAGAACGGGGATCTCTTCCCCAGATTATTGCAGCCTTGCTAAGGACAAAAAGACTCTCTGATAGAGCCTTGAAGACTCCGGTGAAGAGGATTAGACAGGCACACACTCTGAAATATCCGTTGAACACATAGCTCAAACGCTTCGGTTAGTGAAATACCACTCCGCCAGTACTAAATCGTTCTGTGGTCAATGGGTTGAGTCACCTCCCAAAGCTCTCAGGATAAATGCTCTTGCTTAAAACGGATAGAACGACTCTGTATTGTCATTTCCTGGATTTTCTGATATTATTTGATTGAACCTAGCTTCAGATTAATGTCAGACGCCAACTATGTATGCAGCATGAACATGGTTTCAGTTCCGACGACAAATGAATTATTATTCTGTGCTAAATGCAGCAATCAAAACATTGAACCATTCTCTCTCTACTCATCCCTCTATGAGGGACCCAAAACTCGAATCTAAAAAAAACAAGCCAAAAAAATATTGCCTTGTTCTCTAACAACTCCGAGGCCCGGCATGTGACCACCATGTAAGCAAATCCTAATTTAAGCAACAACGCATTTCCAGCTCTTAGCCTTATTACCCATCGAGCCAGGGAGTTGAGAGATGCCAGGGCTGGCGTTGAAGCTGAAACCAGTGCCTTTGCATTTGGTCTCTGCAAAATGTTAGCACTATTTTTCACTCGAGACCCTCAAGAAAGCGGGAAAGTGAAAACCTACGCCCAGACTGTGCAACGCAACCCTAGCTTGGACTTCCCAGAAGCGACGTTGTTCACAAAACCCGTTGCATGAAGTTCAATACAGACTCCGACTGTGCTTGAACCTGTCAATTTGAGACCGAGGAAAGCACTGTTCATTTGTTATTCGTGTGGTGGGGTTGTTGTTGGAGAATGGTAGGAACATACGCATCTTGCCAGAGATTAATCAATTCCATTGATTTTGGATGTGCCGCAACGGCAGGTGAAGCTTCAGCCACTGCGGCAGAGGCTGCTAATGCGGCCAGCAAGGAGGCCACGATAATACGGAAAATTTTCATTAATTGAATGCGAGATAAAGAGATGAGATACTAAAATGCAGCTATTGATGTTTTTTGTGGTGGAAATAATATAATCTAGAGGAGGAAGGTCGATACATTTATAGAGGTTGAGACGATTGTTGTATGTTAGAATACCCACCTGGTGAAGTATTTTCTGGGTATATGAGTATAAAATTCAAATGATTTCTTCACATCAGTCTGATTCTAGAATTGTAGGAGGAGGGCGTGTCAAGCCACTACCCCTGAAATCCGCAGCATGCCAGCACTCGCTTGTGACCCCTTTTAACAAGCTGTTACCCCCCGTTCGTCAATACGAGCGATTAGTCAATCGGGGTCCCCATTGCCCAATCGCGGGCCCCGATTGCTTAATCGCTTGCTTAAGCGAACTCCGGTTTATAAATACGAGGTCGAATACGAGCAAATTTTTAAAATACTAAAATATTTTAAAACCCAAGAATTATTAAAATCCTATTAAAATAATTTATTAGAAATAGTTTAGTTAATTATATTAATTAAGTGATATCAGCTTTAGCCTTTTATTAGAACTCTAAAACCTTTTTATTATAATTTTTATTTAAAAATATAAAAATATATATATATTTTAATCTTTAATAGAATTTAATACAAGAAAAATTTATTTAAGTCTCTTATAAGCATTAATCCTTTTTATTTAATTAAATTTTGGCCTTTATCCTTTATTAGAAATTTATATATTATTTTAAAATCGAGCTCTTTTATTAGCGAATCGGGCTCCTCGCTTAGGACCGATTGACTAATCGCTCGTATTGACGAACGGGGGGTAACAAAGCGAGTCTTTGTCCTACCACCAACTTTAACGGCAGAACGGAGTCTGCAAATACCACAGTAACCCCCCTTTACGAAGAAGTCTCAGCGCCGGTAACAATATAATCTCGGCCCATCTATTTTGAACCTTGGAAGATTCCATCGCTTGCTGCATTAAAAATTTAAGTCAAGAGATCATTTCAGTAGGATCTCGGCACATCAGCTTGGCTGAGAATAAACCATGCGGAACTCCCGAATTTAACTTGATACTAATCTCGGAACTCTTAAATATAAAAAATATCATAATAAGTAACCTCCTGTTGTTTTCCGTAGCTCACTTGATTGCAGAGGGGAAAGTTCTGAGAAGCTTCATTTCTCTGGACGGAAATAGGGGCAGATAGAGTGCCTGGATAGGAATACAATAGTTAAGGTGGGGCCAAATTGCGCGGTGCCGTTGTTCAGATGCGCTAACCTATGACGCTTTTAAGTAAAAAGCAACAAAGGACTTTTATACTATTATATAATGTGCCCCTAAGACTTGAGACTGCGAGCCTGCACATGTCCCGTCCGATTTCAAACTTTCCTGATGAAGTCAACTAAGAAACTAAATCTGCAGAATTTCCGAAATGTAGCATACTAGCACCCCAATTTGCACGACTAAATACGATATGCCAATTGCCTCCATAATGCCAATTCACCAAAATCCCCACGCCCAATAGTTTTTGCCAGTCTCTCAACTTCACTTATTCCTCTTCATTTGAGTAGAATTGGTGTCCTAAATCAACCACAGTATCCAAAATTTCCTCCAAGTGGCCAGCAGTGGTCAGAGGATTTCCATTGATTGTTCGGAGGACATAAACAACTTTATCTTCTGGCAACAAATGGTGTGAGCATCTATTGAGGTTGAAACCGTGAACAAGAGCGTCGCCGCTCTCCAGAATGGAGGTCTTGATGAAGAGGTTACATTCGTTCAACTTCTCAACATCTTCTGCCGAGATTCGGCTTCCTTGGTGGAGCGATTGCGGCATGAATATAAACATGCATGCATTGATGTCGGTCTCGTTGAGAAGAAGCACTTCCGTGTGTCGATTGATCTCGTCCTGGAACGCCTTGGTGAGTGCAAGTCTTGTATCAATTAAGGTTTCAATACCGGAACGACCAAAGTACTTGATGGTGGCCCAGAGCTTCAAAGCATCGAATGCCTTGGATCCAACACATGGAGTGATTTGTCCTAAGGACCATTGCGTCTTCAGGATCAGGTCCGAGTTGGTCGAGATGTTTGCCAGGGACTTGGGATCCTTGAGCAGAGCGAACGAGCACATGTACGGAATCCAAAGGACTTTGTGTGGGTCGATTGTTACCGAATCTGCCTCCTCAATGCCTCGAATCCTGTGACGATGTGTACGAGAAAATGCAAGTTGGCTGCCATGGCAAGCATCCACATGGAACCAAACCTTGTTCTTGCGCAATACGACACCTATATCGTGAAGATTGTCGATTCTCATGCTTCTGGAGTCTCCAGCATATGCAACACATGCGAGAAGGTGATGTCCAGAAGCTCTCTCCTCTTTTATAACGCGCTCAAGTTCACGAATCTTGATTCGGTAGACTTCATCAACGGGGACTCGGACCACGTTCGATTCTCCCATTCCTAGCCAAGCCATTGCTGATCTAATAGAATAATGTTCAATGACATCGGGGACCAGAACTCTGATCTTGGAAGCTACAACTGGAAGACCGGTTAATCCAGAGCCAGGGAATAATGATTCTCTTGCAGCCATCATTCCAACTGTGTTTGAAAGACAGCCACCGGCCGTCATGATGCCTCCAATCTCGGTGACAGTGGTATATCCTGATGGCACATGAAATCCAAGTTGTTGACGAAGCCCTAGGCAACGTACAAGTTAGCAATTGCTCGATTCAGACTGTCTCAGAAAAATTTCGGGTACAATGAAAGAAATTGCCTCGCGAGACCCGGGAAGTTATCTTCGGAGAGATTTATGAAATAGTCATAAAAAGGAAGGGGTTGTCTCCTCAACACTTACAGTGGACTACCTCCATTTCAACGAAAGAGGCTGCAGGAGCTTGAATTGACTGATTGCACATGTTTTGGTTGATGAATGGAATTAATATCGCGGCTCCGAGTGCGGGGATAGAGTTGGCTGCATCGGGAAAGCCCATGAATTTCGGTGATGCAAAATTTGTGCTGTGTTCTGATATTTCTTGAAAGCAATCCAGTAGCTCTTTGCAAGACATTCCATCTTCGGGCATTGTACCAAATGATTTGGTTACTGGAATTTCGACCTGCTTGCGTCTGACTTCTGGCTGAGCTTTGAAGTTGATGCCGACATCCAGTACTTGGTTGAAGAAATCCAAGGCTGTTTCTCTATCTCCTGGCTCTGAACTTCCTACGAACTGCTGAAGCAATGCGTTGCTTGTGGCATTGCTTGATATATGCTGAGCATCCTCTTGGATGACTGGGCGAGATTTGCTGGCAGCAGTGGTGATAGAGATGGGGTGTTGACTCTTGATAGGAGGAGAAGAAGCCATGCTGGAAATGTACCGTCAAGCTCTGGTTGAATGACTGCTTGGTGGTGTGATTGTGTGTATGGTATGTAGGCGTGCATGCGACTGGTGGGGAGTTGCGGGCCGGAGATCGCGCGATGGAGGGCTGTTCTGACGAGAGATTGGTTGGTCGAAGCTAAGCTGGTTGGTTGGTTTGGGAGGTCGGGTTTGGTGATGAGAATTGAAGGTGGTTGTTTGTTTTGATATTAAGAAGAAGGCTTTGATTGTGCGGTAAAGTGATCTAGGAAACGTTCGGGTTTACACCATTGCAGAAGCTGTCACTGCTTCGCCTTTCTATCCCGTTTCTGCATCCTCGTTTTTTTACTCCCATTCAAACTGCTCGCTATTCGTAATACCAATCTCTGCTCACGTTCCTCTGCTCCGTCGTGGGCCAATTGGCGGAAAGCCTCGACAGCCCAGCCCTGTTCTTTGACAGCAACCTCGCTCTTGACCAGATCTCAGGTCACTTCTATGCTACAAAAGCCACTACTACACTATCCTCGATCATGTCTGTCCTTGTCCTTGGAGAAACAGACCAAACCTCCCTCGTCTCAGCCGAGGAGGTAAAAACCCTCGGTCACACGCACAACCTTACTATTCCTCCATCGGAACTCCAAGACTGGGCCATCCTCCTGACAGGTCTGAACCACTGTGCCAAAGAAGTCCTTGCCCTCCCGAACTACTATCCACCTGTTGATACCTCTCTCTACCTTCGCACCGATATCCATCATCCTTCAGGAGACAAAGAGACTGACTACGGAGGATGGGCAACAAAAGCCACTATCAAGTGTAGGCGACATTCTTTGGGCCCAAACCTGCTCTTTTAGATGTCTCCCAGGAGATTTCTTCTCTCTGGACATGTTTCCAGAGCTAAGAACTCGGGAAACATTGTTTCAGCCTTCAAAATTCTCTTCGATTAGGCAATGCTGACTCCGAAATAATCTAGGTACACATCCTAAGAGTAACGAATTAAAGGACAATACCCTCGGCATCAAAGATGCCATCGCAGTCGCAGGAATCAAATGCACGAATGGAATTGGTGGAAAGATAGGAGAGTGGATCCCCAAAGTCGATGCTACGCTCGTCACTCGAATCCTTGATGCAGGCGGCATCATTCTTGGAAAGAGTGCATGTGAGGCTGGCTGTCTCGTTGCAGTCTCCGATACTTCCGTTACGGGCAATGTGCATAATCCCTACGATTATGGATATTCAACCGGAGGATCATCTTCAGGTTCTGCAAGATTGGTGGCTACGGGGCAGGTCGATATGGCTATTGGTACTGATCAGGGAGGATCTTTACGAAAACCATCTGCAAATTGCGGGCTGGTGTGCATCAAGCCTACCTGGGGTTTGGTACCTTATACAGGGTGCCTCAGTCTTGAGGCTACGCTTGATCATGCTGGTCCGATGGCGAGGACTGTTCAAGACTGTGCGACGGTGTTGGAGGTTATTGCTGGGAATGACGGTATGGACGATCGTCAGCCTTATAGTTGGCCTCAAGGACATGTGAAGTTCGGAGGGGAGCTTAAGAAATTCCTTGACAGTCCTTCCGAGACTCCTCTCAAGGGTGTCAAAGTTGGCATTCTTGTTGAGGGATTTCCTTCGGAAATGACGGATTCGAACGTCGCTGCAGCTTCAAAATTTGCGATCTCAAAGTTGGCGGAACTGGGTGCCGAGGTGATGGAAGCCAGTATCCCATTCTACAAGGACAGCGGTCTAATATGGATGGTTGGAATGGCTATGGTACGTATTTTCCGGGTACTTTCCCCCCCATCCCCAGGATATTCCAAGAGCTACAAGCCACTCTTGACATTAATTCAAATACCACAACACTCATTGTTTCATTGCTCCCGAAACATTCTCGTGTATGAATGCTAACTGTTCTATTTTCCTTAGCCCACGACCACTCAAAGCCTTCTCTCCAACCCCTCAGGCAGAAAGCAGCTTCTCTTCTCGGACCGCTGCGGACTCTCAGGCGCAACACTCACCCAAGAAACCTTCGATGCTCTCGGATTCGGAGCACAAAATGTCTACCTCCGCGGCCTCTTCCTCCAAGAACGCTTCGGTAGTCCTCTCCACGCGCGCTGTACCAATCTCCGCCGAAAGCTAAACGATGAATACGATAATGCTTTCAAAGACGTCGATCTCCTCGTCATGCCCACTTGTATCTTTCCACCCGGCAAGATCGAGCCCCAGGGAGGAGCGTCGCTAGGACCATTGAAGATGCTGAGTAGGACTATCGGAATTCCGTACAATACAGCACCTTTTAGCTCGTCTGGCCATCCGGCGCTTAATCTCCCTGTTGGTTTTGTACCCGCGCAAGATGACAAGAATGTGTGGTTGCCGACTGGATTGCAAATTGTGGGTAGGAAGTTTGAGGATTTGATGGTTTTGAAGGCAGCGGGTAGTTGGGAGAAGGTTAGTAATTGGAAGACGATGAGATATGGTGGTGATTGAGGGAATGCTGAGTTGGTTATTTGGAGCTTGGTATTGCGCTTGGCTTTCGCATTAGGCGTGGATTCAATTTCTGGATTGGGCCAACGATCCACCCCTAGTTCTTCTAGGAGAGCTCGTCTTCAAGAGGGCCAACAGATAGACACAAATAGCAGCTAATTCCTTTTCCTATGGTGTTGCAATTGACTAAGGTTAAAGCAGCAGCAGCTCGCATCCGAAGACTAAGACAGAACCGGGGAAGATGAGGTTAAAGTCTGACTTTTCGAGGGATATCGCTACTACTCTCCGCTGCTCGAATGCTGACGGCCCTCATGTCATGTCCCCCAAAGCACAGCGGCTGGGCAACCCGAAGCAACCACCAAAGGTAGCATTTCTTGCTATAAATTTCATAGTTGTTTTAAACCTTCCAAACTTCCATCCCAGTAACAGGTTTCTGATATCGCTCCCTAAACCTCGGTGTGAATTTAGAAACCTAGATAGAACACCACCCTATCCCCGTGCACTGTCCGACTACAATGCTCCCTTAATGGGTCTCTGAGTTCAGAATGCACAACACTAAAGCTTTCCAGTTTGCAGAGGCTTGATACCAGCTCCTTGACCTCGCCCTGTGGCTGGTATTAGAAACAATGAGTTAAACATGGTGGAGTCTCCAAGCCTTCTCGACATTTCTGTATGTCTTAGACTGCAATGAGCTTTACGATATTCGAATAAATTATGTTCCTTATAAAGGGGAAGGCGAGCGGAAATTCGAAGGACACTAGAGCCAGAATCAATAACGTGATTTGTCGGGAGATATAAACTATCCTCCGAGCGACAACTGGTGCAAGATAGTGTCAGGAGTATGCTAGCAGACATTTGGCCTGTTGGCAGAGAAGGAAGGAGTAGCATTGCAGCCGTCTTCTCACTTGTATTCGAAGGCAAAGCTTCCTTGCTAAATTCCCTTTATCCTCCCCCCTTACCTAAGCAGTGTGACTGAAAGGGAGGAAAATTCTAAGCGAGGAAACTAAAAGCACCTTCGGTTATCAAACTCAACACTGCTATCAACTTTCTATCCAATCCTCCTCCACTAACAACGCGCTAGGGCATCGAACCGATGAGACGAAAGAGCTTGAAAGTCAACGGTATCTTCAAAAATATTCTTCATAAACAACACTGTTATACAAATAACTGGGGGGTTGTCCTGAGATGGATACTCTCCAGGCCCTCGGTCTCGCTGAATGCAGAAGCGCCAAACTCCACGTAATGCTCGACGCGCTCACTTCGCCGATATAGCCGCTATCCATCTCTCCTGGTCTTTCCTGTTAATTATTAGCACAGTCTCTCATGGTTACAGATCTACCAAGAGACGGGAGATGAGGCGGTGGAATAGGAGAGGGAACATACTTATCAAAATGCAACAACTGCCCCAGCACAGTCTTTACCAAGTCCGCCTGCCTCTTCTTATCCCTCTGCTCCAAAAACTGCAATAAAATAGTCTTCAAATAAACGTAATCCATCTTCCCTGCCTGTGCCGCTCCTCCCCCGCCCGAACCATTAATCGGACTCCTCACCCCTGTACTCCCACTATCAATAGAGCTTCTCCCACTGGCACTCACCTCCAACTTCTGCTTCGCCTGCATCGCCTTAAACTCCTTCGACAACTTTTCATACCGCACGTTCGCCTCATCGAGCATGCGTCTCAGCTCCGCACGCTGCTTCTCGGCATCCCTCACGGATTTTTCACTTCCATCCAACGCATCTCTGAGTTCCATCATCGCAGACCTCACTTCTCGCACCTCCTTGGTGGCACCCTCCGCAGAAGATTCAAGCTCATCCCGCTTGCGTTTCCACTCCTTCTCTGCCCTCTCAAGGTCCTCTCTCTCGTCGTTCGCCCTCTTCAAATCCCTCTCGAAGTCCCGAATTCGAGATTTCAGCTCATCGACCTCTCGCGCTCGCCGCCGGCCATTCGTGCTAGCTTCATCTTCTGCGCGATCTCGTTCTTCGATCGCAGCCTCCATACGCTCTCGCATCTCTCTAACTTTCGCGTCTGCGCGGTTATCGACATCTGCTAACAGTCTGCGCATTGTCTCGCCCTCGCGAGTTCGCTCGGAAAGGAGGCGTTGCACTTCAGCGAGTTCTTCCTCAAGGGATTCGGACTGCTCTTTCGCTTCTTTGAGTTGCATTGCCATTTCGCCTGCTTGGTCACGCATACTGCCCAACAAGCCTTGCGCATTGTTATATTGACTGCCACGGAGCTCAACCTCTTCTCTCAGACCCTTACTCTCAGCAGTCAACTTCGACACCTGATTCTCAAGTTCGTGGACTCTCGGACGGAGCCTCGAGAGTTCGTCCTGTAGTCTTGCGAGTTCAGCGGAAGCTTTCTCGCTCGATGCGGAGAGCTGGATCTTCTCTGCTTCTGATTTCCGCATATCCCGTTGTGCGATCCGCGTTGCGTCTTCTGAACGAAGCCGAGAATTGGTTTCTTGCGTTATCTTCTCGTTGAGCGTGCGGAGTTCGTTGTCACGGTCTGCAGCTTGCTTTTTGAAGGCAGCCAAGTCGGATTTGAGGTCTTTTTCTCGCGCCTCGAGACGTCGTAATTCGGAGGTTTTGGTGCCTAGTTCGTCCTTGATGGTTTTGAGGGTCGCGACTTCGGCACGGAGAGTCTTGAGCTCGGGTTGAGCCTTTTGAAGGACCTCTCGAAGCTCGGTCAGGTCTCTGTATCGGGACGTTGCCAGCTGTTGAGCTGCTCCAAGATCTGTCTGAAGTGTTGCTGACTTCACTTTAAGATCTTCGTATTCCGCCGTCAGAGACTTGAAATTCTCTTCAATCTTCCCAGAATCCTTGGATTGGCTCTTATACATCTCGATTTCTGCCTCCAAATTCATGATCTTCTTTTCAAGACCTGTCTTCTCGTTTTGAAGTTCCTTGATCTTCTCCTTAGCCTCCACGTGCTCCTGGCCAATGTTGAGGAAATTGTCTTGCATATTTTCAAGCTCTTCACGTAGATCGGCCTCTGTTTTCCGCTTTGTCTGTAACTTGGCAATTTGAGCGTCTCGATCGGCAACTTCTTCCTTGAGTTTTGCAATCTCAGCGTGCAATTCGATGGTTGTAGGAGTAGGCGTGGGTGGCGTAGAATCTGGCTTTTCCGTGGATTCTCCCTTTGCAGCAGCGGCAGTAGCACCTCCCTTCTTCTTTTTCTTGTTCTTCTTCTTCGCAGCACCAGTCCCAGAGCCGGCAGGGGCCGTTTCAGTTGCTGGTACAGGGTTGGGTGTCGACTCTTCGGCCTCGTGACTAGTAGCTTCCTCAACCTGTTTATTTAAAGACTTAACTTCCTCGGACAGCTCATGGATTCGTTTGACATCGATGGCCTTCGCCAGCTCCAACTCCTTGATCTGTGCATCCAAGGTTTCTCGCACGGTTTCGGCTTCTCTGCGAGCCTCAATTTGGGATTTGAGACTTTTGTCCGTGGTGTCCTTTTGGCTGGCAAAATTCGTTTCTAGAGAAGTGACCTTCTCTTCTGACTCCTTCCTTTGCCTCGCAAGGTTGGCCTCAAGAGCAGCAAGTTGTGTTTCTGTTATCTGTAGATTTTCCTTCAAGGCGCTGATTTCAGCTGTCTGAGCATCAATCGTCTTCTGGCGAGCTTGGGCTTCTGTCGCAACGTCTTTAGACTCGTTCAACTCTCGAGTTGCCTTTTCCAAACTCTCGACCAAACCAGAACTAGACTCTTTGGCCGTGGCCAAGTCCTTCTCTAATGTGGAGACTTTCGACTTGAGCTCCTCGACCTGAACAGTTTTCTCCCTAACTTCCGTCTGCAATTTCGGTATCTCGTCATCAAATGAGAAGAATTCCTCACTGGTATCCTTGACTTCCTTTGCCTTTTGCTTTGGTGAGAAAATGCCGAGGACTGAAGATGACGGTGACTTGACGGATGCAGTTGGTGTATCGATGCTCATGACATCTGCCTTCTCCGTTGCAGCTGGGCTTCCATCCATTGATGCCCTAACGGTGGCAAGCTCCTCCTTAGTCGTGGATTTCTCCTTTTCCGCAGCTTCAAATCTCTTCTTGTAGTCATCCCGATCCGCCGAGACACGCTTCAGCTCATCCATCACCATGTCACCCTTCAAGTTGAGCTGGTTTAAGTATTCCACCAATGCATCTGGATCGCCAATTGTCGCCAGAGGAGTATGTTCCTTCAATGCCTTCTCGAATGGTTCTATTGATATGGCTCGAGCATGTGCGATTCGGTAGGATCGTAGAAGATCTAAAGCAGTTAGTGATATGAACTCACCCCGGGCAGCGGACAACCATACCCTGATACTTGGATTCTAGCTTCTCTAATTTCCGTAGCTTTGCTCGAATCTCTGGAGACATCTCGGGGGCTTTTGTTGTAGTTTCGACAGGTTTCTCCGCAGGTTTCTCCTTGCTCTCCCCTGACGCGCCAGACTCCACTGGCGCATTGCCTTCCGCCATGGTAGGAGTCTTCTCTTCCCCAATTGCAGGTGTCCCAACCCTCGAAGGCTCCTCAGACTCGTCCTCTATGACAAAGGCGTTCTCGAATTCGGAAGGGTCTGGTCCTCGAGCTGTGTTCACCTCATTGTCTTTTGCTTTCGGTTTTCTGGGCCTCGAGGAAGGAGAATCCGTTCTACCAGCGGGCCTCTTGGAAGTTGACCCAGTTCTTGATACCGTAGTACCAGCAGCACCAGCAGATTTCTGGCGAGCTTGTTCTTCAGCAATGCGAGAGTCTATTGCACCCTTGAGTCGCTGTGGACAGGTCAGCGGATTGCCTACACGAGGCTGCCACGCGCCGCAGAGGGTCAATAGTAGCTACCTGGAACATTGTGGCCACATCAACCTAGAAATTGAAGTGCGATCATGGACCGTATTGATCCGATTAATAACAAAATAGCATAATTTGCACCGTGTCTTGCTATTAAGAAGAAAATAATGTCGAGATCTGGCAGGACTAAACTTCTGGCGCTCTGACGGTTTTGGAGTGCAGCTATCGGCGAATTTGGGCCAAACCCCCGATTTTAGTGGTCTGTGCACGCCGAGGAAGAGAAGTGATCGTTCTCTCTGCCTTGCTTGTCTTCTCCTCTACCACGACATCATGACACCGTGACACCCTCGATAAGCTGCAAGACGACCACGACATGGTCCGCCTTTGGCCCTGGAAGGTGAGGATATATTCTGCGATCGATGGATAGAAGCTAACATCCACAGGGCGAGGACAACTCCCCAGCCTCCTTCGAAAAGACCCTCGCTTCACTGGCGACCAAGATATCCAAGTCGCAGTCACAGCTGGATTTCCTCCGTCAACGTGGTCGCCGATACAAAGCACTATGGACTCTATATACTAGCTTCGCCTACCTCTTGTGCGGCATCATTCTCTCCCTCGTAGTGGGGTGGAAGAACTGGACGGCGTCGGAGTATACAGCGATTGCGGGGAGCCCCGTGATGTACGAATTACAGTCACTGTCAAGTTTCACTCGTACTGACATCACTGCAGAATCTACCTAGTCCGAATGGGCCTCACAGCATACTACAACTACCGTATTGATACAGTCACACAACGTTTAGAAGACCAGCAAGCAGAGCGGACCAAGACGATCGAGAAACTCAAAACTGCGACGAAATACAATTCTACACAAGAACTCCTTGAGAAATATGGCGGTGCTCCACCTAAACCTAAGAAGCCTGCAACGCCCAAGGAACCAAAACCTATACAAAAATCGACGGGGAGGACGTCGATGGGCCCGCCACCAACTGCAAATATTGGAAGGCCAGATCATATCCCAAGTCAACCATCAACCCCCCAACCAGGAACTCCGCAACCCGTGCCAAATCTCACCCCCCAGCGCATGCCCTACCTTCCGATATCTCCAAAGACGCCGCAAGGACAAGCTGGGCCACCAGAGTTTGCTCCAAATGCCTTCTCTGCGCCCCCACAATATGCTCAGGCCGGCGAGATGAACCCTGGAGGAGCTTGGTACGATAGGATTTTGGACCTACTTATGGGAGAGGACGAGACATTACCAAGGAACCGTGTCGCGCTGATTTGCCAAAACTGCCGCCTCGTAAATGGACAAGCTCCACCAGGAACCAAAAGTCTTGCGGATCTAGGAAAATGGAAGTGTTTCGGCTGCGGGATGATGAACGGCGAAGAAGACGAAGCCGTAAAAATTGTTCAAGAAATGAAGGAACGCATCGATTCACAAGGGAAAGACGAGCCAGAGCCAGAGAGCAAACCAGCGGAGGATTCTGCAACTGGTGAAAGCGGAGATATGATGGAAGGGTCCACGGATGAGGTCGATGTTGATTCGACGGAGGACACAATCGAGGTGAAGCCTACTCCAAGTAAGAGAGGTCGACCGAGGGGCAGCAAGAAGAAAGCTTAGTTTAATGAATCGTTGTTTGAGAACCGTGCCCGTTTGTCTTTTCGTGGTTTCGGGTCGAATGGTAAATCTCTTCGGAGCTGTCTTTATTTTCGCGGTCCTTGGCCCAAACTCTGTATGCCGTTCTTGGCTTTGGTATTTTGGTACTGCCAGATACCACCCCCTGTTTGTGCTTCGACTGGGACTGCGAGCCAGATTGAAGATCCTCGTTTGCACTGTTGGTTTCTTCGGTCGTCTGTCCCTTCCCTGATTTACTTGCTCTGTGCTGTCGCTGATCTCTTTCTGCCCACTTGCGAATCGCTCTTGTTGCTGGGTCTCCCGTTGATGCTTCTTTCGATTCCTTGCTCTTCTTCTCCTTCCCAAATGTGCTTGTCTTTTGTTGCCGATGCCCTTTTTTCGCTCGAATCTCTTTGTCTATCGTCGACATTCGTATCTCCTCCCTGCTGTGCTCTTCAACACTCCCAAGTGTAGGCCTAAACCCCCACGCACTCGTCCCCTCCAACATATCCCTCTCCACTACACTCTCATACCCTTCTCCCCACTTCCCTCCTTTCACCCTCCTCCTACCCTCCGTACTCCTCTCCTTCCTCGCCATCCACCCCTTCGCAATCACCTCCCTCCTCTCCTTCTCTTTCGCACTCATCGGCTTCACATAAACGCCACTCTCATCTATCCCCGCAGCCTTGACGAAAACTCCACTGTCATCAACATTCCCCTTCCCCGGGAGCGGATCCTCAAACGTAGGCCACATCTTGAAGAAATCACAGTCCATCGCTTTCTTCAGTTCGCGGGTAACTCGTTCTTGTGAGCGTGGAGAGATTCGGATTTTGGTGGGGATGATGAACCCAGAGCCTGCTAGTTCGAAGGGTGAAGTCATTGCGGAGGGGGGAGTTGGGACTTGCATGATTTCTGGTTGTGGAGTTGATATTCGTTGTGAAGTTGGCACTGGTTCTGGAGTGGGTGCTGGGCTTGGGGTATGTGATAGCGGGGCGGTGCGACGAGTTTTGGGGGGCTTTGGAGGAGTTGCGTTTGGTGTGTAGAAGGGAGAAGTAGGAGCTGGAGGAGGGGAAGGCGATGGTACCTCGCGGAGTAGAACGGGGACAGCGACTTTGCTCTGCTCCAATAGCTTCTTCCTCTGTTCCCGCTCTTCTTCCTCATGTTGTTTCTCAATCTCATCTTCCTTAATATTACTATCCTCTTCCTCAATATCCTCAACGTCCAGCTTCTTTGTTAACCACTCTACTGCAGAGGCAACATAAGGGCGTAGAGGTTGCGGTGCGATGGTAGGGAGGGCTTTGAGTGTGGACGTCGAGGGCAGCGGGACTTTGGACATTTCAATTGTTCAGATAGCTGCTGGTACAATCGTTGTCGAATGTTCGGAAAGTTTCGGGACAATACAATCAGGTGGATGCTAAATGTTAAGGAGCAACTTCGGACAATGCCGGAAGATGGAGGTTGAGTATTCTTAATCCTGTGGGTGGTGAATGAGGAGGCGATTACGAAGGCAATTCATTGCAAAGGTGAGTGTAGAGGCTGCATGGCCCAGCATTGTGCTGGACATTGTCATTAATTGTGACAGAGGATGAGTCGGAGCCTTGTGTCTATGGTGCGATTATTGACATGGCTGTGACTGTAAATTTTCGAAAGGGGGAAATTTAAGCGTGGGACACGAAGCGAGGAGAGGAGACGAATCATGGTCACTTTGGGATCTTTGTTTGTTTATGTCACTAGATTCGCACGATGGGCATAAGGCTCACAAGGAGTTCATTGTGAGTTGATCAAAGGTTCCTCGTCCCTATTCTTCCAATCACTGGGACTCTGAGGTCTCAGCTCTGGTCATTGAGGATAGGGATCGAGAACTCTTGCCAGGCAATTAATCAGATGACTTAAAGGTGCTTGCGCAAAATCAGTTTTCCTGCCTACGAGTAATACCTGCAACACCTAAAAATCTGAAGGGTTATAATAACACATTTGACAGCAAGGAAAGCATTGACAATGACTGAAATTCAGTCCGGACTTAGCAGGCTCTTACTTTTGGCATGCTAAGGAACTTTGGACACAGGGTCCATCACCTTATGTTTGTTCTATTGTGCACTACTGCCTCCATCAGTAGCACAAAGTTCAATATACAGAACTTGAATTGATCACAACCATTGTTCAATGGGGATCGTTCGTCTACATCTTGGTGTATTGGGGGTTCGTGGAAGCCTCTTAAATATCTGAACAAAATCAAGCTCAAAGGCACCAGGCAGAGGGCAGGGAGTCACTGAATGAGAGGAAACAGAAATAAGGGCCAAGGTGGTATGATTCTTGGATCAAGTTCGAATCGCCCATCCTCGGATGCAAAAGCTCAGAACGACTACGCAGCAACTAGCATACTGATTACCACGGGGGATTGGTTCCATCATAATGACCGAACCCCTTCACATAGATATTCAAGAACTCGCCATTTTGCTCCTTGCCGACACTCATGATTTTCTCTGTCGTCGCCTTTGCGCCTTCCTCCACAGAGAGATCCGCAGCATCACCACCCAAATCAGTTCGAAGCCACTACCAAAAACTCAGCGACATTCTCTCTATCACTCAAAAACAGACAAGAATAGCTTACCCCAGGACTTATTGCAAAAATCGTGAAACCTTGAGATGCGTACTCAAGAGAATACTGCACGGTAAGCATATTCAGCATCGTTTTCGAGATCTTGTAAGCTGGACATGGAGTTTGTGCGAAGATGTTGGCCATTGCGATGGATCCGAGAGTTGTTGTACTGTGATCGATACTGAGTAAGAACAACTTCCTGAAGGAGGGAATGACCTACACGTTTACGATTTTCTTCAAGCTGCCTTTTTGGAGCAGAGGAATGAAAGCTCGGGTTACGTGGTGAACACTGAGCACGTTTGTGTTGAAGTGATCTTCCAAGTCGTTCCTTCACTAATCAGTACGCGCTGGGAATGTATCGTTGGAAGTAAGAATACATTGAAGCAATTCCGTCGGGTGCAAAACGCTGTATTCCAGCATTGTTGATCAGAACATCTAGTCCCTTTTCTCCTAGGATCTTTTCCGATTCGGTTACTGCATTCTTGATGCTGGTCTCGTTGGTGGTCTCGAGTTGAATAAACTTCACACGTCCTCCTGATTTCTCCGTCAGATCTTTGAGGGGAGATGATTCCGTGCGGGATGTTGCGATGATGACTCTGACTTCCGAGGGTGGGAATGAAAGGAGGTGGGAAGTGAGGGCGAGACCAAGCCCACGGGAGCACCCAGTGATCAGGTATGAGGCCATTCTGTAGTAGAAAACTAATAAAATTATGGAAATGTCGAGTTGAGCACTAAAGGTTTCTTCTGCCTGGTACCTTTTCGAGATAATTCAACAAGAGGGGGCGGGGTGACCAGGACATTAATCCTCTGGTGAGAGGAGAGGCAGGGCGATTGGGCGAGGAGATGAGGAGTAATTGCTTCTTCGTATTCGTACGCGTATATGCAATATGCACCGTATATGCACCGCTCTTACATAAGAGGATTGTGTAACCCAGCTTACTAGCCTACGCAGCCCTGCCTAAGGATATACTCTCCATATATAAGTAAGGAGATAATAGATAATAGAGTCGGCGTTTTAAGAGATCGAGATATTGCTGTGCCAGGGGGGGGGGGCAGAAGCTTATTGCTTAAGTAGTGTATATTTCCTTATAAATTTAAAGAAATCGCATTTTTATTAAAATTGAGTATGGGGTTACTATAGAGCTAAATTAAATTAAGTCAGGTTAAGCTAAGTTAAGCTAAACTAAGTATAGTAGAGATTATAAATCCTTTAAGAAGGATTAGGGTCTCTAATAACTACTTTTAAAAGAGGAAACATCCCAAAGTTAGTCACTATACGTGTTACTACGCGCCATTTATAGTTATAGAAGGCGTGGATCCACTTTTAGGGGGGCTGGATAGGGTAACAGATTTGACAATAGTTCTTAAAAGAAAGGACCCCTTCGCGGTAGAGCCTTATTACCCTCGCTAGCACGTTGAAATAAATATCATGAACCAAGGAAGTAGCCGGCATTAGTATAAACTCCTGCTATGGAGTAGAACCAATAATAGGTAGAAGCTCTGGGTTGGGTAATAATAGCATTACCTAAACGGGATAGTAGGTGGAAAGCAGATTGCTAACATCGAGAAGTCGGCTGGTTAAGTTCATGAGATAATTGGCTGCCATACTGGAGTTGCGGAGAAAAACATCTACGACTTCCCGGCCTTGCGCTGCGAATTCCTTTTTGAGTTTTAAAGCTTCCTGGGTTTCGTGTCAATGAAGCTCATTAATCTCCCCAGAGAGCCCGCGTTCTCTGCGCTGCGTAGCTGCGTTTGATCGAGAACATCCGCTTGCGAATTTTCGGAAAAACAATGGAATGCACCACGATTTCGGGTAACGATTACTTAAGGTGGAAACATGAATGTTGCATATCCCCTGTGGTCAACGGTGGGACAGAGTTTAATGCCCAAGATGTCGCAAGATATTCAGATTCGAAAAGAACTAAGACTATCTCTTCATGACAATGCTAACTCATTTATATTTTTCTTTCCAGACACTTATTTTCTGTTCCAGACGTAGAAAATGTTTGGTTCCATTAAGGTAAGAGACTACATTTGAAAATACTATACGCCATTTCTTCCCATCCTTTCCCTTACAGAAGAAATCCCATTACTCCGCAGAGGACGAAAACAGCCGTGTATCCCATCTCCTCGACAGATCTCATAGCAGCATTCTTTTTTGTGCTTTGCACACCCTTCGACAGATCCGTGTTGACGCTCGCTGGTGCTCCACTAGCAGCAGGACATGTAAGATTGAATGTCGTGTCAGCACTCAAGTCCTTCGAAATCGCAAACCTATCTCACAATTAACACCTTGTTCTAGAACACTTACAGCACATCAGGGATCGAGAACACAATTGAGGGAACGACATACTTCTCGGCAATACTAGGATCGGCGTCTCTCAATGTATACCACCAAACATTATTCCTTCCCAAATACTTACAAGCGATGATATCCCAAAAAGTCCTCGCATTGTCCACACTCGCTGTCGCATTGCCACTCACGGGTCCCGAAACAGGCCACCCAGTCTCCGTAATCCAGACGGGTTTCCCGCCTGCCACCGCTGTGGTCTTATTATGCAACTTCTCAAAGATCTGTTCCGCATTCTCAATCCGATTATCGATATCCTTCTCATAATACGGATACAAGTCCATACCGAGGAAATCAACCTCATTAATGACTGCTGAATTCGAGGTGTTGGACCATGCGGACCAGGAATCCACATGTCCGATGGGAATGCTGGAGAGGATGGTACCAGCGAGACCGCTTCGTGCGGACTGGATGAATGGGATAATGGTGGAGGGGCCAGCGCCAACTCCGGCTTTGTTCTCGATTCCGCTCTTGGAAAGACGGTAAAGATCTTCACTTCCTACACTTAGGCCCACGACCAAATCCTTGAGCTTGGTCCCAAATTTGTCAATTGCTGATTTGAGAGCCGCGATTTCATTGTCAATGGATGTTGTACCGGAACACCAGATTCCGAGCAGAAGAGACGTGTTGGTGTTTATGGCTGCTTGGAAAGCTTCAATGGGTGTATTGGTGGTTCCGGCTTGGATGCAGGTGTAGAGGCGGGCGGAAGAGAAGACACCTGGGGAGTAGTGGAGGGATTGAGCGGTGTTGAATTCAGCCTCGAAGTCGGATTGGGCTTTGGGTTTGGAGGAGGTGAAGAAGGCGCCAGTGTTGAAACCTTGGTAGATTTTTTGGGCCGAGACACAGCTCGCAAGGGTGAAGAGGAGTAGGAGACGCATTTTGTAAATCAATGTGTATTGGTACGAAATGAGAGAGAAGAAGGAGAGGGAAGGAGGGAAATAAAAGACGAATTTTAAAAGGGAGGTTTGAAATTACCTGCTTTCAGCCCTGCGCCCAGATTCTGAGACGTTCTCCAATCCGTCTGCATCCTTCAAGCCTCATCCAATGCATCTTGCCTCCCCTCGAATAAATCCGCTTAGGCGTCAAGACTGCCGTGTCTTGGCCGCAGGGAGAGAAGTTCTTTTGAGCGAATCGAGACAGTGTCTCGGGTTATTCCCAGTATGGGCGTCCTTGGCTTTTCGCTTGGCATTGGACAAAAATAGGGGGTGCGGGGTGAAGTGGAGCCGTATTATTGTCAATCGCCTGACGATCCTGTGGCCCCCAACAAGTGAGCAACTCCTAACTCAACGACGACCATTGGTGAGAAATCCGATTTAACTTCTGGAGGGCACGGAAAAGCGATGGCCTTTCTTGATAGATATTTGCTGGATCCCACTGTTGCTGCCAACAGTATATCTTGACTTAGTGGTGATGTGTTCTCCTTCTTGGACTTGAATTCTTGTTTACCATCAGTTTGAAGGGTCACTTGATTTGTTGATTTTGAATTACTCGTCAGAATAATCTTCATATGCCTGGAAGAAATTCAGCAAACCAACAATCAAGGAAAGGTAGAAACTTACTCATCAACAGCCAATTTATCGAAGAGTGTTGGAATGCTACACATGTGTTAAGGCCAGTAGAGGTTAAGTGTGGCCTTGCTCTTGCAGTTGAAGGCATGAAGTGGCATCAAAACGTTGGTGGTGGTGGTGGAAGATGCTAACATTAAGGAAGTTCGCCTTGAGAAAGCAGGGTTATCATAGTGCAGAGACGTCTAAAATCCATAATACAAGCTCTCCATCGGCCAACCTTCGAAGTGTGCAATCTCTTATTGCCAGAGTTTTGGGAGAGCAATCGAGATAGCACGATGGGCGCTAGAACTGAGCAATCCTGAATTCGCAAATCTGTGTTGCGGTGCTCTATGACTGGAGGAAATTTTCAGCGTCTGCAGTCAGCGTGATTTTGTATTCTTGGCTGTAATTGATAAGTCTGCAAGCTCGGAAGGAGGAACTCCTTCAAAGGGGTTCCATTTGAGGCCAGATAGACTTTATCCGTCTTGCCTATCGTGAACTCCCACTTTACAAGCATGGCGACGTGGTCCTTTCCAGCTATGGCCGGGATGCATCACCGCGTGCAGACCAAACCAACCACTGAGTGACAAGTTAACAAACCATAGGTTTCTGCTCTACCCCGCGTTTAAACCCACAGGGATCGTAATACCGAGCTGCAAGCCTCTGAGCGAGCCGAATGCCTAAACCAACTTCACCCAAATCAGAACTTAGTTTGTTTCAAGACCGAATGTGCCTAAAGGCAGAGGATCCTGTGTCCGGCTCAACATAACAATTAGCCCTGTGACATCTGCGGCTCGCCGGACACATATTTCCATCGGGTTAGTTTCGTCTGGCCTCTTAAGTAGACCTACCCACAAATGGGTCTTGTGATGTCTGATTGTTGGCCATTGAGAATTGCCTGAAATGAGTATCTGGAAACCATGCGTGATATAATTGCCATGCTGCATGTTGCGTGATTATCACATTTGTCGTCCTGATACGGAATTCTGAAAGATCCTTTAATCGTAGAAACTTTCCTGAGCAAGTTGCTCTTCTTTTCACACAAATCTGGACTCTGATGAATTCAAATGTCAAGGGGTTTCTAGGAAGATGAGGATTTGGTTGGAGTCGAAACGTGTTGATGGAAGTCTGTTGAAGATCTGGCGCCGTATCTTCCAGGGGTAGATCGCGAAAGGGGGCCCGTTAACCTTATATCACCAGTTTTATTACCGTCTATTGTGATTAGGAATTAGATTTTACCTCATCGCCTTGTTAGGCGGCCTGCGAGCCTGTAAAGGGGGCTGTGTGACCGTCCATGCTCTGCAGCACTTCCTAATCACACCACCTCGGGGAAGTCCAATTCAGGAAGAAACTCATCTACTCAACGATTCAATGCAACCTCAGGATTGGTGGCAACTTGAAAAGAGTTTTGCCGTAGACATGCCAGCCAATCTTTCAACTACATATAAGGCCACCATGAGTTGGTTACTCTGATACTACCACAGGCCACAGCACCTCAAGTCCCCAGTGTCAAATTACCGCCACTACCATGATTGCATTCAATTATCTCGCTATTGCCCTCTATGTCATTGCCGGACTTCCTCTTTCTCTGGGAGCTCCTACAGAGCCTGCTCCTCTTTACACCAGGGATCTTGAGGAGCGTATCCCAGAGTTCGACTTCTTTGGGAATCTTAGCATGTTTATGGCTCGCCAAGACTACAATCAAAACTACGAGACTGGGGGGAATGTCAACTACTCTCCAAGCTCAAACGGATACTCGGTCAAATTTTCTGGCGCACAAGATTTCGTCGTGGGAAAAGGTTGGACCACTGGATCTGCCCGGTAATGCACTTGATTATTTCGGGTTGAGAAACTATACTGACACCTTTCAGCAACATCAAACTTTCTGGCACCCACCAAGCTACTTCAGGAACAATCCTTCTAGCTGTTTACGGCTGGACGACCAACCCACTTGTTGAGTACTACATTCAAGAGACCTACACTAGTTACTCCGGTGGAACATATAAGGGCACAGTCACAAGTGACGGATCAAACTACGACATCTATCAGCATCAACAAACCAACCAGCCTTCCATTCAAGGCACAGCAACATTCCAACAGTATATCTCCATCCGAAAGAACAAACGAAGCAGCGGCACCGTCACAACTGCGAATCACTTCAATGCGTGGGCTAAGCTTGGAATGAAGTTGGGATCATATAAATACCAGGTTGTGGCTACAGAAGGATGGGGTAATGCCGCGGGGTCTACCAATATGCAGGTCAGCTGAGCGCCATGTTGAATGGAGGTGTTTGAGGGAGAAGTGGGATGTGTGTAGGCATTATTTTCTGGAGAATTCTTTCCCTCGAGACAGCTGCGCTCGATTCACTCTTTCTGTGTAGATAATTCAATGCAAGATAGCAAGAATGTAAGATGATAGTCTTTTGTCCAAACATACTTTAATTCGCGCGGAAAATGATCTCATTGTTGGATTGTAAGAATTCAAGGCTTTTAAAGGGAGGTCGAAAGTAATATGCGCTGCCTTTCGGTGCAAGGCGCACAAAATAGCCAGCGGCTCGGAGTGCCATAGATTATGTCGACTGAGATTTTGGTTGTAGGTCTCTCAAGTCAGCCACACTCGATTTTTATCCTTGATCCGGCGACTGTATGGTCATGGGATTTATTGAAGAAAGAGGCTGAATTTGGTGAGAACGCCAAATCTTAGGCCAAAAAATCTAGCGTCTAGTGCTAAATTGGGATTGAAGTAAGGACTCCTGCGAGTAGGAGCGACTAACCGAGTATCTTCTGCGCGGCCATTCTAGGTAATAACCAACCTCATTCGGAACACTTCAAAAGTTCTCAATGACCACGACACCAGCAACATATAATATAAAATGACAAAGATAAAAAGCAGTCGCAGTCACTATTGGACTTAAGTAAAAGAGACTTGATGTTTGAAGAGGCGTTAAATTTTGGAAGTGTTTGGATTGAGTTTAATTATAAGCGAGGGGATGCTCCGGGCGAAAGATGGCAAAGACACAGACAAGCGACTTGGCGTTTAGGAGACAGAAAAAATGGGAAGGAAGCAGCGATGGATCAGACAGATCCCAGATAGGCAGTTAGTGAAGCAAGTATCCATCGTACATAATATTATAAAGAAGTGGGGCAATACCAATGCAGTTCGTTGATGGCTTCAGCAATTCATATCAGTGAAAGACAATCAAGTCCCACGTCATGACGAGTGCTTACCAAGTTAAGGAGAGGCTACGAGGGAATCGCAAAAGTCGGCCTACAACATGGAGTCATAGACTTTGGAACTTGCTTCTAGCACCGGAAATCCTTCATTATTATCCTGCCAAGAAGCCAATTCTGAGGCTTCGACGGCGGATATTGATCGTCCCAGTGAGTGGATCTCAAATCACCCGCCATTGCAACCAAGGACAATCCTTGGCGCTCGTCGCATCGTCCACTTTTCCACGTTACCAATACCTCGCACAGAGACCATAGATTAGTTTGTGGTTGCCTGTGCGTCCTGACGTCCGCCCATATCAATGCAACTAAATCACATGATGGCATATCTTGGGCCGGGGTTCGACTATGGATTAGGAAAGCGGAGGGATACAATCTACAACTACCGGTATGCCCGATTCAAAGCTGACCTTAATGGCGAGTGCTCTTTCACTCCATATTAATGTGGAGGAATCGTTTGGCCGTCTTAACTAGCATAAAAGAACTGCCTATAGTGCATTGAATTTCAAGACATGGTGTTTACAGATCATGGGTGAACGTCTTCGCCTGAACAGAGCTAGTGGTACAGAAGTCGACCTTGGTACAGTACCAAGTACGGAGCCTTGGATCTCCCGAATGTAGGTGTAGGTAGCGCTCTAAACCTTGGAACCAAAAGTATACTTGGAACAGGTCAGAAATGAGGAAATAGAAATCTCACAACACCACTGGCAGGGTTTTCACGAATACTAGTCTCAAAACGCGGCCTGTGCAATATAGTACACAATATTCCTCTGATCTATTCTATCTTATGGTAACACACGGTTCATGAACCATTCATATGCTTCCGGCTGACTGTGAAGGCATTACATGGCCTTGGCTTTAGACCAAGAAGTCCACTGGTGTCCACTGCGAGTATATTCCGCCCAGATGCACAAGGATTCGTGTCTCGGTAGAAGTAGATCGTCTTATCTGCGCCGAAGAACTTATTGGAAAGCGATCGATTTATTGATGGAAAATCGATATATTGGAGTTTGACAATCTGTAGAATGACTAGATACAGGAGAGTGAAGTGTAAAAACAGAGGAAAAGTGTCCAAAGTAAGGGATTTATTCCCACTACCCTTCGCGATACCGGTGATGCCGAGCCCGCTTTCTCCGATACATTATTAATCAGCTGATAAATCAAAAGTAATCAAAATGACGATATACTAGTAAGCTTGGTAAGCTCAGCGAGTGACGCATGACAAATGAGAGTGGAGAACCCTAAATTAGTGGTTGAACCTGGTGCTGGAAGGACTGGTGAGCTAGCTATGGTAGCGTACCAATTTCAACAGAACTGATGCCCCTCATCACTCGCGTACAACAACCTGACAGCGCCACCTTCATGACTCAGCCCACGATTGGGACCTCTGTGTCCCGCGACACCTGGATTCACACAATTATCTGTGGGGCGAGTTGCCCTCATGCAAGAATCTACCATGCTGCAAAGACCTTCTGTGCTCGCAAACGATCTTGGAAGGCAGCGAAAGAGATCGCAACATACACGATCCTCAAAAGCTCAGCCGCTTCCAGAGAAGCTACGACGGATGTAAGCACCCCGACTTGCCATCTTCGTATTTGTGCTAACTATGCTCTTGGATATCAAAAGCGGAACTGGGCGTTGTCCTGACAGTCAAACGCCACTATGGCCGATTTCTTCAAGGCACTGGAACGAGGCCTGTACGATAATGATTCGACCAATATCCGCACGGCTTGGAGAACGTCCTCATGTATTCATTCGAGACTTCGAGGTCGACTCGTTTCTTGCTCTGGTCTAGAAATTTGCTCAATGCACTTAAAATTAGCTCAAGATAAGTTTCCTCGCTGGTCGTTGGTATATTCCGTTATGAGGGAATGGGAGCAGTGAGACAATTGAGTCCCGCAACATGCAGGACACTTGAGATCAGGCTGCAAGACATTCTTGTTGCACCCAGATGTGCTTCTGGTATCAGAACTAGTAATTCTCCAAGAGCCACTTCTTTTGTTTCTATGGATGATCCTGGTTTAGGGGATGATCTAAAGGAGAGGATATGTCAAGAGCTTGCCATGTGAGATCCGTGATATACTTAAAGCAGCTAACGAAGATTCTGTTGAGTAAATTCCTCACTCATGTGATTTCGTTTTGAAGTTATAAAGCAGTAGGAACCTGTGTTGGAATGGACATTTATTGGCAATAGCAGCTAGCCCTTCAAGTCAAGGGCTTGGGGGCATATATATACATGGTAGCGTGATTTGTCAGGTAACGCATGACCAATCAGCTGACGTGCAGAAATGAGAAATTGGTAAGCTGACGTTGACGTCACTTTCAATAACCTGTTTGACAATGGCGCAGTCAATTATTTTCCCCATTATATCCAGCCTTGACCGAAGGTCTGCATATCTCACTCCCAACACTGGAAAAGGACAACCCACTCGTTTGGGCGGAAGATCGTCACTTTCTTCAAAGTAGAAATGAAACAATTCCGAGGCCATGGTAGCCAGCTAGTTTTAACGGTGAATGGGATCCACGGTTGTGTGGTTTAGTGTTTTAAATATTGCAACAGCTAGTCGTCGGCTACGCAGTGAAAATAGTAGCATTCTAATGTGGACGCGCTGTTCTTATATCTTGATCGACACTGAACGAAATATCGCAGAAACGTGAGGCTCGCCATCCCAATCCTCATATCAGATCTGCCAGGTGGCATACACGCTATATTACGCCGAGTCCCGCAAAAGACCAGGGCTGCTTTCTCATTCTGCGTTCCTCTTTTGTCAAAAGATGGAGATTGGGTATTTGATTGGCGTGCTGATAAGGGCCTTCCCCCTTTGCCCCCTGGAGATAGCTTTCCTAATTTGCGTCGTATTTTACGAACTCGCCAATCGAGAGCCGACTTAACGATGACAGCCTCGACTCTTGTTGAATGCCGATGTCAACCTCTGTTTCAAGTGAGAGGTTTCATTGTCGGATATTTGCGACTCAGCGTTGCACAGCCTGGTTGCTACGGCGTACTGGTGTTAAGGGTCAATAATTGAAACTCTCCCCCGGGGCTGTCGTTTCATTTGCTGTCGTACGCGTAAAGGACAATCCCGAAGCAGATCTATAGGCGGGGTAATAATCCTTGCGACGAAGCGCAGAATTCGTATTCTGTGCCCTATAAAATTAGCTCGGAAAAATCAGCTTACATCAGGCGCAACCAGTCAGCCGGTGTTAACATTACTTTAAGGGCGGCTATTTAAACTCTCATGCCGCCGGACCTTCATGTCTTTCCAGTATTACCCAAGTATAAATTTTCGGGGAGACAGTTCGATTCTTGAAGAGCAGTATGGATCGTAGTAAAACAAAGGTTGCTGTAGTTGGTGGGGGTGAGTTGCTGAGAGTTACATATCGCGAATCGGATATAACTAATGCTGCGCGTCTCAGGACCAGCCGGAATGGCAGCTCTTAAAGAGCTTAGGGAGTTGGGATTCGACGTCACCCTCTTCGAGAGACGTAAGGATGTGGGCGGGATCTGGACATGGACTGAAGATCGTTCGATAACCACGGCATTGAAAGAAACGCAGTTGTGCAACAGCAAATTCGGGGTTTGTAGCGCATCAGCTTTTCGCGACTGGAGAACAGGGTATGCTAATACAGAGAGAAAAGTTGGCCTTGAGCGATTTCCCAATATCAGAAGGTGGGCTTGCGACTCCTCTCAATCCAGATCAAGTGAGCGTGATGATAACACGCTCGCACAGATTATCCACCTTATTTGACCGCACCCCAAATGGGCTCCTATCTTAGATCTTATGCCAAGGAGTTCGGCCTCTACAAGAACATTGAGTTTGGCAAGACTGTCACACGCTTTGAGAAAAGTGCCGGGACAGCCAAGTGGAAACTGACCTTCGCGGACGAGCCTGACGCACCCAAATCATTCGATAAAATTGTCTGGGCCACCGGTGGATTTCTCGAACCGAAGTCTGTTGCGTTCGAAGGACAGGACCAATTCGCTGGCCGCATTCTCCACTCCCAGGACGTCAGAAATTTGGAGGACTTCAAGGGCCAAAACGTCATGGTCTTGGGAATTGGCAACACAGCTGGAGACATCACGATAAGCTTGGTACACCACGCAAACAAAGTGTACCTCTCCCACAGGCGAGGAACGAAGATATTCAAACGTTCCGGCGCGGACGGTCTGCCGACCGATATCTTCTTGACACCAACCGTTTGCGCCATAATGTGGTGGATCGAAGCCCACCTTCCCTCACTTTTTGGCAAAATCATGGACATCACCATAGATAGCAACTTCAAGGAGAACTGGGGTGAAAATAAGGCGGCATGGGGCTTGGCACAGTCGCCGAGTACTGGGGATGGTGTTCACATCATCGTGTGCAATGACGATCTCATCCCACTCATCAAAGAGGGAAAAGTAACATCTACGCAAGGGATCAAGCGTATTCTTGGACCAAAGAGGGTGGAGATGGACGACGGCTTGGTGATAGATGACGTGGATGCAATCACCACCTGTGTCGGATACTACGACGATATGGGGATGCTGTCTGATGCCCTCACGTTCGTCGACGCCCCTGGAGAAGCAGCGCCCCTACCAAATCTCTACATGGGTATCTTCCCACTAGAGCATTCGGACTCGGTCGCCATCATCAGCAATGTGCATCTCAACGGACCGCAAATCCCAGGGCGCGAACTCGCGGCTATGGCCGTAGCCCAAATCTGGGCGGGTAACTCGTCCCTGCCCTCAAAACCCTCCATGGATACCTGGGTACGGAAACATCAGGAGTGGCTTGGAAAGCGAATCGCACGAGCGCATGGTCTGCATCGCGGTGAAGTTCCGTCGATCCAGTGGATGTATTTCGTCCACGACGCCGCGGGAACTGCGCTGTACGACAACATCGGTTGGAGTTGGAAGGCGTGGAAGCTCTGGTGGTCGGACCGGGAATTATACAAGGCGTTGGCGCATGGTCCTGCAACCTCACACGGGTTTAGACTATTCGAGACTGGGAAGAGAGCTGTGTGGAAGGATGCTAGGCAAGCTGTACTAGATGTCAATGCGGAGGTGAAGAGGCTTAAGGAGGCGGCGGGGAAGAAGAAGAAAGATTGAAAGGGGGATCAATAACCCATAACTAAGTGGTTCTGAAGTTATTCGACGAGCACTACCAATAGCAGCAATAGCAGTCAGCCATAATGTATAAGGTTGACAATCACCATATCCTCACAGGAGAATGCTATGTGCATGGAAGTGATGACGAAGATTGAAGGGCGGGAGCCGAGAAATGACAATTCGAATTGCAATAGCCATTCATTCCTTAACAAATTCATTTGATGAGAATATTCTGACACTTGTCATCATCAAAAGCCTCCCCTCTCATAATCCCATGAACATATGCATCTCCAATAAGCCTAACCTCTCCCTCGCCCTCGCCCTCCCCACACCTCCTCATAATCAACGGGACACTTGAACCCTTACAAATCACAACCTCGTCGCCAACTTCCGTAGCATGAGAAGCAAGACCAAGCAATCCACCCTGCGTCCGCACCACCCTCCGATGCAACGCATAACGACCCTGAATCTCAAATAGCAAGAAAGGCCTATTTGTGAGAAAGTTTCGAACAAGGACAAAAGCACTATACATGAGTCCGAACGGAAAACTTGTCCCTTTGTCCCAGAGCTCCAATTCCAGTCGAACTCGCTCGGAGTCGTTTATCTCGGCCGCGGAGAGCGTCTGAAGAAATGCTTCACGCATGGTTTCGCCAGTTATGTAGAGTCCGTGGGAGCGTACGTCGGCGACCTGCTGCCAGCGCACGAACAAATTTCGTGCACGGTAAAGGGTGGAGAGGCAGCGCTTCCATTCTCGTGCGATCTCGGGAAGGGACCTGACGGTGTGGGGGATCTGTACACCCTCAAATATTGGTCCTATCTCGACAATTTTATCGAATTGGTGGCCTTCGACTAAAAGAGCATCGGCGCCGGACAGCTTAGGAGAGTATTTTGCTCCACGAGATGCTGAAAAACGAGGGGTTTCCTGGGCACTGGGGAGTTCTGCACCAGCGAGTGAAAGGGGCCCGTGGCCCCAGGCGTAGGTCAATGTTGAAGCCGACGAAATACTCCAGTCAGGCACCCACGAAGGAAGATTGTTCATGCGAGATCCCGCTAACGAAGGTGGCCGGCTCAATAAATCTAAAGACTGATCTTCGCCCAATATCTTCAGCGCCACTTCACGGTATATGGTACCTACGTCGTCCTCGTAACTTATTCGAACAGGATTGTGGTGGCCGGATGACGTGTCAACAAGTCCACAAAACGAATAGATCTTGTCTCTCGGATCTGTAGCCATGCACCGCTGGTGCCTCAAAAGTACTCCGTTGAGTCTGTTTTGTCCCTTTCTATAAAATGTTCGCTCCTCCTCAATCGTTGAGATATTCTCGAGGGTAACAATGAACGCCAATGGGAAGTTAAATTGAGACATGAATTTCAGAGACTGTATCACGTCTTCCCAATCGTACTGAGATGAGCCCCAGAAAATTGTTGCTTTTGCAGACACAGCGACTTCCTGGACAACCCAGGCTCGTTGGAACCAGGGCATTCGCAGCATTCCAATTAGCTCAAGGTAGAATTCGTAAGAGAACGGAGCCACGGTGCGGCATCGTCCGTCATTTCCATCCCAAACCCGGACTTGAGGACTGGCGAGCAAGTCCACTCGACGTTTGAAGATTGACAGCCCAAATTGGATGGTCCGGAGAGCGAATTTTGACATCTTGTGTGTTTGCTTTTCCTCGGCATCTCCGAGGAAGATGAGCGTTCTCTGAGCGTTTGAGAAAATTGTCCGCATAAGCTGTACCTGGCTTTCCTTTTCCGCGTTATCCGACTGATTGATGCAAATTGCATCTGCCCATAGCATCCTTGTTCTGTCAAGATATCGCATATTTCGAAGCGCAACTTTGAGTCGTCGAGGTACATGAAGTTGTTGCCCATTGCAAAGGATTGTGCTGACATCTTTCGGATCGCCCCAACAGTAGGAAACTGCTTCATATTCCAGCTCTGAAGATAGAGATACTTCTTTCAACGAAGCTTCGACCTGACTGCTAGCACCTCCAGGATGGAGTTCGAGCAAACGAATGAAAGGTCCCGTGCTTTGCGATGAGTCCAGTGGGTTGTATCGAAGGGTGGAGAAATCTCGACAGAACGGGTTGAAGCCGGTATGTGTTTTCTCGCCGCGTTGAGAGCGAAATACTTGTGAGGGAATACTGCGATATGAATGCCACCCCAAGGCAGGGTCAAATCGTTTTCCAAGATGTGGGAGGGCTAGGGAACAGGGGAAGAGAATTGACAGCCTGGCATGTCGAGCGGCAAGCTGCATCTCCTCAATATGTCAGGCTACGGCGCGACCTTTACTCCACCGGTCGCTCGAGTACACCTCCTTAGAATGAAGGTCATTGCTGATTGTTCTCACAATGATTGAAAACTTGTTTCGATTTGCGAAGAATTCAGATTCGAAACATTGATTTCAGCAAATGTGGTTCCCCTAACTGCGCTAGCGGCCGCCCCAACCCCGCCCCCTTTTCCCCACCCAGAACACGGAACACTTCAAAGAATCTAAACAACGACCCTACATATGATTAACGTCCTCTTGTTTTGAAACACAAATCTCCTGGCGATGCAATCAGACATGCGCGGATTATTATTACTTAATAATAAAGACGCTGCGTTTGATTTGTCAGAGATTGAAATAAGCAAACTGATGAGTTCCGATTTCAGAGGTGGGATAGGGAATCGCCTCAAACTCAAACTCAAACTTGGTTGAACTCAGATATTCAATTAAATTGACCCTATGGTTAAGGCAAATTATTTACAAATCACAAGCAAGGAATGGACAAGTGTTTGGTTTGTGTGATGTTTTCGCTCATCTATCAAACCTATGTCCAGATTGATGATGAGTATAGACTTCCTCAATCCATGCCATATTCTCAAGTCACTACTTCCGTGCTTCAGTATGCCAAAGTTTGTCTATTGCTTCCACGAGCATTACCTCGTCATCTCCAGGTAACCCTACGGCCCCACATTGTCCACCCCTACGATTGCCTCCGCGGTTTCTCGACTGTCCCTCGTTTTCCACAGCACCAATACTCTCACCACCTCCTAAATCTTGATTACTCTCACTTCTCTGCATCACATACTCCATCCACCTACCCGATTTTCCCCACTTCACATCTGTTGATGGAATATTAGCATCCTTGTAGTCTCCGAGCTGCAAGTGCTGCAGACAAGGAAGCGCCTGCGCAACGCTTCCCATAACGCCTTCCAATTTCTCCTCATCCGTCTCGCCCTTATCAGCTGGCCCACCGCCAGCCCCCGAGAGTGAAAAATATCTCGAAAGGCCTCGACCCGAAGTCTGTCCCATATAAATGCGCTCCTTGTCATATCCGACATGCAATGTCAAACTCCTCAAATCCTTGCAAACATCTTTCAGGATCGGAGTCTAGATCTGCTATCGAACCTATGTCCAGATTGATGCCGATGAGTATGGACATTTGTGGAATTCCTTTAATAGTTGGCTTCTTTAATGGAAGGAAAGAATGGTCGCAAAAAGGGAGATTTATAGCTTCCCTAGGTGAAATCACTAATTGCTTGATAGGCATTCAAACCGGTAGCAAACAGCACTGCTTCAGACGCTTGTCATTTTGTGTTTCCAATATTTCTACATTTGGCGCGAGTCAGACTTGAACGATGCCACCTTGTGGCCAGAGAGGTCACGGGAACAAACTACCAATCACCAAAAAGCAACAAGTGGAATCGAGAGCTGAACACAGCTTTTTCTTGATCCTTATGTCCACCTTCGCCTTCCAACACACACCCAGTCCACGAAACCTCAAACATCATCCACCTCCCTAACCTCAAACCCCAACATCTCGTTACTCACCACACTCGCCTCATCCACCATCTTCGTCGCTGTCTCGGCTCCGGCCACAGGAACGCGATACTCAAACCTCTTCCCCTTGCTCGGCGTCCTCCCATCCGGAAGCGGATACGGGAACGGCAGGTATTCCGGCAAAAGACCCAGTTGGCGCAGCACGGAGGCTTGGTCCCAGCCGATGTGTTCGTGGTACAGGCGGTCGCCGCGCACGTTTACCACGGAGGTGAAGGGGACGCGGACGTGGCGGTTGGTTGGGGGGATGCCGGGGACGCTGGGGGATGTTAGAAAGGTTTTTGAGATAAGGGAAAAGGGGGAAAGTACAGCCAGTCAATAACTTTGTCGTGCGTGAAGCAGAAGATGAACTCGTCGATTACGCGGTCGACGCCTACTGTTCGACTGACGAGCTCGAGTTGCGTGTCTTCGGGGTTATTGAAGATGAAATGATGGCGGTAGAAGTTTGTCAGTGCTTTTCTGCCGATTCCGCCTGTCATCTATCCTTTTGTCAGCTCTTGCTTCAGGTCAAGAGAAGGGGAGGGGAAAGGGGAAGTACTGTCGGCACGTGATTAACATATGGTTCTGCCACCATCGTCGCCATCGCCTTCTCGACATTGCGCTCGCCGAACTCGAAGAGAGTATGCTCGTCCCAGATAGCTTCGAGATCAAAATTTGGTCCCCCGAGATGCTTTTTAAGGAAGCCGAGGCTGCGGGTGTGTGCTACGCTGGCGGCACTGGCTTGGTAGTGTTCATGGCTTGGGAGGACGAAGTTGGTGGATTTTACGCCCTCGTATGTATGATCAGATCCTGTGGGAACAGATTTTGAAGTACTGTGGGACAAGGAGGGGACGGAGTTGGTGGAGATGTTGGGTGCTTGGCTGGTGAAACAAATGGCTGCGGCAATTCCAGGGATGTTCCAGATATTGTTCAGCTGGGCTGAACTAGCGAGTTCATAGACTGTTCAAGGTCAGTTCTCATCTGATTCAAAGATGGAAAGACGCACCTATAACCCCCACAGTGCTGTATGATGCACATTCGGGCAACTTCGTGAGAGCTGCAACCCCTGTCTTGAAATCTTCCTCAACGGTGGCCGGATCAACCTTCACCTCAACAACCGCAAATCCCTCTTCAGCCCATTTCTGCTGTGGCTCTGGATCTAATGTCTTTGATATATCTGTAGGTAATCGAGACTTGTAGTCTTTTGAGATGAGAAGCACGAGTCCGGGTCCTTTTCCGAGCCGGGAAAGTGGCGCCTGTAGGGTGACATTGTCGGCAAGCCAGATTGGCTTGGATTCAAGTGAGAGAGCTGCCATGATAGAACGGGAGATGCCGTTCAGGAGTGTTGGTTGGCAGTTCGATGTGATGTCGTCGAATTATATGCCTCCTTGCGTCCCACCTTCGTACTCGGATAGGTGGGGTTGAGTGGTACGGTAAGGTACGAGTACGCTTCACGTGATTGCGATTGAAGCCGGAGAATGGCTCCGGCGCCGCTCCCCAATCCCAAATCGGATGCATTGGTTGGAAATGCATGCAGGGTTTCACATGGACTTCACCACGGCCGCATGGTGGCTCTTGAAGGCTCACAGTCCATCATCGCGGCTCAACAGTACATCTGGCCATCCATGCGCAGTGCTATCCCCAACTCAGCGGTGATTTGCAACCCCGCAGCAGCCTGTGTCCTTGGAATTGGGGTCCGATGGGACTTGCTTGAGCTTAGAACTAGGCCACGGCTCACCAGGCCTTCAAGAGTCCACCACGGATCGTTAGCCGGTAGCTGCTTCTCGTGTCGATAGAGAGTCCAAGGGTCCTGCTAGCACCAGCCGCGAACTTTTCTCTAGCTATTTTGTGATGCATCCCATTTATTTTTATCCCTATTATTGCCTGCTTTTCTCGTCGAGAATCCGCCATGGTCTCACAGGACAGGAAAAAAGTGAGCTGATCGCCGTCACCCCACAGCCTGCCAGGGGTTCAGCACCAGCCGCAGCGGGACCCTTAAATACGTCATATCATATTTTGCCCTGAGCCATCAGCCATCAGCCATCTCCTCCATCCGCGGGGCATCCGTCCAACATCTCTTGCGCCTGCACCCGTTGCCTGTTTTCACGACATACCACCGCGCTGCTGCTCCAAAGCCATCGCTCTTGCATATGATGTTCTTCTGCCAACGGCTTCCAACAATATACCCGGTCGTGAAGCACAGCGATGGAGGGGTCGGTTAATTCCAAGAGACGTCGAGGACTGGGGGTCGTCACACCAAATGCGTGCACCGAATGCCGCAAGAAACGAGCGAAGGCAAGTTTGTCTGTCGAGACGCGAAGTAGACCCGCTAGCTGACATCCTCTGTTGCTAGTGTGATGGCAATAACCCCTGCGGACGATGCACATCACAGAAGGGAACCGAATGCGTTTACGAAGTGCCTGTGAGGCAGTCGAAGGAGCACATGCGAAGTGAAATCGAGCAGCTACGAATTCAACAACGACAGAGTGAACGCGTTCTCGCTGCACTGGTCTCAAACGACAGATCAGAGCAAGTCCTCGACCAACTACGGAATGGAGAGACATTGGACACCATAACACACAAATTGGATCATTCGACCTCGGAGTCGTCAGGTTCGGGAGGTAATGTCACAACTTTCAGTCGGCTCAGCGACCACCAAGCAATCGACCAAGCATTAAAACCTGCAAAGAGCACTGCTAGTTCTCCCACATCGACACTTGCATTCAGTGATTCTTCTGGAATCCCGCACACTTTGCCAACAGGGACTTGGCCCGCGTGGGGAGCTGAAAGCAGCAATAGCGTACAGAATGAGGACACCGATATGATGAGATGGGACCCTGACACGGGGCCGAGTCCTGACCAAGGGCATACGTATCCCTTGATCGGGGGCTGGCACCACCAGTCTGGTTCCGAGTCCGACACGGCGATTCAACAGGCCAGAGGGTATGGACAGGAAACGATCCTGGGTTCACCCTTCGGTATGGAAGAGAACCCAAACCAGGAACATCCGAATTCCAACGAGGTGTGGACCAGAGTCACCTCTGATGGTGCGCTCGTGGAGCACCTGATGGCTCTGTATTTCTGCTGGGAGTATCCAACCTTTGCTTCCTTGAGCAAGGAACATTTCTTGGAAGATTTCAGGACGGGAAACCAAAGGCATTGCTCCTCATTACTGGTCAATGCTCTTCTGGCTGTTGGCTGTAGATTCTCCAGCCAGGCCAGTACTCGAGCAGATCCTAACGACCCCAATACTTCTGGGGATCATTTCTTTGCTGAGGCATTGCGCTTGCTGGGCGAGCAACCAGATCGTCACGTCCTGACCACAATTCAGGCCTTGGGCTTGATGTCCATTCGAGAAGCCAGTTGCGGGCGATCGAGTGAAAGCCTTTTTCTGTCTGGGCAGTCGATTCGACTTGCAATTGAAATGGGATTGCATTTGGATATCAATATTTCTGATTCCAAAGAGTCTGCGATCGAGCATGCAGTGCGTTCAGCCACGTTCTGGGGCGCCTTTTCTCTTGACCAGTATGTACTTTCTATATAATCAAAAACCTTACAATCTAACTCTCTCAAGAGCTTGGTCGTTGAGCATCGGCCGACTGCCTCATTTCTCACGCGACACGAAGCTGGCGACTAAGCCAGCTATCGTTGATCACGTTGAATCTTCGGCATGGATACCATATACAGATGATGGTAATAGGTTTCGCCCGAGACAAGTGCTCATGCTGATGAGTCGTAGGAGCACCATTGGAGCGGTCGTGCACTCAGCCCTCAAACGTTCGCAGCGTCTATAAAACCTTTTGCGAGCTCTCCGAGATTGTCCACAAATCTTTATATACTTTATACTCCCCAGGAACGCACGTTACTAGTAAAGCACTTCTCGAAGCGTATACTCAATATCTAAACTGGTACGATGAAATTCCAGCAAGCTTGCGACTCGGGCACAACTTCACCCCAGCAGTGCTTTTCGCACAGTGAGTAACGCCTACCTCTGTCAAACCAATCTAACACTTGGTAGCATGTACTATCACTACGCCATTCTCCTCCTCTTCCGCCCCTTCATCAAACTGGAAATAGTCGGCTCCGGCGTCTCGCCCCGTGATGTCTGCAGCCAAGCAGCGTCCGCCATCTCCACGCTCGTGAATTCTTACTCTCGACTCTACACCCTTCGCCGCACGCCCTCTTTCGTCCCCTACTTCGTTCTCACCTCATCCATCGCACACATCGTGACCCTGGGGAACGCAAGAGAAGGACCGGAACAGTTGGAAAAGGGCATCGCCGACCTCAAGGAGATGACCTGCTGCCACGGCTTCGCGATCCGCGCCCTCGACATACTACGCTATCTAATCCTGCACTGGGACGTCGACATAGAATTCGAGGACGACGACGAAGGAGTCGCAGAGGGAGCGCGAGAGGGAGGGGAAGGAGGTGGCGAGGGGAAGTGGAAGCAAGAGATGTGTCGTCCGGAATCTACGAGCCTCAATCAGTTCTGCCCGAATGTCGAGAGCGTGGATGTCGTCAATGGCATCGGGAGGGTGGTCTTGGGTGACAATCCGCTGTTCTGGCCGTTTCCGCTGCAGGGGAGGCCGTTGCTGGATGGGCGTGCGTTGGAGATTGGCGGGTTCAGACTTGTGCCTTGAGAGTGGTAGTGTGAGCATTGAGGGCCGAGAGAGGGCTTGCCATGCGTGTGTCACTTTTTGCTGGCAGACCCCTGCGATTGTGATGGCCTGGAGTGGATGAGTTACGACATAATGATAAGCATGATGAGGCTACACGGATCTGAACAGCACGAGTGCGAGGCCACGGCTACGAGTACGAGAAATGGATTGGCTGTCGTCGGAGTGAGGCTCCGGAGTGTGGAGTCTCGAGCGTGGGGGTACTCGGTCCGCGAGACTACAGGGGCAGAGATGCTGCAGGAAATTTCTGCAGACTTGACTGCTCAGGTCTGATGATTGAAATGTCCACAAGTGAACAAGGAGTACGGAGTAGGGAGAGGCCAGGGAAAAGTTTGCCCTTTGCAGCGAGCTTGCATGGGCGGAAAGGGGTCCTGCCGGCACGGGCAAATAGGGAGGGATCCCGGGGAATCACCTTCCTTTCAGCCGCATCCTTCCTTGCCATCCATCCTCAGGGGGGGCTTGGGGAGGACTGGCGGAGCAGATGTGTTGTACAGTACCTACCTCGCTAGATTGTGATAGCCATAGGGCGGTTGAGGACAATCAAATGGGTTTTTCCACTTGGACACCGGGATTTCTCGGGGGCTGTCGGTCGGGTGTTTGCGGCAACTCTCGTCTTGCCTCAAGACAATCAATCAATCAAACTTCGGATTTCGATGAACCCCTTCTTACCCCAGTTTGCCCAGAATTCTGGAAGCCCCTCCTCTCGTGACGATTCAACTTTTGCAATCTCCCCAACATTTTTCGTCCCGAATGCGAACTTTTATTTATTGATTTTCGGCTTTCGATTTTCGATTTCAAGGATTCCCAATATTTCCAAACACAGGCGAGGCTCCCTCCTATATTGGGGTTCTCCCAGAATCTTGCGGCGGAAACTCGATGGACTGGCAATCATGTCCTCGACTGCATATAGTGGGATGAAGGTTGGCTTTCGCGATGCGTCGAGGGGATGAGGTTCATGGACCGAGTGAGGGTCTAGCCGTGCTTTGGAATATATAGTTATTGTACAGTAGTAAGTAGTAAGTCTGGGATGCGGTACGGTTGTTGTCTTTTTATCCAATGAGAAAAGGGTGAGACCAGCCGGCGATGGAGAGGTGAAGCGTTATGGGAAGGGCCCAGGGCAGGGCAGGGCAGGTGGTGTGAGGGTCTGGACCCGTGGCGTGAAAACCGGCTTGGCGTGGCTTGGCTCGAGCGTCGCGGCGTCGTGTGGATTGGCTGGTGCGGTTAGAGGGGTGGGGTGTGAGAATGCATGGTGGGGAGCCAGATCATTAGGAGCGGCGATGATAATTAATTGGTGGGGTGTGCGAGGAGTGATACGTGTAAGCCCGTGCTCCACGGAGCCCAGGGGATTGGGGCCGGGGGTTCTGCTGGGCTGCTTGGCGGGGAGGGCTGCGATTCGCAGCAAGATCGGGATCGGGATCGGAAACGGGGGGGTAGTAAGCTGGCTGGGCTGGCCGCGTGGGACAAGGACGTCAAGGGATGGGGTGGAAGATGTGGGAGAGAGTTCTCGACTTCCACAGTCTCTAGATTACAGCTTTCCACAAGGCGTCGGACTGAATCCGTCCTTGCATCGTTATCCGTGCAGAAATACTTAATGCAGACAGTGAGGATCGAAGTTGCAGTGCAGCACGTATCTGAGGAATCGAGATACAATGCATCGTTATCCGAGCAGAAATACTTAATGCAGCCTGGGAGAGATTGAAGCTGCGGTGCAGCGTGGATTCGAGAATTCGAGATATGGTGCATCGTTATCCGTGCAGAAATACTTCATGCAGACAGTGAGAGATTGAAGCTGCGGTGCCGCGTGGATCTGAGAATTCGAGATACGGTGCATCGTTATCCGTGCAGAAATACTTGATGCAGACAGACAGTGAGGATCGAAGTTGCAGTGCAGCATGTATCTGAGGAATCGAGATACGGTGCATTCATTGCAGTATCGTATCTGGAAAAGGGCGCATGCAGATTAGGAGCTTGCTTGGTTTCGTTTTGCGGGGTAATTTTGGAGCTGCTGCTGTGTAACGGAGCACCAAGACCAGCGACATCGTCTTCTGCATCGTTCTGTTTGCTTGCAAGGGAGTCATCTCCGCATCGCTGCCAGGCTGACGGACACCTCCTATGGTAAAATGGCGTGGAAGATGGGATTCTTGGGACGGTGGAGAGAGGGGGGGAGGGCAAAAAGGGAGGTGCTGTCATTGAAGCTAAAGGCAAACGATCTTGAAGTTGGGTTTTCGAAGGGTCCGGACGCTGCGGATGAGAGTCCCATAGTGCTGTTGTGCTTGCCGGCTTCAATGACTGCGGTGCAACGAATCAGGGTGCACACAGATGAAGGCTTGCTTAGTCCTCGTTGCAAGCGGTCCTCACGGGTCGTCCTCGCTGCGCTGCATCTGCACGTGCAAATCACACTCGATTCGATTTGGCTTTCGTGTGTGTCAGGAATGGCAGATGCTTGAAGGGGCCACAGGACAGGCTCCAGCGTCACCTTGCCCAAGGCTGAGAAAAGTGGGGCGGCGCCGCTAGTGCCCGTTTCCGTTTCCAGGAGGGGTCTAGAAGGATCGAATTCTGCGTTTGCTGCTTTTCGCATGGAGGATCGAGATGCGGAGATGCGCATGCTGCGAGCCGCCCTATGAGAGCGTTTGCTGATACAGTCCAAGTATTAGCGGCGGCCTTAGGAGAGCTATTCCCGCAGGAGAAGAAAGTCCACGCGAGGAGAGGCCAAGGGCCCAAGAGGGCTCTGAGGGAGAGATGCGACGCTGCCACGCCCAAACAAACGAAGTGTCAACAGCACGCAGCACGCTGAAGTACGTACGAAAGGTACAAGGAAAGAGACGACGGCTCTCCGACCACAGAGACAGACAGGTATACCGCAGCCCGAGAGGCGACTCAAGCTCCGAACTTATCCCGCAAACAGAGTTCCTCCAATTGCCCCGACAGCCAGCCCTGTTGAGCCGGCCTGCTCCGACTCGCGAGCCCCGTCACAGCCCGTCACAGCCTGTCGTCGCCTCTACTCAGTACTGGACCAGACTACAACCAGTACGGGTGGCTGACCAGCGCCTGCAGCCACCGCTGCATATCAGCCCACAACACCACTTCTCGCATGCTTTCAAGGGCGAAGAAGGGTGCTCCTCGTCCGATGAGGACCCTCCCATCCGGATGGCCCAATCACTGCCCTCCCACTTGACCCAATGCAAACCATGTCTGTGTCAGTTGCGTCCACTGATTGCAGATCTGCTCTGGAATGCAGATGCGCAACTTGGATTGCCTTTTCGGCTACTACTCGATTTTCACGGCCGGCCGATTTATATGTCTTCTGCAGCCCTGTCTCGCATCCCCAATGAACAAGAAACTCGGGGCCCTCCGCCATCTCACATTGCTCTCGTACTTTCTGCCCAGAGGCCCTTCTCGACTCCATTCGTAGTCGCACCATCTGTCCGTGATCCTCGTATGACACGAGTACGAACCGGCTCTTCTCCAAACAACTTTCAGACTACGGAGTCATCCCCGACAACTTCACGTCCTGTAGCGCTGAAGCTGTGTCGACCGCGTTCGGCCTTCCTAACATAGATATCTAAGGGTCCCTCGCCCCAATAGCGCCGGCACGTCATCTATCCAGGACAACAATTCGATTGAAGCACTGCTTATCTACACGCAATTCATCCATTCGCCTGACAACCTCGGCACTGCAAAGGATATATTTTGTTCCAGCTCCAAGGTTCAAAGCTCAACACCAGCACAAATCTCTGAACAGTTTGCAGATTTCGCTGCAGTTTTGTTCATCATTGAATCTCACAAATGGCTAGCACTGTGTACCAGACCTCAGCTGCGGATTACTTCTCCAGCCCAACACAACGGCCTCCAGTAAGTAGCATTTTTTCTATTTCCATGTTTCTTTTCTAAAGCTTCATGGACATTTCCAGCGAGGGATTTGTCTGTCAAGGACAGACCAATCTAGAGCCAGCCTTCGACATATACCTCAACCTCGCCTCAGTCCACACGTGAATCACCCGAAAGTTACCTCAACATCAGCTGATCGTCCCCCAGATCAACACCATATCTACCTACGATTGGGACAACATCTCAGACCCAACGCTAACTTCCGACTCGGGCGACTCCTTATCCTCGCCAACGTCACCGGACTCCATCATCTTCCCTCAGAACTGCTACACTCTCACAAAGGACGAGTGTAACCCCATCATCAAGTCCGAACAACCATCCAACTTCGGCACCTTCGAAGACTGGATGCGCTGGGACGACCCCTCTGACGCGGCGCTGTCCCCAACCTCCACGGACCAGAACTACTTCCCGGACTTCAAACTTGAGCCTACCTCCCCTAACATGAGCATGAACGGTCTCGAACTCCAGGGTGGCATCTCATCCAATCAAAATAACATCCAATCCACAGAAGACTCAGTCATCTTCGGCGAAGTGAGCGAAGAGCCACTGTTCCAAACACCAGGTAGATCCTCACTCATCACTCCTCCTCTCGACCTCTTCATATCGCGAGAAAATCTTTATTCCACGCCATTGAGCTGGGCAAGGCCGCAACAGAAAGCAAACTCCTACGCGAACTTAACGCCACAAGAAGAAACCAAACTCCGCAATATTGCCATGCCTCCAACCCAACAATCCCCCACGTCGCAAGACGCAGACAAATACCCCGCATCCCCATCTTTGTCCCCATCACCTGAACCAAGCAACATGAACAGGAGGAAGAGAAAATCAACCGTTGGAGACGACGAGGGAGAGGATTCGCCGCCCCCGACATCCAATAGCAGCAGACCTGTGAAAAAGACAGCGCACAACATGATTGAAAAACGCTACCGCACAAATCTCAACGATAAAATCGCCGCCCTTCGAGATTCTGTTCCCTCATTACGTGTCATGGGCAAGAAGAATTCTCGAGGAGAACTCCACGAGGATCTGCAGGGCCTGACGCCGGCGCACAAATTGAACAAGGTCAGTTTTAGTAGGCACTTGACCCCCCTTTCCCCTCCTCCCTCAAAGGTATAATAATTTTGCTAACACAAAATCAAGGCGACTGTTCTCTCCAAAGCCACAGAATACATCGCGCATCTGGAAAAGCGGAATCGATACCTGGTCAAAGAGAACGCTGCGCTGAAGAGCCGCGTCGACGCTTTTGAGATCCTGGTCATGTCGAGGCAGCAGCCGGGCCAGCAGCAGATGCAGGTGCAGGCGCAGAAGAGGGAGCAGCAGCGGCGGCAGTCGAGTCACGGGATAATGGGCGGGCAGCAGTATATGATGTGAGCTTGCAGCGCAGCGAAGACTCTTGGGGTGGGATGAGGGCGCGGAGTGCAAGGCGTTTGGAAATTTTGAGGAGTTTAGGATCGGAGGGATACCCGAGCTGATGTTGTTCGCCCCTACTGTATCTTTGTTTCTGGGGTGCGGAGATTGGAAAAGCCTTGGGGTTGACTGGAGTTTATTGGGATTCTGAAGTTTCTGTTGCATAGCTTGCCTTTGGATTTCGACTCCACTGAATACCTTTTTCTGATGAGGGGGGGAGGGAGGGAAGTAATTAGTGTAGATAGGAATTTTGATGGACATACTTCTACTTGGTGCTTTCTTACTTGGGGCTTGTGAATTTTGAGTCTGAGGATGGAACTTTGGTATAGAATATGAGGAGACGGAGAATGATAAAGGAGGCAAGAACCACGTGATTTGTTTCCTGCTTCTATTGGATCTTCCACGAACAAGGGAACTGAGATGCTTCATTCTATTCATATTGTAACTATGTCACTATCGTAATTCATAATACGTACCTCAATCACTTCACAATAGAAAGCATTCTTACACTAGTCACGTGTCTTCCAATCCTTACACTCCGCGCTTCATCTTCTCCCCCTCTCTATCAACACCGGAACACCGCAACACAAACCCCCCGACACCGCCCAACGCATCACCTCGGTACAGCAGTTTGAATTCATTGGGATCTTCGCTAGGATCAAGCCAACGCGTCACTGCTACGCAGCTGTGGAGAACACACGCCACTCTCGCGCGACGCATGTTGGAAGTCACGCCACTACTCTGCACTCTTCGGATACCGGAGATCAGCCCCGGCCGTCACCTCCCGCTTGAGTTGGACCAAAAAAAAACTTTCACGGCAGAGTGATGTCTTGCTGCGTTGACTCCTGCCGTCCGTCGTTTCAACGAAGGGTTGACGGTGCGGAGCTGGTGCCGCTCGGCGGCCTTCAAAAACGACAATCGCGATGAATGCGCGAGGTTTTTAATCCAATGTTGCTATCCACTGTGTTCGGATGTGGCGCTAGAAAGGCTTTGAATAGGGATTCAGTCCTGCGGCAGACTGGGAACAGCAGACTGCGCTTCAAAACGGCGAGTAGCTGCTCTTGCACGTCATGCAGGTAAGAAGATGTATTTGAAGATGAAGGGTGAGTGCAGTATACTTGGTCTGCACTCATCGCATATTCAGCACCGAGTCTCCGCCTCAAGTGGACGTTGGTTTGAAAGTTGATAGCTGTCAAAGGCTCAGCCAAGACGCTTTCATCTGATCTCACAGATCGCGTCTCCTTATGACTATTTTGTCTTTGGGACGTCCCTGAGAAGGGCCAGGCGAGATCTCAAGCGAGTTTTCGAAGACTTCCATTGCCTGGCCTGAATCTTCTCGCGTGAACCCAAACGCGAGGGAGGTTTTCGGGCGAGAAGGACAGATGATGTTCCCCGGATCTCGGGACATCTCATCTTTCAATGTACCCCCTGCCCTCGAACCCTTCTGGAAGAAGCCTCATGCGTCCCTCTGCCTCCACCTTAAATTGTTGATTGGCTGCTCTCATCCATTACAATAGCAGGTTTCGGCACCCATTCCGAATACCCCCGGTACCACCCCCTCGATGGAATGTGCATTTCATGGTGCCGATTATGGCGACCGGGTTTGTGGCATTTGGGATGGCGAGCGTTATGGCCGCATCCCCTCGCCTTCCTCCTCCCGGCCAATCGCAGGCTGGTCGTGAAACGGCTGCCACTCCAACACTACCTAGTGGACGCCTACACGCGCTACGCAGCCTCCGCGATCGCGGCAACGACAACCCTGCGGTCTGTTCTTGGCGCTTTGCTGCCCCTGGCGGGCTAGCCTATATATGAGAAGTTGGGGATTGGGTGTGCCGTGGGTTTTCTGGCGGCATGGAAAGAGGATTAGGATCAGGTAGCTTGTGGAGTTGGACTGAATGACGAAGATCGGCGGTTAGGTTAGGTGAGGTTGGTTATCCGATCAACCTTATAATCCCCGTCTCGCTGAGTGGAATATTCGGCCCTGGAACTTGTCCTCCCAGGAATCTCTTCGGGCCAGACCTTTGGCTCTACCTACAAGGTTCTCAGCCATCATTCGTCTCATTAAGGTGACAAAACATCCCAAATCTGGACAGTCAGAAGCTGCTGAGACGGTCCCTGCTTTTGTCCATGAGCATGACTCTAGTTTTGGGGGTCTGAAACAACAGATGTAGAAAGAGGGTTTTATGTCAGGAGCATAAAGCTGCATTGAAGGATACGAGTACAGTCACACGTTAGTGTTAGCCGGTGCCAACGTCGCTATTTAATAATGCCGATCGATTTCTAATAGTCCCCACTATACACCCAAGATCTTCGAAGATGAGGTTTTAGCGAGGCTATTAAGGGGGAGCGATCACGTGAACATTTTATTACTCTATGTTCGAATCCACCTATCTATTTCCTTTCTCATGAAATAAACTTCTTTGTATACATCTACTCGTATAGAATCATGCGTTCCGGTACAAAGTTTCCCTATTTATCCAGGACTAATCATTTTGGGCTCGCTTAAATTTGCCTCCTATCTCTAGAAAGGGGGGGGGGATGGACGACTAGCATGCGCTGCGGTGTGGGCAGATTCGTAGACTCTTGGGTATAAATAAGAATTCCTCTTCAAATAAATTCTCATCTCACAATCCAACGGTAACATTCCGAAATCTAGAAAGAACGAAATCCGCACGTAATCAATTCCTCCCAGATAATCACCCTCTTTTCACTAATGATTCATAGCTTCGCAGAGACGATCATAGCCGCTTCTCGCATCTCTGAGATGTTCGATCCGACGTCCGAATAAATCTTAATCTTAGCCCAAATACTACAAGACAGCCATGTACGCATCACGCACACATATCAACCCTCCTCGCTCATCCTCACCTCCGTGGCCTCAAACATCTACTTCCTGCCCCTCACTAGCAAATTTCAATACTCGTCCGACAGTCAAGGCTTCTCCGACTGCGTATGGGCGCCCGATATAGGCGGCGCAAACGATCACATGAGTCTACAGCTCGGCAGCTGCTCGCTTATAAATGGTGGCGACCTCAAGCGAGAGTTTGGGCAGGAGAAGTAAAGTAATGTCTTTCGGCGAGATTTTGGCGTTCAAATCCACGCGGATCACTTCAACACTTCTTTCCAACGTTCAAAACTACAGTTGATGGGACGAAACTAAATATAACACCGAGGTCTAAAGTTTCGTTATTCAGCTTGGCTAGAAAAATAAAGATTGCGGGGAAGTTGTGAGATTTTTTAAGGTTTTGACAGGGGGAAAAGGCGGCTAGGTTACCGAACCGACGTGAAAGACCTAGCTCGGATTTTCGGGTGTTGGAAATGACTAGAGCTCGATTTCGGAGAGGAAAGAATGGGGAAAATTGGAGAGCTGGAAGTCTCGATTTTAGAAGCTTGGACGCTCGGAAAGAGAGATTCCCGCCAGCTGATTGGAAGATAAGAGGTATTTATCGCCGTTTCTCTCATCTCTGTGAGTGCCATCCCAAATGTGGCCCTGATTCGATTCGTAAATCGATTTTCATAAGTCAAAATTTGCTTTCAACCCCCAGCGGCAGTGTTGAGAGGGTTCGAGTAAGCACAAAAGGCCATCAAAATCAGCATACTCCACCCATAAATCGTGGCATTTTGAATGATTGGAGATGTTTGCAGTCTGGCCAGCTTCGGTGAGTTTTGGTCCCTGCGATTTGCCACTGTGCCGTCTGGGGTCACACATCAAGCAGAAATTCGGCAATGCCACAAAAGTCTACAGAGCTAGCATCTTATCAGAACGGTACCTCGCCGCCTGCACCGGTTAGCGTAGTATTGCTTGAGAGGGCGATGAGGGTCTGGGGGCTCGGGAAGATTAGATACCGCACAATTCTGACTAACACGTAATTGAATATAGAATATATTCATTTGTATCGAGAGTAAAGAATAGGTCAGGAGGCTAGCAAGTTCCTGAAGCCGTATGAGAAAATTTGCTACCAAAGATAAGTTTTGCATAGTCATATACTTTTGCTGGGCTTTGCACCAGAGATGAGAGGATTGAGGCATAGACCAAACTTTCCAGAGGCACCGGTTGCGTCTCCTCTATATCACTGTTGTTGATAGGGGTGGCACTTCACTGTCTTTTCTCTCTCCTCCTAGAAAATCCATTGCTCACCACTAAACGAGATTGTTATATCCGAATCCGTTTATGTATTTAAACTTATGTGCTTTCTTTTCGTTAACCAATGTAACATTTTAGACATTTTCAGAGGTGGGGGATCATGGCGGGGTAGCTCGCTTCGAGGTGGCGGGGAATGCATGACAACACATAAGTTCTCGGGTTTCCTCTACAAACTATCCGAAGGAGTGATTCTTTAATAGAGGTACCTTTGATAATATCGTCCAGTCGATTCCAGTACCACAGATTAAATAAAACCCTCCGGATGAGTGGATCTGGTTCTTCGGCTGGCGTCTGACATCTCTGGAGTGGGGCTAGCCGCATATGCCGCCCAAATGCGTGAGCGTGGCAGACAGTTACTGGTCCGTTGATTTCAACCGATCCACAATCTCTGTTGACCGTTTTTAATTGAGCTTGCATTCATCAGATACTTGTTGCGGCTCCTCTCGTCAGTCGATGGCCACTTCGTGAGTCCCGTCTCATCATATTGCTCCTCGACATACAAAAAGAGGGTGTTAGAGTCACCAGCTCCACAACCGAGGGTGCAATTTACACAGTCAGCACTTCCACTGACCAAGTAAAGGTACGGGCACACCGAATAGGGGCCTGCCCTCGGCTGTTCCGCTTGGACGATGTTAGTGGTCCCTGAGGGTTGGGGAAACGCCACAGTGGCCTACGCTGCCGAGTTCAGGACCGACTGGTTAAAAATACTACTCTGGGTCTGGGGCCCAGCCAGTAATGTGCACTGAACTGTTAAACGCACCGGTTATCTAATGCGCAGATCGTTAGTAAGCCTGCCAGATATCCGGGGTCAGCTCCGTACCCACAAGCTCGTGCATTGGTGTATCTTTGTTGCTTTAGAGAGCAATTGGTCGTATTATTATCTACTTTGGATTTTTCCCATGATAATCTGCAGTCAAGTCTTGGCAAAAATCAGCAGAACGAAGTATGGAGTTATTTGTGTCATGAGAAGATTCACACATAAGTAATCCAGCCGGGTGGGACAAGAGGATAGATAGAGTCACTCGATGACAACGATGTCTATATCGGCACAGCGTGGTCCGTATTTCTCATTCGCTGATCTTGGGAGCAATATTCCTTATCGACGACAATCAGTGCTCGTAGTGACATCCACAACATTGGTCGTTGCTACAGTATTCATTACAGCGAGACTAGTAAGCCGACTTGTCATTGTGAGGAAAATAACTTGGGACGACTATTTTATTGTGTTTGGATGGGTAAGTTTCATTTGCATGCCTCCGGATGATCCGATCCAGCGAGATGCGATTTTTTGACTGTGCTTGAACGTTCTGCTAACTTACATCTTGGCAGCTTCTTGCATTTGGGCTAACTTTTTCCGTTTGCTACGGTACCTCAAAAGGACTGGGCTTACGCGATGCCAATATCCCAGAGGAGTGGATGTACCCACTCAGGAAGTGCGAGTATGCTTTTGCAATAATCTACGTCAGTAAGCAACTCCGTCATTCAAATATGTACTGAATTGTCCTCCAGAATCCTGCTTTGATGGCCACGAAATCTTCCATCCTAATTTTGTACCTTCGGCTTTCTCGTAATGCCCACAAATTGCTGCGTGTAGCATCATGGGTCACACTTGCTGTGGTCAACATCGCAGGCCTCGTCTTAACATTCTTCAACGTCTTCCAATGCCTACCAGTATCCCAAGTCTTCGCTCCGGTCGGAACATGTATACCCCTGATCACGTTGTACTTGGCATCAGTGCCAGTGAATGTTATCACAGACATCGCCATCCTCGTCTTGCCGATACCAGTTTTAACAGCAATGCAGCTGCCACGCAAGCAAAAAATGATCTTGATTGCAACCTTCGGCCTGGGTATCTATGTTATAGCCACCGACGTTGTCCGTATTTACTATCTTCAACAATCTTCGGGTCCATCCAGCCCTACAACTTCACCCCTCCTCGGTAATGAGATTGACTTCTCTTACCACGCTTCAATATCGTTCATGTGGAGTGTCGTGGAAGTCAATCTAGGCATTGTGTGTGCTTGCATACCGACAATGAAGCCGTTAATTAGCAGGATCCTGCCAGCACTTATCGACAACAGCCGAGGAAGTTCTTGCTTTGGAAGTTTGTACAAAAGCTCCAACCAAGGAACCACTGCGATTTCATCACCCACGCCTGGAAATGCTACCGGAGTAGCCTCTCCAATCGCTCCACCGCCGTCAGCTTTGATTTCGGCTACCGACAGCCTTCTTGTCTCCCGTGATCGATTCTCGTCGAATGCAACAGATTGGACGTTGACCGGGGATGGTGGCCTCGACCCAGAAAACCACATACCAGACTCGCGACGAGCCCTCCCAAATGCTGGACTGGGCCTACAGGAATCAGTTGCTTCACCAAATGCGGAGTCAGAGAGAATCAATAGGGCGTCAACAACACTGGGAAGGACAGAAGCCGAGGTTTTCTTCGGGTTCATCCATCTTAGAGCACCAAGAAGTATGCTTCGAGCTAGCGTGAGAGATTCGATAAAGTACTGCACACTGATATCAGTACTGTTCTTCATATGCGGATTCTCACACGGTCTTTGGAACAATCTCAACAACCAAGTTTCTAAGATCGCTTCGAACAGCGAGGCTCGCACGTTGGGCTTGTACACAGCTTACTTTGGATCTTATGCTTTTGGTCCCATTACTGTTGGCAGATATGTCCTGACAAGATCAACCTTCAAGGCAACCTTCATCACCGGCTTGTGTATCTATGGAACCGGTGTTTTCATTTACTGGCCAGCAGAAGTACTCCTTTCCTATCCAGGCTTCCTGGTCGCCAACTTCTTTGTCGGTTTCGGAATCTCTATCATCGAGACAGCTGCAAACCCTTTTTTCGTCCTCTGTGGCGCTGCGTATTATGGCGAAATACGTCTCCTTCTTGGTCAAAGTGTCGAGGCAGTTGGCAAACTGGTTGGGATGGTCGCAGCCGAGAAAGGCCTATGGCATGATGTCACGGACGGAACTTCACTTCTCTCCATTCAATGGCTCTATCTCGCCATCGCCTTGTTGAACGTCGTTCTGGCTCTAGCTTTGTACTACTTACCGCTGCCAGAAGCTACTGATGATGACTTGCAACTGCAAACCCAACCTGGCCTCCCGCAACTCAACCAAATTTTCGCCGCCCTCGCCCAGTCTGAACAGAGATTCCGTAGCATCAATGTGAGAGTCATCTTCGTAACACTCTGTCTGGCATTCTTCGCTCAATTCCTCTGTTGCGGGGTCTTCGAGTCAAATAATCTCTTCCTGAACGAAACCCTCAACACACCCGAACTCAGTATGACTTCTTTCAACTATGGTATTATAGCCAATGCGTCCACAGCAGGGGGTCGATTAGTCTTCGCAGCCACTTGCATCTTCCTGCCACCGCGCCTCGTCCTCCTGATTTCTTTCGCCGGCGCTCTCATCTTGTCTATCCTGGTTTTATCAATCACCAACGTTGACCCGGATACCACAGGCTGCCTCATTGTCGCGCAGTTCTTCTTCCAAGGTCCTCTATGGCCGCTGATTTTTGCCACGGGGCTGCGACGTATGGGACGGCGAATGAAGATGTCTGCCATTATATTGACTAGCGCTACAACTGGTGCCGGGTTTCTTCCATGGATATCTTTCCTGATAATTCATCACGACAAACGAACAGGGCAGTATGCGTATTGCATAACTATTGCCTTCTTGGGCCTGGGGATGCTGTACCCCATCTACCTCTCTGTGGTCCCCAAAGCAAGAGAGCAAGTTGATCGAGGAGAAAAACCGCAGCCAAGGAATACATCCAGAAGCAGTGGCAGCAACCGAAGTCCAGAGGATAATGGGTTTCCTCGGTACCCTGGAACCCCGCCAGCCATCGTCGTGAACGGGGTACCGCCGGCGGTGCTTAGGCAAAGAAGGATGAGTAGGAGATTTAGCAGTCTCTCTACTTTAATGAAGCATGCCGTCAAACGAAGGAATCCCAGCGTCGCGGATCCTGGCATAGAGTTTGTTGACACTGGACGTGTGACGGAAAGACGTGTGAATAGGGACTGAATCACTTTTCCAGTCACGAGTCACGGGTCTTGGACCAGTGTCGTCTGTGTCCTTCAAGAAGAGTGCTGAACTTTCCATCAGGAAACCGGAGGACAAGCCGAGGCAAGATCAATTACATCTGTCTAATACCTGGAAGGCAAGCTACTCAGTACGGGTGGAGTCGATTGACGTTGACCAACAACACTCCATGCTCAGAGCAGAGTCAAGAAGTAAATGGGCAACTTGAAGAGCGAGAAAGGGCAATATAGCTTCACACGAATTTCTTTGCTTTGATGTTTGGCGTCGACATTGGAGGAAGTCGCCGCAATGTAAATATCAGGCATGCACACAGGTAAATGCATATACATAAGATACATATCTCAAATGGCTGGGTAAACAGCACCAAGCATTTGGCTATCGGTAGCAAAAGAATTTTACGAGATTCTCACTGCAACAGGAGAAATGAGGTTGGGGTTCGAAGACTTCGTGGACTCTCGCTTCAGCATCTTATTTCCGGCCCCTTCTCTCACTCTGAGCCAGTGTTCGGATCTTCGTATTTAATTGAGTTTATCCAAACCCATTTGGTCCAAGCCTTGGCCTCTGTGGCCTTTGGGGCTTATTGTTTAAAGCCTTCTCGCTGGGAACACTTTGGAAATTGAACCTTATATTAGGAAGTAATCTACTTTCATTTAAGATGAACAAGAGGATTAACTCGTCAATGTAGAAATTATTGTGCCCTTTTCTTGAGAAATCAAAACATTGTTTGAGGTCTGTGAATTGTTTTCGGCATAATTTAGTTGCAAGCAGAAGCGCTTGGCGGAATAATCAAAGAGGCATACTACTGTAATGTTGTTTTCCGAAATTTGATTGGTCCTGAGTATATTGAATTTCTAAGTACCCAAACCGTCTAACTCCAAAGTGATTGAAATTTTCTGCGTATCCTACTGCTTCTTGTCGGCCTCTAATGTGTGGGCTGTTTCTCCCTTTTCAACACGAGATTCAATACCCAACTCCCTTGCATCTGGCTTGAAATCCGCCACATACGTAGAGAACTTCCATGTCGGAACCTTGATCTCAAAGAGTTCATCTAGCTGTTAGAGACTTCTGCCCCTGGTCTCCGGGCAAACGAAGAACACCCATACTGCGAGAATGAAAGTACCCCACATTGCTTAAAAAACTTCTCATTCCCGCAGTGGAACCTCGAAAATAGGCAAGCGCAATCTCGCTCATAAAGAGAGATATGATCGAAATACCTGAGGCAATGCAGAGGCTCAGACGCAGTCCCATTATTCCCCAAACCCGAAGTTAAAAGATACAAGGTACCAAGCCTCCGAGATTCATCAAGTTTTGAATCAGTGTTTATACTCTAGTGCTAATGTTATAACCGTTCAGACTCACTGGCTAAGCAGTAATCAAATCAACCAAATCGCCAAATCGAGTCCAAAAGGCTCATATATTGAATAGTACACATTATGAAATGCAAGTGAGAGGTGATACTTACATCGACGTAGCCGAAGGTAGCCAGGAAGCCACTATTTCGTGAAATTCATACACGGCAACTAAGTCAGAGCCGAACTGAAACTGCGAGAAAGCCACAAAAATGCAATACTGACAATACTCTTTTCTTTCCCTAAGGTGATAAAGAGATTTTGCTCCTGGCCAACCATTTTGGAAGTTTTTGCAACTCACACAGCATAATCCTGGGAGCCCGGAGAAAGACAATAGACAGCATGCTTGAATTGATTTGAAAGTTCAATGATCTCATTCCATATCATACATATACCAACTAATAACGCAACGAGAAAAGCACTCCCCGCGTGATCATCTTGTGCAGGACTGCTGCCGGCTAGCTGTGAATCATTATCCACCCAACTCTGCAAATATTCGTTGTTTCATGTCGCAGAGACAGCTCTCTTCAACAAAGAAACGGGCGATGTCTGCAGCAATGCACTTTGCAACCACAATCGCAACATGTGCACGGATTGTTGGGGTTAGAGAATGGATTCGCGTTCGGATTTCCAGGTTGAAGGCCTCTTTGCTTGCCATTCGCCAACTTCGTCCTATCAAATGGATTGTCTGGAAACTTAGGTCTGTTGAGCGAGTTGAGTTCCATAGGACCGGAGAGATTTCTATCGAAATCCAACGGACTTTTATCAAGAAGCGGTTGGGAAAGCGGCGGGTGTGTGTGTTTATCGCCTCCAGATGACAGTTTGTCGACCTGACTAAAGAGTCTACCGCTTGAGGGGCCTTTGTTCCCGTTATTCGGGAGTCGGGAGTTATCCCAAACAAATCTAAGTGTCTCTTTGGGATCATTTGCTTGTCCACGATCGTCGAGTCGATTATTGGGACCCCAGTGCCACGTGCCTGGCCATTGGTCACAGAAGTTATTCATATTGAAGGTATGTCCTGTATCAGAGCGAACTCAGGGTGGAGTTTGTGGGGGTGGCTGGAAATTAGTTTGCTGTCAGTTGGATGTGGTAGATAAATGAATATGTGGATTTTTCGGGTGACCGGGGGTCCAGGCTCCTCTTTTGTGCTCCCTAGCCTCCCTTTCGGACAGTGCAAAGCAAGCTGTCACTTATTTAAAATGACTGTTATTATTTAGTCGCCACAAAGGTGATTGTTCACACTATTGAAACAATATTTTTCTTGCTCCCCTTGGTTCAAACATTGATTCACAACTATTCAGGTGGGACGCCCGTACCTGATGTACGGGATGACTGTAATCTAGATCTACGTTTAGATTGAACTATGAATTTTAGCTAACTCCACTTCATGCACATCTATCTCTGCCTGGTCATACAGCAGTTGTCTTTTGGTACGAGAGTTCGTCATCGAATCATCAAGAATAGTCCGCCATATCTTTCATGCAGTAATCGAGGTTGTGGATAGAAGTATCTGGATTACCAGCCCAGGTTCTGTGCAAAGTACAACATTAGCATTTGGTCTGATTGCTTCTCTGATCTAGGTAACTTACGGGAAGGGATGTGCTTTGCCACTGCCGCCAAAAACAGCAAACGTCAAGATGAAGACCATAACCTGGGTTCCGCCATCCAAGGCCGCAGACACAATGTAATTGTACTTGACGAAGAACACGGGGTAATGCTTTCTGAGATACCACTGCGCAATAAAACCCAGCAGGAAATACATGAGAATTGCTGAGTTGATACCCACGAACAGATAGCCCATGTACCAGCAGATGATGGACAAGTTGACGTATCGCCAGAAAATATGGGGCCGATATCTGTTGATGAGCCAGAAAGGCAATGGGATGGTAAAGCCGACGAGATATGCAAGCGTGACCCATTCGTATCTCTTGCCTACTGACACAAGATCCTTGGCCATACTGAAGACGACGGCAAGAGTGTTGAATTGCTGAACGTTCTGTCCACTCCAGATGTTTGAGCCTAGGATTCCCTTCAAGATTGGGGCTTGGTTGGCAACGATTCTGTGACGAAGCAAGTTAGCTTTGTTTCCTGGTTTCCTTTTTTTGTGTGGAGAGAGGATGACCTACGTTATCATCATAGCGTAATTCATGATGGCACCTACCAAACATCCCATGACTTGGATGGTAAATGTGTGTCTTGGAGACAAGTGAACATATTGAGCTAGCTTGAGATCACGTGCGAGCAATTGGCCCATCTGCATTGCATTGTAGGTGAAGCAAGTGAAGTAGAGGTTGGCGAGCGGTTTTCCGGGGAACCTGGGACGTACTTTAGCGTTGCTTGACGAAGTGAATATGTGGGAGTAGAAATGCACTTACATATATCCAGCAAGCATCTGGCAAACGGGCTGGATGTTGAATTGGAATCCAGTGATGCCGTATTGGGCACCAAAGAAGAGCAAGAAAATGGTTGTTAGAAGCGTCGAGATAATGAATCCCCACCAAGGCAGCGTCGACTTCATAATATAGAGACAAACAAGGGCAACAACCCAGCAAACAACAACAATCGTTCCCCACCACCAATGTGGCACTTCATAATACATGTTCCTCAACATGAGCTTGTAATGCGGGTCGAGCTTGGGGTCACTTTGCTTCCTGGCATTACGCTCTTCTGGGCTCTCTTGATTAGCCCAGAATTTCCAAGACGATGCTTTCGTGAACTGTTTGAGATACGAGGGTGACGCCCACGACCATCCGGCTTTGATATCGTCGAAGTTCCAAAGTAGCATATGAACAAAGGTCGCTGTGAATCCCATGTTCGAAGTGATGAGATATCCTACGTATGAGGCGGTAAGCCAAGGTGTCCCAACCTGTGCCAATAATGTCTGGTCAACCTCGAAGTTGGCGTTGAGGACCGCAGTTTGGTCATAGGTTACGTAGTTTGTGAAATTTGAGGAAACGTTGAATAGAGCCTGTGCCATGAATGGGAAGTCCTTGGCATTCCAAGTGTTGGAGTAGTACAAGCCCATAAAGAAAACGATACAGGCAATGTAACCAATAAAGCTGTTGGTGAGCGCGTACAGTGGATACCATAAGGGGGAACCGAAGGGAGCAATGTAATTCCAATCAAAAGAGATAGCGCCTGGACTCATGGTTAGTTTAGATACTCCACGCACGCACACCATTGCAGCATACCGAGACCAAGTCCTTCATTTCCAGATGCACCACCGAAAAGGTTAGTGAACACTAGACTGTCTTGGTGAGCCAGACAGAATATAGATACTCCTTCGAGTACGGTAAAGATGTACTAAAAACTTGTGTTAGTTGATGACCTCTTGCCATCTGCTTCAAGTGAATACTTGCCTCGGGGAAAACTTCCCACACAAACATGATCCCAAAAATAATATAGAAGAGCCTCAGTCGAGCTTTGGTTTCAACTCGATCTCTGTGCAAGGACTCAACGAGCGAAGTGACCGGCAAGTTCATCGGCCAAAGCATGTGAGTTGGGTATACAAGAACCTCTCGAAGCAACCCAGCAATTCCATACCCGATCAACTGTGAGGTAATAACAATAAAAACACCGGCAGCCTTGCTCGGATAACCGCCATAGAACAGGTCTTGGGCCGCTAGGGCCTCAGTAGCCAGAGCGGACTGTGATGCTGCGGAAGCCATGAGAGTAATTGAAGCATGCTCCTTCATGTTGAAAGGACCTGGATTGAAGAAACGTCCAATGGTTCCACTCCGAGGAATTACCAGCGCCATAAACTCTCCCAGGATATAGGATATGACTGTCAGAAAGACTACAGAGACGTAGATTGTCTGCGGTTTGAAGTAGAAAATCTCTTGAAGGACGGCTCCAAAGACAGAGAGGCCAATCCCTTCACTAACTGTCAGTCCATCCGTCTCCCCAAATTGATCATCATAGCTTTTTAGATTGTATAGGTAGAGACGAGGACGGATTGTTTGTTCATACCTAAAAAGAACACTCGAAAGGTCCACGGGTTCAAGCTCGGGTCATCTTCAACGTGAATAACTCGCGTGAGAAGGTCCTCGTTCGTTTCTACCGCACCTTCACCTCCCAATTTGCCTTCCTCGTCCGAGTAAACAGGCGCGACATCATCGTAAGGGGCTTCATTTCCTCCAAGTTCCTTGGAGACTGAGGCGTCTTTGTAGGCCTCATCCGTTTTAGGCTTCTCTGAGAGGCGTTCGACCGGGGAGAGAGCAGAATCTACTCCTTTTCCATCCACATGCGCCTCAAAACTTTGCCTGTGAGCAGACATCTTGTGCTTGAAGAGAGGAGATACAACGGGCCCTAAAAAGTGTGGGAAGCCACGAGATTTATTTAAGTTTCGTGCTGTAAAACTCGAGATCTCGACCCTAAGGTATACACTACTGCACCCACAATAGCCCCAGCTTTTGTTTTAACGCTATCAGGCAATAGGAAGGCGGTCCCCTTAGTGTTTCCGTGCAGTCGAGATAGCCGAAGGTCAGTTGAGACCAAAGACGAATAGGAAGCTGGAGTAAGTACTGGCTATGCCCGGAGATAGAGTGTCGCTGTACGCTTGTAGAGTTCGAGCAGCTCGCGCCGGCCGGTAGATGTAGGGAAATTTTGAGTCCCTCGCATTGCATTGGTTCGTTCTTGTAGATCATCAAACCGGCTGAAGTTCGTGGCTTCAATCTGATCATTAAAATTAATGATGGGAGATCTGATTTGCCGCCACCGCAGGTGGTCCTCCACTATGGTCGCATTTTCCTTGTCGCAATTCAAGCCCGCCAAGCCAATTGAAAAGCTTGACTTGACCTCAGGGATGCTATCTCGTCCAGCTCGTGTTCCTTCATGCTTCTAGAATAAATGGAGATCTTATCGTCGAATTGGAGACCCGATATGGCAGGTTTTCCAGAAACACATAGTCACCTTCTCAAGAGGGAAGGTACTGCTTTCAACTTCCATAAGAAGAGGCGAAAATTGGAAATTGCAATGCGGGAGATGTCACCGCGGCCGAGCCTAGTGGTGCTAACCTCGGTCTAAATCTGCCAGAACAACGTGAGAACTCTCTATGGACCAATTGAAATGCAGCGCCTGAAGCTAAGAGTACACGAAGGTCGTATTTGTAAGACATAGGAGTACAAGTATCTGTCTAACCTTCCAAAAACAGACGAAATGACAACCAAGCACCTGAGTGTGCCACCAACAAACCACTACAGGGCTCAAAAATCACTCGACCGAACTCAGCTGTTCCGTCGGGTTCAAGCGGCTTAAGCCCCAGGCGATATGCAAGAGGATGCATACCATCTTCGCAGTCGGACAAGGAAGTTTCGGACGACGTCGTTGGCAGTAAATATGAATACAATGGGAGAGATAATCTCAGTCAGTCCGAATGCACATTTCAAGAGCACAAGGCAATTCTCGGCGGTCATATATGAGTACTCAATCCAAGGACTTGTAATCGACATGCTGCTCAGACTCTCACTCTGGGATTCTAAAGAGAATATGTTTGATAATGATCTTAAGTGAAATATACCTTTCACACTAAATTTACTATGCAACACAGCGGTCCACTCGTTTTGATACCTAAGGTGCTCAAACCGCATCAAAACATCGGCCTTAACTCCTGCGGCCATTCCGGCGACCCGGACACAGCCCCTTTTCTCAGCGCCCCACATCAGCTGGAATGCCCGATCGAGAGCAAGCACACCGTATGTAACAAGTTCCCTTAAATGCCTGGCCCCTCAAATTGGCACCACCGCTTATGCGACGCAGTAGAGGGCTCGCTAGGATATTCATCGAAAGAAAAGAACATTTTGTAGAAAAGGGGGTTGGTCACCTGACCTAAGCAAAACCCCCTGAGAATCTACCATATCGATGAAGATCCTTCTATGAAATAGGCAGAAGTGAACCAAGTACCAGGTTGACGAATTACCAGGTGTAATTCACGTTACATAGGAACAGAGGAGATTTCTAGAATTGTAATTATTTCTAGAAGAGAAGCGTGAAGCTCGTAGAAGCTTGGGAGCGAGGCTAAATACTCCTTAGCGCCATAATTAAGCGAAACGTGTGCCTAAGGCTGAAGCGAATTTTCCCCCTCACATCGATAAATTTCTGCTTCAGCCCCACTAAAGCTACAGGCACCAATCGCCAAATTTCAGCGTGTTCATTGAAGAGGTGTTCGCGAATCCGCCTTCTTTTCATTGAATATTTGCGATGTGCTTCTACGATGTTGTTTGTATACGATATAAGAAGTCCCACTCATTGGCCAGCGAATAACAATTAACAGTCAGGGGGCAATTCGCTGGATTGGCGCATCCAGGGTTCAAGGGCTAAAGTAGAGCAAACGATTAAAGCATAACGAGTCGGCTTAACCACTTTTCTCAGCTAGCGAGCACACCCTTATTCAAGCGAAGACCAATATTTCCCTTGAATGACCTACCAGGTCGACATCAAGCTCCATAGAAGCGTTCACCCAGCTTCTGTGGCCGACAAGTAAACCCCTTCCATTCTCGCTCGGAGCGAATTCTCCGGACATCTCTCCGCGATAACGGCATTCAAGGTATGGAGGTTCCTACGAGTCCTAAAGTTCATGCGAATTGACAAATGGGCAATTTCTCAACTGCTGCTAAAAATCAAGGAAGCAGCCCTATACCCCGGAATAAGTTACCCTTTGGGCCCTGCATGTTTCATCTCCAGGCTTGGCGGCTGGGATTTTTAGTGCTTAGCCCCTATCGAATTAGGCGAGGCCTGAATGCTGGTGCTTGTGGGATTAAAAGGTCCCCAGCGGCGACGATGGACTTTTTGAAAACGAAGAATTCGATAATAATATGTACGAGAAATCACCACCTCACTCTATTAATCGCCAATGGTGCTTGATCCGCCTCCATAGAGCTCACTCAGCACTTGCGTCGCCATAACGCTCCCCGTATCATTGACGTAGATATTGCTCACAACGCTCAGCCCGACGAATGGCGCATACACATACTCCAGCTTCCGCACCGGCTGCCCATAGATGATAGCACTCGTATTCTCTCCATTGAACGTCATGTCCTTCAAATAGTACCCCACGGTCTGCGTGCTCTGGATATTGCCATTGTTATCGAGAAACTGGTCAACAATTGTTCCAGTTTGCGTCAATATACGATTCGAGTGTGTATTCCCCTGGTAGTTGTTTGTTGAATATAAAACGTTGTGCGCCAGGTCGTAGGAAACGGGGACACCTCTGCTGTGTATCCTGGGGCTTCCCAATTCATTAACCGTCGTTTGGGTAATGTTGACCAAATCCGTACCCAGCGCAACAAGCGTGGGGTTCAGATCAAGAGAGTTCAGGATGTCTCCAATCATTAGCACCAGATTTTCGAGACGGGCTTCGAGGACCACCTTGGCGGTGACGTTCTGAATTGTAAGGGCTACGCGGTCGATGGAGAGGTCGACACCGGCGTTGAAGTTCAGCAGAGAGAGGACTTGCGCTTCGAGATTGATCTTCGCAGTGAGATTTTCGACACCGATGAAGATCTCACCGACGTGTACGGAGGCATTGAGGTAGATGTCTGGTTCGGGGTTGGTGGTTGAGACGTTTGCGGGTGTGTCGAGGGTATCGTAGGTTGTATCTTCTGGATTGCCGTGCAAGGAGAGATTGTAGCCTGTGTAGCCTGTACTCCCACCTATTGTGGACACTGCCGTTTGGGCAAAGACACAGTATCCTGAGAAGAGAATGATGGCGACGTTCTTGGCAACTGATGGACGCATGTTGACGGTGATTTCTCGCTGTTGAAAACGGCGTGAGGTTGGAGGCGACAGGAGATTTGCTTGAAGAGGAAGAATGAAAGAATAAGAGAGAAAAGGGGCACAAAATTGAAAGAGGGGACGAGATAAGCATCAATGAATGGTAGGAGAGCATAAAGCTTCTCCTCGATGCTGAAGAAGGGGGAAAGCAGAAAAGGATATCCCGGACAGCCCATCGGTGATTTCAACAGCACGTAAAGCAACCGAGCAAGGTTCAGAACTTGTTTGCACCCCTCAACCCCCTATTTCACAAACAGATGGCTGAGATGGCAGCCATAAAACAATCTTAAACATGAACATGAAGACCAATGAGCTCGTCACGGGAAGCAGATGAGGGGAATCTCCAAGCTAAAGCAGGGCAGTTGGACCTCCTGCATGAAATTAAACAGAAGAATCTCGTTTATCGATCACTCTCCCATAATGGGCGTTTTCGGGGGAATTCTAGACCAATGCGGTGGGAAAGCCTAATCATGGGGTAGGAAAGCCATGTCCCTTCCAACCTGTCACATAGGCTCGGTAGTTGGCCCGAACGTTCGCTTCATGTCGTGTCAACGTTATTGCAACCACAAACAGGATTCGTTCCTGGCGATCGCATGAAAATGGCATATCAGGGATCTTTATCCGCTAGGAATTCGGTCGGAGGAAGACTCTTGCTCCGGATTTTGAGGAGATGGGGACCCAGGGTCTGACTTACCAGTACAAAATCCCATTCCGTCATGGAAAATCATTTTATGCCGTTGTTAATCTCCAGCAGACTTCATTTATCTCGACTTGGTTTAGTTGATTGAAGACTTTCGGGCATCTATTCCATCTGCACTGTTGAAGTCGATGATCTGATTCCCCAAAAGGACTTCGCGGTTGACATCCTCTCGTTATCTTCTCCTATCAGGGCTTCGTTTCTCACCAATGGCGTCGCGTTGGGCATTATTTGCGCTTTTCTCGAGCTTCTTACTCTTCACAACATCGGGAGTTCTCGCACAGGCAGCTTCAAGTTCTGGAGTGATCCCGCCACCAACTTCTCCGCCTGCGGGAAGTCCAGCAGCTACCTCAGTTCTCACGACCCCGCCAACCACATCTGAAAGCGCGAGTCCAGGAACGAAGTCGGGGACAACATCAAGCAGCAACAGCCGCACAACTTCTACCACCACGCCGAGCGGCTCAAGCTCAGGGTCGAACGCGCCAGATGTGCTTCTCAATGTCCCTCAACTCTCAGTGGGCCGGATTGAATTGGATGTAGACAATCTTAAAGCAGACATCAATCTCAACGCCAACGTTGCCAGCCTGGTGAAAATCAATGCTGGAGTCGCGGTCTCGATTGCCAAGGTCAATATCACGATTGTGGATGTGGAAGCTCAATTGGAGCTCATCGTCAGACTTGGACATTTGGTGGATATCGTGCAGCGGGTGTTCAATTCTTTGGATCTGAACCCTCTCTTGATTACCCTGCTCAACGATGTGACACAAGTGGTAAGTTACTCAATCCCTGGTTCAGAAAAGGATATTGAGCTGATTATCTCAGGTTGACACGGTAGTTGGCGTCGTAGACGGCCTCCTGGGATCCATCACCCAAAGCGGCACAACTCTGAACTTCCTCGTCGACAACCTCGGAAACATCGTGCAATCCGTCGTAGGTGCAGACGGTCAAGCAGTGGATACCATCGTTGGCAACTACCTGCAAAACATGACGTACACGGGAGTCTCGACGCCGCTTTCGGGTGGCAATGTGCAGAAACAGTATTCGTACGCACCGCTCAATGCGTTGGTTAATATCATCTTCAATTCGTTGGGGCAGATCGTGCAGGCTACCGTGGCGGGTACGGGCACTGGTGGGATAGGTGGTGGTTCGAGCACTACGGCTTTATCTACGAGCTCCAGTGCGACACCAACGACTTCCGCATCTTAAGCTACCAGTACAGGGACATAATTTGGGTGGAGAGTTGATGTATATATTCTATTCATTGAACAAACTTGACTTTTGTGTGGTTCGGAGTATGAATCACTCTCTCATGCCCAGCTTTCAATACGCTTGTGGCTGCTTGTACGCCTTGAACGGGCTAGACAAAATGAAGTGCTACAAGGATTTGATAGAGAAGTGTAGAGGGCTGGCTCTGGCCACGGATTCGGGCTAATATGGCAACAGACAGGGAATGGCCTTTGTGGAGCTACGTGTTGGTACAGGCACTGTTCCGCAGTTACTAAAACGGTTCTCCTGTATATACAACTGTCAGCCCCAAAACTGTGAGGAATGCTGCGGTGTTGCCTCTTGGATCAGAATTAGAGTGTCACACGTGGGCTGCCAATAGCACTTGCACGGTGGAAAAGAAGGAGGCTTTAGCAAATAGAAGGACTGTTGTAAAGGATTACCTTGTGATTCAACCGTACCTGAAGTCACAGTAAGAGTTTTTCTAAAGCATATTACTAGGCAGGGCGGATTCGATATTAGAAGCAGTGAGGTAAGATGTATCAATTGTGGACACATATGAATATCAAGACGCAACCTGAACTTCTGCAGGCAAGATACCCAACGATATCTACACATGGACCCAAAGCGAAGAGTTGCTCATTAGCGGATTAAACCTATCAATCTCAATATGCATGGATTAAGTTCTCAAGGTAACACCTATAATACAAGCACTGCGGGACGAAAAAGCAACCACGTGCATATTATCAACGACCTCAACGTCTAATACAAAAATCATTGCAGAGAAACCAAAATCTATGATGAAATCTGTATCCGAGGCAAAGGGCGGTAGAATAGATTTCGTAGCTTGTCCGCCAAGCGCCGTGTCCATTTCCTAGAATCTTGCCTGCCAGGGTTCGAAACCGTGCTTGCTGGTTGTCCCTGAGGCTCTGCCAAGTTTGGCTTCCTAAAGTTTCGAAAGAAAGAAGAGATATGACTCCAGAGGCTCCGGGTGGTAAGCTCTTCTTTGAACTTAACTGAAGACGCGTCGGAAAGTAGAGGTGTGCTCTCAGTCGATGAAGATGGAAGAAGGTGACCCGTCTGCGGAGACAAGCTGCCACTTTGAACCAAGTTTGAAGGAAATCTCGAGACTGGCGATTTGGACATGACTTTACGGACGGCCTCACGCCACCTATGACCAGGAGGCGGCCTCAACTCTCCCCAAATCCCACCCCATTGGACTTTGTGAAGACTTGGTTCTAACTTCATGAACTTCTTCAAGTGATCCGCTAGCTTTTTGAGGAGTTCCGACTCATCCTCTTTGTGTTTGAAGTGGAATGTGAGACTTAGGAACTGTTGCACAGGTTTGTTATCCTCCTCTTCCTCTTCATCCTCGTCCTCATCTTCATTCCCGTCCTCGTCTTCGCTATTTGGAGCGGGAGTCAGCGCCGAGACACCTTCACGGGGGAGTGGAGCAAGAATGATATGCTGCCAAGCTTCAACATCTCGGGTGGTGAGTGAAGGGTTTTGCTCTTCTGGGAAATCAGGGCATTCGGAGATCTTCTTTGCAAGTTTGCTTGTTGTGAACATTGGGGACCATTGCGAATCTTCTCGTGGGGATTGGTGAGCGAGCTTTTCAAGAGCCCAAATCAGGGCCGACGTGAATGACGATTTCCCAGGCGATCGGGTGTAAGGTGTGGTAGAAGCAGCTAGATATTCGAAAGACCTGGCGATGCTGTCAGCATTGTTGACGATACAACGAACAGGGAGAAGGTCACCGGACCTCGAATTGAGGGCAGAGTCTCGACCAAGATCACTGGAGTGGCAGCAATCAAAGATCTGGAAAACATCTGCCCTAGTAGTCTTCAAGTTGTTCTCGACGAGGTTCCAAGTGATATGGGTAAATTGCTGAGCCAATCTTTTCCCCTTTTGTCTCCTTCGTCTAAGAATGTGAGCGAAGGTTCATATACGTGGGACCCTGTTTACATAGTACATACCCTGTCATATTTAAGAGGCCTCGCTCCTTTCCAGGAGAGCCATGCCCTGCGTAGTAGACGACAAAGAGAGCATCCTCCTTATCATTGAGATGTACGAAGTTTGCAACTGCTAGGTTGGCTTGAGCTTGAGGTGTTGCGTCCTTTCTGCAATCAAGCTGGATGCTTTCGACGTTATAGTTATAGATGTCTTCAAAAACGCTCTTTAATCGTTGAACCTTTGAAGAGTCAGTTTGGTCAGTGTCTCCGGTACGGGAAATCTGGAAAAATTCAATTAGCTGAGTTACCTCAAGGTCAACTTCCATATCATCGCATTCTGGATGCCACGACAGCAATAGCACAAAAACATGTTTGTAGAAGGATTTCTGCTGGCCATCCGACATCCACTTGCTCCATTGCACTTGATAATTGGCTTCTTCCTGCACCCTTTTCTCTAAATAGTCGATTTTATGAGGCACAGAAGCGCCCGATGATGGCTGAGTAGTGGTTAAGGCGGGAATTTCCCTTGGTGGCGTTTGTTTTGCTCGCCCTGCGATAACGGTTGGTGACGATGAGGAAGCCATCAGTGTTGTGCTGGATCCCGTTGGTGCTCAATTGACCTACAATATTCGTTGTGAGACGGCGATCCATATATGTGTGCAAAACAGTGGATATCATTATACCGTCCTCTAAAGCCCATCCAAACGCTTGCTGCATAAACCAAACGAACAACGACAAAGTGGCTGTGCTAATGCGGGAACCGAGCCCCGCAAAGCCTGCAGGAGACGTGCACTGCCTCCCATGCTGTGGCAGAGACCACTGTGGCCAATTAATAGGGTTCCCTTCCGAGGCCACCTTGGGCGCGCTTTCTCAGGCACGCTTCAAGGCTTTCTCCGCTCTCATTCTTTCCTTCCCAAACCACACTCCCCCTTTATCCTGCTCCTGGACTTTGTACATCCAGCAGTCTTTCTTCTCCTCATACCGCGCTGCCTTTACATACACCACGATATCGGGTAAATCAGGTGCATCCTCGCTCGCGACTTTCAGCCACACCGCATCTCCCTTTTCAAACCTTTGTGGGTACTACAGATCGATTTCATCAGTCCAATTCTGCACCTCAGCGAGCTGTCTTACCTTCTTTTTCTTGCCCTTTGGAACATAATCAGCACGTCCAGGGTCTTGGATCACCTGTTCCTCCATCGATGTCTAGGACACGAGTGAGCTAGTTCTTTATGATTTTCGCATTCGCCGCATACTGTACGTCTACTGGCCGCGCTTCTTCTGCGGTTGGGCGCGTTTGTACTCCGTACCGGATATGCGTTGGCTTCCCTGGTTGTTGCGCGTTCTGAGGACTTGTTTCGATTATGGACGTCGGAAAGCCTTGCGAGGTTGATTACGGGTTTACTTCATGTTTATAAGACCCTTTCTTCACGAGGCAGATAAGGCATCTTGGAGCCTCCATGAAACTCGCATTCCAATGAGAAGAAGTTGATTGTCATCCTGCCATCCAGTCGCGATGGGTCCTTTCGGTGAGCGCATTCGCTTCCACCCACCACAGTTGGAGCGGAAGCAACTGTCTCACATGCCGGTGAGAGTTTTCGAACAATCATGATGTACGGAGTGCGGAGGCAGATCTTCCTCAGTGGTGGAGTTGACGTTCCCGAGCAAAGGTGGAAGAAGGCTGAGGCTATGCAATGCGACTCGCCCTGCCTGCTGCAGCGGATCGCCCGATCACTCTGTGACACGGCTCACCAACAGCCCCCCAATTGAATTTGCCTTCGCTGGAATTGAAAGCGTTTGATTCTTGCAATTTGTGCAGATTTGATTCTGCATGCAAGCGTCTCAACGGCCTTCCGTAGAATGAAATGAACTCGCCCGATCGATGATCCAATTGGATGTCCTACTCGGCGTTCGGACTTCCATAGGAAATTTCTTCCTTTGCAATTATTTTTCTTCGAAAGGCTGGGCTCTTTGGGCGTCATTGACAGCAATTATAAGATGGGACTCTGCGCTTCTTCTATTTCTTGCAACTCGCGACTCCTTGCAGTGGTTGATATCGTTTATAAAATGCAATGGACCAGACAGCTGCCAATATCGATCTCGAGAACGCAATTGGAATCTCGGGAGAGCCACCCTGCTCACCGAATTCACAGTCGACATGGCAAAGTCAGACCCGCACCTTGAATTCTCCAATCGTTGAGCAAATCGACCCCGAGCATGATTTTGAAGAAGAAAGCGGCAAGTTTTCAGCAGCCGAACTGGTTGCACATCCTAGACTAACTTGAATAACAGTGCAAAGCCAAAGACGACAATCTGGGATTACGAGGCTCTTGAATGCTATTACTCCGAGACATTTCCAGGGTTCCTCCTCTGAGCCCTTTCGAACCATCATCCGGAAGTGTGCGTTGTTCTTCTTTTGATTGTAGACCAATTGCTAATGAACTCAGTGGAGCGCTGTGAAGATGGATATCCATACTTGGCAACATTCATGGACAGTGATGAAAATTTCATGATCTACCGTAGATTTGGATTTGTCCACGCCCGACTTCTGCTTCAAAAACAAGACGAGCTTCGCATCATGGAAGAAGAATTGGACCGAATGGACAAACGAGACTTAACCACCAATCCAAAAACATTGCAATGTAGGATGGAAGATGTCGAACGACAGGACCAGCTTCCAGAAACGAGACAAGCTCTGCTTGCACGCCTGGAAGCCACTGTTTTGAGTTATGATCAGCTGCTACTTAATGCACAACAGCTCGCAGCTGCAAATCGCCCCCCAGCGCGCGACTATAATAGCGTGGCAAACTTTGTACGTCACAAGAAGCCACTCATGGAAGGGGATGATGACTTCATCTATAACAAAGAAGACCTGATCACGCTCCGGCCTGGACGAGAGAGTGCTTGGCTCGACGCAGCTGTGGAGAAGATCCTGAAGCTGTTTCCCCGCACTGCGGTGAAGTATGTGTTCTGCTCGAAGGTACGGTCTTCCGGTCCATAAACGATGGGTATCAATCGATTGACTTTGACTCTCAAAAGGAAACCGCAGCCAAAACCACAGATGAAGATCTGTTTCTTCCTACAAAAAGACGTGTGGACCGGCTAGTGAGCTGCATCATCATGGCCATGGTCCTCGCACTATTGGTTTTGCCCGTCTACGCGTTGTACCATGTGGGTTCGTCGTTTAGTCAATCGAATGCGAATACGTCGAATGCCATCTGTATGGGGATATTGTTAGTTGCTACCTTGCTGTTTTCTGCGGCACTTGCGCTGTTCACTAAGGCGAAGAGACACGAGCTGCTTGGTGCGGCTGCTGGGTGAGTTGAGATAATGCCAATAAAACTGGTTTATATGAATCACTGACAACTGTTAGCTATTGTGCTCTGCTTGTGGTTTTTATTGCAAACCTTGGCCTCAACAATACGCTTTGACTCCCCCTTACCTAGAACCTATTATCCCCTAAACAATCTGAACATAAATTCACCCAAAGGCTTCTCAAAAAGTGTTAGAAATGTTACTCGTTTTGATGTGAGACGTCATGGCCGACATTGGTGCCGCTCTTTTAACGTAGATCCGACACGTGACTTCACGAAGGCTAAAACTACCCCCCAAGTGTTTGGACTCACGTACACAAACTCTCTTAGTCATGTATCAACAAATCAATGGCGTTTGCCTTTAATTAGGCAAGCAGTGCTTTAGAATAGTCGAAGTTTAGCGAACCCCCTTTTGTAAGCGAGGCATGATGTGTCACTGATCGGGACATGATTTTTCTGTAGGCTGACTGTGTCTGGTAACTCTGGCAGACGATATTTGACACAAAAGCTCTGAATAATGCCTATAATGCACACGATAAAACCAAGTCTAAACTCGCTATAGATCAACAATTGCAACTGCTCGCTGAATGCACCATACAACCAGCCAACCAACCACTTTTCTCCACTGAAGCAAAACAAAGGGAACAGTAAACCAAACCAAACCAAGTCTACACACCAGAATCATCCTGCACCACATCATCATCGGTCTGGTACGTGTCCCAGTTCGCACACGTGCTATTGATACTCGTGACATCCATCAGCGCCGTCATCTCAGACTCGCGTTCAAGGAGCTGCAGCGCGAAACCTTCAGCGGTGTGCCACGCGATATGGCAGTGCATCAACCATGCCTGTCTGTCCGTTAGCACCGCTCCTAAACTTCTCACAAGGGAAACTTACACCAGGATTATCCGTATACATCGCAATAACCAAGAACCCACTCGCCGGCAACATCGCCACATCTCTCCTCGGGCTATTCGTCGTAGTAAGCGTCGTGCTCGTAGAATATGTCCCTGTACCACTAGCGAGGACCCAGAAATCATGGCCATGCAAATGGATAGGATGAGCCTGTGCAAACGTGGTCTCGATAACGAAGTACACCCATTGATCAGCCGTCGCGAGCTGGACGACGTGCTGGTCTGTGGACCATGTGTCGTTGGATTCCGCGACTTGGAGGACGGTTGGGTAGTTCCATTCCGAGACGAAGGATGTACCGGCCATTTCCCACAATACGCCGCCCGTTGCGATGGCGAGGGAAACTTCTTCGTCGTTTTCTACGTCATACGTGCTGGAAACGTCGTAGGATAGGTAAGGCACCAGACTTGCGATCGCCTCGTCGTCGCAGGAGTCCGTGGTTGTGTAAGCGGTTGTCGTTGGGTCAGCGGTAGAGGTGGAGTCGTAGCGCACTATGCCGAGGATATTGTCGACGTTGTCGTTGTCAGAGCAGGATTCCTGGGGGATGGCGCGCATCCAGTAATCTCCACTTGTCTCCGAAGCCGTGACAATGATATCGTAGCGCTGTCCCATGCCGATGGAGATATCGGTTGCGTTGTAAGGCACAATGGGGACGAAATCCATGGCGATCACTTCCATGGTGTGGTTGTCGATCGTGAACCGGAAATGCGTGTCGGCTGCGCCGTTCACAAGACGGATGCGGTATTTCGTCCCAGCCACGAATGTCTGTTCAAAGCGCGAGCCGGTCTCGACTTCAGTTGTTGTGTCGGTGTAGACGTTTGTCCCGTTTATGAGGCAGTTGGGCATTGTTGGGGGACCAGACGCGGCGGCTTGGAGGGCGAGCACGTCGGCTGTCTCGTGAGACCAGTCGTTGAGGAAGAGGTTGCCGAGATCTTCGTCGTAGTCTGCTGTTGCGGGGCCGTTGATGGTGATTCCCCCGAAGACTCCGTCCCAGGCTTGAACGGAGAAGTGGGAGTGGTACCAAGAAGAGCCGTATTGGGTTGCGCGCCATGTGTAGGTGAAGGAGTCGCCGGGGGCGATGGGACATTGTGTGATGCTGGGCACACCATCCATTTGGTTGGTGTAGTTTTGGCGGACGCCGTGGAAATGGATTCCGGTACCGTTATTGGACATGGAGTTGGATACGTGAACAACTGGAGAAGTTAGTATCCGCGCGAACATTGGAGTAAGTGGACTTACCAACGGTGTCACCCCAGTCAGCAATGATGGTCGGTCCGGGAACTGTCCCGTTGACGGTTAAGACTACTCTCTCGATGCCATCTGGAGAGGCTGTTCCATTTTGGACATCGAACCAATATTCGCGGGTGACTCCAGTGTCGGGGACTGTGGTGTAGTAATTTGTTGAGGTGTCGTAGTCGCCCCAGCATGATCGATCAGAAGCACTGTTGGTACATCTCTTGGATAGAGTGTTGGAGTGGGATACTGGCTTCGGAGCAGCAAAGACGATGGGGCAGGCAACAAGCCCCGCAAGCAACGAGGGGAAATGCATTTGAGCTTTAAAGAAGCAGGAACAAAAGTTGAATGAAAGAGACTAGAGAAGAAAGATACTGGAAAGCTAGAATGATGATGATCTGGAGGATGATGATGCAAAAGAATAGACGGAACATGGCCTCTTATGTGTTCGAGTTCTTGACTTCAAGAGACTGGTATCGACCGGTTCCATCTCGGACCTTCGCACTACTCGTTTGGCATTCACTGGCCTGCGTATGCCGCGTACAGACCCCTCTTTCCTCACTGGGAATGAAGTAACTGGGGCCCTCCCTTCTGGGGACTACTCTCCGCACGGACCGTCGTGCAAAACAGACCAGCTACGTCCCCATTCTGAGGCTCATGCTAGAACGCGTTCTCCAGGACGTTCACCTGACGTACTCCATCGAGCAGGGACAGTAGAGCCGTCTCGCAAGCCAGGCAGCTGGGTGGAAAGGGGGTCCGCAGACCCTGCGTAGATCGAAGCTTAAAATAGGGATTTGAGGATGAGCCCGGGGGGCATTAGGTTCGTCGGAACTCGGAAATACCATCCTTGTGCCTATGCCAACGGATATCGACCCTTTGGGACAGGGTGGAGTCTCTAGACGACGTAACTGCAATCTCCTTCAAGGAAATCCATCTGAGAATGGAAGACCAAAGAGTTGGAGCGTCCAAGTCGGGAGCTCTGTGTACACAGGGGCTGTGTATCGTTTGATCTCCACATGGGGGCTCCGGCAGATTCAGGGGAACGGGCAATCGATTGTTCAATGCGCTTATTTAATTTTTCGCCATGTGGCTTTTGGTATGAAGCGGCCATTGAGGGTTCTCATTGAACATGGCTTATGAGGTTGTGGATACCATTTTAGAACCCTCAAATCCGTAGAGGATTAGCGGATCGTGAATTGAATCGTGATCTGAACGCGACGTGAAGGACAAACCTGAGAGGAATCTGCTGCGAGGTTCAGATGGTGCGATGGCGTCACTGCACAACAGACTTCCGTGGCTGGAGACGTCTTCCCCTATGGTGGAGTCCGCACATGCGTGGCGCTCATTCGTGTTGTCATTGCGGCAAACAGTTGAAAGCTGAGGAGGTTGGCTTCGGTCCCGAAATCTACTGCTAAAAATAGTTCTGAAAGCTGCCCACGTGATCAACCTCCACACTTTTTGGACGCGCTTAGAAGGAACCAGTAGACGAGTCCTGCTCCTGAAACATGAAACCAAATCTCGGTGCGCTAATCAGAAGGAGAGCTGGAGGAACAGAAAAACACGCCGTCCTTGAAGAGCGAAGTTGGGTGCGTACACCCCAGTACCACCCCTGACTCCGCCATGAAGTTTCCAAAGCCACACCGAAGACCCAGTTTCTCTCGGCTCCGAGCAATGCTTCATGGGCAAGCTCACAAATGAGTGATGGGAATAGCCTTGAGCAACACGTAAGCTCCACTGAGTGCATGTGGTTTAAAGGATGGATTGAATAGCTATGAAAACTCTCCTCTCCCTTATCTACAACCACTCTCACTCAAGCTGATTCATTGATCTATCTCATTATTCTCAATCCGCTTCTCTTTTCTTCGTCATTCTCATTACCATTAAACATTAACCATGCACCTCACTGCCCTTCTGCCTCTCCTGCTCAGCGCGGCCCTCACCTCCGCCAAGCCTCACCCATTCATCACACGCCGGACGACAACCACAGACACAACCATCTACGCGTACGGAACCAACATTTCCGGCCTCCCACTCGTATATGGCATTTCAGACGGTATCCCTCTCTTTAGTCCTCTCTTTATGATGCAAGCTGACCATCCACGCAGGGCTTGCCTACATAGCCGACAATACCTCACTCCCCTCGACCCTCTCAGCAATAACCTGGGACATCACAACGGACACTTCCACAACCTGGAACGCCACGACTTCCAACTCGTCTTCAGTCGGCAGTTTCTTCATCACTCCCACTTCCTCATTCGCAGCCGCAGGGTTCACGAGCTCAAACAGCACCACGTCGTCCATTGCCACCACGGGCTTTTCGCTCTTTGGAGAGCAAGTCGTCTTTGTCAATGGCTCCACGTATGAGAGCCAATTCTGGGCTAGCACCACGGATACGGTAGGTCTCCTCCCCCTTTGGGAAAGTGGGTCGCGTCTTGGAGTTGAGAAGCTGATTTGCGATAGGATGGAGTGTATGCGTTGTACTGGAACTCGGATGGAATTGAGGAGGGCGGGAGCGTGCCGGTTGTGTTGAAGACTATTGCACCGAGTGGAACGACTAGTTCTTGAGTGGTGAGGGCAGAGGCGGAGTTCGATAGGAGGGTACTGTTTTGCTTTCTTTGAGTTACGCGGGTGCTTGCGACGATGCCGAGTTCAGTTGGAAATAGAGGAAAATAGGCGTTATCGTTGTGATTTGACGTTGTTTTGTCCATGATGCTCGGTGCGATGGCCTTTCCTGTGTTTGGGCGGCGCGCAATGCTCATCGCTATTTGGAAGTATCGATTTCTGACCCTCAGTCGGTGACGATTCTTTCTCATAGCGGGGCAAAGAACGGCTCACCAATCTGTCCATGCTACATCTCTTCCCACCATTTTCAGCACCATTCTCTTATCACTCTCTCTAACTAAGCATTTTTTTCATCTCAGTTACTATCCCTCCGTCCATCGTCTTTGGAAAATCCCATATCTCTCCCCCTCAACACCTCACTCGAATCGCAGTCCCGGGTCTTCTTCTCACATCCTCCCACTCCACGGACTTAAATTAACCTGCCTCGCCGCCTTAATCTCAGCCAACCTCCTCCTCTCCGCCTTCTCCTCCTCCTTTCTCGCTTGCTCTAAAAATAACTGATAATCTCTCTCCTCATCCTCACTTCTTTGCCCCCCCTCTCTCATGTTTTCATGCATTGCCAGTCTCTCGGTCAAATCATTTGTCGGGGGTGTCACCATCACCTCGGGGACCTTTGAATGCGATTGGCGATTGCTGTTTCCGTGGGAGGAGGAAGTGGAGGTTATACGGGAGATGGAGTGTTTGGAGTTGGCCTTCGATCGCGAGCGGAGTTTTTTGAAAAACATTTCGAGGTATGATAACAGGCGCGTGAGGGGAGACGATTTCTGTCGCGAGGGCCGATCCAGGTTGAATTATATACTTCCCGAGGGTGGGTGTTTAGGGGTGTGGCGAGTGGGGTGATTCTCTCCTCCGGCTGGTGAGAGTGGGGTCTGTTCCCCTCCCAACTTTTCAATCAGACAATTCTGTCGCTATCGCAGGTATTCACAAGGCTGATAATCGCCAATTATCGATAACGCAAGACTGAGCAATGATGATGATGTCGCGATGGGCGGCTGAGGATGACGCGATTTACACCCTTTCCTAATGGATCGCATCTGCGAGGGAAAAAGAACGAGAGGGGAGCCTTGCACTTATGTGACAGGGAAGGGTCTGGCCGTGTCACAAGCTTTTTGACAAGCTCGACGGTCACCCCACCTCTTACCGCATTGGCGCTAGGCGATGTGGGAAGGCTGAGCGAGGCGTCGTTGGAGGCGTTTGGAGACAGCGAATGAGAGCAGAGGGGCAGGAGAGAGGGACTGGACGTTGGTGAATGAGAAGCTATGGTGCTGTCATCTGTCGGATAAGGAGGTGCGGATTGGAGGGGATGTTGAGGGGGCAGAGCTGAGAACTTCGTCAGAGTCAGCCGTCGTGAAGAATTGGTGAATTTTGGTTGGGAGTTTGGGTTCTTGATGGCGTTGGTGGCGACAAGGATGAAGATAAAATGCGAGAGAACACGGCTCCAGAGTCGCCGATGTAGGCGAGGGACAGCACGTGACTCTAGACCAGGAGTTCATTGAATGCCCAGAAAAACGGTCTATGAACATTGAATAGAGTCTCGGTACTGATTGAACTATGAAACATTGTTTTGAGTGCATACTTCCACATGTTGAAGAATGTCGGCGCACGTGACTCCAGACCAGAAGCTCATTGAATACCCAGAAAAACAGTCTATGAACATTCAATTGAGTATCGGCACTGATTGAACTATGAAACATTGTTTTGAGAACAACTTCCTATGTTGAAGAATGTCAGCACACGTGATGGAGAGAGCGGCAATATTTGAAGCTATCCCCGTCTCAGACACGGGATCGTCGCCACCCGCCTTGATCTCCACCAATAAAACGCCCCCACAGCGGGAACTGCCAGCTGCCATCCCAATGCATCCAAGATTCGCCAAATCAGCTCCCCTGAACCTGTCGATCGCCCGCCACTCGAGCGCACTCCAGCCTTCGCTTGCTGGCAGCAGCTAGAGAAGTGAGAAAGCATTAAGATCCAAGACATCTGCACTCCCCAATATCGTGGCCGTCCTGGACCACCAAAGATGAGCGCTAGTCACAAGGCTGCTCTCCGCAATGACCGATGCTATCCTCGTGGGCTTCGTGCAGCACTTGAGGAGGCAGAGTGTGAGTCGCAGCCCCTCCCCATATCATATCAGCCTGAGATCGCGATCGAGATTCCCGAGGACCCTCAGCTGCGGCGCAGAAAAAGCCTCCCGCAGCGCTGACGACCTTGGCAGAATAGCAGCAGCAGCGACCCCCGAGTCGGCTCTGCGAGGGACAATTCCACCGCGGTGTCCCCATTGCGAGCCACACAGGCCACCAATTCCCCTTCGTTTGCAACGTTCTTCACGACTCTCATTCCGATCACAGTCTATGCTGTAATCTGCGTAACAATCCTCTTTGTGCTGCGTCGGAGATTCGTGCGCGTGTACTCTCCCAGGACCTTCCTCAGCAGTCTTGAATCTCAGTGAGGATTAATCTGAGAATGAGTTAAATTGGTGAGCTAATTATTGTAGTGAACGGGCAACTGAGGTGCCATCAGGATGGTTCAATTGGGTCATACCCTTCTGGAAGACTCCAGATATTGAAGTCCTCAACCGCTCGTCTCTCGAAGGGTTCCTCTTCCTTCGGTACCTCAATGTGCTCACGGTGATATGTTGCGTGGGGCTACTTCTCACATGGCCAATTCTTCTTCCTCTCCACTCTCTCGGAGGCAAGGGCAGTCAGCAGCTAGACAAACTTACCTTTGGGAACATCTCTGATGCTAAATGGCTCTATGCCCATGCACTCATCGCTTGGGTATATTTTGGTATGCGTTCTCTAGAACTAAGAGTATTATGCTGACAAGACAGGTTTCATCCTTTATATGGTCAGCCGCGAATCTGTGTACTTCATCAATCTCCGACAAGCATATATGCTCTCCCCATACTACGCCAATCGTCTATCCTCGAGAACCGTTCTCTTCACATGCGTACCACAGCAAGTCTTGGACGAAAGAAAATTGCGACGAATTTTTGGGGACACACTAAAGAATGTCTGGATACCTCGAGAGACGGATGACCTCGACCAGTTGGTGAAGGAAAGAGAGCAGACAGCACACCGGCTGGAGAAGGCTGAGATTGAGCTCATCAAGAAGGCGAACGTGGCATACCAGAAAGCTCTGAAAAGTGGACACCCAGATATCGAAGTGAAGGAGTCTCCGAGAGATTTTAAGGAGGAAACAAAAGAGGTGAAGATCAGTGTCAGTGCGGAGAGTCCAACTACTCCACTCTCTCCACTCTCTCCCGGCTCTCCTCGAGAGTTTACACGGGAAGATGGCACACCAATTCTGAGGACGAATTATGGCTTTACTGGACCGGATCACGAGATTGTAGGATCAGTTGCCGCGCAATGGGTACCGGCTGAACAACGACCCTACCATCGGCCCATCGCAAATTACGGGAGAAGAGTCGATACGATCAGATGGACACGAGTTCGTCTAAAAAAGCTTGCTCCCAAGATATCACAACTTCGGCGACAGTACAGAAAGGGAGTCAACGCACCCATTCCGGCAGCATTTATCGAGTTCCATTCTCTCGTAGACGCCCAGAGTGCATATCAAACTCTTGCCCATCACAGCGCCAATCATATGCGAGCAGAGATAATCGGCGTCCGGCCCCAGGAAATCATATGGCCTTCACTCTCTTTCCGCTGGTGGGAGCGGATAATCAGACAATTTCTGATCCAAGGCTTCATTGCCTGCATGGTGATTTTCTGGTCGCTGCCTGCCATCGGTGTGGGCATGATATCGAACATCGACTACCTAGCCAAGAACGTCCCATTTCTCCACTGGATTGTCCTCCTCCCAAAAGTTATCCTTGGTCTCATATCTGGTCTTCTCCCCGCTGTGGCATTATCTATGCTCATGGCCGCCGTGCCAATGATCATGCGCGCATGTGCAAGACAATCCGGGATCCCAACCGAATCCCGCGTCGAGCTCTTCGTGCAAAGCTCCTACTTCCTCTTCCAAGTCGTGCAAGTGTTCCTCGTCACCACCCTGACGTCTGCCGCCTCCTCTGCCATAACTTCCATCATCAAAGATCCGCTGTCTGCCCGTGACCTTCTGTCGAAGAACCTCCCCACAGCATCAAACTTCTACATCAGTTATTTCATACTTCAGGGCTTGGCGATGAGCGCTACAAGAATTGTGCATCTACTCAGTATATTCCGACACCAACTTATGCCTTTTGCTGGCGGAAATCCTCGTCTCATCGCAGCGAAATATCACCGACTGAGGAAGATCCATTGGGGAGCAGTTTACCCGGTTTTCACAAACATGGCTGTGATCGGTTCGTTCTCTTCCGCCTCCACTATACCACTAGACTCGCTGACAGGAATAAGCAATCTCCTACTCCCTAATCGCCCCCATAATCCTCGGCGTCGCCGCTCTAGGTTTGTCAATAGTCTACATAACCTACAAATACAACCTCCTCTACGTCTACTCCTCGGAGCGCGATACACGGGGTCTGCACTACCCAAAAGCATTAACGCAAACGCTCACCGGGCTGTATCTCTCCGAGATCTGCCTGGTCGGCCTCTTCGGTCTAAAAGGAGCCTACGGACCAGTCGTCATGACATTTGGCCTCATAATCTTCACTACGCTCATCCACATCTCCTTGAATGATGCTTTATCCCCACTACTCTACAACCTCCCTCGAACACTAGCCGCCGAAGAAGAGCTCCGAAAGCTCGGAAACCACCCTTTCTTAGCATCAAATCTGACCGACATCCACGACACCGACCCCACAAACGCCAACACAGAAGAAGGAGGTGAACAAGGCTATGATTCAGACTTCGACCCCTCGGACCCCACGGATCTGGCCGTTGACCACGGAGAGCAGCAATCACGCTCGGGCGGGCTCGATATCCCGGTCGAAGGCGCAGATAAGGCGATTACCCTCGGCACGAGAACGGTGTCGTCCCTCGTGAAGAAGGAATTCAACAAAACGCCGATCCCGGGTATCCTAGAGAAAGTAGATTTCTGGAGCGCGTGGATCACGCCGGATCCGAATCAGGATCCGAATTTTATCATGCGGTGGTTGCATCCGGAGGTTTTTGAGAGCTACCATGTGCTGAGAGACGAGATGCCGCGGGAGCTGAGGGAGATGGATCCTAGCGCCACTTACGCTGATAATGAAAGCGTGCTGAAAGACGCCTACTCGCCGCCGTCTATTAGGGAGAGGAGTCCTAGGCTTTGGATCCCGAGAGATTTGGCGGGTGTGTCAAGGCAGGAGGTTGCGCATAGTGGGAAGGTGATTGAGATTTCGGATGAGGGGGCGAGTTTGGATGAGAGGGGTAGGCTTGGGATTGATTTGGAAGGGGAGACGGAGAGGTGGGTTTGTAGGGAGGGAGAGGGGGGCAGGGTTAAGTTTTGATTTTTTTTTTGGGTGGGGGTTGGTGTTGTTGTTTTGGGTGGGATTTGATTTGGATTCGGCGAGCGAGGGAGTTTCAGTGGTAATATTCTTATATTCTAGTGGGTTCACAAAATAGATAGGAATATATTCAGCAGTCTACACCATAGCTCAGAGCTCGTTTTTAGCGTCTTGTCAAGGTTTAGTGCAGAAGATTCAATTCCCTACCCTGCAAATGGTTGAGTTGAGTTTTGGGGGGGTGAAGGAAAGCAGCATTTTGCCCAACCTGATCGGCGACTCGGGTGCGAAAGTGAGGCCGAAAAGGTTCCACACGTGGGTTCTGGTTTGAGGTTTCTGAGAGTCGTGGTTTGTTGTTGGAACAAATTCCTTCAAAGCGCTTTCCTTGAGGTGGCGAAAGAGCAATTGTTCCGTGAATGGCATCAAGTGTAGTGGTGGAATGATGCCTGAATGGGAATGGTGGCAAATGATGATGCTACCCTTGGATGCAAGGCTGATGATTGCCCCTGTCTTTGATTCGTTCTTTCCACCATCCCTGCTCGTTTGTTTCCTGGGACCCCACCGCTGTTTCGGCTGACGTACCCGAGGACAACCAAATCTCACGGCCTCATCGCAATGTACACTTGCATCCCACCTTCAATGCACTGCACCACCGCGAGGAATATGGCCAAGATGGTCAAGACCAAGACCCAAAGCGCAACCCAGAAGGTGTACCACTGCGGCCCGTTGCGCCTATCGTGCCAGAACTGAGACAACGTGCTCGGCCGGGCTTCGTCGTATACCTCCTTCAGGATCACAAGTCGATCATGCCAATAGCTGAAGTTATCGACCTGCCGTTCTTCAGCATTCAAGTTCCCAATCCAGATGAGTCTCTTATCGAGCCCGCAGGCAGATTTTGCAGCCGCTTTCTCGTACCACTTCTTGGTTGCGGGATTGTATCTGGGGAACAAAAGTTTGAGAGTCCGTAGCGTCTCCTCGATAAATCGAGGTGGGTACATCGAGCTATTGCTAACAGTTAACTCTAGTGCTTTGAGGCTTGGTTGACCAAACTTACTTGTGTAACTGATGCTCTAGGAATGAGGCGTGATGGAAGATGAATATCCCTTTGTCATCATCCACCATCCGCAGGTGATCAGCGAGATTCTCGGTCCACCAGATCTTGATCCCACCAATTCTCTGCAAGTTTAGAGCATTGAAAGACTTTTCAAGTTTGATACGGTCATGTCTTCGAGTGACAGGGGGTGCGAAACAGTTGTATACGAATTCTCGAAGATCTCCCTCTTCCCAGTTGAGATATCTTCCTTTGCTACCTTCGTGTGGTACCTTGCCAATTCTCACCATCAGCATAAGGCGGGCGACAAGATTGATAGAGTTTTCATGTTCACCGGGTTGAGTGTTGTTTGCGGATTTCAGAAAGTCTGACATACGCTTCCGTACTTCTGCTCGAGGAAGAGATTTCCGAAGAAGCTGTGCAATGGTCATGATATCCCCATGAGTCTCGACCGATGAGTACTCTCCGTTGTGGTGACAGGCGATGAGATTGCATTGTTTCGCATAATATTTGAAATATGCATCAAAGTATGCTTCTAAGTGTGGTTTTTCTCCAGAAAAATGGAAACATGAAGGTTGCTGGCCCCATAAAGACTCTGTGGCGAGTGGCCGAATCGCGAGGGGAACACCATCCAATAGACTACTGTCAAGCGGCGACATGATGAATTCAGAATGATAGTGGTGTTGGTCAATGATCACGCGAACCAGAGAGTAATGCCTGCGATAAGGATCTCGATTTCGTTATATATCACTTGAATGGACTCCTTGGTCATCATGTCAACGAGTCTGCCTCGCTGATCTCGGCGTTATCTTTCGGACAGAATACGCGGTGAGATTTCACTGATACAGTAGGTCGAGTGAGCCCACCTGCAAGCCACCTCGTAAGAGAATTCGTCATCCCCTGAAACCTCGTGCCGGGCGCCTGCCGCTCAGGTGAATTTTGGCTGTTCACCATTCATTCTCAGTAGGGATGGCAAAAATTTAATCAATTAAATTATTATTAATGGTCAAAAAATTATTATTTATTAATGGTCAAGCCATTATTAAATGCGTAATTCTATGCGTAATTTATGACTTTTAATGAAAATATCAATCACGTGGCATAACATTAAGAAATGAAGTTATATTTTTATTCCTCCCCACCCATAGTAATATCTGATGCTAGTATCTCGTCGATAAAGGCACTAAGATCTGACCAGTTCTCCTTACTTAAAGGAGGAATAGTGTATTAATAGTAATGATATTAGTAGTGTTTTTACTAATGCAAAGAAAGTGTGTATCATATGCACTGGATTCTAGCCCTCTGATAGGCCGGATTCAAAATCTACTCAAGACCCACTTAATTTAATGTTTAATGGTCAAAAGAGGATTAAATTAAATTATTTCTTAACGGGGTAGTAATTAAATTTAATTGTCCATCCCTAATTCTCAGCCTCCTCTCGGTGAGGCGTTCGGAATCGGGCCGTTGGCGAAAGGCAGCCTATTCGGGCCTTCCTGCCGTGGTTTGTCTTCCGACCGACAAAATCAGACGTTCAGCTTTTTCTGGTTCAATACGTTGCAGCATCTCCGGTGTTCCGACCCGCCACATCTGAGATAAGCTTGCTAGTTGGCCCTGCCGCAACTTTGTGCTCGTTGGATCACTCGAAAACTCGCTATGCTCTAGTCTGTTTGCTGTCTATTATGGATTTTGACATCTTCCCCACTCTCCTCGATTCTATCTTCTGCCGATGTAATTAGCCCTTTCGGCCTCGGTGCCCGATCAGCTCGGGCCATGAAGAAATTAAGACGACTTTTCCGCCGCAGTGACAATAGTCTTTGGCCCAGTCCTAGAGAATCGATTGGCAAGCCTGCTGGAAGATCGGATGATGGAAGGCGTACGTACTGGAGAGTTACAGGACCAGCAGGCGAGGTCTGGAAAGAGCTCGGCCCCATTGTCCAAAATTGTATCTTTGAAGACCCTGATCACGTTCAGGCGACTTTTATTATGGACTTCTACATGTTTGGAGTTACCGAAGACACAGCTGCGCCCCTGATTCTGATATGTTGCGAGAACGATGAGGCGCGGAGGCAAATCGTGAGAGCAATCGAGAGAAGCGGAATACTACTGAATCAGCATCCTGCTATTCGATTAGAACAGATTTGTAGACTCAGGCCGAAACCCTTATCGCAGGACGAGATCGAGTTAAGCTTTACGCATTACTCAGACGTCGGTATCGGAACTGTGGTACTCACTCCACTACTGGACAAATCGTTGGGAAGACGTCTTTTCATTCCAAAACAGGATAGCAAGACCAACTTCTTTCGGCCTGTAACGGCAGGCCCAATTTTGTACGTCAATGGCAAGGTCTATCAACTGACGGTGGGCCATGCTTTCACGAAATCGGGCGATTTCCCATTGCCCCAGGCTGGATCGAAAGGCGCAGAACGCCAGCAAGGCGACACCAAGAAAGCGAAGGAACGTGGCAACTCTGGTATTCAGCTCGGTTTGACCGACGAGAGCAAACATGCCATCAAGCGTACTTGGAGTAACGATAATGCTTGCAACAGGCCACAACGGCTTTCTTCTTCGCACCATCAATGTGCATCAATGGTTGGGATAACCAAACATCCCTCACTTGACTCGGGAGTTCATCTAACGAAAGACGAATGGTTTGTAGCCAACGATTGTACAGTGTCTCGAAAACTGGATATCCTCGGAAAGCTAGCCTGGCTCTCGGACCCAAGCAATGCAAAATCGCTTGATTACGCTCTAATTGAGCTAAAAGAAGAACACCACACAGGCAGTAACCAAGTGCCTTATGAACCGAATGGGAGCCAAAGATTTCTTCACGTTTGGCAAGAGGCGAAAGGTGGTCCCCGGGACGTCAGGATTGTTGCGATGACCGCTTCCTCCGGATTCATGACCGGAGAACTATGCGCTACCGCATCATATGTGCGCTTTCCGAATCAGAGGACCGTTCAAGAACTTTACCCTGTCATCCTGGGAGGAAAATTGGCAGACGGAGACTGCGGTTCAGCTGTTATCGACAAAGCCACTGGCCACTTGTATGGCCACATTGTAATGGGAACTGCTGGCACCGGCCAGGCATACATTGTCTCTGCCAAAGACATATTCCAGGACATAAAGGAGAAATTGGGAGAAGAAGTGACGTTGATCCCTCCGGGACAAATTCTCGAACCTCTACCCGAATATGATTTCAAGCTTGATCAGTTGAAACCCTGGAAACACAAGTTTGAATACAAGAAACGAGGCGATCCTTCGCGTGTAGTCGAGTTTGCCTCGAAAAGGTACTTCAGGAATCTTGGGCAGTCTGTGCAGTCCAGCATTAAAGAAGACAAAAATCCTTCAATACGAACACCACCCAAGTCAACTTCGCCAACAGTACTCCCTGGTAACTACCAGGTAGCGGGCCCATCACGCAGGAGGAGCACCGATCGTTCTCAGCCGATTACTCAGGCATTACCTACCCCAAGCAACAACAGTTCCCACCTTGATACCGACTCACTTTCGCAACTCTCGGCTTGCAAGCCAAGATTTACAACAGCCAAAAGCGAAGCCAAGGCCAGAAGCAAAGACGTTTGCGATCTAAGCAAACAAAAGCTAAAAGTGCTGCCTTTTGAGGAGCACTTTTTTGCACTCCCAAGCGACCTGCAAGTAAATGTAGTCGCCTATCTCTGCGTTCCTGATATTTTGAAGCTCAGGCAAGTCTCCAAGAACTGGTTACAGTTCATTACGGTCAATGAGACGCCAATTTCACGAGCATTCTTGGAGCACAACCGTATTCCTCGTTTCGCAGTAGATCTCTACCCTCTCCCGGCTCCGTCAGAGCTGGACTTATATTATATTAGCGAACTCTGGCGCCGACTGTCCGTGACATCAAAATTGTCCACGCTTTTGACAGACTGGATCACGACAGACATTTTTCTCCGAAATAATGAGACGCAACAGCTAGAGTTTTCGCCCCAGCGAGCACGGATACGCCGTCGCCTGATACCTATCATCTTCACAATTGCACACTTCTTCGAAACCTATCGCCGTCTGCATCTGCGACATGTTCTAGAGAATGGCTGCCCTCTGCTTCCCGAAAACTACATAATCAACCCGATAGAACGACACATAATGAAACTGTACGACAACGAGACACTCCTCCAAGTTCATCAATTTTTTCCATTTCTCCTTTCATATCTGAGCCGGAAGCTGAGACCACCGTCATATTTTGGGCGCTTGGAGAGATCGCTTCACGGTTATTCTTGGAGCTCGCTTCCACCGCCTGTTCTTGTCGGAATCCTTTGTATTGGAGGAATGAAGGAAGTGACCAGAATTTCGAAAATCGAAAGCTACGATAGCAGACGGATGGCCGTTGATGACTGGTATTCGGCTATGTTCCAACAGCCAATTGATTATGCACACGAAACATACCACTGGCCGTTGGGTCTTAGTCAAAAGAAATCCAAGCATCCGTCTTCCGGCGCCGCCCCCAACTCACATCTGAACCAAACCTGCAACACCCCCACTGCAAGGAACGCTTCCAAGTCCTCAAAGACCCTGACTTCAGCGATTGGGCAACCCGGCAATACCACTTCATTATTTACCAACGGGCAGCCTCTCACTGCTCTTAGTGATGGCCCAGGCGATACCAAGGACCTCAAAGGCAAGGGGAAGCAAAAAGCCAGTGCCAGCTCTCTCTCTGTGGCCCGTACACAGCGTCTCTCTGCTGAGCATGCTCGGGCGCTGCTAAAAGATCTCCCCACTTTGGAACAAATCTGGGTCCCCACAGCAGAAGCCTTGCTTCTTGCGAGACGTGCGATAGAGAGATGGCAGGACATCAAGAGGAATGGCCAAGCGATGGATGAGTTGATCCTTGACGAGTTTACGGCGGCTGATGAGCTCTTTTATGGATGTGCTGAGCCGAGTTTTGATCCGAGCAATGTGAAGCGTGGGTGGGGAGATTTGCTTGATGGTGATGGTCAAGAGATGGGAAGATAGATCAAGCATTATAGCTTGCGTGTCCCCACTCATGAGAGAAATCTTGGAATTATATTGCCAAGTTTGTAGTTTATACTATAAGATAGGACTATAAGACAAAGAGTAATAAAAGAGATTACTAAATAATTCATTCCCACAAAAGGGCAACTAAATATTATTAAACTTGTATTTTTATTTTATTTCTAGTTTGTCATAGCTATATTTTAAAACTAGGCTAAAAATTATAAATAAATTATAAATAAAACAAAGACATTATTTTGCTTATAATCTTATTATTAATTAAGCCACTAGTAAACTTGCATTATTAAAAGTCCTCCATGCTTTTATTAAAGAGAGGTGAAGTAGAGCAGTAGTTTAAAGGCTTCTAGTAATATATATAATAGCCAAAGAATTAGGTTTAGCATTAGATTCACCTAGCACCGAGACGGTGTGAATTAAATCGATTAATATTGATCTCGATTAATGTTAATATTTGAGCGATTTGAGCAAACAGAGCAAACAGAGCAAACACCTCTTCCAGGTAAATGGTGGGGGCAACCGCATAACTAGATTTTAACCACATTAAGGCAAAACATCCCTCCTCAACATCTTATCGCAACATCCAACGCCAATGAAGCCGTTGTGCCCGATTTTCCAAACTGGACATCTATCCCTGGAGCTGCCATTATTCGTCCGAATGGATCGGTCGAGACGGCGAGATTTCAGCCTTGTCAGCTCGCTGTAAGGATTTGACTTTGGAGCCTCGTTAATACTGCATTTCCAAAGGCGCGTCGAAGGCGGAATCGGCTATCAAGTCAGAAACCCCACAATTCGGTCCTATCAATGGCCAGGCGACCGCTGACAAAATCCCACCCTCCGCAGTGCAAGCCAGCTCCTCCACTTTCAACACAGCTCCCGAAGCAGCAATGCAGTCCACTGATAGGCGTCCTGCTGCATAGCTTCTTTGCGCACTGCGGCTCCAAGTGAGGGGTACCTTTGCTGTAGAGGGGTAAGCATGCCAAGCTGCTCTCGATTGCTGGCAAGTATAAAGGTAGGCACGGATGGAGGTACGTAGTATTGGACGAGAAGAGAATAGGTTTCCTGATCTGCATTTGCATTCGATTGTACTTATCAACAGCAAACTTGAATCTACACCGACTCGACACGAGTGAGTACTTGTTTAAACAGCAGAGATAAGAAAGGTATGAATAGCTTCGATCGTCCCCTCCTACTCCCCCCCGTCCCTCAATCATTCTGCCACGCAGTTCCCAAATCACCAACCAGCCACCAATCAGAAGCTAACAATGGGCTCCCTCCTCAGCAAAGCTACCTCGAAACACTCCTCAAACCCTGAAAAGTCCACCATGGCACCAGCAACATTCACTCACTATCCCTCCGCGCAAACCACCTTCCAACCACCCCTAATCGCCAACGAAAACGCCTTCCTAGGTGACATTGCGACCTCCGAGCCCCTCGACCCCACTGCCCCCATTTCTGCCGGCTTCTATCGCCTCGAGAAGGGAACGCCGTTGGTCTATGAGTATACATATCACGAGATGAAGATTATTGTTGATGGGGAGTTTGAAATCAGTGACGAGACGGGGAAGAAGGTGCATGCGAAGAAGGGTGATGTTTTCTATTTTGAGAAGGGGAGTAAGATTACTTTTACGACGGAGACTTTTGGGTTGGGGTTTTATGTTGGGCAGAGGAAGGTGAGTTCTCCTGGATTGAATAAGATAGCTGTGTGAAACTCTGACGACAACAACAGAAGGATACTGCATGAGGAGTTGGAGTGGAATGTTTCGGGGCGTGATAGTTTAAGCAATTGATACATTTTGTGTGGCATATTGTGGACATTTGATATTCCTCTTCTCGTGTGCCTGTCGTGGTTTTGGGATCTCTACGCACTTGAACTGGTAGTCTGCTGATAATAGCTTAAGTTGATGCTCCTGTCTGCAAGTTCAGAAGTCTAGCAAGAACTTTGCGCTCCTCTTTAATACATGCTTGAAACTTTTAGTGTCTCCATCCTCACTAGATACTTTTCTTGACGCTTATAAGTTTCAATTTTATTTAGTCTCTATCCTTTGGATGTGTTTGTTAAGGGATAGACATGTGGCAAGACTGAAGATGGAGATTGATCCGATGCATTGTTCTGTGGAATTTGAGGCACTACCATTCTGCTAAGAATATATAGCAGAGAAAGGGGTCTATTGATGTTAGATTAAGCGTTGAAGACAATTTGTCTTTGGTTTTAGCCTTGCAAAACAAGTACGGCAGGACCTGGTTAAGCCTACTCATCTGTATATCCAGTATTACAGAGAGAGCCTGAAATTGGCCCACATATATGTGATTGAGCCTTCAAACTATCAATTGCTATTCTGACCAACAGATTTGTTCGCCCAGACAGGGAAGTTAACTGTGCTGCCGTGCTTTAGACGGAGCAACTGTCCTAGCTATGACTTCTTGCCTCAACCCTGTTCATCGCATTCACTTGATCGTCCACGTTCAATCCGCAAGCTGGAACAGATACCATTCAATCAATCCTCACTCTCTTGTCCTTTCATTGTCCTCCTCTCCTCTCCCACGTGATGTACTAATTTCCGACCCCTCCACGTCATAAACAATTACCGAGTCTTCATTCCTCAACAATGACAACAACAACGGACATGACCACCCCATTCGCATTGCACTGCCTCAAATCATTGCATGATAATAGCTACGACTGAGGAGATGTTTCCCATCTTCAAGAAGCTTCCCCCAGAGTTGCGCAACAAAATCTGGGGATTCGCTGCAAACAATGAACCCCGCACTCTCGACATCGCAAGTTTCCCCAATTACCTCCTTTCTCGACCCCTTCCACGCCAACACATCTGGAAGACGCATGCTTCCTCAATTCTCTCTCCATCAATCCTCAAACAAGCAAGGGCTAACCCTTTCCCTTCAGTGGTCCGACTTCGTGCGCTGCGAAGTCGACAACTCCGTCTTCTTCACCCAAAAATACACCACCGAGCTCTCCAAACCCAAAGTCCCTACCCTCCTACAAACGAGCCAAGAATCTCGAGCCGAAGCCCTCAAACACTACAAGCTCGAATTCTGCACCCACATGGCTCTGCAAACTGGCATCACTATTGTCCTCGCGGCGCGCATCTACATCAACTACGCCAGCGATGTCCTCGTTCCCCGCGGAAACTGGAACGTCATATCCTTTCGCAACTTCTATGATAGAGTCACCAAAGCGGGTCTCATACATTTGGCAATGGATACCGCGGGCTGTTTCTGGATAGACAATCTAAAGGATTATTGCACGCATGGAACCTGGCCATTGAATAGCGTGAAGGAGTTGATGCTCTACAATTCGCGAGGCGAGACGTTCTGGAAGGGCAGTGAACACTTGGATAAGTTCAGAAAGAGATACAAGGGCGGTTCGAAACTTTTGGAAATGGAGAAATTAGAGGGTCAGAGGAGCGAAGATGTCGCGTATGTGGAAAAGTACCTTCTGAAGACGTTTGATAAGATTGAAGGCAAGGAGGAGAGGATCGAGGTGGACATGGAAGCTCCAATATTGCCGAAGAGGAGATTTCCAAGGTATTTGGATGATTGTCCCTTGACTGAGCCTGAGGAGTTGCGGCGACCGAACATTACGTACAGGAAGTTGGTTGCGAAGCCGATTGATGCTTGAATGGTGGATTGCATGTTGGAGCTGGAAACTGCATCGTTGCTGGAGTTCTGTCTTAACCGCGGGTTGTTTTCTTTCGTCATATTTTTGGGTGGATTCTTTATTGCATTAAAGAGGCGTCGCCATTGACATCGCGAAGATTGAAGGCGGAGTTTTTCATTGCATAGCGCAAGCGTTATCATTGTTGAAATATCTCGATTACGCACTGGTTTCTTTCGTTGCATTTCAGCTCTGCTTGCATCACAGAGGCGTTATTATTGTTGGAGTAAACATATCGCAAAGACCCAACATTGATTTTCGTTGAATTATCATTTTCTAGACTTAATTCAGAGATCATTCAAATCATCGTTTTGCCGATGCAAATATCACTTCACTCGTCCCCTCATGCTGCCCAAGATATCCTGCAAGTGCAGCGTCCCCTTCCCTCTAACACCCCCCGAAAATTTCCCATTATCCAAAACACGTTAGTCCAAAACCCACCACCACTTCCTCACAAATCCACTTCCGGTTCCCAGCCACTATCCTCCCACGGACTACTACTCCACACCCTGCTATCCCCACTCGCCGGGTCATCCCACATCCCTCTTCCATTAATCAACTCCCCAGCCTGTAGCAGCTTATTTCGCATAGCAGAGAAGGGCAGGAGGTCGATGCAAGACATGTGAGAACATGGTAGATTAGAGGGGCGTGGGGAGTAGGGAGGGCGGGATGGCGGGTGAGTGGAAGGGGAAATAGATTGTGGGGATTAGTGGGGAGGGTGAGCAGAGGGCGGAGAGGAGGGTGGCGTTGAAGAGCATGGCAGATAGGGCGGTTGCGCTGTGGAGGGGAAGGATGTCGGTTAGGGGGGAGGGTGGGGGGAAGGCTGTGAAATTGAGGATGTTAGCTGGAGGAACATTCTTGCTGTACGTCTTGTTGAGGGATTGGAGTTCGAAGTTCCTGGTGGAGACGGAAGGGGAGGTGATCAAGGGGAAGAGTTCGATTTCGCTGTTGCTGCTATCGCAGTCAAGGAGGAGAGATCGAAGTCTCCGATTCTAAGATCTGAATGTATGGTCGCCACTCCATTATTCTCCGTTGACAGACTCGAAACTTGTTCTTCTTGCTGCAGTGCAGTGCCTTTCTCAGCCCTTTGAGGAGTGTCACTTGGGGAGGTCTGCGATCCACCTTCTTTCTTCGAACTCTTCTTCCCACGACCATATTTCTTGCCCATGCCATATCAGGTGGGACATTTCGCACTGCCGAAATGCAGACTTATGACGGACTCTCTGTGCAAAGCAATTCTGCATCCGTTTCCGCGCAGCCGCATCCTCAATCCTCGTCCAATCAGCCTCCTCTGGCGAGCGGATGAACGGTCTCCACACTTCTTCCATCATGGCCAACAAGCTCTTTCCAGTGCCTAATTTTTCAGATTAGAATTCAAATCCAATGACCATTAATTCGATGGTTGGGAAGCTGGAGATCCGGTCGAAGAGTCGGAAAAGTTCACCTCGAGGAGGAGGTATCTCCGCGGCGTTAAATACTGACCGTGGTGATGTGTAATCCAGGAGATCAACCTAAAGTTTCGAAATGATTACTCAACAGCACCTGTAAAGTCGGAATTTAGAAAGGGATTTGTTTTTCCTTGCCTTTCTGGCTTGGGGATTTGCTGCCTGCAAAGGCTTCGATGACCGGGAAAAACTAAAACGACCCCCGCCCCCGGGGGTGTCGATTGGGAGCAGGCTATCCACTAACCCAAAGCATAGGCGCTCGGACAGGAATGCCAAAACTCTGACTTTTTCTTTAATTTTCTTTAATTTAATAAGAAATTAATATAATCTAATACTTTTCTTATATCCTTATCGAGCTAATTAAGAGCTATTTTTCAAATACAAACTTTTTATAAATTTTGAATTAGTAATTATTCTTTAAACCAAAGAAATTAAAAAAAAATATTTTAAAGCTTAAAGGTAGGCTTAAGAAAGCCTAGAAATTTAGTAAATAAGTCCCTAAACCAAGATATAAGAGCTCTATAATAAATAATTTATAGGGCCTAATACGGCTCAAAAACTAGAACTTAGTTAATTAGTATATAAACTTCTTTAAATCAAAATACTATTTTAAGGAATTATAATATGCTAGCTTATACTCATATTAAAAAATCTAACTCAAAATTTTTAAAAAGCATAAGTAGCCAATTACAAGTCGTCGACACCCCTAATCGACCCCCACCAACAAACGCCTTTAAAGACAATACCAAGTTCATACATCATCAACAAATTACACGAGGAGCCCGCTTGTCTACAACATGCAGAAGGAAGCAGCGGATTGCTTTCTACAGAGTTGGCTTCCTCCCCGTTTGACCTTGATCAAACTGAGCGAGAGCACAACGCCTGGTTACGATCCAGAACCCTTTGTTACGATTGCCAATCAATCATCGATCTCCTACATCGCGAATGGGAGCGGACTGAAGCCAACTCCATACTCTCGACAAATCACAACTGTTCAGCACTACGCTACTCAGCACGGCACTGCCCCTTGTGCCAGCTGTTCTTGACCGATTTCAATAGTCATTGTTTTCAAGAGGCTGATATTAAAGCATGGGGAGACAGAGACACCGTTGCATCGCCAATATGCTGGCCAAATACTGACCTGAGGGGCATTCGGTTGGAAACTTGGGATCCCAGAACGCGCGAGATTCTGGAGATCGCAAGTTTGCACTTATGGACACCCGGTATTTCACCTCCCTTAGTTCACTAGGACGCTGTCTGATTGGTGAACAAGCAGTTGGTAATGTGGCTGTCGTCCAGCAAGCCAGTAGAGCCACGGAATGTGCAAGATCATGGGAGGTTGCCAAACGCTGGGTGGAAGAGTGCACGACATCTCACCCTACTTGCCAACGAGCTATAATGCCTGGAAAACTACCGACAAGGCTCTTGGACGTTGGAACAAATGGCCACGAGCTTCATCTTTGCCTCTCTAAAGATTTGCCAGAAGATACAAAATACCTTACCCTCAGTCACTGCTGGGGCTCGAAGCGCTTCTTGACACCAACAAGAAACAATTTGGAATCATTTTTCGAGAGGATCCCATTTGAAATTCTTAGTAAAACATGCAGAGATGCAATCACTTCAACTCGTCGCCTGGATTTTCGTTATCTCTGGGTTGACTCGCTGTGCATCTTCCAAGGGGATCACAAGGATTGGTCAATGAAGCAGCAACGATGGGAACTGTCTATGCAAATTCAGTACTCAATCTAACTGCCGTAGACTCACCCGATAGCTACACAGGTTTATTCTTCCAACGGCTCGAGAACAGGCTCCTGGGATGGAGATTCAAAGTACCATTGGAACAAGAGCAAGGAGTGTCCTACGAGGAATCCGTCTGGGACTGTGTACCAGCACGCAGACGCGAATCATTTACTAATAACGTCCTAACCGCTCGAGCTTGGGTGTTCCAGGAGCGCTTTCTCGCACCCAGAAATTTGTATTTCGGCATGGACGAGTTATCCTGGGAATGTAGAACGCGAAGTACTTACGAGGCCTCCCCGTTTGACGACCAATCACTCGTAAGAGATGGAAGCCTGCCATTCCATAACCCGCTTGTAGATATCACAAATAGTGCGACTCAATGGTTTCAAATCTTAAAGCACTACAGCAAAGGTAGACTGACGGTTGAATCGGACAAGCTCACAGCACTCTCGGGTGTCGCCAAGCTCTTCGCTCTTAAATCTGGAAAGACGTATATTGCCGGGTTGTGGAAAGAGGATTTACTAAACCAACTGCTATGGAAAGTCGCCTCACCCACAAATAAGATTGGCATCTATCGCGCTCCGTCATGGTCTTGGGCCGCGGTCGACAGTCAAGTCGATTTACTTTGCGATCAACACACCACTGAACCGATCAAACCCCTCATCACAGTGGAACAATACTTCGTCGAGCCTTCCCAATCTATTTTCGAAGATGGACGTGGCGCTTACGTTCTTGTTCGAACTCCCGGCCTGAAATCGTGTCGCATTGCTATTTGGAAAGGAAAGAGGGGAGACTGGGGATGGGGACAACTCGGGAACTTAGTGATCGAACTCCCTTGGTGGTCGCCCGGAACCCAGCTCTATAGCGAACTATCACTTGATATCAAAGACCTCGATTTAGGCTGTGATTTCTACTTGTTGCAGCTCTTTGTTGGGACGGGGTTGGTGGTAAAGCCGACTAATGAAGGGTCGTTTGTCAGAGTTGGCTGTTTCAGACACCTGACGGTATACGAATCTGAGGTGGAAATTGGTACAGAGGAATCATCCCAGTTGTACAAGAGGTTTGCAAGACAGATGGCAAAGTTGACGGATGGAGAGCGGGGGATTCTTGGCGACTCTGTTGGTTTGATGAGGACGGGAACCCTCTTTACGTTATCAAACTTGTTTAGCTGAAAATTATGGAGGAGGAATAAGCGACTGGAAGATAGGAGACATATGAATAGAAGGAAACATTGAAGGATGAAAAGGTGGAGGGGGCATCAGGTACGAAACTCGATTGATCACACGCTGAGAAAAAGGGGTGCAGTGAATCCTGACCAGTTTGGTATCTAAACCCAGGAGCTCGATATTGACAATGATTACTGATCGTGGTCAGAATGGTTCCATTTCCTCGGCAGAGAACGAACTCTCTTCTTCAATTATGCTTTTATGATTAAGACCTTGATATATCCAGTGTAAGGAGCACAATGGCGAGATGGGCCTTTCACACCTTCCGCAGTTAACCCCGTCGGCATAGATTTGAGGGTACAGTTCACTGACGCTGGTCAGAAAGTCAGAAGATAGTACGAGGGTCAGAGTAAGTAATGATTAGACTCCTATAAATTTGATAGAGTATTCTAATGACAAAATGAACTTCCCATCACACTTTGCGATGATATGTTAACCGAACGCACGTGACGTCGTCGTCTTCGCCACCCCCTTCTCCCGTACCCTCCTACCTTCCTTGGATCGTCCTAACGTTTCCGGTCCAGCGGCACAATGGCAAATGTATCTGAGACAAAGAAAGACTCTCTAATCGTCCCACTTTAGCTGCTCCTAAAATCGCAAATCTTGTCTTTGTTCCTCAAATCCTTTCATCCCTCGCACCAACTCCATTTCAAACCTCTTCCCCTCAAAACACCTCACTTCCCAAAGCTCTATTACACAGCAAACTGTTTAGTAATTGATAGTATGTTATTTCAATTTAATTCTGCACTCGTATCAGTTCCCAGCACCCTAGACAGAAATCATCCACCGTCTCGCGCTGATTCACGTGTCTACACCCAGCCAGCGCTTGATAGTACTGGCATAATTCAATGGTGTCACAGCGGAGATGGTCGCAAAGCGAGTAGTGGGTTATATTGTAGGTACACATTTTGATATATATACGAGTGCTTGGTGGTTTGGCTTTGGGAAGAGGTGTGAGGAGAATTGCAACCTGCGTTGGTTTCGTTGATGGTCGATGGGATACAAGGGGCTGTTCTGGGGATGGGATATATATGGTGAGTGTTCTTTATCTATTCAAGTCCAATCTTTTCTTTGTGGAGGAACTGGAAGAGTATTTTTAGTAAAGTCTGTCAAGGAGCATACGAGGAAGTCTTTGACGCTGAGGACTTCCTTGGATGGAGGCAAGAGAAAGGTATTGTTTTCCCCTTATTCACTAACTCCGCCTCTTAAAATTTCTTTAAACATAATTCAAAGCTAGTTTTCGAGAACAAAGTACGAAATATCCATATAATTTCACCTCGCTTGCTGTCTAAAATTTCTTGCAAACTCCCTTCTTCGAGAAACATCTTACCAAAACCAACAAACCTTCTCCTGCGAATAATCTTTCAACCTAAACAAACAAATACACAGAACGTTATGTCTGGATACGGATCCCACGGCTCTGGAAGCGGCGGGAGCAGATACCGCGCTGGCTATGATTCCAATTCCGACGATAACCACACTGGTCCGTACTATCGTGACGTGAACTTCTACGCAGCTAGTCGTCCAAGTCGCTCTACTAGTAGAACTTCGAGTTCAGACCGCCCCCATTACGATTATGAAAGCGATGAGCCTCGAGGTCGTAGCTGCACTCCATCACCACCTCCAAGACCAGGATGCAGCACCTATACAAGTAGCTATACCGGTAGCTATAGAAGCAACGCTCGGTCGCCATTCTCCTCCACGGCGAATCGTGGGTACCGTACATCCTCCCCTCCCCCAACTCGCGCTCCCTCGCCACCACGTCAAAGCCAATCGTCATATTCATCTTACTCATCCTACTCCTCTTCCTCTCGCTCCGCACCTCCCCCTCAATCATCATCCTCAGCGAGACAAAACTCTCCAGCCCCATATACATATGGAGACGAAGAGCCAGACCGTATCCCCCACGACCCCGGTGCTTGGAATAATTATTCCACCACCTCTACTCGCGAGCAACTCATATCTTATTTTGTTAGCCGTGGCTATGATAGAGTTACTGCCGAGAGGGAAGTAGGCAAGGAGTTTGAGGCGCATGCACCGCAGCATCGCTCTGGGCTGGGCCCTGGTCCTTCGCGCTTTCAAGAAGCTGGAGGAAGCAGAAATGGGGGTGGGAGTGGGAGTGGAAGAGGAAGAGACCCAGGCCCGGACAACTTCTCAGGATATAGGGGCCAGGGAGGGAGAGACGATGGAATCCGATTTGACCAAACATACGGAGGTCCTAGATTCGGAGTTCCTCCGATGCCTGGAGACTACAGGGGATGGTAATTAGGATTTGAGAAAGAATAGAGAGATAGGTAAGTAGGTGAAGCAAACTTGAGATATAGGGGTGTGATGTGACATGTGACACTTACTACGCGCCGCATAACCAGCGCCCTTTCGAGTTCTGCTTTGAGTTTAAAGTAAGCAAGCAACATGTACACAGAGAATTGACGATTTTCCTCCCTAAACTAAATGAATTGTTTAGATATACATAAGGAGTTACCTATCATCGCGCGTGCCATAACATTCGGTAGGTTTAGCCGAAGGCGCCTCTGAACCTCTGAATCCCTTTCACAGACTTATGTACTTGTAAAATATCGGTTTCTTCGGCCATTTGGAATTGGCGTATCTCTGAATCAAGGCCCAATCGTAAGCGGTACTTTAATAATATCGACTCCGCAGACGAGAGCAGCTTTCTTTATCCCGTAATTCCGCCGAGCTGATTACCTTAAATGGATGAGGTGGTGCAAGAGGGCATATACCTACAACAGGAGAATTGTTAACTCGTTGACAACTTCAACGAAGATTCACGAATTGCTTACCTTCTCGTGATGTAGGTTAGACTCTATTTCTCTTGCATTGCAGACAATTTTTATATGAGTGAAGTGACGCTTGCCAAGACCTAAAATCCCATTTCTGTTTTGCTCTACTTTTCATTCCTTACAAATCGTCTTCCAATCAAGCGATTGGAGGATTGAGCCTTTAATAAACACGCGAGATATTAAAAATGTTTTCTATATACTTCAGTAGTAACTATGCTCTAGAGCTTTTGGTTGTCGTAACTCTCCACCGGATACATGATTTGACATGCATTTACTAATTTCTTAGAAGAGTTCACCAGCCAAACGCCCACACCGCTCAACCGCTCAACCGCTCAAACTTAGATTTGACTACAATAACACAACTTGGGGAAATAAACTCTATATTCGGACTCCCCGGAGTATTCTCTATAATCTATGGAGTTCTGGGGATTTTTCAAGCACTTTGAAAAAGGGTCAATTTTTTGGTGTTCTGACAGGGGTAAAAGTGGGTGGTTGCGTGGTGTGGGCGTTTGGCTGGTGAACCCTTCTAGAACTATCCCCCCCTTGAATAACTTACAGTGGGCCCAAGGATAATACCACCCAAGCACTGGCCGAAACGCCATTCAACTCGAACTGAGCAGCCTCTCGGTCATTAGTCCCATCTCGCATGCTGTGTAACTTCAAGATGGCCTCTCGGTAACTGCCACGTCGAGGAGGTTATCCACACTTATGCAGCCGCCCTATCGCAAACTTTCGATCCGATTTCCCCCTCACACGTCAGCGCGCAGACGGACATTGTTCCACATCTTGGCACTTACACAGTGCCTGTCCGTCAATCCACTGCACATATTAAGACGCAATCTTATCCTATATGAAGACGCTCCATCGGCCTCGCTGCACTATACTGGCTTTTCGCCAATTATCTAGCAATGGAGACTTTATCAGAAGGAAACCACGCTGGTCAAGCAGTTGACGACTCCTTTCTAGGTGTTGAGTCTCGCGTTCCTCTTCGCATATCAACTTCAGACATCATCACAGCCGGTTCGGGTATCCTCGTTGAGGGGCAAATTCAGGGTAACGAAGACATTTTTCGTGTCGCCCAAACTCTCGTGACCGTCCAGTACGTTAACCCTATAACCAGCTGGTAGCACACCTATATCTACTATCTTATTTGCATGCTAACTCTTTCTGTCTCTAAAGAAGCGATAGCCATATGAACGATACATGCGACAGCTGCCTCGTGTGGACTGGCAGCGCACTTTACCGGGAAACAAATCCCACAAAACAGCTCAGCCTGTCGGTGTGCAGCACTTGCAAAGTTGTGCGATATTGCTCAAAGGTATTCGGCTTCTCTGATTCAAGTAAATACCCTATTATATGATCTAACAATCTTTCGTAGGCATGTCAAAAGAAAGCCTGGAAGAGACACCGCAAGGCAGAGTGCAAAATGTGCGAATTCTTGAATCCGAGCGTCTCTTTGGCTCAAATTAACTTCTCGACATCAGATTTGGCTTACATCGGTCGGAGGGTATTGGGCACATTATGCGTGCAACAATGCGTCTCTTGCATATGCACCTGAGCGGCCAGCTGACGGAGAATAAATGGTCTGCTCTCCTGAATCTAAAGTCACACAAGGATAAGTTAAAAACCACTGATACATCGTTCTGGCCCGATGTTGACAGAGCTTGTCAAAATATCAAGATATGGGCCAATACAAGTGTGGAACAAGACGTTCTGGAAGACTTAATTTGTATTGTAAGGATAGTTTTGTTTGCTCGTCTGCAGCTTTTCAAGATCAATCCATCCCTTTCTTTATACTTTTACCATTTTATTCCCATCCAGTACTATATCAACAAACCTGTCAACATATGCCCCTTTGGAATTCTTTACTAATATTCATAGTTCGTTATCAATAGCATGAGCATAGCAAGTCCGGAGGGGACCACTCTAGGCAGCTGTCTAGAGCCATTTGCCGCCCTCATGAATCATTCATGTGATCCAAATTCTGCCTTCTTTTTTGAAGGACCAGAGTTGCGAGTCCGATCGATTAAGACTATTATGGCGGGGGAAGAGATAACAATTTCATATACTGACCCTACTGAAAGCTTTGACTTCCGCCAAAAGCAACTAACAAATTATTACTTTATATGCAAATGCAAGAAGTGTGAGAAAGAAGCTCTAGGGGAATGGAGAACCGAAGACACCGAGCCCAATAGACCGACTAAAGAATCACAGGATCAACTAAGGGCATTATTGCAATTGGACCCTAAAACAACTTCCCCTGAAGCTGTCGAAGCCTCAGCGAGGCGAATCTGCCGTGAAGGATGTCCAGGAAAGCGTTGGCCACGCGATCTACCTCCAATGCCTTCGCTACAAATAAGTCTTGCTCAACACTACCGTGAGAGGCTGAACTGGCCCAAGGTTTATAGCCTCTGGCTGAAAACATGCTTTGAGACCGATCCATCAATCTGGGCAAGTCAATACAGTCTTCACCGTGTGGAGCATTTCATGCATTATATAGGTGTAGAAGTGTAAGTAAGACACTATATTGTGCCAGTTGGCTTACTGACTCTATGTCTCTTCAACAGCCACGTTGCGAATCTATTATTCGGGGCCGACTCCAGCGTCCAAGAGTTACAACAGTTAAAAAGTACAATTTCAGCTGTGCAATACCCTCATATCAAGAGGTTTGCGGAGGACGCTAGGAGAGCGTATGGAAGAGACAGCACGATGGCAGAACTGGCAAGGTTATGGGAACGGAGATGGGATGATATTCTGAATGGCCAGGGGTCAGATCCTAGAGTTTTGGTATCATATTGGGCAAGCAATGATGGAAAATTGGAGCTGAAGAAATATGAGCTGAAGTTGTTAGAGTGGGCTGAAAATTTTGGGATCTGAGGAGAGAGCATCTCGTTCTTCAGAATTATCTACATGTTTCCTATATCTAGTCGCATCGACGACACTCGTGTTGAGTGAAAGTGGAGTTTGATCAAGATTTGGTGGCGGACGTGGAGAAAGAGTGGACGGAGTGGCAAGATCGTATACAGCGTTCCAAATTTCTTCGTCGGGGCATCGTCAACGACTTTTCGCAGGGGGGACAACAGATGTGATGTCGCTAATGTAAACGAGGTGCTATTCCACGCTGCTAGAAACACTTCCTTGTACTTAGGGGGAATCAAAGAAGGGAATGTCGTTGATAATTTCTTGCATTGAACTGTATTGCAAGAATTAGTCCTCGCCGTAAACCCACAAGCCGGGAATTATGACGGCGGCCCCTGCCAGTCCTCCCTCGTCCAGTCTTCATAGTCATTGTCGTTCCCATCATATGAATCTTCAGTTGAGTCGAAAGCCCCGTCAACGTAATCTTGAGGAGGCATGTAATTTCACTGATCCAAAGTCTTATTTTGATCTTCGTTCCATGGAGCCACCACCCTCTCTGAGCCATGATCCTTTAGCGTCTTCTGGTTCACACATGAAGTATTGAACGCTTGTGCACCAAGAATATGCATATCGACGAGCAGACCCGTCTGGTAGGGATTCCCGTACAGAAGGGTAATGATGGAAAGGGAGCCCTCGCGGCAGAGGTCTACGCCTTCGAGATTGCTATACCTGGTTGGCGAGTACGGGACTGGTGGTGCATGGCGGAAGATGAGCCAGTCAACCAGACCTATTGAAATTGGTACGCTACCATAGCTAGCTTACCAGTCCTTCCAGCACCAGGTTCAACCACTAATTTAGGGTTCTCCACTCTCATTTGTCATGCGTCACTCGCCGAGCTTACGAAGCTTACTAGTATATCGTCATTTTGATTACCTTTGATTTATCAGCTGATTGATAATGTATCGGAGAAAGCGGGCTCGGCATTACCGGTATTGCCGAAGGGTAATGGGAATAAATCCCTTACTTTGGACATTTTTCCTCTGTTTCCAGAACTCACTTCTGTATCTAGTCATTCTGCAGTCTGTCAACCTTCAATATATCGATTTTCCTTCAATAAATCGATTACTTTTCAATAAGACCACCAATTTGCTCCGCTGTGTTGATTACATTTGTCTCGATGGCGGTTTTCATACTAAATTAAGGGCTATGGCGCTGTAAATTGCTGTAGCTGTTCACCTCCGTCGCCGATGTCCTCCGGTTCCACAGGCAGCAATCTAGGGCCGATCTTGGTTGACAGCTGTTGACTGCCGACCGCAAAACTCTTCAGCCGCGGTGGAGCTCCTCCTCCCGACACCAGCAAATTAATAAGCGTGTTCATGCATTCTCGCATACGCTCTAGTTTATTAATCAGCCAACTTGGGAGGTGCTCCGTTCATCTGCGGAAGTCACCAACTACCTCGCCTTTCCCAGATTTATTGGTCATCTACCAGCTAAGCCGTGCTGGAGGGATTTATCAGCCAATCAATCCCAAGCTCTTCCTGCCACTTGGGATTTCAAGTGGCCACATCAATGTGCTCCTATACTTGCAGGGCAAAACTCTACGGAAAGAGTCGATGTTGACATACGTGGACGCAGATTAATAATCATCTAATTGCTAAGCCGTACAGTTTGATCAATATTGTGCTTTGAAAGTTGTCCATTATTAAGTCACCGAATAACTCTTCCTTCGGCATATATGAACTCGAATCACACCTTTATGGTGAACCATTGCAAGTCATTATCACTCCATCCAGAGACGAGACCAGACCCAAAACACTTTTAAATTGTCCCCTGCCTCGAACGACAGTATGACTTCTTACTTAGTCACTGGTAGCTCTCGCGGGCTCGGACTTCACTTCGTTGAAGAACTGGTAAGAAACCATGCAGAATTTATTACTGGCAAATGGCTAAAATCTATCAAGCTGAAAACCCCTGAAAACTTTGTCATAGCTTCAGTGCAAAACCCGAGCAAAGCCGCAGAACTCCAAACACTGCTCAGCAAATATCCCAAAGAGCGATCAGCAGTGTGGGCAAAAACTACTCAAGCTACTCAAGCTACTCTAGAGTAGTCTTGAGTAGAGTAGAGTAGAGTTTGAGTAGCGTAATATAGTACTTGAGTAGAGTAGAGTAGAGTACTACTCTAGAGTAACTCAAGAGTAGTCACGTGAATGTGGTAAATCGGTATTTATTTAATTATTAATAAATAAATAAGGTACCCATTAAGTAGCAGTATATAAGTTAAACTAGAGCTTATATAAGTCTATTTAAATACTACTTTTTTTTTTATAAAAAACAGATTTCCCTCCTCGGAATCTTTCTTTTCCTTCTTTTGTCCTTCCCCCCTTACTTCTTCTAATTCGTCTTTAAATAGCCCCCAGCTTTTTAAGCAAGATATTATCTTAATAGTACTCTTATTAAGTCTATTATGTAATTTAGATATAATAAGAGCACCTTGAGAGAAGAGTTTGCCCTTAATAGCCGAGGAAGCCTAAGAATATATTATGGTTCTACCTTGCTTACCAAGCCTTGCCACTACTTGATTGGGCAATGTAGTGGCGCTAGACTCGGGCCACCCCGGAGCCTTACCCAATTAGGCCAGCGTGTCACGTGTCGCATCACGTGTAACGTCACGTGCGCACTACTCAACTACTCTAAAATATTCTAGAGTAGTTGAGTAGAGTATTGAGTAGAGTATGAGTAGTGAGAAATTTATTTGAGTAGAATATGAGTAGGGCCCACTACTCTACTCTACTCTACTCATTTCCCACACTGGCGATCAGCCATCGTACAACTGGATATCGATAGCCCGAATCGATCAAAAATGCCGCAGTCGAGGTCTCGAAGCTACTGCCAGAAGGTCTCGATGTATTCGTCAGCAATGCTGGTGTGAACTTCCAACCCACAGCCATTTTTGAAGAACTGTCTGTATTCTTGTTCGCCAAAAACCACACAGCTTAAATAACAGGACAATTCAATTCATAGGGGCCTCCCATTGCTTGAAAATGAATTGAAGCTCGAAATTATCAACAACACTATCCTCATACGCTCCTGCCTCCCACTCATTCGTGCGGGTAAAGCAAAGAAGTTCGTCTTCGTCAGTGCGTCACTTCTCTGCTCGGATCCATCGAGCTTGCCGAGGGTATGCCAGGTCTCAACGACTCATACTGCGTCTCCCGAGCAGCACCCAACATGCTTATCCGAAAATGGGGAGGTGCCTTGAGCCATGAGGGTACTACTACTGCTTTGGTTCATCCAGGTAAGTCAATCCTACCAATTCTTTTCGATCCTGAGTACGTCGAAGTTTGATCATACTAATGTTATCTCTTTAGGGTGGGTTCCTATGACCGAGATTGGCGCTGAGATCGAAGAATGGATGAACAAGTATGCTCCCAACTTCGCCAGAGTTACTCCCCACAATTCGGCTGCCGGATGCGTGAAGATATTCGAGACTGTGACCATCGAGCAGACGAACTCTTTCTGGAATTATGACGGAACAAATCTCCCTTGGTAGAGAGAGGTCTGTTGGGACTACACATTGTCGAGGGCCGGGCGAAGCAGGACATGGTGTGATATTAGAGGTATTGATTATACAGTCATTCACTAGAAAAATACTGGTGGTTTCCTTATGAAATGCAATAGATTTCATATTCCAAACGGTCCAATTCAAGCAAATTGCAACCGCGAAACTGGCCAGTGAGGATAATGGCTTTGTATGGGTCGAGGAGTTTGCCTCGGGCCCTCGGGCCGGATTGGTGTAAATGGGTAAAATGAGTCAGCACTCTCTTGTTTGTCGCATTCGGTTAGGAGGCTTGCTCCTCCGGCTCAGGCGTTCATCACCACTCAGCCAGCTCATCTGAGCACACTGAGCACCATGAGAATCTGCTATTTTTTAACTTCTGCAAATATGTCTTTACCAATCGCATTAGAAAGTAATGCACATAAATAAAGCAGAGTGGGGAGTTGCATTTGAAGTAAAAGAGTTGATTAAAAAGCGGCTAGAAAAGAGCTCAGGTGAAGTGTGAGAACTCCAGAATATGGGTGCACAGAGCCCCGCTAAGCAGAGTGATCGCATTATGCCTAAATAAGAGATCTCACTGCAATAGTACTGCAACAGAAAGTAATTAAAAGGGCCTCGCTCCCTCAATTCCACTTGGAACCCCCTGTCATGAATTGACTTCAAATTGAGTACCAATCTCAGAAGTTGAGACTCAGCCCATCTGAGGGTTTTGTGAGACGAGACGATAATTTGATGTGTATGCTTGTTTTGAGACCAAATCCCCAACAGCAACCAAGCACTTGTGAAAACCCCTAAACAGGCAGCGTTCCCCTCTTTTCTTGTGTGTGGCCATTTATATAAGCTCCAGCTCCCTGCACTTAGTTTCATCGAAGGCCTCCCCCTGCATAATGCCATGGACATAGCTCTCGCCGACCAGGCGCGATTGGTTATCCTCCTGTCGGATGATAAGAGGGACCTTCCCCCCTTTAAACAGTCCGACCTGGTCGTCGACTCTCGTCGTCGGTGGCACCAACGCAAAGTACCCCATTTTGGTAATTGCGAATCGGGAGTAGAACGCCGGTCGCATCAGCATTAAGAACAACCCGTCACCGTCATACACGGTATCTGTCACGCTGTAACCAACCGCTGCGAGGTAGTTATACATGTCACGAAACTTATCGACGCGGTATTTTTTCAGCACACGCGGGGCCTTCATCGCCCGTCGCCAGCTTGTGAAGGCCTGCTCGGCAGACTCAAGGTGGTTGGGTGAGATATCAGTGCAGAGTGTACGCCAGAAAGCGCGCGTGCGCAACTCGCCGGTTGGATATATGGAATCATCGGTGCTGCCTAGCGCCAAGTCTTCGATCAACATCATCACGTCGAAATATGTGCTCATACTCGCTAGCCCCTCAGCCTCTAGGACAGACTCCATGTCGTCAAGCTTTTGGCCGAGCATCTGCTTCTGGAGTTGATCAAGCTTGGGAGGCTGGATGATTTCAGATAGCTGAGTGATGCTATCCACAAAGTAACCAGAGATAATAAGGATGCGACGACCCTTAAATGTGGGAATAGACGTGGATCCCCGCGACGCGGCGAACTCACGGATCGGGCCGCTCGCGATCGCTCTCTCGCCAGTGGGGAAAACGAGATCTAGCCTTGAAGATGCTGTGTGGCTCCAGTCAGGAGCCCAAGACGGCAGGCGCTGGCTGAACTGCGAATTGTTTTGCGGTACAGAGAGAAGGTCGAGGTTTCCGGATGACGACAGGATCAAGTTCGCAAGGTCCTCGTATACCTCCTCAACACTCTTGCTGTAATCCACCTGAACAGAGGTGGCCTCGCTGTCCGGAGGCGCGATGCCGAGAAGCCCGTATACTTTGTCCCGCGGATCCGTGGCTTCAAAGATGCGGCAGTCGTGCAACAGATCCAGCAGTGTTACCGGGTGAAGGTAATGGACGGATGGGACGGATTCTGATCGATGGACCCACTCACGGATTTGCGCAAGTGCTCCAATGAAGTTTTCGTCTTCAGGCCAGCCGCCCGATGCTCTCTTTCCGTTGACGAAAGTCATTGTGAAACCAAAAATGAAGGTATCCCAACTGATCGAGCGGTGACCGCAGACCATGGTGGCTTTAGAGGCAAGACTTAGCTCTTGAGTTATCCAGGTGCGCCGGAACCATTGTCGGCGAGCTAGATCTCGTAGCGCCAGGAGCTCATAGACATTCGGTGGATTCATGCGCAAAGGTAGATCTACATTAGAGTCTTCGGCGTTCTCACTTTCATCTCTTTCCTCATTTTCCTTACTCCTCGCTTTTTTATTGAAATCGCCTTCGTCAGTTTGCGCATATGATGGGTTGAAAGGATCTTGGTGATTCAGTGACCATGGCGTCCTATAATTGAACTGCATCTCAGGGGTCTTCAGATCCTTCCCTTCATCCTTGAAAAATTCACGCAGCTTCTCACAGAGCTCTATCCCGAGGCCACTGTTTTGATTTTCTTCGCCGAGCCACACAATAGTTCCGGATGCATTCCGGTATATATCACGCATGATGCCAACCTGCTGTGAACGCTCCTGCAGGTCTTCCTGGTTGATGCACACGGCGTCGATCCAGAGAAGTCGCTCTGCTGTCCTATTCCGTAAGTAGAGCAAAGCGGCCTTCAGATTCTTCGTGACATGTAATGCGCCACCTTCGCAACGAATGGTCGTCTTGACCGAAGCATCACCCCAACAGTATGACAACGCTTCATAGCTAACACAGTTGTCCAGTTCCACACATTCTATCACCAACTGGATATCCTCCAGGTCTTCTGCTGGTAGAAGCCTCACAAGTCGGGTTGACAGGGTCGACATTGAGCCCAATGGCTGGTAAGCGTAATCCGCTTTTGCACCATCACTGGCGGATTCAAGAAAATTAGCCCATGCAGCGGCTCGCTCTAGCTCTTGCGTCGTCAAAGGAGCCGGTTTCGGGTTGCCCTCGTCAATAAAGTCGAGCATCCACTGCTTAGGCATTGAAACTGTCTGACGAACATGTTGCACAAAACCATCTTTGGGATTGAATTGGTCCTTGTAAAAGCTCCCCAGCTTATCGTGCCAGTACTTTCTTGGCAGATTCAGGCTTTGCAAGGTGCCTTGTAGGAGGCCTGGATCCTGGGCCGCCTCTGCCGTGTCGCCATTTTTATTTTCTGGCCTGTTCCGCAGCAAAGACGCCTGATCTTTAAGATCAATGAGGGATTTGAACATCTCTATAGAGTCCGAGAAGCGCTGGAAAGCTTTGCTTATCGCTCCTTCTGTCTCCCCCCAATAGTCCCGTAAATTCCTCAATCGAGATCAACCGTGCGTCGTATCTTTAGTACACTCAGTATGCAAGTGCAGGCCATACTCGCCGTGCTTGGTACTCACAGCAAGGCTGCCAAGGCAGCGGTATCTCCTTCCAACGAGGTGATAGTCTCTCCTCAGCTACGCTGTCTGTCGCCTTCCATATACATTCGGCAAGATACAGGTCGAAGAGGTACATAGGCAATGAAGTATAAATTAATGGTGCCAGAAGTGGTATTGCAGGTTGGACAAACTAAATGGTGAGGATGTTGTCGCGCGCCCAAATTCGAAATGAGGTTCGCGGAAAGATATTTCTACCCTGGAAGCCTCTCGCTTGCGGCGGCCGCACGCGGAATTTAGAACTGCCAGTAACCGAAGCCCTGCACCAAAACACGCGAGATTATAATAAAAACCCTCGAAAATACACTTCTTAAAACAATTATTATCTTAGCTCATAATGTTTTCTTAATGAGTGACCCTTTAAAATATAATACGTTTTGTCTAGAAACTTTATATCTTATTAAAAAAAGAAATATAATATTAAAAAAATATTAAATATTTTCTTTATATTTATATAAGTAATTATTAATAGAAATATTGAGTTTATTTATTCTTATTTACTTTATATTAATATTACGAATTATTTGTAATATATTATATTAAATTATAAATTAAATTATTTATTTATATATAATTAATATAATATATACTATAAAAAGCTTTAAAAGTAGTTTATTTATTTTAAAATTAGTTTTAAGAACTTATATAAGACTTATATTAAAAATATAAAATATAATTTTAATTAATAAATATTTATAAAGTTATATTTTATTTTTATTTATATATATTATAATATTTTACTTTTACTTTTATAATATAAGAGTTTATTATTTATTTATTTTAAAATTAAATTACTTTTAAATTAAAGAATTAGTAAGTTTATTAAAATATATAAATATATATTATAAATCTAAAGTTTATATAAAGTTTAATCGTGGTTTAAAATCTTATATTAAATGCTTTAAGCGTTCTTAAATTATTAAGTCGTGAAAAGTGAATGTTTTTTAATAAACCTTATGTTTTTGTGCGGGGCGTGTTTTGGTGAGGAACTTCGGTTACGAGGTTAGGCCTGGACCAGGCTCTACGTAGGAGAAATACAACCGTATCAGGGCTATTAAATGTAGTGAGACAGGGGGGTCCAGGGCTGGCACAGACCAGAAAGTCAACAGCACGAGCTTTTCAGTGACCTTCACCCCTGTCTGTGGCTGGCTTGTTACACCTAATTCCCATAATACGTTGTAAGCGGCGGCCGAAATTGGCCCCTGCGCCAACACCAAAACCTCAACTTCCTGTCCTCTTTTTGAGACAACACAAGTCAGTTAAAGGTGCAAAAGACGTATGTAGGACTTGCGAGATCTGGTATGACTGTAAGAAGTTGTAGAGAGAAAAGAAGTTAATTTGCTGTCTAGTAAATACTTATTTTCTGGTGTCCGCTGAATTTGTCAAAATCGACCCTTTTTTTACTCTTCCCGCTAACCTTTAGCCTCCCTCCGCATGCAGTGAAGCCGCCTTGCTTTTCGAGTTCCGGCCTATATCATCGACGGCCCCCTTCTATATACCCACCAGTGACATAAACTTCTCCAATCAGAGTACGAAACGCTAATAGATTGTTGGTTTTCTTTTCAGATATCTTTTGAATTTTTGACATCCCAGTGAGCGATTTATTTGAGGGCTTATTCCGCTCAAGGGTATCTCTCAGGACTTCACTCCTTCCCGGTTTGTTTAGAAGGATCCAACCGGTTTGCCGTGACCAGATTTGTTACAATATCGTCAGCTCCTCCGAGAAGTAAAGAGATACATTAATTCCAGAAAATACTAACTCCGGCGCTGCGTTGTCTAATGTCTATGTTCCTTCAAGCGGGGATTCTGGCACGCTCATTGGCGCTTTTTTCCCCTTCAACCATAGCACCTCATAGCGTCTCTGACCCTCAGCACGGGTTCAGGAAGAAGAATTGAGGAATTCAATGTTGTTGGAAATCTGATGGAAGGAAGAATAAGATCACTACAGAGGAAGGGTGGAAGAGGGGTGCTGACCGCAGCGATAACGCCGATCATCCTGGTCCTTAATAGGAAGGTCGATATGGTCCCCGTTCCCACCTTGATCCCGCTCGGACAGCTTCCCGAAGTTGACATAAGGCAGTGACCTTCCAAATAGGACCAGAGGCGGCATTAAAAGATCAACAAACCCCGCAATTCATTGCCAATCGCCTTCCCTTGCAGGATGGAGACCAGGACTGAGTAGTTTCTGACAAGCTTGATCAGGTAGCTCTCAGCGGTCCCGCAGCTGTACAAAAGCTCAACGAGTCCCTTCCCTGGCAATTTTCTTTGTTAGGTTTTGTTCCATTGTTCTTTGCTTTCAATTATTCGTCAATATGAAGCTATTGAACACTCGAACCGTGGCATTGTTCACGCTTCTGTGCGGGTTCTTTACGGACGTCGTCCTTGGCATAGACTTTCGCAATGCTCGTCCTCGGCCTGTTCCACCGGCAGATTTTGAGGCCGCTGCCACCACGATTCTGAATGCTACCTTCCAGCAGCTGATTGATCATGAGAACCCCTCGTTAGGGACCTTCAGTCAATTTTATTACTATTCCACTGAATTCTACAAGGGTCCGGGAAGCCCAGTTGTCAGTAACCCCGAAAAGGCAATTTGTTGATCTTCAGACATACTGACGAGCCTCATTTACAGATCTTCTTCACCCCGGGGGAGATTGCTGTTGTTGGGTATCAAAAGTAAGTAGCGGCTCATTACTTGCACACCATGACTAAATATACGTGCATAGGTACGCAACCACAAATAGAACCACTGGTGTCATTGCGCAAGAGATTGGTGCCGCACTCATCATCCTTGAGCACAGATACTGGGGATTTTCTTCTCCATTCCAGGAATTGACGACCGAAAATATGCAATATCAGACCTTGAAGAACGCCATTGCCGACCTCAACCATTTTGCATTGACTGCCAAGCTTCCATTCGACCTTTCTGGTGCTACCAATGCGGATAAGGCACCATGGGTCCTTGTTGGAGGGTCGTATTCTGGTGCTTTGACTGCGTGGACTGAAAAAAAGACGAGACCTTCAGTCATGTGGGCTTACTATGCAAGCTCGGCAGTAGTGGAAACAATTGGCAATTACTGGTCTTACTTCCTCCCCGAAACCGAGAACATGCCCAAGAATTGCAGCACAGATATCTCCCTGGTTATTGACTACCTCGATCATATTGGCATGCATGGTACCGTAAATGAGCAGACGGTGGCCAAAAATTTGTTTGGACTCGGAGGGTTAGCCCACTACGATGACTTCATGGAGTAAGTTGTTGATATTTTCCGCTGCTTGCTCTGTTAACAGACTTGCAGAGCGTTGGCCAATGGACCCTACCTGTGGCAAGGCAACCAATTCTATACGAATAGCGGCTTCTTTGATTTTTGTGATACGATTGAGGGCGTCACTGGTAATAGTAGCAGGATCCCAGGAGCGAGCGGTGTCGGTCTGGAAACAGCCCTCAAAGGGTACTCGGATTGGATGAAAAATAAATTAATACCGGGCTACTGTGAATCATATGGTATGTCCAGTGCTGCCTTCAGGCTGTTGATACTCGGCTTTGTGCCCTTAATCAGACGCTACCCTCAACTATTTCATCACAATAGAGCCCACTAACCTCTCTATAGGCTACCCAGAATTTAATGGGACATACAATGTTGAGTGTTTTGACTCATATAACGCTTCTTTGCCTTCGTATACAGATATTAGTGTCGGCAATACCTACGATAGGCAGTGGGACTGGTTTCTGTGTAGCGGATTCGGATGGTACAACTCTCTATCGCTTGTCCACTCCTCAGAATGCTAATTTGCTTCCTAGGTGGCAAAATGGAGCAATTCACTCACAGCAAACAATCGTGTCTCGCTTGATCCAAAATCCATACTGGGAAAGACAGTGTGCTCAGTGGTTCCCGACGGAGAATGGATACACATACCCTCTTAATGCCGGTGCTTCGTATCATACCGCCAATGCCTACACTGGTGGCTGGACTGGGTTCATTGACTCGACTCGCCTCGTTTTTGTTTCTGGCACAAATGATCCATGGAGAACCAGTCAAGTCGTCTCGCAGTTCAGACCCGGGGGACCCCAGAAATCGACCCAAGCTCAGCCTATCTTCGACGTACCAGGCGGATATCACACGAGTGACCTTATCACCCAGAATGGGGTTGTAAACCCTGAGTGTGGGGCTATTCAGGCACAGGTGGTCAAGCAGATTGTAGAATGGGTCAACGAATATCCCGCGAAGATATGAGTCCGGGGGTGCAAGATCGTACGCACATGGCAGTCACGTTGGGATCGATCTACTGCATTCTGAGGCATAAAAAGAGACTTGCGTATAAATTTAATGAATATTTCACTTTGCTGGTGATGTTAGCAAGGACTCGTGGTTTGCGAGAGTTTTCCAAAACCCCGATTTTTTGTGCGTCGTAAACAATCAGACCTATTGTTTCCTATGTTATTATCTGAGGCTGCGGCTTCTTTGTTATTAATGCCAAATAGCCTTCCTCCAATTATGTAAATACTACGCGGTCGTTTTGTGCTTGCCACAGGCCCACAGATCACATGTGTCTAGAAAACCAGCCAGTAAGTAGAAGCAATAAGAAAATGTCGCCTGGTGCTGTTCTTTGTTTAAGCTAGTACAGAATATTGGTTTTTTTTTGGTGCTCACTTGAACGGAGAAAGATTCTTAAGGTTTGTCTACTTGAGACAAATGAAGTTTATAGTATTGCCTTTCTCATTATCCCCGAATAGCGTTTAATTAAAGCAAACAAGTATAATATAAAGAGAGATTTTACTTTAAAGGAAACATTTCTATTACTAGCTTTTCTTTTATTACTAGAGAAAGCCATTTAATATAAGAATAATTTAATTTAATTCTTTAATTTTTAAAGCCTTTTTTAATTATATTTTGTATTTTAATTAGCTTATAATAATATTTCCAATATTGCCTTTTCTTTTTTATTAATATATTTAGTATATTATTAAATTACTAGAATTATTAACTTTATTTCTTATATAATATCTAATTGAATTATATACTAAATTCTTTCTATATTCTTATAAAACTATTATATTAATAATTAATTAAGGTATAATTAGAATAAAAAGTATAATTCCTTATTTATATAATTATTAGTTCCTTAATTATCTATATATTTCTCAATAAATAATAATATTAATACTAATACTAATAAGTTAATAAGCTCTTGCGAGTAATGATTAATAAATAAAAGTATAAATAACTAATTAATAAGTAAACCCTGTGCCGGAATGAATAGTGAACTAAATTGCCAATTTAATAAAAACCCTATAGTCAATTCTCGGCCCAAACTGCTACCACCACATCTTACGTTGCCTGCACCTCTTCCCCTAACCCTGACCCCAAACTTACGAAAGCTTCGAGTCGAAGATTCATCTAAAAAGGAGTAGCCACGACATACTTCTTCAAGCCCGAAGTACACAAACGCTTACAGCAATTCAAACAGAGATCATGTCACACCAACGAGATACATTCATAATGGATGTGGATACAGAATCACAATTGGGCTTCTAGTCCGAAGATGAGTTAGTGGACTGTGGACTTTAGTACAGAGAAGGCAAGAGAAAAATTGTCTCTCGCTGCAAGAAGGCAGAGGATGATGATATCTTCAGAATCTCGGAATCTCCGAACGAAAGCAATATCGCATCACGATACTGCTGTAGTGGTGAGTACCTCTTGGAGCCAGACTCGGATATCACAGTCACTATGGCCATCCAAAGAAAGGCGTTATATGGAGAGCCGACTTCCCTCTCGATTCCGAATCACCCAAGCAGAAACGTGCAACGATGTACAAGCGACTGCACCAAGCCTGTAACGAAGACTCTCCAATCGAAGGGGCACCAGTTGGTGCACTCACAGCCAGTTCCGAGATAGAAAGGTTGAATTTTTTGAAGGACATGGACTCAATTGAAGAATGGTTGTTTGGAGGAACTCTTGAGATATGGGAGTCACATCTTGTGATTTTAGTTAAGATACCCGAGAGTTCGGAGAGAGAGTTAGCAGCACTCAGTCCGACAGGGAAATATTGAGCCTTTAAGGGAGATACAACATGGATCGGCGTGGCGGAGCTTGCTCCAGATTCATCCCTTACAAACATCAAAATCCGTCTCGGCGGATTCTGAAATATTTAAGCTCCATCTCACCAGTGTGGTCAATAGTTTAGCAGTTCGTAGTTTGAACTGTAGTTTAAACGAACTAGTTGGCTTTTATTAAAACTATCATCGGACTACTGAGGATATAATTCTCGCTAGTTTGAACTGCAGTTAAGTGGTTTAATAGGTCCAAATTGCAGTTTGAACTAATAGTTTTCCCGTAACGGAATATTGTCTCGCCTATCTCGCTACCTAGTAAATTAGCGTGAAATTAGATAGCCCTAACAAAGGAATATTGAAAATTTTCTCTCCATTACCAAGCCAAATTATATATAAGGCTATTCGAATACATCTCACTAGCCACAACGCCCCATACTTATTATGTCCTCTTAATTAAGGGGCCGTAGAGCTTTCAAGCATTTAACTAGCTAGTCAAGGTTGTCTTTCGGCCAAACAATATCCCACACTTCAATAAATAATGAACCAAACCAAGAATTAGCCCCATTTATATCAACCTCCCCAATAGTCTCTTCAGTACTCTCTTTACTCGATAACGTCCAATCCCAAGATCTTCTAGATAAACCATCCCCTGAAACCTCTCGCTCCTCTATACTAATATTCGAATCTACAAAAACAAAAAGAAAGCATAAATTAAAGAAGTTTATACTAGATGAGGATTTGTTTATTGGACCTAAGATTAAAGACCAAGAATAGGGTAATTAAAAGTGGTAGAAGCGGTAATAGAGACATTTGTTAGTGTTTTGTACTTATGTAATTCTCACGTGCTCTAAAACTGCAGTTTCAACTGCAGTTATATGTCTAAACTAACTAGTTCTAATATATCTTCAAACGAACTAGTTCCCTTTTGATTAAACTGTGAACGGACTGGTAAAGCTTCAAAGCAGCAGTTTTCCAACTAGTTGGAACTATTAACTACACTGTATCTCACCAATTTGATTCCAGAAGGTCAACGTATATAAGGCTTCGTCATCTCCACCTAGAGGCTCACTTCAGGGGAGACAGTGCATGCGGAGAAGCACGCCATCGTAAGCGATTCTCCCTCAGACTTTTGAATGTTGTTGTCATTCTCCTTATCGCTGTCAATACCCAATCATCCTCCAGTAAAACCACTCGCTCGGCTACCCCTTTACTCTCTGCCACGACAGAAATTTGGGGAAACAGTGCAAGCCCACGAGGTGAGGGAGGGATCGCGAAACCTAACTTATGGCAACCCTCCATCAACCATCACCGCATCCCCCTGTTGTCTTCACGATTCTTCTTTAATGTTATTGCCTGGTAATTTCCCAGGAAGATCGCCCATGTATCTCTCTTTGTCTTCTCACCAAGCTCGAATCTCCACTAACCGCTTCATAACTTCGTTTTAAATGATCAATTCATTTTCGTTCGCATGGCGTGTTGCTTTTGGCTGCTAGGTCAAACGAATGTGGCCCCTAGTTGACTCTCCCAGAGCAACCTTTTAGGGCCTATATATAGCCCCTAACGACAGACTCAAATCAATAGTTCAATACGTCTCTCTTTATCCAGTGTTGATTTGTCGTGATGACACCTCAAGCCAAAATGCATCTGCCTGTATGCAGCCTATTGCAGGAACAGAAACAGCTCTTTAGCGCAGATTGAGTGATCTATAATCTATGATAAATACCCGAATTGTAATTTGTGGACTTGTTGTCATTTTTAAACTCGCTGTCAACTTCTCCTCACCCCCACGTTTTCCCTTTTTCTTGCACTCTACCGTGGTCTAGAAGGCTCGAAACATTCCCAGCAGAAAATCATCGAAGTTAACATGTGACCTTAAGGTAAACTACTGCTTTGTTTAATGACTTTGCTGCCATGATCTCAGTCGCTGTCATCCATTTCTCTGCACACAAACTCAGCTTCCTTAGCTCCACCCAACTGCTGCAAAACGCAGCTGAATTCTTTAAAAGCAGTAACGCGGGATCTAAGCAACTGGTTGTCTCGATTTATTCGGGAAAGAATAGGAAATCCAAAACTCATTTGGCTATGGCATGGTAGGTGCTGTTCTGCAACTGGTGGTTTTTGTTTACCGATTTATTCTCCAAGGTGAGACTGATTATATATCCACCAACCCTCTCACGACCTCAAGTAGTTCCATTATCATCAAGCAGCAATGCATAAGTGGACAAGTCCTACGTGCCACAAGCAAAAGGGCAAAACCGCAAGGTATACGAAGCCGATTTGAGAGACAATACTGCGCCACTATAATCGGAGCGTGCGGACTGGGCATGCAACAGCGTGCAATACCACCAGTATACCATTCCTTTCAAGCCTCCACCTCCAAATCCAAATGGAACAGTAGACCAAGCCAGCATTCATTCCTGATTGAAAACCCAATACTTGCCGTCAAAGTTAATTTTACAGTCATTCCCCTTTCCCTCCTACATACGCTCCCCCGAACGATCATCACCCCTGCCCGGCAAATGCAGAACGGTTTCCAGGTTAAAAGGCAACGCCGCTCCGGAGCTCCGTCGCGTGGCGAATGTGATACCTGGCTTCTCCGGCCATGCCACCGGGGATCACGCATTGCGATTGCATCGAAATGAGGTTGTGGGGAGCTAACTTGAGACGAAGAGGGTGTTTTCTACCCCTCGCGCCTTCTTCCCTCCGTCACTTGACTCACACCCCTTGCAGACTTCACCGCAATTGTAGCAACAGCTTTCAATCCACCTCACCACACTTTCTTTTATAATAGGTATGGAAAAAGGAAGGCCTGGTGGATGTGAATCCATATTCTATAGTCCTATCCATAGAACCCTTCATCTATCCTCAATCCTCGATGCCCAAGCCACCGCTCCTCAAACTCCCTGTATAAACAAAGAAGGAAAAATCAACGCCCAAAGGGTAATCCCGCCCCGTACGCCAAATCCATGCCCCAGCCAATCTATCAATTTATTCAAAGCCCTCAACTCAATGCTCTCAGTTCAAGAAAGCGGGCGCGCGGGCGAGAGGAAAGAAAGAAATGAATGAAACGAAAGAAAAGTGAAGACCACACCAGCGCTTGGTGAGCCTTTTCGTGCACCGTTGATGCTGATGAGGTTGAAAAGGACAAATTTTGGCGCCGTGAATGTATGTGAGTCGAGTTTCGACGATGATATATGCGTGTTGTGTTGAACATTTTGGTGTTTCGAGTACTGACGGCGAGGTTGTTTCCGACAAACGGTGATCGAAGCCACTCTCCTCGAGAGTCGAGAAGCAGAACCGGTCCAGCCAGTCCTTTTTCTCGCAACGTAACTAAGCTAAACGGTAGCACTCGGGCTCCGCCCGTTACTCTCCGCCTCCAACCCTCCACCGATCAAACTCCCACCCCTCGACCTATATCCAGCAACCATATACCCATCCTCCCCATCCATCTCTAACTCAAGCGGCGTGATAGGACCCGGGCTACCGCACGGCAACAGCCTCGGGCTGGTTGGCTCCTTCTTCTGTCCCGGCACACTTGCCAACGAACTCTGTGCCGCCAAGCGAGCTTGTGCGATCATGTCTCTTTGATATTGCTGCAACTTCCTCGTAACGTCGCTTGATTTCCGTTCGTGGCCTTGTCGGGAGTGCGATTTGTTCTTGCGCTTGGATTGCAGAGTGGGGATGGCGAGGTTGGTTGGTGGGAGCAGCGTTCTGCTCGAGACGGAGGGGTTGGATGGTGTCGAGACACCTGTTGAAGCGGGGGACTTGTAGTTCGACGGGTGGTATTTGCCCATAGGCTTGAGCAGCGGTTCGGGGATCGTGGGTGAGGGAGGGCCGAGGAGATTTGGGGTCAGGATATGGGAAGGCATCTTTGGAGAAGGCATTTCTGCTGGCGAGGCAGCGAGAGAGGTCGAGCTAGATATGGTTGGAGAGTCGGGGTATGTTGTCTTGGGATTGGCGGAGAAGGGATTCTTCTTGTGTGTTACGGTGGTAGGAGACTCGTGGTGCGGAAAGTATCCTCTGGTTCCATTAGCTGCAAGTACTTGGCTGCAATAGATTCAAAATTGGCGCGGAGCATACCCCGGCAGATCTCCTCGTGCGCTCAACGGAGTGTAGACTTTGGGGAGGCTTCGACTCGGCAACTCGATGGCAATGGGCTGGCTTCGCTTTCTTCCAGGGGTGTCTGGTACAACGGGCCCTATATCAACATTCTGGTTAGCATGAGGTACTGTGGTAGGCTTCCACTGGGACTTCTCGTGGCTGCGTAGGTGGCACTTGGTGGCATTGGCATTTTGTGGCGGGGTAGTGAGCATGGTGCGGCGCCATTCCCGTCACCGCAGCACAAGCAAGGAACCCATCCCCACTCAGCGTGCACCATCGCGAACCCACGACCCACAGAGGACTGACCTGCAGAAGCATCCTCCTTCCCCTCTCTGCCCTCCAGGACCATCCCCTTCAGCATAACGACCATAGAGTCCTCGCTCTTGGTGCTGGTAACGCTGCCGCCGGAGCTGCTTCTCGTGAACGCGGGCCGCTGTCGTGGGCTGCGGTTCGGAGCTGCCTGCGCTGCCGATGCCAGGTATGACGCCGGTTTGAGAGACCGGCCTGCCATACTGTAGTGCTCTGCCTGCTGCTGCTGCTGCTGCTGCGCCGTTGCCGCCGACTCGGATGGAAGAGCGACGATATGCTCCAGTGAAAGGGGAAGAAGCCTCGTGATCTCTGTGACGATCCGTCGACAAGACGCTGGTCGACGTCGTGGGTCGTGTCTGACCGGTTCGCGCTGTCCTGATTGCTCGGAATTCGAGCCGAGGAGTGGGGGAAGCAGAGGGTAAAGTTGCTGCGAGCGAGCAAGGAATCCGGACCTGAGCTCCGGAGGTGTCCTCGTATTCGGTAGGGTCGTCGTTCAATGTCTGTGTGAAAGGGGGAGAGGGAGATGGAGAGAGAGAGAGAGAGTCGGAGTTGATGGATGGTTTTCGTGCTCGTTTGTGTCGCTGTTGCTGTGGCCTGAGGAAATTCTGGGAATGACGTCGGTGAAGGCAAGGCGTTCGTCAATTTCCACAGAAGGAGAGCCAAAGGCGAAAGGAGCTATGTGATATTGAACAGTGAACCGCGACCGAGCACACGAGAGAGACGCGGCCAGTGCAACACGATTTTGGTGATCTGCTTCGTCGTCATCGCTTCGCAGCCATTTGTGTTGCTTATCTGCTGGCGATCCTGCTTGCTCCTTGAGGGTTTGCAACCTCGTTAACAAACGTTTTCACTCCATGCATGTCGCGGCATATATCACAAAAGTTTGAGCCCAAGTCACTTCGAATGTGTGCGAGCCACGCTGCTGCGGGTTGCACAGCCATGGCTTCATTCGGATCCAGGCATGCTGTACGTGATGATGGTGGGGAAGGGAGAGATGATCTGCGAGCGTCGAAGCTGTGGTGAGTTGTGACCCACAGTTTTCGGCCCCTCTTGTGATTGCTGAGCATACCTTCACCTCCCGCTCCACAAACTTCAACTTTCTCCTAATAGTTTCGTCGCAATTATCTTTCCCTACCACGCACCAGGGATCCTAATTCTCATAATTCGTTTCAGAGCGGCTTTCAGGTCGAAAAATGTATATTCTACCAAGATGGCATGTCAATCATGACAGGGAAAGGCAAAGCAGCACAACGGACCCCGAAAAGTCAACGATCGACAGATCAACTTTATGCTACTAAGCGATAGCAACCCACTACCCTGTTACACCCTATCCGTGTTCCAGGATCTCATTGAATCGTAAAGTCGAAATTGTGGGACGCCGTTTCGAAAGTTTGTCAAAGAATGCAAGGCGCGGAGTTTGCGGAAGGCTGCGGCGTTGATCCTCTTCGCGCCAAGAGTTGAAGAAGCAGATCTATGTGCTCACACTCCCGTCTTTCCGTCTTTTTCTAATTTGTGTACGAAATATTCCGTTTCTGAGATGCAAAGGAGAGCTGCGAATAACATTCGTAAGTAGATACGAGGCAACCGGAGCTGTCCAAGTGTTCAGAATTTCCGACGCCAGCTCGAACATTCAGAGCACAAGTCAAATCCTCAGTTGAGCCTTCAGAAATCTTTCACACATTATTTGTTTTCCTTGAAAGAGACCCTGAAGCCGGCACATCAACCCTAATATGTTGATCTCGGGTTTTAATCGGCGAGGAGGGGCCTGAATCGAGGACCACGTTCGATTCGCGCGGATCAAAGACCCCGAAATCAAGCGTGCAATATATCGTCAGCCTCAAAACTTGGTTTTATACTCTTCTTATCCGCCTTCCGGCTCAGGGGTCCTCCGCATAAAATAAGTGCCGAGCCCAAGCTCTCTTTCACCATTTCATCAGCCTCAATTTCAGGATCATTGCAACTCGTTGCACATCAGAACAACAAGGTGAGTTATAAACATCAGGCTGCTGAACGGAGAAGCCCCTTTTGCAGCTAGAACAAGGCGTTGATACTGGGCTTGATGGAACTCCTGGATACTGAGAAGTAGGTTGAAATGAGTTACTATGCAGAAACTGCCAAACTCAACTGGTCCCGCCAATCGCAGTGGCCCAGCCTTTCTAGTATCCCAAGTCCACGGCACCAAGACCACGAACATCTGAAAGCCATCCCATCAACTTCCGATGCCACAGCCTGCTTCATTGTCACTTTCCCTTCGTGCCTTGTAAATGAACAGACACTTCACCTCTTCACTTTTCGCGCATATCTCAGACGAGTCGATGACATTGTGCTGCTCGGCATGAAAGAAATACAATCAATCTTGCACTACGCATCCAAAGCCGCACATTCAATACCAGCTAGTTCCTCTCGGTCATCTCTACTCCCTGTCAAGCTATGCCAAAAGGGTTTATCTATGTGAAAGTTCAGCGAAACAGGGAAAGGTGAAATGTTGATGCCAGAACACCCATCCACCAGGTCTCATTGATTGTCCCACGACTTTGCGAGGCAATGTGAGCAATATAGTTCTTGAAAGGAATCTGAATAATCAAAATGGATGAATTCTACTCGTACAAAATGGTATCTTCGTGAAAGGACGCTCGATTGAAAATGGTATACTCGCTCTCCGCAACCTCATCTTAAGTCTGCCGCAACGCTCCGATGCTCTCCTCTCCCCATCTGCTGCTTTCGGGTATCATGTATCATATCACGCTCGTCTCCTCGTCTTCTGCCACCGCTAATTCTTCTCCTCGCCTCTCTTCTTGCCACGCCACCCGACTCGAGTATCTCGTTCGCGCAATGTGTTTATACCTGAGCCCGTCCGGTCCACCTCGATCTGTTGTTCTTGTGCTTCACCCAGAATACCACCATCCCGATCGCACTAATCAACCACTGCCACAAAGTCAGCCATCTCCAAATGCATATCCACATCTTCCTTCTAAACAAAAGGGATCGCTCCCCCTCCCTTCCTCGGCCCGTTCCCCTTCTCCCCTTCCCTCCACCCCAAAGGGGATTCTTGAAAACCAGGACTCACCAACAGTGCATTCACCAGATCAACCCAGACCGCATTCTTCATCCTCTGCACCCCACTGTCCCCTTCGGCTTTTTCCTTGATATACATGTTCCCAAACAGCCCAAACAGCGCGATCCAGAGGATGAACAGGGCCGTGTCAACCACCCACGCGAACGGGACGCGCGACATGAAGGGGATGAGGTAGAGCAGGGCGGAGAAGGCGCTCAATGACGCGGTGACTTCTGCGTAGACCTGTCGCGTGGCGCATCAGCATTTGGGTTCGAAAAGGGAGGGGGAGGGGGAGTGCGATAGGCAGGAGAAAGAGGGAAGGCAAACCCATTTCCCATCGCTGTACTTGTGCTCCCTGTTCGCTTTGTTCAGGTCCACGCCGTACAGGCCGCAGACGGCGAGCGCCATGATCATCTGGACGAGGCGGAAGACCGAGTGCAGGATGTAGGAGGCGGTCATTTCGGCGCCGTGGAGGAGGCCCATTTTTGCTGTGTATTCCTGTCCCTTTTCCCGTGTAATGATGTGTTCGTTGCTTTCGTAAAGTCCGTTCGGTCGGTTCGTGTGTGAAAGTTTGATGTAGAGTGAGTTGGTGGAAGGGGTGGTGGTGATGCAGGTTGTGGATGGATGGATGGATGGATGGTGGTTATGTAGATCGAGTTGTTGGCAAAAAGCAAGCGCAACGATTCACCCTCACCGTTGCGGCTTCTTAAACAATCACGAAACCGCTCATCTTCCCTCACACCACCCTGGCCCAGCCTCGACCTCTTCCTTGGAAATCGTGGCCCAATCGAGCACTCAAGGCCAAGCCTCGTCCTCGAGGGGCTTGCCCAGATTGATGGACTGATGGAATGCGCCCTCTATCACCCAATGAATTTCTTGGTTTCGAGGTGGAGTGATGCGCGATGATGCTGCAACCATCAGGGATGCAGCGACAATGACGGCATGTGCAGGGAGGTGGTGTAGCGAGTGAATGCCCTGGATGTGAGTGATTGGCCAGGCAATGAGATGGCAGATTTAGTGGGGTTGTGGGACGAAGCGAGCGGATGACGGCGTCAGGGGCAATAGCTTGTTACGAGTTTGGTGTGTAGGGGAGATTGAGTTCTTCCCGTGGAGTTGACTTTCTTCGTTGCGTTTGATTCTTCATTTCGTTGAGGATTTATGTTTAATGATTTTATCTGTTATATCTTGAAGGCGTCGTAATATTGCTCGAAATTGTAGGGAGACAGTTTTCGAAGCAAAGTCCTGGCCCCTGAGTCAAGTCAAGTGACTCTCACGGTTCCCATCTTCCCTTCTTTATTATCTGTTAAACAAGATTTAAGCGCCTCTTTGCGTGCTTTCGAGACTCTCAGATGAATTTCCCAAACCCCACTATCCTAAATAATCTACTTCCTCTACTTCCTCAAGACCCACGGCGCCGCCTTCCAACTCCTCACATCCCAAGGCTGCAGGTTCCCCCCACCCGTCACATCCCCTAGATTCTAGCACACAATACCCGCATTAACATCATTCTTGAGATCCCAAAAGTCGAACCGTGGCGGGCTCGTACTAGCCATCGTGAGAGCACGTGCGCGAAAGACGGGGAAGGGGATTAAGTCGAGGGAGGCGTAGTGGGGAATAGGATCTGTGGGAGCGTTGACTGGAGGTTGGCTGGTGCTTAGGGGATGTGAGATGACAAGAGGAGGGTAGTGGGGTGGTAGAAGGGCGAGGACCAGGAGGTGCGCTGATGAGTTCGAGGTTGAGGTTGAGGGATACGGCAATGTAGAGGCCGGCTGTTAAGGCTGGGCAGACGAAATTTGGGTGTAATTTGCATGGGGATCCCCTACTGGTTGGGCTGGGTACCTGAGTAGAAGGTCGGTGTGTGTTGAAGGTATGCTGCCAGCTCCTAGTATCGGACTCTAGGAACAAGACGCAAGCAATTGCTGCGGCCCGCAGGCATCTCCTTGGACTGAGCTGGGAACCATTAGGTACCCTGACTGCAGATACTGGTCTGGAATGGCATTCTGGTCTGAAATGTTGGAGCGTGTTTCTAAATCTGGAAAGTCGGACAATGTCAGAGAAAGTGTATCGCACAACGTTACATCAAGAGATTCTGTTTGTTCAGAGGTGGTCGATATTAAGCTCCCGTATTCGCCAGTACCGATCGATGGCAGTTGAGTAAGTGAATGATGGGCACTAAGGTTCGACAACGGCTTTGAAGTGTTGTCGAGAATGGAAGAGCTAGCAGGAAAGACCGATGGCAGAGCATTATTCGAATGTAAGCGTTCAACTTCTTGTTGGATAGTGGATAGTGGATCTTGGAATGGGCGTTCTGGTGGAGCGGAGTTTCCATCTGGGGCAGATTGGCCTTGATATTCCTTGATTCCCAAGTCAACGTAATCGTAAATGGTTGAGATGGACTCCTTTGCTGAAGAGGGGAGGCGCTGTCTGAGTTCTTGGATTCCTCTGCATATGCGTTTGGAGTTCTGCAATTTTTCTTTTTGCCTCTGGCCTATGACTTTGGTCAAAACTTTATTGCTAGTCGCGATAGGTCCAACTAAGTGGAGAGGCTCACGGTACGCTTTTGCTGCAACTCGATTCCGCTCTTTGCCGCCTTTTATGATGATCGGTGGTCGAGACTGCTACCCTGACGCAAAGTCTATTCTCATAGCTGTGGTCAACATTATGCTCGTTTCCCGCCTGCAAGGAACACTGGTTGGTGGTTTGAGAATCATCAATTATTAAAAATCCATCGCTGATTTATGGCTGACGATCAATATTAGCCAGGAAGAATATCCGCAAACCCCGAAACTTTGGCTGACGGTGCGTCAGCCAATAGCAGAGCAATGCTTCAAAATATCATTGGACCACTACTCATCATCATTCATCAACAAGATCCTTCTTCACCGCCGCACAAATATGCGTCACTATTATCCATTATGTGGCGGAATATTTCAAGTGATCCCGCAGCGCGGATTTTTCATCCCCATCTCTCACTAGTCCTCCAGTATAACAACGATTGTCTTTCATATTTCAGTTCATCTCACCCATTCACTATTCTTTAAGCTTCATTACAAAATCAAAATATCTTCTCCAAACAAGAAAATTCATCGTCGTCGTCGGCGCAACAGGAAACTAAGGCTCATCCGAAGCCGCTACCCTTCTCAACCTCCCAACCTAGCATGACTCGCAACCCATCCTCCCCCCCTTCCCAAAAGCTCGCAGCCCTCGTAGCCGAGATCACCAAAGCAGACCTCTTAGATCCAGCATCCCTAGGACTGACCTTCAAAGATGCAAACGTAATCTTTGTCAACACCGATTTCTGGGAACCCTAATTCGGCTCCCACGCTCCCCTAACGACTCCAGAAAGCGGAACGATGTCCAGCAGCGAAGCAGCCTTCGATCGCGAGGTCTCGCACGGCAGGGATGTCGCAAGCGCAGCAGCCAGGGTTGGGAAATCGTTGGGACGATTCATCTACTCGACACTCGGGCCCACGAAGGTGGGTTCTTGAGGGAAGTATCTGCACTCCTACCACTGGGAGCCGAAAGCCGCCATCGTCTCTTACATCGAAGCCGAGCAGCCCGAGTTGACGCGAAGAACGTCGTTTACCTACCTTGGGGCTTATACAACAAAACCTCTTTTCACCCCGCGCTTCGACGAAAGGACCGAAAGTGAGTGTTTGCTCTGCCGATGAAGAAGGAAGGACGCATGCCCATTATTGATCCTGTGCGTCTACAGGCCCATTCGTTCGCGCTCTCGTTGAAGACGAGAGTCTGGGTACGAATTTGTTGGCGTGTGGTAGCTATCTGAGCATGACTGAGATTGTGGTTTGGTCGTAGGCGATGGGCAGGGAAGGGGCCTTTTTGAAGATCAGTGCGGAGGTTACGAACAGGGAGTACGGCATTCCGCTTGAGGTATTGGATGCACCAGGGTTTGTGGGCAAGTTTGAGTTTATGGGTGGCATTGAGGGGTGGGTTGAGCCGGGTCAGTTGAAGGGGAAGGTTGAGATGAGGGGGTTTGGGGAGTGTTTGAAAGGGAGGAAGGTCGAGGAGTTGCAATATTCTCCTGGGGATAAGCAGAGAGTAACAGGTGAAATTGACACGTACAACGTTTAAAAGAAGTTCTACTTCCCCTAGGTTCGCGATCTTGCACAGTGTCCCTTTAACTAGTTCTGCAGTAGTAGGGCCTGTGACTGAGAATAGAAGCTCACGGCTTAAATTAGTTTGGTACCATATGGGTGAGTAAGTCGCTTGCAGCTTGGCTATTGAACTGCGAAGGCGGGCTAAGTGGAAAGTCAAAGTTTATTGTGATAAAACCCGCGACATATGCAAAACGAGAAACTTATCCAGCCGTGGCTATTGCTATCAAATGCAAGGTAACTCCAATGAAAATGCAGAAAGGGGAAGCGAGGAGCGGTGAAGATCCTCAGAAGAGATAGGTAGAAGTGAACCAAGTACCAGGTCAATGAATTACCAGGTCAAATTCACGTTACATAGGAACACAAGAGATTTCTAGAATTACGATAAATTCCAGAAGAGAAGCGTGAAGCTCGTAGAAGCGAGGCTAAATACGCCTTAGCGCCATAATTAAGCGAAATGTGTGCCTGAGGCTCAAGCGAATTTTCCCCCTCACAGCGGGGCCAGGGGCAAGGGGCAACGAACTAGGCCTAACTTAGACGCTCTAGCGAGTGGACTAGGTTCTTTCTTCCCAACTCAATTCCTTCATCTCTCCTACCTTCCTCTCTGGCGCCCGGGTGCCAACTCAATTTCTTGCTGTAAGCGCCGTCACCGGATAGGAGGAGCAAGGACGTGTTTCAGAGTCAAAAACCAACGCGTAGCCTTTTAGGTCTTTACCAGAAATATCCCTTCCAAATTTAATACACGTCCCTTTCCAACAGTTAGTAGTTGTTCTTGGTGCTCTAAGCCTCTTCCTTTCGTTATTTGCTGTCGGCCACAAGTTTCAAGTTCGGGTCTGGGGCGTATCGTGACCGGCCCGCAGAAGGCACAAATTGGACCTATAATTCTTACATTGCTAAATATAGAATTCCGAGCCTGAAGGAATTATCTTGAAATAGTTCCGATTTATTTATGCGTGAAAATGGCTCTTATTATCTCAGACTATCTCTCTCTAATAACCTTCTGAGATCTATAAGTGTTCCATCATTATACATTTTCTCCGACTACGTTGCGACGTTGTCACTTATATCTGCACACGACATTGATATAACTATCAGGCTGGATCATTTTTGAGATATTTGTGTCCTCTACTGTACCTCCAAGATGGAACTCTCCACTCCCATGAAGGCCACCACCATTCTCACCGTATATGCAATACTGATGTTTCTGGGCTTCGTGGAAGCAGTAGGAATGGGCTGTGATCGGGGACTCGTGGGCAAATGGTGTTGCCTCTAATTTAAGCAACGTCTACAAGGCTACAGACAATGAGACTTGCTACCGCAGCAAGGAGGCCTGGGGAGCGCAGATGGAGAACGACAACTCTTGGTCTCTGAGCCCCCAAACTTTCCAGTTTGCCGCGTGTGGTGGCACATTAATGGATGATCTCGAGCGTCAAATGAAAGAAAGGGCAGGCCAACCCGACATTGTCTGGGGCATGTTTGGAGGCAACAACGCGTTCTTCGGAGCTATTGCAAGGGCTTGTATCTACCAGCCCATTTTACTAGAACACCCCTTTGGTTGGGGTCCACCTTGGGATGAGGACTCTGATGGAACGGGCTTGTGCAAGAAAAATATCCAGCAAGCGGAAAACTTTCTTAACGATCCGAATGGCATTCGCAAAGAATTTGCGAGGGCCTTGAACGATATCATCACGGTTGCCCAAGATACGCAGGCCTTGAATCAACCCTTCGACCTTTACGTTAGCTCATATGTTCATTTCTTCGATAACACCACCGATGCCTGTGACCAGTGGAGTTTTGCCCACGATCGCCTAAGCACTGGCAAGCCAAAACTCGTTAAGGAACTCAGGACGATTATCAATGATAAGGTTCAGCAGTTAAATGATATCCAGGCTGACGTGATCAAGAACTACGAGATACCCCCTCGTACTCCATTCAACCCGAATTTTCGAGTTCACAACTCCCAACCCGATAGCATCTTTAACGGGCACCGTTTCTGCGAGCCGAATCACACGTTCGAGGATCAGTATTACAACCAGGACGTCTGGCTTTGGAACCTGCAGTACTATGACGAGAAAACGGGGGAAGAACAGGGTGTGACAACAACAAACAACGGCGTTGAGTTTATGGCACCCCCAGCTAGCCTCGATGCAACACACGGGTTTCAAACGGTGCTAGGGGCGGATACCAACCCCATTGCTAGCATCCCACAGGGCAATGACGCCAATACCCAGCAATATGGGTTTGGCTGGACTGCTCGGCCTTTCCATCCCAAGTTTGGCGGCCACACAGCTCTCAAAGACTTTTTCATCCAGCAAATGAGGAATGATCAGATTCCCGGCGTCAAGCCAGCAGTATCACCCCCTTCGCAAGGTCCTCCAACATCTCCATCAACTCCTCAGGGAGTGCTCGTGTGCAACGGGCTGGGGAGTAGCAAGTATGTTACCCGCGATATCGTCAAAGATAGCATCCAGAACAGCTTCTGCCCAGATGCTGTTATCAAAGGGCCAATCCAAGAAAGATACAATCAAGGCACTCCAGAAGAGGTGGTCATTACATTACAGGGTCCGAATGGGTTCAAGCCAAGTAGCGATGACTGCACAAAGTATCTTCTGGCCGTTATAACAGATGGCTGTGATAGCAACAGCCCCCAAAACCCCGCAAACTACAAGGGGGTTGGTATTGAAACAATCGGCGATATTGCGTATACGATTCAGCCTCAAGCCCTTAGACAACCGGTAGTTAAGGCCATACAGTATGGATGTGATTCAAGCTACAAGGCACAATTTAACGAATATACGGTCTGGGGCCATGGGTAAGCCAATTCTCATGTCTTCCCCTTTTCGAGTTTTTATGATCATCTTGAATCATACATCGGAAATATTTTTAAGGGTCCTAAAATATACCCAATAGAACGAATGCTGACTTCTATTGTAACAGATTTGATAGTGCAGATCATGGCGATGGACTGAAAAAGCAGTTGGGAGGCTGTGCTTTATTACCCAATACTTGGAGCTTTTCTTACGGACTTGGTAATGACGGACGTGAATGGACAGCTGCGTTTAGAACAGGAGTTTTCCAGAAAAGGTGTGTTGGAGATGCCGTGAAAGGTGCGGGTGCGCCAAATGCCGGTTGCTCAGGCTCTGGGTAAAGGGTTACTTTTGCGAGAAGCTGCATGATAGTTTGAGATTTTGAGATTTTGATATTTTCATGCTTTATATTTTTTTCTTAACGACTGTGAGAGCTTCAGCTTTTGGTTGGATTGAAAAACAGTCGCAATGTATCCTCAAGTCGTAGCTGCGTCTGCTCCCGTTACTCTCGAAACCGTGGAACTCACGCACAATGCTTTACCGACACTTGTGAGCCTCTGGAATTCAACTGCAAATAGCTTGCGCCACTTCATCTCTGTGCGTGTTTCTGGTGATCTCCGTAATGAGAGTGTCATCAGGCTCATTAACCTCAAAGAGAGACAAACCAGCAATCTTTCTTAAGGGTATGAATTTTCCAAATTCGAAATCGGGAAATGCCCAAGGTATCACACCTTGACCTACTGCTAGGGAGAATCCGAACGGTCAGAAATGATTATCTGCAACGAGTCTGCCGTAAGAGTAACACCGCATCTTAAGCTGGGTCTTATAGAACTCGAGTCCGGGTTGAAGTTATGCCTCATGAAAAAAAGTTCTGGAGAGTGAAATATTGAATGGTTCAAATCCTACTTATTAGATAAACGTTATTTATATATACTTTGGGGATAAACCCGAAACTCAATCCTTAAAAGATTACCTACATTACTGACATGAAGATGTTTCTTACAACACCTTCCCCACAACTGCGATACTTCCGAATTCCTGGTACTGTACGCAAATGTCCCCTTCCGCCACACCATACCAAATGCTCGATCAGGATCTCACTGCTTGATATTTGATACAATACGCATTAGCAAGGCACTAGTAAGTGTGAGACCAAACGGGGGTGCTGCTTTCGGGAGCTACACCCTTGGGATGTATGAATTGGCGAGTCAATTCCCCCCCCCCCCATTCGATCAGGATTCAGAAAGTTAAGCTAAAAGCAACAAAACATGATTGGAACTATCGTCTGCAGGCTTGAGAGCGAAAACAGGAGAGAATGTGAGGACATGGAATAGAATTTCAGTTGAAATAGTTACAGCTAATAATAAGACAGGGATAAAAGTATACAAGTTTGAACAAGTAGCTCAGACTTGGAAATCCAAGCCGTATGCCTGCCTACCTTGGCTCATATTCTTGGCCTGAAATTTCAGATCCCTTAATGTAGACCACTTAAGACCAGTTTCACTCTACAGAGCGTTCACAGTCTTTATGTTCTCAGGCAAGCTGGAACTAGCGAACGTGGATCGTACAACCGCGATATCGAGCCTCTTGCCATATAACTCCCGCTTAAAAAAGGGTTTAAGCGACAGGGTCCCTCCCCTGAACACCTCGAAATCAAATTGTCATCGCGCCGTCCCAATCTCCGGAAATCACATCATCGCAATTATCTGTATCTGAAACTGTTCAGATGTCTTACGTATCTTACTTTGATCGCCATCTGATACGAAACCTCAGACCCCCCCCCTATTTTCTTGCTCGGCTAAGCAGAAGCTTCCAGACAGCAGAAACGAAGTAACTTTCTGGAGTACGTGTTGATTTAGTCAATCTGTCATAGTTGCATTGGAATGTACTTTCCATTATAGCTAATTTCCTAGGACTTGAATATTTAAGATGGCAGAGGTTGGATTGAATTTTCCCATAACTTCTATAAACTCATCAGGGTTGTCTGCAAAAGGAAATAATCTCAAAATCTTCTCCAGTAGATTCATTACTCCAATCCACCGCTCTGCTCATCCGTCATTCTTACTTCTCCCCAATCTCCTCGTCCTTGTGCTGATGCAGAGTCACCATCACCCGATCTGCCATCTGCTCCTCCCATCCGGCGCGAGGAAAGCCAGTAATACACAAATTGAACAGAACGCAATAGTTGAGTAAAATACAGTGTGATGAGAATGCGAGCTCGCAAACTTATACGCCGTAAGCCCACTGCCTCGATACTCGTCGTCAAGACCTGGACTTTACCCAAAGGTTCATGTGCCCCAGCTGTGATGGCTGACAAAATGAAGCAACAGATGAAGGAAGACCTGCAGCGATAAGATTCGGCAGGACTTCTCGGGTAATGGCTTTCTTGAACCGGTTGGTGAGAATGGCAGTATATATTGTTGAGGCGATAATAGAGACAGTGGAGCGCATGGAGCCTGCCATCCCAACGGCAGTGCCAATTCCTGCTTGCGAGTCTATGGCGATGCCGGTTATGGCCAACTCGACGACTTCCATCCAACCCATTGCGAAGCAACCCAAGAAAAGGAAAGCGATGATCGTGTTTTGGTTGTCGGACGTTGTGCAGGCGCATGCTATAGGCAATCCGTCGGATTGACCAGTTGCGTGCAAGGGAGAACGAGAGCCTACCTCCGAGGAAGGTCCCCATGCAGATTGCGATCACTACATCTGTGTCTTCTGCTTCGCAAGGCGGCGGCAGAGATTTCTGCCTACTATTTGCCCGGTCTTCGTCCCACATCCCGCAACACAACACAGATAGCCTTCTTTTATCAGATCACTGGTATAAAGCGAGAACACCATAGTCGGCCAAAACCCGCGGCATATCCTTGAACAGGTGCATTGGAACCAGCGGTGCCTTAAGTGGCACTTAGGCTTTGTGAAGTACCAATTCAACGAGAGCGGAGAATCCGATAGCAATTGTAGCATTGCGTGCGCGGATTTCCAAGGGTAGTAGGAGCCATCCCATGATATGCCCATGAGGAAAACAAGGCGTCCTCCCACCGGTAGTATAAGGCCGACAAACCGAAGTCCTCGAGGACTAGTCGCTAAGTCTTCTTGTGTGCGTACTTTCGTTGAAGGAGGGAAGGAAGTAACTGGTGCAGTCTATGTTAGTAGATGAACAGTATCGGGGAGTAGTTGATCTTACGAGAAGAACCAGAACAACACAGCACTGCCACGGGCGTTGGTGGCTATTATTAGACAGTAGCAGAACTGCCATGTGTGCTAGGTGTGCTGCACGAAAGCATATGACATGGCTGGCCCAAAACCGGAGAATGGTACCGCCCCCTCGTATAATGATGCCAAGCTAACGAATCGATGCTTAAAGGCATGAGCCCACCGACCACGAAGGTATACGACAGCTGAGAAGCTGCTGCAAATCCGATTAAGACAGTTCCACCAATGAGTATGTTTATGCTGGGTGTGGCGACGCTGATAATGCATGCTAGAAGGGCCAAAGCAGACCCTACTATGAAGAACCATGGCCTGTCGAAGAGATCGGACGGTATGCTGCGAGAACTTGTCGTGAGGGTGCAAACAGAGCAACCCAGACAATGTTAGGATCTGGACCGATGTCTGCAACCAAGAAGCGTAGCTGCGAGAGCAAACCCTCTAACGCCCTTTGGACAGTCAGGTAATTGCGTTAAATAGAGACCATGTTCGCCGTCGCTGCTTGAGTTGGTAGCCATCGCGAAGATATCGGCTCGGTATGCAATACCTCACCGTACCTTGAACGGATCACTTCGAGGCCGGGTTTCAGACAGGAGAAGCTGGAAGTCTCCGTAGAGGGGAGCTCAAGAGCGGTCCCGAGCGGCGATCGTTGGCTGGTCTACAGTAATAAGCAGCGCCGATCCTGCGGCTCGCGGGGAGGAAGCTGCCCCGTTGCCCGTCCGGAAGCGCTGCTCCTCGGCGAAGATTGCACACGTCGTCTCCATGTTGCTGGAAATGGGTGGCGGTATTTCGTGGGGTTGCATTGGCGGAGGCCAGTCGCATTGAAGGCATGTCAGCGCTTGACTCGTTAGCGTCGAAGGCAATCTGGGATCTCCAAGAAGGCGGGACGGCGGTCTGTCCCAGCTGGCGTGGGTCTTTGCCGGAGCATGTGCTTCGCAAATCGCAACAAAGCCAACAACTACCGTACTTACGGAGCACGTACGGAGGTGCCGTAGTACTAAATAAAGTATGCTCCGTATCCGTATCTGCACAGCTCTCGGCATGCATGCACCGAACGGCACGGCACGTTCTCGCCAAGGCACATAGGCACATCCATGCCGCGCCCAAAGAGGCCTGGCATGGCTTGGGACTGGAACTGAGACTGCAGACCGTGGGGTTGGAAAAGTCACTCCGCCCTTCCGCCCTTCCCAACGTGGGCCGGGGCGGCGTGCTGTACAACGTGGGCTCCAAAAAATGCTCCGCACCCGTGTTTCATTGCAGCGTCGGTTGGCCGACAGGGGATTCGCGGGGAGGGCGGGACCTCGCCACGCAAGGCAGCCCGTTGGTGGACAGCTCGGGAGCGCAGTGGGGACCGCCGGGGGAGGCTCCTATTGGTCCTATCAACGTCCAAGGAGAAAGCCGCTCACAAATCAGGTGTTGGGTTGCATCGGCAATGAAAATGGGAGGGCCAAATACGGTGAAGGGAGACGGAGGCCTTCCTCTGGCTATGTCGTTGGCTTATATAGATGCACTCCACTCTTGAAACGCACGACAGGCGCCGTGTGCTACTGCAATCTTCTCTCCCCTTCCTGACTCAAGTGCGGCTCAGCTTGTGATTGAACGAACTGCCGTCACCCATGTGGAAAGCCTCGATATGTCAACTCCTGCGGTCAAACATAGCGCTGGGAATTCTCCAGAGTCTGTAGATCTGACCAAGCCGAAGCAGGCCAGTCGATCAGTGTCCCTTCTTACCCCGGAGCAACTGCAGCGAAAGCGGGCTCAGGATCGTGAAAGCCAGAGGCAGACCAGGTACATCCGCTGATATCATTCTTGCTCCGTGGAGAACGAAAATCTGACTGAACACAGAGCTCGAGTAAAACAGACAATTTCGGAGTTAGAGAAAAGAGTGGAGGTCTTGACTCGAGAGTTACAGCTCGCAAGATTAGAGAATGCCTCGCTTCAAGAGAAGAATCAGCTTGCACCGCAAGGCGCAATCCCCTCCATGCCACCCCAGCAAGCTATTACCCGCCCAGAAGACTTTTCAGAGGGGACTGCTGCGATTATGGATGTCGTGGTGAGACGAAACGGCCAGCAACCGCAGCAGTGCATGTCAATGGGCTCGCAATATTCAAGTTCGTTGGTTGTGACGGGTCAGATATGCTCTGGTATTTACTCCATCACTTTAGCACATCATTAACTAACAAGTTTATGCAGATCCTGGACGCCAAGCAATAGTGGACCCAGGTCTCTTGTACTTGTACGATGATTACGAGCAGCAGCCGATGTCTATTCCGGTTTGGGATGCCAGACCAATTCATTACTCTGCGACAAGCAGGTTTGACAAATTTTGGCTCGAGCTGATCGAGAGTATGAAACGCAGGAATGCAACCGGAGCTAATGCTTCAGAGTTTACGAATCCAAAATTTCCGCATGTACAAGCGCTCTTAACTCCCCAGAATTACGCCGCCTCATTTCCTTTAACGACAGCGATTGTCTCGGTATGTTGTTTGTTAACCTCTTGTAGTTGAAGATCACTGACTTTGACAGAATGTGATCTACGTCATGACCGTGGAAAGTCTTCCTGAGCAAGTAAGTTCTCCAGTCAATTGTTGTTGTTTTAGGTAGTACTGACTTTGATTAGATTGCTATCTTGTACGTTATGTGCTACATGATACGAGTAGGTGAAATCAACTCGTATGCATTCCAATTTTAACAACGATAACAGTGGATGATCACTGGCAGCGAAAACGACTACTACGAAATGCCAGACTGGCTTCGACCTACGGCTGCTCAAACAGTCACTGCTCATCCAGCATGGGTCGATGTGATACCCTGGTACGCCCTCAATTTCCCTTCTTTCTTGCCGCCTACTAGAACCTAACTCTCTCCAGGCCAAAATCTAGGGACAGATTATGTCGAGATAGTTATTACCACGACAAATACGAAGCATTTAAAAATGCATGCAATGAAACAATTTCTGTCAACTGGCCATATGAACCAACAGATACTCTAATTAGAAACTCGGCGACGGAATTCACTGTCAACCCAGTCTTCATCACACATGTTCGAAACCATAGTAACTGGACTCTTGGTCCTGGATTTCTTGAGAAGTGAGTCGTAATTGAGGAGAAAATTGCAGATCATTCTAATAATATGTAGATATCCAGACTTCGAAGGCGAAGTCAACATTGGAAAGCCTCGTGAGGCGCGCCCGCACTGACAAATAGTTATTCGTTGCTCTAGAGAACCGACAATTGACGTTGAAGATACCTGAAACGGATGCAGAGGAAACAATCGGGATACTCGATCGGGGCAACAGCGTTGGACAACACTTCTGATTTGATGGTCCTATATTTCTGCAGCTCAATCGGGAAAACCCCACGCTACGAGTTCACTCGTAAGCGCCCGAGGCAGTCGACCGAAAATGTCGACTTGCAGCGAGGACCGGACTGCCCAGCACCACATGAGCCCTTGTTGTGGGGCAATTTCCTTGCAACCTACTTACCATATCGATTTGTCGAATATATACGGATATCATCTACTTCAAATCCCATGTTCCCCTGGGCAGGAAATCATGGGTCTGGTTTCTGTCCTCAACGAGAAGAGCCGAGCTCAGACCTGGCAAACATTGGGGTGGCTATTGCAGCTTTCTTGGCAACATCTGTGAGTAAACTGTGGAGGATTACAGGCAAGACTGAGCAAACTACAGATTACGATCTGCATAGTCTATTATGTGGTTTACAGACTTTACTTCCATCCATTGTTTAAATTCCCGGGTTCTTGGTATGCCGCGTTATAAGATGTAAGGATCCGAGCTTTTGCAATATGGAAAATATACTGATATGATGAAAGTTTTTCTCCTCACACACCATCATCAGTGGATACGGACATCAAACACTAAAAGCTCTGCACGACAAATACGGTCGGTCCTCTTTCCTTCATCAGCTAACTCCAGACTGAAAATCCATAGGCGAGGTGGTACGCGTTGCTCCCGACAAACTCTCATTCTCGTCCGCCACAGCATGGAAGGACATCTACGCGCAACGCAAATCGGGACCCAATTTCATAAAAGACCACAAGTTCTATACCACAGATGACGAGCAAGTCTTCACTTTATCCCCTGTCCTCCAAGTCTAACCGAGAAGCAGTTTCCGAGCGCTGCATATAGTAAACAACATTAACGTTGAAGAACATGCTCGCGCGAAGAAGTGCTGGTACGTGTATGCCTTCAGAGGACTGCAATGAGCCAATTGATTGCTGACGTGCCCAGTCCCACGCTTTCTCCCCAAAAGCTCTACTAGAAGAGGACATCGTGCTCAAGTACGCCGACATGCTAATGGTCGCCATCCGCGAAGAATCAGCTAAAGGATCACTCTACTTCAACGATTGCTACAACTGGGTGACCTTTGATGGTATTCCCCTCAATCCCACTCCGTGTCTATCAATCCTGATAATCCTCAGTTCTCGGTGAACTCTCATTCGGCGAACCCTTTGGTTCTGTCGAAGCTAGAAGGCCTGATGAATGGATCGACACGGTACTTCAAATGGTAGTCTTTATCGCCTGGTACTCTGCTCTCTACAAGCTACACCCTGTTTTCTCATCCTTATACTCGTACCTCATCCCTCCGTTCGTGCGCAAGGCAACAGTAAGCCATGTCACGCAATCCAAGGCCAAGATCTTGTCACGAATGGAGGGAGGAGAACGGGAGGATGGAAGGAAGGATTTCTACAGTTACATCTTTGAGCTAAGGAAGGAGATGGGGCTTCATGAGTGGCATATGGCTGCATATTCGAATGCAATGATTATAGCCGGGAGTGAGACGACAGCTACGGTGATGAGTGCGCTTACGTATCATCTTTGTCGATTACCGGCCATATACGACAAACTCAAGCAGGAAGTCAGGTCACGATACAAGTCGGGCAACGAGATCACGAGCTTGAGTGCGACGTTTCCGTATTTGACGGCGGCCATACATGAGATTCTGAGACTCCTCCCTCCCATTCCGTTTGGGATGCCCCGAATTGTGCCGCCAGGAGGAGACACGGTTGATGAGATGTTTATCCCTGGAGGAGTAAGCTGCTCTTCTCTTCTGGTTTGATGAAAGATGGAGCGAGAGGCGGATGCGTGAGACAGACCACAGTCAGCGTCCACGCCTGGTCCTTAACACACAGCGACAAGAACCTCAAAGATCCGGATAAGTTTATTCCAGAGCGATGGTTAGATCCAGACAACACCGATCAACGTGAGGCCAGCAATCCGTTTTTACTTAGACCGCGGGCGTGCATTAGGCAGAAGTGAGTCTTTCCCCTCCCAGCTTTTCCCCGAGACTATTACAAGCACTGACTGACGCGTTACAGCATGGCATGGATGGAAATGCGAATTTTGATCGCGAAGATGGCGTTCTTTGATTACGAACTAGTCGATGATAATCTAGACTGGGAACGGGACAGCCTAGCTTTTATTTTGTGGCAGAAACCGGAGTTGTGGACAAAGGTTATATCAAGGAACGTTGACTGATATATGTGATTACTCTCCGATCTTTGCTTGATTCGGTGGTGTACAATGTGCGTGAGTGGAAAGCTGAAGGTTTGGTGGAGTGGTGCAGTACATTCTTTGTTGATTCCGAATTCGGGAGTTTGTCTTTATTGGCATTGTTGCTGTTTTCGGAGAGCTTTTTCCGTTGACGAATGCAGATATAATTTGATTCTTTGTTCTCGTGGCCATGTATTATTCACGGCTCGAACTCTCAATTGTCTTCACTCTATTGTCTTGCTCGTATTGATCTTTCTGAATTAGCTATTCGCAAATTTTGAAATGTCCACAATGCCTCCAAAAGAAGCGCTTCCAGGGGTACCAGCAACATGCCGTTCGAAGAATTATGATGGAACGCTCATTGAGGTCGTGGTCGGGGATATAACGACCTTTCAAGTTGATGCCATCGTCAATGCAGCCAACTCTCTTCTTCGCGGAGGGGGTAGAATCGACCGCCTGATACACGAAGCTGCAGGTCCAGGACTACTAACTGAGCTCTCCCGTCTCTACCCCGGAGAACCTGCCGGAGAAGGAGGCTACGCCTACCCCACTAGAGCTCACAACATCCAAACTGCTCAAGACATCATTCACGCCATAGGGCCGTTCTGTAATGCAGGCCGAGAGGAACAGGCACGTATGGACCTTCATGCTGCATACTACAACTCTATGGAGCAGGCGATGGCTCTCGGCGCTAGGACCATTGCATTCCCTGCTATCTCGACAGGAGCTTATGGTGTCCCGAATGATTTGGCTGCAATGATTGCCATGGAGGCGGTTCGGGAGTTTCTTGACAGAGAGGCAAATTGTTTTTTTCAGCCAGTTGTGTTTCTGATCCGGCCCGAGAATAATCAGGAGGATCTAGACGCGTACAACGACAATCCCGGGTAAGAAGGTGGCCAGGATGATGGCCAGCAAAACGATGCAGGGAATGGAGATGGGAACGGAGGTCAGGAGCAAGGTAGACCAGGAGAAGATCCAAGTGACAGCGAGCCAGACAACAATACCGGAGGCGGGAACAACCCCCCTCGCAGCTCCCATCACTCTTCAGGAGAGAGTTCTCTGGATAGAGAATATACCGCGTCCGACTACGGATATGACAACGAAAGTAACCACGAAGATAGCGACGAGGATGGGCACGTGGCAATGGGTGTTGTACTAGGACTCGAGAACCCCCGAGACCCATCACCTGTCGATATCACCCTATCAGATAGAGAAGTAGATTCAGATTTTGCAGCGTACGTATCCAACGATTTTAACCTTGTTAGGGATGCTGATTTCTCTAACAGTTCGGGCACGCCGCGAGGAGTCTCCCTTGAGGAACGAGATCCTGTAATACAAGAGCCTGAGCGAGAAGATCCTGAGGAACTAGAGCCTGAGCATACAGATGCTACATTGACCATATTCAGCTCTGGCCATCCCTCTTCGGATGGCAATGAAGGAGCTGCGCCAGCACCTGTACTTGTACCAGCACCACCTCAGATGGCCCCGGCAAATGCTAGAGCAGGTAGCTGCGGTGCGAATGGCGGAGTGACAAAAGCTGGAGAACCGTGCAAAAGACTGCTAGGAAGAGACCAACCTCGTTGTTTTCAACATTAGTGTTGTTATCTTAAATAAGACAAACGTTGAACCATGACTAAACCATGGACACCAAAAAATGCTTACATCTGTTGCAATGTTTTGGAGGTTGACGACTTGATTTTTCAGCTCACGCGGGGTAAGCACTCTATATACATCTGGTATATAAACTACAGTGTACCAGCGTACACTCAGTTCCAACAACATCGTATAAAATGAGTCGAAGGAGGTTATTCGTGCTTCTTTCCTCCAGTGTCCGGAATTTCGAGATTTCAGTGGCATTGTCTCAGATATTACAACCCGAGCAGCCCATCCAAGGCTGAGAGTATTTGTGAGCTCCAGCCACGTCCTCTTTCCCCCCTAGGAAGCCAAGCAACTTAGCTCACGTGTTATGCTCGCCAGAAGAAGAGTGTTGAACTAGCTAAGTAATAAAGCTAGGGTCACGTGCTTGCAATGTAAACCAAGTAAACGATACTGAATTGACTGCTGTTCTACAGTGGTAAGTAGCCCGTATATATAGCCCTGAACCCCCTAAGTCACATGTACTAAATCCCTATGCCAGCTGAACCGATTACAGCTATACAGGGTATTCCAGCCGTACAGGGTATTCCAGCTATACAGGGTATTCTTCCTGAAAGAATACGGTCTCAAAACACGCTAAAATCGCGGCTCGCTTAGTCCAGCCAATGAGAGAAATCACGTGCACCCGCTCAATTCAAGGCATAACTTGAAGTCTTAATATAGTACTATAAGCTTATAAACTTTAAAGTAATTAAGAATTATATATGAAGAGTAGATAAATAAAAACAAAAGAAGTTTGAGGTGCCCTTAATACAGGCACATGATCGGGGATAAGGCCAGAACGCGGTGTGGGGGGTGGGGGGAAAGGTGCGGTCTCACTTGGGACCGCACCTTGGGACCGTATTTTTTTCGATTTCCTACCCGTTCACGCCCTTTCCACCGCAATTTTGTATGGGCCCCACCACCGCAGAAAGGACATTCACGACAGGAAAATTACGGTCCCAAAACACGCTAAGGGAGCGGAGATAAGGTGGTTGTTTACCTGGCCAAGGGGGGTTAATGGGCGCGTCTCGCTTAAAGTGCTATACGCGTAAATCCGATTTTTTTTCTCGGCCGCCTACGGCGGCCAATATTTAATAATATTAAGTACAAGCCGCAGTTCAAAATCACTACTAGCTTCTGCTCTTTCAGAATCTAAAGTCCTTTTGTTTTTACGATTACTCCTGCTAAAGTTATGGCTATGCAATAAGGGGGTAAGTTAGAGGGGTGCAGCGCCCGCTCCAGGGCTCGCTTAGCACCCTGAAGCCCCCGCCCTCGTGCGCGAAAGAATAGCACTTTTTGGCCGCCCCCACAGGCCGTTTTGACTGATTTTTGGTTCTAGGATCGTGAAACCGCGTGTGCGCTTTCAGAATCTCAAATTTTTAGGCCCGTACGATAATTTTTGGGGTGGGTGCGGGGCGCGGGGCGGGAGGGGTGATTGCGCGGGCGGCCGGTTTGGTGAGGGCGCAGGGGGTGGGGGGCTAGGGCGGGAAGGGGCTAGCGCGTGTAGGGGTGGGACCGTATTTTTTTGAGGGTTCAGGCTTAATTCCAGCTGGACAGGGTATTAAGCTAGTGCACAGCCCCATGGCGTTCGGTTCCAGGGCTTACTAAGCCTATTAGGGGCCTCAGGCCCCTAATTTCAACAAAGAGGTTGTTAAACGAAGCATAATTGAACTCGGCTTACGACCCAAGTCCTCGTAAATTTTTTCCGACGTTCCGACTTGCGCTCCGATCCGAAAGAAATGCGAGACCTCTACCAATCAAATATATTATTTTGTATCGATATCTCCCACGGTAATTTCCAGCCATTTCCGTTTGATGTGAGAAGGAACGAACGGAATAGCAACAAAGTCAAAGGGTGTCTATAAGGAGACCTTCAAGTGGCACAAGACTTATTGACACCAAGATAATAGTACCGCCCGATATTCTATAATTAAACTGATCCAAATCCCGCAAATATGCCCGTAATCGAGTGTGTTTCTAAAACTGAATGCCCCCGTGACCTCGCCCCAGTCCCCCAAACACCCCGCTTATTCCCCTGGTGGGCAGTCTGAATCTGCACCAACTCCGCACTCCCAGTCTCTCCATTCTTCGGCGGCAATATCGATTGACTCGATACCTCCAAAAGCAAACAACCATTACAGAGGCCATCGGCATACTATCAAAAACATATAACGTCCACGCATGCGCCAACGCATACCCATCATACCCCATCGAGTACTCCACAGCCCTAAATATGCTCCTTATCAACACCAGCACACTCATCGCATACAAAGCATACAAATTCCCTTTCCACGGCACATCTGGATTATTGTAACTCTCTGCTGTGGTGAACTTGCTGATCCGCACTTGGAAAATGACCGCCGTGATGATAAAAAGCCCGAACGAGATGACTTGGATCGCAAGAGCAGCGATAACAATATTATTCCCAACACCACATTGTTCCTTGTCACCACCATTCCTGCAGTACCTCCCTGAATCATAAATGACAACACGTCGCCGAACACGAAGGCATGGGTCAGCCAGTGCGTGCGAATCAAGGAGTGTCGTTCCCCGCGAACAGACCAAGTGATGCGACCTAACACCATGTAGATGCTCGCTGCAAACAAGGCGGGGGCGAGGAGAATGAAGAAGTTTTGCTGGATGAAGAGCATGAGTGTCCCGGTGCTGTTGTGGGCGATGCAGCGGCCGATGTATCCGATTACTTCAAGTCTTCAACTCGGAGGAGTGTGTTAGCGAGGGGTGGAAGGGGAAGAAGGAAGGGAAAAGTACAGAAGCCGTCAATGACGAAGACGGTGCAGAACCAGATTTTCGTTTTAATCATTCTGCAGGTGTGCAAGGCAGTGGTGACGATAAAGAGGAGAAGGAAGGCGACTGCTGCTGGTGTTGAGGGAAGAAATTTCCAGAGGTAGTAGACATTCTGGGACTCGAGGACGGTCATTTTTGTTGGCAATAGATGGGTTTGTGTGGGATGGGAAGTGTTGAGGAGGATGGCGTGGGAACGGCGTGTGGTGCGGAATGAGGGTGAGAGGAAGAGGAGGTCGGACCCGTTTATTGCTTCGTTCGAGAGAGAAGAGAGAGAAGATTGCGTCGAAAATTAGACTGTAGACATTCATATATAAGGTGCTTCTCCACCTTTGTTGAGCCAAGAACTTCGTATCTCAACTTCAAGTGAAGGTCTCCTGAAATACGACGTATCGCATACGGGCAACACGGACCCAAAGATAAGGACCTCTGTCAGTGTGTCACTATATGGCGAAGGTCCCTACGAGTGCCTTTGAAAATTTTCAGGGTGAGACACGAAGCAACTCATCAAAGGTCCGATGTGCTGGATGCGCCGTTCCAGACACGGATACGCGTATTGATTTGGATGTCCCCTAGACGGGGAATTCCCATTGGACGCACACTGGACTGTGAGCGCCCAATCCTTTCGTACCCATGCAGCCTAGTTTATTTTGCCTCTGGAATAGTCTTCAATAAACAAAGAACTTATATTGCTATCCAGCAGGTAGGGGACTTTGAGGTAGACTGCGAGGTAGTTGAGACGGATTCGAAGATCCAAGAACAGAATTCGGCCATGCCATCCAATTATCCCAGTACGACCCAAGATGCCGTGAGATAGAACTGATCAAGTACCCGCCGCCTTCCCTAATAAACCACTCCCTACGATGACTGTGCAATACCACCGCAAAATGAGCAAGGACAACAAGGGCTTCCGGACTGCGCTTTATAACCAGATCCATGTACTCTGTCGGTACCAAAACCGGCCAAATTGCGAACGTATTGTCCCTACCATCCGACAGCCGCTCCATATCAAAAGTCCGCTGCAAATGGTCGATGGCTGTTTCGCATGCTGTCATCGATGCATGGCCAATATCCGCTGAACCGAGCAGAGCTCGAAGCTCATCGCACTCCTTGCCAACTAGATTATCTGTTCGATTCAACGCTTCTCCAGCTTCAACAACGTGCTGAAGTTCCGACTGTCGAAGGATGCGCCACGAGTGACTCGCAATAGCACGAATTCCGCGGTGCAAATCCAGGCAGTGGATGAAACTGTTCAGGAAATTACTGAAATCATCATTTGGGCCGCTGACAACGTCGCACAGGGAGTGCATTGCTAGGAGCGAGGAGAATATGGCGATGGGTATACAGTTTTCGGCGTTGACATCGAGGTGCGAGTTGTTGAAGATCGTGAGTGCTCTTGTTTGCAGAGCCGATGCTTGGTGGTGGTAGAACTCTCGCTGGGCAGGGTAAAGAACGCTCAAATGTAGAGCTGAAAGTGCCAGAATTTCTTGCATGAGGTAGGGCGCTGATAAAGCTGCTTTCATAGTCACATCCATTGACTTCTGAGAGTCTCGAGGATCGAGCATGATGGTGTTGGCGGTTTCGGTCGTAAAATGATTGAATAGTTGGAGATGAAGCAGATTGACTGTGAAATGGTCGTCTGCACTCCCTGTTACTGAAAAATGGGCGTTTAAAATCGGTGGGTCTGGTATTCGGGGTTGTATGTTGTTTGGAGAGCGAGGCTCAACGGTGGAGGTGATCGATGAGCCATTTTGTGAAGACGCTCGTGGCGAAGCAGAAGACTGTGGAGGGCCAGAGTTCCACCCAGAAGCATACATACAGCGAAGCTGCGCTGTGTTGCATTGAATGCATGTTGGGTGAGTTTCATCGCACTGTAGAAAGAACATAGAATTAACAGGTGAGAAATCCGAATGCCGAAGGAAAGCCATGGTAGGAGTGTTCGTGTGACTCGAAAGTGTCGTTTTTTGCGTCGAGCTCAATCTTGGAAGAAGTAGCAGAGAACCATACCTTGACATGCCGTCGTTTACACTCCACGCACCCGTTCCTGCTTTTTCGGTGGCCACGACGATGCATTGTAGGAGTACGGCTACCCGTCGTGTCTGTCGGCATGTTCTGGACTGACGTATCGGTCAGCGAGTTAGGACACCCCTCTCCCGTCTTCCTGTTTTCTGGGTCTATCTTCACACAATCGATTGGCACCGAACAAGAGCGTGTAAAACTGGCAATTGGATACTAAGAGAAAGAGTGTCGAAGAAGTAACGTCTACGACGCGATACGAAGACTTTAAAAAAGGGTTTTAGTCATCGCTAATCTAGACTTGAAGTGGATTAGAGAACACTATTTGTGGATACGGTCATACGACGTACGGAAGCGAGTTCTGTGGTCTTCGGAGCGGTAGCTCCATAGAAGCCCCTTCCAAAATATATATGTTCCGGCCCGGTACTTCCCACGTCAGACTTTGGCATGAGTACGCGAAAGATTTGCTCTGTACCCACCGGCCATAAAATCTTTCTTTTGGAGAACTTGATATCTCCTGAATCGTGCACCGAGCCTTGAATAATAGGCACCTTCATAGGGCTAGAATCATAGGCGAGGTTACCCCTGAAAGCCGTAAGCCTGCTATCTTGCCCCTTGTCCGTTTCGTTTCGGGTATAAAGGCTACACTTCTCCCACGATTTCTCCGTCATTGCTAATTTCTCACTTCCTCCGCATCCATTGCAAGATGACACTCTCCATTGAATTGACATTAACGGCATCCCCCCTCCCCCTCGAGGACCACCTCGGAGTGCGGGAAACCTACTCTATTCTTCCCCGACCCTATTGGAGGAAGCTGCTGCCTCCGGCGCCTGTGGCGGACGGATTAAATCGCCAGAGTCATAAATTGGAAGTCAAATTTAGGACATTTATTAAAGTCTCGTTATAAGAAACATGCAGCTGCTTCCGTTTTTCGTCCTCTGTTTGTTTCGTTTCCTCGTCTGTTTAATTCGTCACGATGCGCAAGTCTGCGCTTCTCTCTCTCATGTCCGGGGCATTCGGTGGAGTGCAGTCTCTCGCGTTCCGGACTATTTCCCAAAGCTGTACTGGTAGCTTTACTCCCATTTCTGCAGCCGCCGCATTTGCGGCGTTGGATCCCGGGTGGAATTTGGGAAATACTCTTGACGCAACCCCGGATGAAGGTTCCTGGAACAACGCTCGAGTGCAAGCCACGACTTTTAGTCAGATCAAGGCGAAGGGATTCAAGAGCATCAGAATACCCGGTAACTTCATGCTCCATATTCCATATTTGCAGACTTATGATAAAAATATAGTGACTTGGGCATACCACTTTGTTGACTCTTCGCCAACATGGACCGTTAATGCCACTTGGATGGACAGAGTGGAGACGGTGGTTGACCAGGCATTGGCTCTTGGTGTCTCTGTGATTCTGAACGTGCATCACGATTCATGGATCTGGGCAGATGTCACAGCGTCCAATGCCAACCTTACCCAAATCGAGGAGAAGTTCACTCGTCTCTGGAGCCAGATCGGAACAAGATTCGCATGCAAATCATCCAAGCTGATCTTCGAAGCCATCAATGAACCACCTGGATCTACACAAGCCCACGGAGACGAACTGAACAAGTTGAATGACATGTTTTTGCAGGCAATAAATGCTGCTGGGGGTTGGAATTCCCAGAGGGTGGTGAGCTTGAGTGGACTAGGCATGGACACGGTCAAAACGAGCCAATTCTTCGTGAAACCAGAATTGTTCCCGAATCAACCCTGGGGGCTGCAATTCCATTATTATTCTCCATACGACTTCGTCACGTCAGCATGGGGGAAAACAATATGGGGTTCAGATTCCGACAAGGCTGCCCTTGTTTCCGATTTCCAACTCTTCAAATCCAATTTCACCAGTGTTCCAGCTTTTGTGGGAGAATTTGGTGCTTCGCCAGTTACCACCGAGCCAGCCGCGCGTTGGAAGTGGTTTGACTTCATTGCCCGCACTGCTAAATCCTTCAACTACCCCTTGATACTGTGGGACAGCGGAGCTGATGATTTCAATCGCCCAGCGAATACCTGGAACGATCCCGTAACACTTGACGTATGGTTCAACGCTGCCGCTGGAATAAACAACACACTCGCAGACAGCACGACAGATCCGCAGGCGACGAGTCAGATTACCGGTGCTTCTCTCTTCCACAAAGTTGGCGAGCCGGTCTATTCTCAGTCAGTTACGTATCTGATGAATGGCAACACTTTGACCTCGGTCAAGACCTCCGCTGGGACGGCTTTGAGTTCTTCACAATACTCGATGCCGGGAGGGACTTTGACTCTTTCGGAGACCTATCTTGCCACGCTGTATAATCTTACCTCAACGCCAGGCATCAAAGAAACACTCACCCTAACCTTCAGCTCCGGGACATCACTCACTCTCCAAATCGTGCAATACTCAACCCCCACCATGGCCACCACAACGTACAAAATCGACACCTCCACTGATCTCCAGATGCCAATAACTTATGCTGGACTCCCGGTGGTTGCAGCAGTGAAAGCCATACTTACTGATGGGTCCTTCCTGGTTGATGATTGGACAAAATATTTAGGGCCACTGCAGCAGGGACGATGGTCATTTGGTGATTGGAGTTGCGATAAAGGGACTTTCTCAGTGAATGTCCAGGGCTTACAGGTGATGAAAGCGGCGAATCAGACGGTCACTTTGACGCTGGAGGTGAGTAATCATTGATGTTTCTTATGGTCTTTGAGATAATGCTGACGAAAATAGTTCTTCCCGCGAAGTTTGGGAGCGAATTTACTGAACATTACTTTCACTCAATGACTGGGATCTGAATTAGGTTACTGTGTTGACTTGAACATATTTGCGTTAGAAGTCTGGTTAGGTTTCTAAATTTGATAAAGAATCTCGTGACAAGGTCTTCTCGCCGCAGAAATGGAAATGAATGCGGGACTTCGGCCAGAAGCGCTCACTATTTTCGGGGGCTCCCTCTTGCCGAGTTTCGGCTCAAAATTTACCTCGCTGAACCAAAGGAGTATATGCGTGCTGAACAATCGGCGCCCTGCGCTCGGGTCGGCTCTGTGTCAGTTTATGAATCATGCCTCACATTCTCCGGTCGGGAATGACTCGGCTCGGAATAGCGGTGAAACACCCACATGTGACTTGACTCGAGCCGTCTCATTATCTCAATAGGTTTAAATCAACTATATATGAGCAATGACAAGGCCTCAATGTGTGGTCTCCGCAACTGGCTGAGTCCAACTGTCTCAAATTTCAAAGATACGAAGTTCGAAAGCACTTAGAGGGTTACCCTTTAATCTCAATGGCTTGCTCGGAAAGACAGAACGGAGATTGGAGAAGTTTTTCCTTAGCAAGGGGAAAAAGAAATACGGTCTGCATAATGTGGGGTACAGGGAGACTCTTGTGGGGCACTAAAATGACGAGGCACGCCGCACTTGCGCGTTCAGTTGCTTTTCTTCTTCTGCAAAAAGCGCCGCGAGGACATGGTTGGCCTGACCAATCTTCACATGTCATGTTTCAGATGAGGCAAACCCCTGTGCATATGGAGGATGGTTCGCTGCAGAGCCGAAAATAGAGCTTCACAGGGACTGGGATGAGATTGCGTATTGGAATTTTGCGGGGTAGGTGAAGGTTGTCTAAAAGCCAATGACCGAGGGCGGAGCAGGCGGTCAGAAAGAAAGGGGCTTCAGCACCTGCGACTGCTCCCGGACTGTGTCTCCAGATTATCCACCCTCGTGAGAAGGTGGAAGCAGATGCATCTAGCCGACGATGAGGCTTTTGGAGGGTCCTTCTAGAAATCTCGGTTCTCGTAAGGACGGAGATAGGAAGCTGAAGCGAGAAGAGAAACGCCAGATTGAAGTGTGATTGAAGATTTGCGAGCAATGCCAGGCATCAAGTGAAGAAGAGAGCGACAGAAACTAGGCTCCACAACCGCCATCGACTCACAGACGCTTCCCGCCGTCTGCGAGATCTTACGCAGCAAAGGCCCCAACTACAGCACCCAATAAATGCTGATATTGCAAGTAGTACAGCTCTCGAGTCTCTTTGAATGATGATTGTCACGTGCAGAATAGCCACGTGATCAAGAATTCATGATTCTACATTGTTACTATTAGTTTTTCGGCGCATTGCTGTATGTTTCCACTGCCCTTAACAGGATATGGATTTTCTGTTTAATAGAAGTTACCAAGAAAGGCCTTCAGTAATTGACTGCCCCCTATCATACGTTCGCTAACTAACTAATCAAAGGCGGTAGCTCTTAAAACATGTCAGGCAACGGCTGCCTAACTAATTCTCAACAATACCTCAAAGCGACAACACAATGCTAGTCTCAGTCCCTGCCCCGGTTCACTGATCCACAGTTGTTACTCAACAGACCTTGCCGACTCTCCTCGACGAGAGTAGCTCGTGATTGTCAACTTCGAATGTGGGACCTCCTCTAATTGCATGAAGCTTTTGCCCCAACGGTCTCTATCCACTGCACTATATTCTTGATATAATAAATTTATTGTCTCCTCAGCGAAGTCGTCTCCAATGAGCAAATTACCTCATATTAGTGGGCCTCACGTAATTCCTCAGACGGGGTTGACAGTGGTGGTGGACCCGAAGGAGCCCTTTCTGGAGTAAGCCCGTGAACTCAGCGCTTTATCATTGTAAAATAGGCTCACTGACTATGATAGCATCATCTTTGTACACGGGTTTACTGGGCATCCTCAAGAGACGTGGACTCAGAAAAAGGCTAGTCCAGAATCGTCCGGGTCGAACCAATTTGCCAAATATCAATCCGACACCTGCGAGCAAGCAGCCAACGCCTCCCAGAAGTCCGAGTGTGTATTTTGGCCTCGAGATTTGCTGCAACACGCCGTGCCCAACAGCCGCGTTTTTACCTACGGATACGACAGCCACATCAAACATCGTTTGACAGGACATTTGAATAAGAGCACGGTTTATGATATAGCGGGAGATTTCTTGGTCTCGCTGGAAGCTAATCGCCTACAAGATCCGTCTAGGCATCTGTTGTTCATCGCGCATAGTCTCGGAGGCATTGTCGTCAAGGAAACCCTCCGCAGATCGAATCAGGCTCCACAAATAGGTTTTCGCAAAGTTTGCGAGTCAACTGTCGGGATAGTTTTCTTTGGGACACCTCATAGCGGTGCTGATCCCCGGAATATTCTTCATAGCGTCACGGAGAAGTTCTTTAAGGCCGTTGGTATTCAGGTGAATGAGCAAATTGTGAACACGCTTTTACCTTCCTCTGAACGCCTGCGAGAGCTACGAGACGAGTTCATTCCAATGGCTCTTGAACGTGAATGGACCATTCATTCTTTTCAAGAGCAGTATGGACTTCGATTGCTGGGCGGAAACAAGGTAGGTTCCGCTGCCTATATTCATTTCTCAGCCTTGTCAAGGCACAGGCTAATATGGGTCCTATCAAGGTGGTCGAAGATACGTCATCATATCTAAACGCCCCGACCATTGAAGTAGCTGAGCACATTGGACGCGACCACAGGGAGATGTGTCGCTTTTCTGGACTTGAGGATATCGAGTACAAGAAGGTTGAGGCAGCGATCCAGAGAATTGTTTCTAAAGTTCCAAGATCCCACGAAAAGGAAAAGCCCACAGAGCGCCCTACAACTAACAATGCTTTCGAGATAAGAAAGGAGCAGAGAAGACGTTTCCTATGGAATTCCTTAAGGTTCGACCAAATCAACGATTGGAGAGCAGACATCCAACGAACTCATGCAAAAACGTGTGAATGGTTTCTTCGGAGCTATTGCTATCTTGATTGGATCGACTCCAGTAAGGTCAACGAACATACTGGTCTACTTTGGATTAAAGGAAAGCCTGGGGCCGGAAAATCGACACTTATGAAGTTCGCCCTTTCCCAAGCCGAGAAAGTAATGGGCGAGGAGGTTGTTCTCTCTTTCTTCTTTCATGCACGTGGTATAGACCTACAGAAGTCAACAGTTGGCTTGTATCGTTCTTTGCTCTGGCAAATCCTAGCGAGATTACCAAGTCTTATATATTGTTTCGACTCCGCAGGATTGGTCAAGGATGATATCAAATACGATACCAAAGATGATATAAGGCGTGATATTGAGCATTTCGATTGGAACAAGCCTCAATGGAACCTCGAAATGCTGAAGGATCTGTTTGAAAAGGCTGTCCTACAGTGGAGTGTGATGCGCGTGCGCACCAATCCAGTTCCTCTGGTTTGTTTTATTGACGCTCTGGATGAATGCGAGGAGAGCCAAATTAGAGATATGGTTGCGTTTTTTGAACATCTTTGCGAAAGAGCTGTCACCTCTAATATTCGGTTCCGCGTTTGTTTTTCTAGCCGACATTATCCAAACATAAAGATGAATCGTGGATTGGACCTGGTCCTAGAAGGTCAGCCAGGTCACAGTCAGGATATCACCAACTACGTCAACAGCAAGTTGGAGATTGGCCACAGCGGGTTAGTGGAACAGATTCGACAAGAGCTCCACTATAAGGCATCGGGTGTGTTCATGTGGGTCGTTCTCGTTGTTGAGATGCTGAACAAGGAGTACGACGCTGGACGCATTCATTCACTTCGAAAGAGACTGAGGACGATTCCCGGAGATCTCCACGAGCTCTTTCGCGATATATTGACAAGAGATGAACTCCACCGCAACGAATTACGCTTATCCATCCAGTGGGTTCTATTTTCGAGGCGTCCTTTAAGTCCACATGAGTTATATTACGCCATTCTCTCGGGTCTCGGAGCTAACGTAATCGAAGACCTTGCAGCGGAGGAGATAGAGATTACCGTGGGAGATATGAAGAGGTTCATCTTAGATTGCTCGAAAGGTCTTGTGGAGGTTGTATCATCGGAATGCCAAACAGTACAGTTTATCCATGAATCAGTAAGAGACTTTCTTCTCAGAGGAAAGGGACTCGCGGAGCTTTGGGCTGAGCAGGAATCTGACTTCCAAGGATACAGCCATGACCTTCTGAAGCGATGTTGTGTTACTTATCTCGCCACGGTTGATCCCTCGGTCTTGCGACTACCACTAGAAATTCCAGAATCGGTCGTCACCTCCAGAAAAAGACGATCTCGTCCACCTCCGCCTCCACCTCCACCGCCACTTACACCGCCACCAACCTCAATTTCTCCGCTTATGGGAGCTTGCGACGTTATTCACAGGAGATTTCCTTTCTTGGAGTATGCCGTGGAAAATGTTCTACATCATGCTGATCTGGCAGAGGAAGGACGTGTATCGCAACTTAGCTTCATGCTCAAGTTCGAATGGACCAATTGGCTTGCATTAGGAAGACTATTGGCAAAAGGTGAATTCCATCGACGTACTCCCAAGGCCAGCCCTTTGTACATCTTTGCTGAAAATAACCTCCCAAATCTCATAGAGGCCCACCCTTCAAGATTCTCATACTTTGAACTGGAGGATGAGTGCTACGGTTCTCCCCTGTATGCATCGATCGTGACGGGGGGTTATCAAGCAGTACGCAAGTTCCTCGAGTTAGAAGTGCAAAGGCAACCTGGCATACCTTTACTTCGCGGTCTGTTGGGTCAATTGTGCTCCCACGAGCGTTGTTCATTACATCTGCGATATAAATTCGAAAGATATAAATTCGAAAGAGGACCGAAAGCTCTGAATCCTCTTATAACTTGTTACAACGGCATCCTAGCCCCATTTCTTCTCGCTGCTGGTAAGAATCTGGGCATTCTATTTGAAGATTGGCACTCGAGGATAATCACAGCGGTCTTTGAAGGCCGTGAACGCTTTACGTTGCAACTTTTGGCTGCTGGACTCGATTTAAAACCCCGAAAAACCGGCGAATTGGTGCTCCTCAGAGCCTCGAATGGGGGATGGGTAGAGGTTTTCAGGGAGATTCTCACAAGGGGGACATTTGATATGAACTATTGTACGTCTCGAGGGGAAACCCCTCTCGCGATCGCCTGTCAACAAGGTCACATCGAAATCGTCAAGATGTTACTTAACACTGGAAAGGTCGACGTCGATACCAGAGATGTTCAAGGCTGGTCTCCGTTTTCTCGCGCCGCTCAGCAAGGCTACAAAGAGATTGCAAAACTCCTAATTGACACTGGAGAGGTTGACCTTAACATTGAAATTCATCGATCTCTTTATACAACTACTGCCCTAGCAATCGCCTCGCGGAAAGGTTATATCGAGATTGTAAGGCTTCTGCTTGGGACAGGAAAAGTTGCTGTCAACTCTAAAAGTAGATTTGGCCGGACTCCTTTGTCATTAGCCGCTGAACGAGGAAACCGTCGTATTGTCTTTTTGTTGCTCTGCACCGAAGACATTGACGTGAACACAAGAGATAAAGAATGCCGAACCCCTTTATCATACGCCGCAGAGAATGGATGTACTCAAGTCCTCTCATTGTTAGTCGGGTCTCCCAACATAGACTTAAACGTCGGTGACAGAACTGGCTGGAGTCCCTTGTTCTATGCTATTTGCCGCAGATACCAGGGGTGTCTCAAAGTACTTCTACAGCAGCCGAAAGTCAACGTCAACCTAAGTAGTAGTAACGGCCTCACACCCCTCATTCTAGCTGCTCGTACAGGTCATGTGGGGATTGTTAAACTGCTTCTCAAGAGAGCTGATTTGGATGTGAATACCACGACTTCGTGGGGTGTCTCCGCCCTCTCAATGGCTAAGGGTGAGAAGCACCAAGGGGTTGTAGAAATGCTGCTAGCATCTGGAAAAATCAAGGAGTGACGACTGAGGCCTTATTCATTCAAAGCCCCGATCTACGCCTGCATGCTAAGGGTACGTTTTTTATAGGTGTGCTCGAGGTGTGTGTGCTTCAGCGGGCCTTTCTGACTCGTTTCACGTAACTTGATTCGTTCATGCGTCGTATTATCGAGGAAGGTGAAGAGAGTTTGTCAGCACCTGGTAAGCGAAACCCTCCCTTTTATCCTGAAAAGTCCAATCCTTAACATCACCCACCTCAAAGTTCTCTTGTATCTAGACGCAATCCTCGATCTCGATATGGCTAATCTCATTTTCGGCGCTGGGGGTATTGGCGAAGGACGCATCTCTCACACATGGACGACTACCGAGCAGACAGAGGAATTGCTGAAATCATTGGACGAGTTGGGATTGAAACAGCTTGATTCAGCAGCCTCATATCCACCTGGCTCACCGTGGGTGACAGAAACATTATTGGGGCAGGCAAAGGCCGCAGGAAAGGGATTCGTGATCGATTCGAAGATCATGCCTTACTCTCTTGCTCTTGGATTTCGAGACCCGAAGGCTAAATCAGGAGCAGAAAGTCTATCGGAGGCGAACATAGATGCCAGTTTCAAGAAGACTTTTGAGCTGATGGGGATTGAGAAGGTGAATATCATGTATGCGCATTGTTCGGATCCGGAGACGCCTGCGGAGGAGAGTGCAAGGGCTTTCAATAAACACTTACAGGCGGGGCATTGTGAAAAGGTATATCACAATCTGTTGATAGAATTGGAATGAAACTGACTGGATAGCATTAGTTTGGATTATGCAACTACAGTTGCGAGGAAATGAAACAGTGGCTGGAGATATGTGATGACAAGGGTTATGTCAAGCCTGCCTTCTATCAGGGTCACTACAATGCTATTTGCAGACACCCTGAAAAGGACATTTATCCACTTCTAAGAAAGCATGGCATCAAGATTAATGCTTACGGGTTAGTTCTTCTCCGAAATTTCGAACATCGGTGTTAACACTTGATAGTCCACTTGCAGGCGGTCTCCTCACAGGCAAAGTTTCTCTCGCAGCAGATCCGGCAAAAGATCTCCCCGGAGGACGCTGGGCACCTGGTGGGCATCTCGGCTATCCCAAAACTTTTGATAAACCACCTGTCCATGCCGCCATGCGCAAATTCCGCAAGGCGTGTAAAGAAAGGGGCATGTGTAGTACGGAAGCCAGCTTGAGGTGGATTGTGCATCATTCGGTGCTTGGAGAGGGAGACGGTATCATTCTTGGTTCCTCAAGGGTCGATCAGTTGAGGGGGAATGTGGAGATGTGTGGGAAGGGCCCGTTGGATGAAGAGTTGCTGGAGTTGGTCGAGGAGCTGTGGGAGACGGTCAAGGATGAGACGTATTGGGGTTGAGACTAGGAGTTGAGTTAGAATTCCTGGAGGAGTATTACAGTGAGTGTTGTTAAGCATCCGATAGGTTTTCTTTTTGGGGGAGGGGGGATTATTTCAATGGTCGGAACCTTGGGTATTTTGAGTACGGAGGTACAGCCCATAATGATAGTAACAGCGCTAGCAGGGGTCAATAGAAAACTCGTGATTTCAACACTCGACAACTTTTGCTACCAAAACATAAAAAGTTTATTTAAACGCTATAAATATCCACAATAGTGCCATATAGTAGTGCTACGTTTTTTTAAAGTTTTTGCGATACGTTGTTGCGATACCAGGTTGAAAAGTTCGGACCCCTGCTAGCGCTATTACTATTATTATGGGCTGTACCTACCTCCGTATGGAGAGGTAGTCGGAGATGCCCCGAATTCAGTGGGCTGTTACATAGGCTGGCGCTTCGGCCCGCCATTTAGCGAGGCACGCCGTCCGCGAGTTGGGAACCGTTTATTCCATCGACATCACTCTCTCAATCGAACGTCCTCCCACCAATTCCAGTCGTTCAGCGTGTTCTTAGGCTCGGTTGTATTCTCTCGGTTGTTAGCGTTCTTAGATGTTGGATACGGCGCCATTGGATGCTTCCTTGTCGGTTTCTCCGAGTCACCTTTCCCAGCCTTGTCTCGAATCCGCCATGCGCAAGACTCTCGCTCATCTGAAACTGCGCAACATCCCAATTCAATTCAAACAATTGGGATCGTTTGCTTGCTTGCTGTCTCAACTGGCCAACATGCAAAGCCGACCTGCCTCCTAGTAGCTCCCTCTACTCACTGGTCTCACTGGTAACGCATTGCCCTTCGTACCACCGCCCTCTGCCCGCTCTCCTCTTGCTTCTCTTTGCTAACCTCTCGCGCTCCTAGTTTGCCTTCCTATACACGCCTACGAGTTCCCAAATCCTCCCAAACCTCTAGAATCTCGATCGACGATGGCACCTGAACCCCGAACGCCCACCAAAAAGCCCAAGCGCACAAAAGAAACAATTCGAACAGGACAGACAAGGGTTCATCTCGAGATTGCGCAATGATTGGAGTATAAATTTGGGAATACTGAACGAGTCTCCCGTCAAGGAGGCAAACGTTGGATAGAGTCTTGAGTGAGAATGCATATCTTGGATCTAGCACCTTTGCTGGACAACTTCCACCACAAGCAGTTGGAAGAGGTTCCACGCACAAGCTATCAATCGGTATACTAGACGGGTTACATCGACTACTGCTGGTCGAGATGTTAGACCCCGCCAAATTACACCGCAGTAAAGTAGGGAATTGCCACAATGCTTTCATCATATACTAGAAGAGGAAAGCAAAAAGTCGAGTCAGCTTTATCTAAGCACACCGTCGTCTGTCCGATCTCATGCTACACCACGGTGGGATATTGATGATCGCCCGGCCGAGTTCTCCATGTTCGAATCAAAGTGAGTTCGTGAGTACGCTTCCGGCGCTCCTCGAACCAAGAAGGTTAAGCTCTCTGCGTTCTCCAAACCAAAGCTCCCCAGGTCCAAGTCTTCTGAGGAGGCGACCACCTCCTCTAGTGACGATAGAGGACGAAATGTGGCAGCGACCAAAAACGCTAACACTAGCCTCTTAAGTATATTCAATGTTCCATCCGCGTTCGCTAGCACGCAAGAGACCTCATTGAACGGCGCCGACGATGATCCTCCCAACTCTGAAGCGAAGCAAACGAGCCAAGCGGATAACTTTAGGAGTTCTTACTACGGTTCCAGTCTTTGACTACGATTCAACTGCCAACGCTTTTCACGGTGTTGATGTGGAAAGTCTCCACTCTATTCCGCGAAAGATTCAAACGGACGCACAGGTGTTGTGTGCCGCCTGAATCCTGGATGGTGGATAATTTGCGGAATTTTCATAACTTTTGAATTACGAGTTTTATTGACATGCATGGCTTTGATGGCTTCTTGAAATTACTTTGGGCACGAGCGCTTCGCGGGTGTAATACTCTGAGTAGATGTTCCTCGGATGAGGGCCGTCTAATTTCAAAAATCGGGCCTCTCGAGTGCCTCCACATTACTTATCAGCTTTTAAAATTATTTCGTGAGCCGGAATTTCCAGCTCCAAGGCAGATGAGATGAGGCCTGCTGAAGTTTCCGCGCACTTTGACCCTGCGTCAGAAGTTTCCTGTGGAGCGTCTATTATCTGGACATGGAGATGGGGAAATGTTGTCTTTCTTCCATATATCTGTGAACCAAGTGGGTATTGTCCAATCGTAGATCTGTTTTCTTGGTTTAAATATGGATGCGTTATTGAGCTCACGATTTTAGCATAGCTGTGGGCTCTGTTGCTTTTGAGTACAGTAATTACTTATGGAAACTCAATGTGAATGCTCCGAACTGCTGCATAGCCATGGCATCAATCTCCGAACTCCTAAGGTATTTGTAACACTATTTTTGTTTTCGAAATCCAATCCTCATGCTCGCAGGCGGCCCCAAATAACTCGTTCTCACGCCCCCGAAATCAACGACAATCTTCTGGAATACCACGCCCGGCTCCACAGCCCACAGATTCAGCACATGTGCTTCCGCAGTCACCGCATGCTTTGTCGTGTAATTATACCCCACATTCTGCACCGCGGTCTTCCAATGACTTGGCATCGTCCCCAGATCAACGATCGGTACGTATTGAGCCGTCGTTGGTTTCGCATCGTCGATGGAAATAGCGTATGCGAGGTGGCGAGAGTGGTCTGTATTCGTGGAGGTTGCCAAGTGGACTGTTATCGATGCTGTGGTGGTAGTGAAAAGGAAGATATTGTACGTTAGCTTTGGAGAGGAAGAAGGGCTTTGGGGTTAGATGGTGACGGGGAAGAGCGTCGCGCCCGAGAGGGTGCGGCCATAGCCGGGGATGATGTCGTAGTGAGCATCCGACGATGAGGTAGCGGATGTCCAGTGCTCGGGCTCGATGCTGATCGTCTTCTCGCTTTCGACGAAGCCTGCGAAACCGGCTATGACATTCGTGTTGCGGAGCGGCAAGGAGACAGTGAATGCTGTGCAACCAGCATCGATATTGATTTTCGAGGTCGATTCACCGACTGGTGCGCTTTTCCAATCGATAGAGATCAGGACTCGTTGGTCGGAAATCGCTCCTGGTGGTGTGAGCGCTCCTGAGGATGGAGTTGCGGTAATCCATGGGTCGGATGTCACTTTGAAGGTTGAAGTTGTGTTTCCCTTGGGATATATATCGACCCATCGCGTCTCCGGTCCGTATGAATCCATCATTGGGAGTGCGGTCACGCTGCCTCCGTCGACGAATATTCCCGGTGTGGTAGTTGTACTTTTGGAGGGATATGATTGTGCCGGCATGCTGTTTGAGGCGGGTTGTTACCTGGAGTTGTCAGCTCGTCCACAAGGGAGTGATGAAATAACCTTACCAGTTGGTATAACCAGTATGTGTTTGATCCATCATATTATCCCATTTCCCTCCAAGCAGCTTGTGGTAAGTGGTGACAAGTGCCGAATCTGCAGCGTATGCACTGACAGCATAGCAGCACTCACTCTGTTTTGTTTGGCATATAAATTGTTCTTCGCTGTGTTGACGTACAGCTGGTATAAGATGTAACCAGCTTTGCATGGATGGAGAACAAGCTCAAAGAAACCAGGTTGAGCATTGGCTGGTAGTGAATCATGGATTTTTTGTGCATCTGCTACCATCGTTGCCCACTCGTTCTAAACTGTATCTGCTTCGTTGCAGTTCACGACAGAATAGATGGACGCATCAAGCAGCTCGTACTTCCTTCTATTTGCATACTTGCCGTATCTGTTCATGACCGAAGCTGTAGCATTAACAACCGTGGCGCCAAATTCTCGGTACTGTCAGGCGAGGTAAACAATGACATGTCGTATACCATATCGATAAAGTGGCTGATTGGCAGTTCCTATCACGGTTCGCGGGTCAGTGGCGGGCTTTCCTGAGAACTCGAGAGAAACTCACCAAAGGTTTCAAATCTCCCACATTGACAACCCATATCTGCCGATCATTGCGAGCATGCGCAAAATGCATCTGCTCCCAGGTCTTTTGGGGCAAGATAGTATTGATCCACTTGACTTGTAATTTCGGGGATCTCCAACATAGTCGAAATGGTGATATATCCCCGCGCCGCCAGAACGATTAAGTTCACTCGGGATTGGGAGTCTCTGAATATTGCCAACATTGTCATCAGGCCACAGTATTGTGATATCGTCAAGGACTTTCATGCCCTTCTGATAATAACAACCAACCTCTTTGTATGGACACCACATTCCCGAGAAATTGCTATTGACGACTGAAGCGAGGATTATCTGCTGCTGAGCAATGACGTCTTCAAGGGCGGTTGCATTGAGGGTCGAAGACCCCGTGTCGCCAGAACCGCGCATTCCCATCGTGTACTGAGATTCATACGGCTTTGCCCTCTTTGCACCATCCGTCAAGAATAAGATGACGTTTGCTTTGTTGGAGGCCCAGTTTCAAGAGCCGCTGCAATATTTTCCCTGCTCTTTCGTTGACCGCATGAGTGGCTCGGTATGGCTGGTTCCCATGACAATCCCGTAGCTATCAGCAAGCGGCTGATTTTTTGAATCATCAATCGCGAACATACTATCCCACATCGTCGGCCACAAAGAGTTCGCTCTCAACCGCAGCAAAAGCTCAAAGACTCTCGTGTAGAAACCAGAGACATATCCAACGCCCCCATATTTCTCCTCCACCCCGTTCGTCAGTGCTGGCTGCTTATCATTCAAGAAGATCCCCCAATATTGACGCTCGGTGATCCTTGAACTTTGTGTACATTCAAGGCGTAAATATTGGTTCGCTGAGCAGTGGCGACGTCCGAAAACCAGTACCAAGGTGAGACACCGATTTGCTCTGAGATGTCATAGATTCCGTAAATCGTGCCCCATTTATCACTTCCAGCAATCACCAGAGCAGAGGCCGGTCCAGAAATGGGATTTGCCAATATCTGAGTCTCGAAGGCTTCCCATTGTCCTTTGATGCTCGAAACGTCAATTTTGCCAGCTGAGACCAAGGAATCGATGAGTGTTGACTTTCCAATCGTTCCTGCGATGATGACTGGCCCTGCCGATGGCGATTGGTCGGTAGATGTCTGGTCTTTTGACACAATGGTCAGATTATTACCAGTTACTCAACCAAAGTCTGCTGAGAGGTCTTGGCCTGCTCTAATGACGCCTGGGAAGTCTGCGCTGCTGAGAAACAGATATGCCACCGATGAGCCTCCTGCTAGTTGCAAGGCCCCTCCCGTAAACGATATGATGGCTTGTTGGCCTATTGCCAGAACAGATGAAACCAAACAAAGAACAGTTAGAAAGATGAGGACCATTGTCGTGACGGTGACACTGGCCCAACCTTGCTGGACGAAGAAAAAAGCAACAAATACATATGAAGAAAAAAAACCTTCCAAACGCTCCAGGTGTACATAACGCGGTTAAATAGATTAGAAAGTGGGGTTTCGTAAAATAAAGTGTACAAAGCAGTCGGTAAGTGTGGTTTCCGGCCTCCGTGGTGTTCTCAAATTTAGCCTGCCACACGTGCCGCGAATACACTGCCGAAATGGTTGGCGCAAATAAGCATAAATGAACATCAAGTTAAGAGTCGGATTCCATCAATCAGAGCTCGAGAAGGAGATAGCATTCATTTGGGCTTCAACGAAGTGGATATCCTCCATCCGCCCTACACGCCACGTGACCGATGCGTATTTGGGAATAATATTCCACTCAAAGACCAAATGGATGTTCTTTCAAGAACTCAATCTCCTCTGGCGTCGACTCACGGCCTAATGCCGCATTCCTTCCTGGAAACCTTCCGAATCGCATGATGATATTCAGATGGTTCTTCGCAGAACCCAGTGAAGCCTCAGCAAACTTCACATTTTCCGTGTCCAACTCACTCCTCGCAGCCATCGCCTCACACAGCGCCACGCAGGCAACCTGGCTGATCAACCGTTCATCGTGGGTGAACGGGAGGTGAAAGAAGATCTGCTGCAAGGGCGCAAGCTCCCTGTGCTGGCCCCTGGCGATAGCTGTAACGGCGACATCGAGCGCCATCCCATCCGAGCTAAACGCATCTGGTGTGCCTCTGAAAACGTTCCGTGGAAAATTATCGAGGAGGAGTAGCAGTGCAAGAGTTCCTTGAGGTTGTTCGGTCCAAGAGTTCAGCCTCGAGGCCCGGGCGTCGGAGATCAGGTCCGAGAATTGGGACTGGATTTCTGCGTCAATTTCGGGACTGCCACCGAACCATTTTTGCCTGGGATTTTCGGTATCAAACCAGTATGAATTGATCCGAGTGATGTTGGGGTCCATCATTGTGACTGAGGACATTTGGCGGAAGGAGGCGAAGGGGAAAGGGGACTTGAGGATGGATTGAAAGCCAAGGATCTTGGGGTCGTTAGTGCTTAGGTCAATGTCTGATGCTAGCTTGCTGCAAGCTACTTACTCGATGGATCGTCGAGCTGATGTTGTATGCTCTCATCTTGAGGCCGAATTATATGTTGAAGCCATGATTGTTCTTTTTGAGGAGGTTCGGAAAATGAAAGGGTTGCTTACAAATTCACAGGGCCAGGTTGCTAAATTTCAGCGCTAAGAAGGGACATTTTCGCTCCAAGTCCCATGTTCTACTTTCCTTATTCTTATCAGCTAAATCGTCCTCTCTAATATCCTCACGATTCTCACATTCCACGTGTCCACATATATAGATAGAATTACATTGCACCGTTATTGTAACGAATAAGGACCGAATTTCAATAGATTATTTTTCTTGTCCTTAGCTTGAAAATCGCCGAACCGAAGAACTTCACAATCTGAAACGTCTGCTTTCGTGCTACTCTCTTCCAATTTTTCCAGCATTTCTCTCGTTTCCTAGATTCTCAATCCCCTTGAGTTCCATGCTCTCACTGTTCTAATCACTGTCGCGACCCCCCCAAACCCTTGTACGAACTTGGCTGGAGTCCAAAACCAGCCCGACCCGCTCGAGGCAATCATGGTCTACTTTGCTTTTTACGAGGAGCAGCCCCAATGGACCATCCTTAGTCATAATCGCGAGGAGAAAAAAATAAGTTCCCTCTGTCTTTGACGGACATAGTGAATCGTAGATTGCTGTAAGCTGGTAGCTGCTAAATTGCCTTCGAGCGAAGAGACCTGTACCGAGTGATTCATCTTCGAACGCGGGTACCATTCCCCGGCTAACCCCGATATGCGGACAGCAGTGAATAGTCCCGATACAAAGAGCGAAGGACGGTACGAAGAAGTGCCATATTGCGGTGGATTCTCAACCAGGTTCTGAAGCTGGAATTTCACATGCTTCTTGAATCTTCGCTGGTCATAAGTGGTAATGAATGCAACCTCGCCGTCAACTGTAGCCCAGGATCAAGTTGGCACATTCTCGGCCCCTGTTTTGGTTCTAGCCTCACTAGCGTTTATATACCACAAAAGATCTTCCTCGGACATCGGCCTCTTCCAAATGCCTGCGACATAGATACCAGGCCGAAACTGACTAATGGCAGTGGCGAGAAGCTGGTCAGATTTGAAGGTAAAATCGAGGCTTGTATAACTCGGCACAATGTTTTCTCTCCAAATAGAGTTGGCTTTTTCTTTGAATATAAAATAGCGGTATCTTCCCTGTGCACTAAAAGTCCCTTCAGGGTTCTCGCCTTCTGTTTAGATCGAACCCTGTTTGCGGAATATTCACACCCACTCGCTCACCGTCATTCCCAGTCCATCTCGTCCTTCGAGAAGTGTAATGTGCTCGGAGAAAGCAGTCGTTCCTTAAATACCCAGCCTCTGGTGACAAGTTGTACTGTAAGCCTAAGCCTATCTGTATTAAAAGGGTAGCTCTTGCCCTCGCGCACCCTTCTTACGTACATGGATACAATACTTAGTATTAATGCCGTTCTTGTCCGCTATAGAGTAAGGTATTGACTTCGCAGGGGAGGGAGTCCGAGCTGGATGGTTGAGAAAGCCTGCGGAGCTGTCTGTTGCTGCATCGGCAGAGATCGTGTCAAGGCCTGAAGGGGCTGTGGGGATAATATGGGTGTATATTGGTATAATAGTAAGGAATGATGGTGCCCTAAGGGCGGGGAAATAGCTATATATAGGCCTATGTACGGCCAGTGCGTAGCACGTGACAGATCGCCAGAAAGAATTAATGTAGGTAGTCGCCATTTCTCTAGCTTCGTGAATCTAATAAATCTTGAAGTCCTGGACAATACGGAGTGCATCGATCCGTACGTACGGAATATCAAGCGCTCTTGTGATGGAAATGGCGTCCGCAAACGTTTGCGGTAGCGGAGTTGGAATATGAACTGTATATTTATCTAGACGACTTAATGTAGTTCGTGCCGGAGTCTGTTCTCCCCAGCTGTGACTCAGCGTAGTGTAGTAAGATGCCTGTTCAGGTGAGCTAATATAAAGGCGAATATCCTGATCAGACTTTCCGATATTAATAACCTTCGTTGGTAGATATGGGACGATTAGTCTCAAATATTTAATATGCTTCTCCTCCGAGTTGGTGCAGCTTTGAATCCATTGGCGTGCTAAAACGACGCATTTGTCTGACAAACAGTGAGGTTAAATATTGTTAGTAAAGCCAATCTAATTCCAAGGAGACGGGAGGTTCCCTATATATCATGAGTCTCATGCAAATGATAGATTTCTTCTTTTCTTTTTTGGGGGCGGGAGGGTTAGGGTCTTTACCTCTGGGAATATATAGCTGCAGTTGAAACGTCACCGATCCCAGGATAATATTAACCCTAAGAGGACCGTAGAGAAGAGAATGTTCTTTAAACATGGTCTCTACCCGGCCAGGACTACCTAAGTCAACATCGATAGTTGCTTTTATTGTAGCCAGGAGGATGGCGCAGGTTCTACATTGAGTGGCAGATTCGTAGATTACAGATAACAGGACTCTGTGCTTTTCAATTTGGATCAAGAAAGGGGCGATATCCTTCCCGAGGGCCCGGCACCTGATACAGGGAATAGTCATATCGTCATTTGGTGTTTGAACCGTAGCCAAGGAGTTAGTAATTTTCCGAGCCACTGGCGAAAATCGGGTCCTGTTAGTGGTTAAACTTTTTTTATTCTTTATTTTTTATTGAAAAATGGAGGTGTTGTTTATCCAAAGCTAGGCAAGCTTCGATTGCAGAGTCCCCAAGGTTGCTTAAATACCTAACTAATGTATACAACAAAATTGACTAGTGCAAAGTCCCAGCCCCATTGCCCAAGATCGAATCATACACCCACAGGGAGGCGCCACCAAGCCACGAGATCCAACAGGCAATGCTACTAGCTGTCCCCCAAGCATTGCTTGAAAATCGAATAGCAGTTGTCGACTGGAACGCATCATTGATATCCACTACCATTCGGTCCTCTCGCCGCTTGTCAGGACTCACGTGCTCAAAAATAACACGCATTTACATTACTTAAACTACAAGACAACTGAAATTGAAAGAAATTCGCGGTCTGCGCATGGAATCACCGGGCAAGAAGAAACAAAAGGAGAGAGCTGCTGCAGCAGTGTATGCACATAAACGTCCTCAGTCTGCCTCCTGATCCACAGGATTAACGTGCTCCTCTAATACCTTCTTGACATTGTCCACAATCAGCCCCGTATTTGTCCTGTGGACATGATACCCTTGCTGATGGCTGTGCAGTGCCGCACTGTTAAGTGCAACGCTCCCAGGCTTCAGCTCCACCAAGTCACACATTACCACCCTCTCCACATTGGCGAAAGCAGCGAGCTCCCTCCTCCCAAATGCGGTGAAGCTCTTAGGGCCACCTATGCTCTGGATTCCCGACTTTACTTGCTTTGACCGCTGCAGCAAGTGCTCTTTGACTGTGGCAGCCACGCCCGTGGAGCAGGAGTCTGTGATGGCTGCAAGGATTCGTGTATTCGCTGCGGGTGTAAGTTTGCCCTTGCGATTGCCAACGAAGGAGAAGACACCTTTGACCGACTGCCAGAAGCCGATAGGGTTCGCGATGGCGTGGATGGCGCCAAGTGTTGAGACAAGCATTTGGGCGTTACCGATGTCGTCTACTTGGGCTGCCTTAGGAGCCACCGCGAGGAATTGAGTGAATAGGGATAGTTGTGCAAGCTTCTCTGGGACGCTGAGGGGATCTGTGAATCGAGGTTTTGTTGAGGTGAAGCGATAGATCTCGGAAGAGATTTCAAGCTGCAGAGATATGCAGAGAGCTTGCAGGATCTGTAATTGTCAGTCAACTGGAGAGAAGCATGCCTTCGTTTCGGTGGCTAATTACCTTGTCGTCAATCATCATATGAGCAGTGACTGTGTCCGGAGGTGCGTTATACATCGTTTCCAGTCCCTTGTATATGATATCACAGGGAACTCCGGTCGCGTTCGAATTTCCAATCATATTCCAGAACAGCTTTGCTCTGGTTGCAAAAGGCAAACAAGAAATAACAAAGAACATGTTATAGTCCGAGATGGTGGGAATGCCGTGCTGTGTTGATGCTTGGAACAACCCTACAGAAGCCAACATGTTCGAATTCTTAGGCAAGCCTTCGCAGATTATGGCGCCGCCTATCTTCTCGCCTTCTTTCGTGGCTTCCAAGTCAGGAACAGCAATAAAACGACGTAGAGGGAGGTTTTTGTTGAGCTTCTTAGCTGCAGATTTTGCAGCGGAATCGACAGATTTCTCGATTGTTTTGAAGAGAGACTTCTTGACAGCAAATCGATGAGTAACCATATCGCTTGTTGGGAGGTTGGAGTCCAGCCTTCGGAGATTGGACACCACTCCGCTGATATTGATGTCGTTGAATGATTGCGAACCCGCAGTGAAGTCATGAGCTGGGAATGTGGCATTCTCTCCCCATTTCTTGAGACCTTCGAGGTTCCCCACGCCGACAAACGAAATGTTTGTACCGCCCTTGATTAGTAGACCAGTCTCCCAGGGGTCGAGAAGATCCCAAGGATCTTTATCGCCCTGGTTGAAGAATGGGAAGGTGTTGCCGAATATGATGACGCTCTTGCCGGCATAATCATTGAGTACGTTCTTCTTTTTAATGGGGCTTTCGTAGGAGCCGATCAGACTCAGATTGAAGATATCCAGATGCGTGCGCAGGCGATTTCGAAGCAGAACAATAATTTGATGGATGGCGTGGTTGGGCGTCTTAGAATTGACGACTAGCAAGTAGCTTGGATTCGGACTCAAGCTATACACATCGGAGATCTGCATGCGCATTTGGTGTTTCTGCACGGGACGCACTTTATGCGTGACAGGATCTGATAACATGAGTTCAAGAGTCAAAAAGCCATCACTGAACTCCATGGCGGCTTCATCCACATTGAAGTCCTGGTCGATGGTGACCATGCTGTTTGGCTCAATCTCATCAATTTCATCGGTGGCTTCACGTGGGGTTTCTGGATTCGTGAGATTAAACAATTGCGGCATATTTGGATCAGTGAGCTTGGTCGCTGTGACTCTTTTGAGGAGTCCTTTGATGCCGTACGTTTTCTTTGAGTCGTTGTGAACCTACTAACTCAGCTTCACACCCTTCTGATATGCCGAAAGAAAGCCACTTACCACCCACTTGAATCTGACTCTGTCTCCCTTCGCAACACAGTCGAGGTAAGTTGGGGGGTCTAACCTGAGAGGGTGTCGAATCGCAATCTGGGTTTGTCCACAGAAGTTGGGGATTGGCCGGTTCAAGCGTTCATGGAAAATGGCAAGCAGCTGAACATTGTCGATATAATTTAAGGCTTCCCCGAGCGGTTTCTCGGACCATTCATTTCGGATATAGGCTCGTAATACACCTGGTACCTCAACTTCCTGACCTGGTTGGATAGATCGTGGAAGCTCCAGAGGCTCTGAGGTGATCGGATCGAGGAATTGCGTGCCTTGTATGAGGAGGTGTATAGAACGACTTTCGGGAGACGGCATGCCTCCGGAATTTTTCACTCTGATGTTGTGAACGAGGAGGTGCTCGCCGGGCTCATTAATGCCGTCTTCATTCTCGTCGATAATGTCGAATTTGACAATCCGGAGGGAGTACGGGCTCGGGTAGGTAGCTTCTGACAAGTCACCACGGATGACCTTGATCTGGATGCTACCCTGTGGTCCGCTACAATTGAATCAGCAAGATAACAGAGGCTGAAAATATGCAAACATACGTCTTGCCACCACTCAGATATACAGAAGGTCTCGTCCCTGGTGACCCGTTCCTACCGTTTGTACCTCCATCTCTCGCATGTGCCTCGACCCTATTTGAGTGTTTCTCAGTCCTACTCAAAGTCAGCCCTGAAGTAGGCGGCGGCAGCGACGATATTCTCTACCAGGCAATGGGCGCACCGCCTCTTCCTCCAATACCGCCGTCACCAGGTTCGCCGTGCTGCCCGCTTGCGCCTCCAGCACCACCTCGGACATCATATTCCAACGGACAAAGGAGATCCGTATCATCTTCGTGAACGGTGATGAAGGCGTTTCCCGCAGCCGCGCCATCAGCTCCATTGGATCCATAGCCGCCACTGTCCAGTATTATTAGAGACCGTCAAGCAACTCAGGGACGTTAAACTTACTCTCCTCCCCTTGCACCATCTTCTCCATCCTCTCCGTTGCGGTGCCTAGTTGCATCTCTGCCATCTCTTCCCCTCCCACCAGCCTGTCCATCCTGGCCCCTCCCACCTGCACCGCCATCACCACCTTTTGCGTTCAACTTCAACTTTTCAGCTCTGGAAATCTTCCACAGTTGGCCAGTGTGCGGCCCTTCTCCAGTGACCTGGGTTACTCCAGGCTCTTCACTGGAATATGCCAATCGAACGCGGATATCTGACGCCGGTTGTCCGGCTGTAGGAGCGCCTGCTGACTTTCCACTGTTGCCAGCCTGGCCCGTCGGAGCTGCATAAAGATGAGTAAGGGTGATCTGAAGAAATCGAGATTGGGAACTACCTTCCGCAGGTCTCTTATCCCAAAGTTCTACTCCTGGTAACCCATTTCTGCCACTTGTATCTACAACTTTCGAGCGGGCATCCATTTTGCATCCAGTCGCAACTTGAGGTCCCAAAGAGTGCAAATGTCTCAGAGGACAGAGGAATGGCGGGGCGCAACAGTGCCAATATAACAGAAGCCCAGTCCCCAGGTCTGGCCCCGGCGGCCTTGTATTATTTAAAGATTTTCAAAGCCATCCTTGAGCCACCAATACAACACCCGCACATGATGTGCAGGGGAGTTTAATATTCGCACTGTTGATTGTAAGACATGACCACCTCCTTTTGAGTTGAAGACATGTGGGGGACGCCCGGCGTCTACTTATGGGAATAACCCATGCAGAACTTTCTGTCCGGAAAGCGCACAGTGGGAGATGAGTGTTTCAGATGGGAGCATGCCAACGGTTCTTGAAAGTTCTAAACGGCAATCAAATGAACAGTTGTGTTTGATGAAGTAGACATGCATTCGCATGTACCTCAGAGAGCGTTTCAATTGGATGATTTCAGAACGGAATACTTGGGATGTAAATTTTTGGATATCAGTGGTGAACTTCCTCTTTTTGCCAACTGCAGAATTTCCAAAGTGGACATAAATCAATACGTGGCACTGTGGCACCCGTGCGCCTATCACCACTTCATTCTCTCAAACCTGTGATTGGGTGCGAAGAAATATGTTCATAGGCGCCATGTCTGAAAGCGCGGTCTCTGATTAGAGAATCCGGGGAAGCTGAAAGCAGGGGTTCTTCATTCCGACGCCAAGACACCTGAAGAAAAAAGCATACACAAAGAGCTATCAATTAAGGCTTAAAAAGAGGTCATGGGTGCAGCTCAGTGACCAGAGGGTCTCGAACCTGCCCCGCGAAACACTGAAGCCGAAGCTACCGATTATTCATGGTACAAACTGATTTCTCACTTCGAGACTATCGAAGCATCCTGACGCAAAAATGGTTATTCGGAAGAAGGAGAAGAAGTCCCAAGCACCACCTGACACTAGTATTAGCAAAACAGGGGAATACTCCGTCAGCTTTGGTCGACCCGAATCATATAAGCCGATCCAAACGGCCGCTCCTGTTGTGCGATCCCCCATCACCGGGTTGCCTCTGATCAGCACTCGGGACCTGAACTATTTCTTCAATCTCGCGGCCTCCTTATATCGAGATACCACTGGCGAGCAGAATCAAGCTTCTTCTGGTTCCAGTGCTGGTGTAGATGCACCCCCAAGCTATGGCGATGACTTCCAGGAAACTCAAATGGACTCTACGGCCGTGCTGGTGATCTGGCTTTTTAGACTGACTGCGACTCACGTCCTCCCCATCACAGAACGCTTCCATCTGGGCCCTGCGGATAGGCAGCCGCTGTACTCCCTCACAGCGCAACCCAGCATCAGATCCGCTCAGGAATTCAATGAGCTCTCCATCCAACGCCGCGACCCCATCAAAGGCGTTTGTCCCCCCACCAATCTCCCTCTTCCCCTCTTCATTGTCTCAAATGCAATCTAATAGATTCCAGGTATGGTACCCGGTCTGCACCTCCGATATCGAGCCTTCCCTAGACCTGGTAAAACCTGGGAACTGGGCTGTCTCCAGGCTAACCATGACAGCTATCGAAGTCCAACACATGATCAAGTCTGGACAAGTGGTCAAGAAGGTGGCCCTCAATGGAAAAGGTTACTCCTTGATATTGAGTTGGGGGGATCAAGAGATATTAGGACCGATGGGTAATGTGTATCGACTTGGGTGGGATAGCGGTGGGGAGCACGGGCTTGTGGAGTGCTTTTATGTTGTGGAAGGTTGGAGGGGGTTTGATGAGGGGACCAGGCAAGGAGTTGTAAAGGTGCGTGCCAATATCTATTTCGCGAGATTTCTAGGTGGGAACAGGCTGATCGGACTCTCAAGATCAAATCCCCAGAGCCATGTGGGAATGGGATTCCTGGAAAGTATAAAGACCCACACCGAACGGTCAATAATCTGGCAGTCGCGTATTTCCATGGCGATGGGAAGACTCCACCGCAATTTGTGTGCCAGGATGCGAAAGCGCAGGTAAGGATAGATATTTTGATGGCGGGGCTGATGACTGTGATGGTGATTGAGACGAGGAAGGCGGCTGTTATTAAGGAGATGGGTTCGTTGCCGGGGTATGGGTCAGGAGCTCATTTTAGTTCCAGGTTGGTTGAGGAGGGGAGGGACATAATTGGGGACTCGTATGATGAGCATCGCTTCGGATAGTCCTAGTCACTGCCTGAATTAGAATTATCAGTCTTGCCTAGAGAATTCAAAATAACAGCTCGCCGGCTGCGATGGTGAGACAAACGAGACATTGCTCCTAGAAGCCCCAAAAGTCTCCACCCCAGTCTCCTCCCATATTCATAAATTGAGAAGAATACCCATCCACGGCCCCAAATCCCGGTTCACCACTAACCAACTCCCCCACAGCCTGCAAATCCAACCACGAGAATTCATCTTGTTCCCCGTCATACCAACCTCCATTCCTCATTGATGTTGCAGCATATTCTCCGTTTCCGTCTCCCAGCACAGTGGACTGGTTGTTGGCAGGAACGCTGGTTGTTGGGTCGGTTGTTGCACGTGCTTGGATTTCAGTGTCCTTGCGCTGCCAAAGGCGGTCAAGCAACTCGGAGTACCTGGAGTGGAAGTCGTTTGGTCGGACGCTGGCTTTTTGGAGGTTTCGGATTACATCTTTGATCATATGACGGATCCCGAGTTTTTCTTGAGTAGAGAGAACTTCGAAGGACCATGCCTAACACGGTGTTAACGGTGGGGCTAGAGCGGGGTGGAAATTTTACCTTGTAAAGGAAAACTGCTGAGTTGACGCAGTATCTGGCTTGATCAGACGAATCCCCAAAAAAATTAAAAAAATTAGGAAACGCTACTCACAATGAAAACCGGAGGGGAAGATATCTGAGGCAACTTTCGGCATCGATGTAACTGGTGATGATACTCAACAGTGTCTTCGCAGCATCAACCGATTCGTAGATGAAGCGAGCGTCTGGGAGTGAAGGGACCCCATTGTGGGGAGACTCGTTTGTACGCAGAGCACCTTGAGATTTGGCAGCAACGGCTCGAGTTACCGTAGCTTGAAATGCATAGGCGTTTGTATATAACCTTAAATATTCGTAGGACATCTGAAGAGTTGCTTTGATGTTTGGCGGACCTGGGTTGACATCAGCCAAAATTTCACATGCCGGAGGAGGATCTTACAAGTCAATGTCCCCCAGATACTCTTCCATCCTTCGATGGCCCGCCTAAAATCATCAACATACTTCACGTAATTACCAGCAAGCATCAACTTCATACTACTCCCCATTCCAGAGTATAGAACATCATGGACGTTGCTGAAGAGCTGAGTAAGATCGAGATTTGCTTGGAGAACGCTCGCATAATCTGTATCCCCGGGAACTTGAGGTTGGAGAGGACGGAAGTCGTCGAATTGGCGGCCATGCCTACCAATTCCAGCAAGTGCAACAGGCCCTCGCGACCAGAAAGCCCGCCCAATCCGAGCAGATAATTGTCTGTCTGATATATAGCAAGCTTCCCATTGTCAGTCATAAACGGCAAAATGACGAATATATCTCACCAGCCCACGTTACTCGCCTCCTATTGAAATGTGCGGCTTTGTCCTCATCGTCATGCTTGATGGCAGTCCGATCCAGTCCAAGAAAGTAACCAATTCTCAAGGCCAATCCCACATGCATCCAAGCCGCGCGATCTTCCTCTCCACATCCAATCTCCTTCCCTTCGGATAAGGAATCTTGAGGTTCCCATTCCGAAAGTAACAACAGGGCCTCAACAGCCTCGACATCACACTTCTTCCCCGCAATGATCTCGGAGACAAGCTGATGCATGTAACTGGAGCAAACTCGAAGAACATCTTCACCTTGAGGCAGATCTCGAGATGCAACGGTAATAATGGCAGTCAGGAGGTGAGGCTCTTGAGTTGCCATACACTGTAACGCGTCTGCCTCGAAACATTTTCGAGGAGCAATCGGGAGATATGGGTGATAAAACTGTTTGAATCTGGTTGCGTATCAGCAATGGGCACATAAAGAGGGGATCAAGACCGACCTGGCAATCAATTGGATAACTTGAGATGCTGTCATAAGCCCTTGAGCAATGAGAGTATATTGCAAGGGGTCACTTCCAACATTGTTCGGGGCTGGAGTTACCCCTCCTTGACCCGGAGTTAAGACTGAAGCCAGACGCCCTGAGGCATGAGATCGCTGGCCTGGACTGGCATACGTGTCAAGCTGGGCTGCATGACTGAGCATATTCAGGGCATCTGATGTGGCGTGCAAATCGGTGGATGCAATTGTCTCGTCGATGTTGGCTGCGGGCATTGATCCATCCTGACGGAACGGATCTTGACCCGGCGACGATTGCTCGGGAAAGTTCCCTGGAATGCCGGCAAATGAATCTGAAAAGCCTCTTGGACTCGACAAGATGTTCTGCTGGCCATCATTGTTGATTGCCGGTGGGTTGATCTATTTTGTCGTGATCTGTTTAGTGGAAAGCCGAAAGCTGGCCATGACTAGGAGACTGACGCTTTTCCGAACCCTTCTCCCACCCCGCTTCGATGTCGCGAGGACGCATTCCACTTGATCGCGGATGCATGTCTGACAAGGAGGAGCACCTGGCTGGCCGAGCGTCCCTCTGTCACCACCTCTGGTCAGTTATTGTCTGTCTCCAATGCCTCCATCCCTGACGGGGTGGGTGGTTCGACTCACAGGTTGCATTTGGATTTTCGCTGGCGGCATCTTAGACACGCCCTAGAGATCCGCTTCACCGGTTTCGAGGGGCCCCTATCCGCGGGGGCCGACGGGTATTGTCCCACGTCCGTTGAAAAGCCTGAGCCGGGTACCATTTTTGGGTCTGGACTCTGGATCTGGGGAATTGAAGTGCTCCTTGTCCGGCAAACACACAAACCTGGGGGAAGATATTGGGGAATTGGGGATGCGGTGTAGATAGCCGACAGACCGGGCTGCCTCGGTTGGAAGCTCAATAGCCGTCGCATCAATTAATTCCCGTGCAGTCGTGCTCCTGCTTCGTCAGCCGGCCAGGTTACAGTAGTCGGGTTGTCCATTTGCCGTCGATAGCGCCAACAGGCCGGGTTGTGGCTGCCGTGGTGGCGCAGATCTCCGAGTCTGAGTGGCTGAGGCGGCGTATATAGGAATTTCCAGGGGCAGCGCCCCCAACAATCCTTTTCGCCCCCTTCCATCCCCTCCACCACCAACACCAAGAAACCAAACACCGCCGGCAACCGAACCCACGCGACGCGGGGTGCATTGTACGGGGAAAGATCGTCAAGATGTCTCGGGGCTAATGAAAGCTGGGTCTATATCAACCTCATGCCACCTCCTGCCATCCAGAGGTTCCTGAAGCAGCTCGACAGGATCACCGTTCCTTCACTCTTCAAGTCTTCCAAGCCTCACCGCTACGAGCCTCTTTCAATGGCGACTTCTGCCCCAACAGACCGCGCTTCGGTGGCCAAGGCTGACATGGACTTCTCAGAAGATGTCGAGGCGTCGAGAACTTCCAGCAAGCACGACGAGAACGCACACATCCAGCACGTCGAACTCACCGAAGAAGATGTTTGTCCCCTCTCCCAGTGCCCCAGTGGGAAGCCTCTTTGCTAACCTTTCCGACAACGTAGAGCGAGAGGATCCTCCGCAGGACCGACTCGGTCATTCTCGTCATTCTCGTCTGGGTGTACTTTCTGCAGGTAAGTTCATACCCACTGCCAATACCCCTCCATTGACGGAGGCTGACTCTTCCTTCTCTCCAGATTCTCGACAAGTCTGTCCTCGGATATGGCTCGATCTTCGGTCTGCAGAAGGACACTGGTCTCAAAGGCAACCAATACTCCCTCGTCGGCTCCATCGCTCCAATTGCGCAGCTCGCGTGGCAGCCCTTCTCCTCCATTCTCATCGTCAAAGTCCCCCACCGAGTATTGATGCCGGCGATGGTTCTGGGATGGGGCATTGCACAGACCTCCATGGCCGCATGCCACAGTTACCACGGTCTGCTCGCGACCCGCTTCTTTCTCGGCCTGTTCGAGGGAGGTTGTCTGCCGCTCTTCAGTATCATTACGAACCAATGGTATCGTCGAGCTGAGCAACCGATTCGAGTGGCGGCATGGTATGGCACAAATGGGCTGGCTACGATCTTTGCTTCAGCCGTGTCTTATGGGCTGGGACATATCAAGTCCGAGGCACTTCACTCTTGGCAAATGTATGTCGATACCCACCCATATGAGATCTCCCTACTGATGTCCAATTAGCATCTTCCTTTTCGTCGGCCTCGTCACCATCATCACGGCTCCCTTCGTCTACTGGAAACTCGACAACGGCGTGACATCCGCCCGATTCCTCACCGAGACAGAGCGCTCCCAAGCCGTCGAACGTCTGCGAGCCAACCAAACTGGTATCGGATCCAGCAAATTCGAGTGGGACCAAGCTATTGAAGTTTTCCTCGAGCCGAAAACATATCTCTGGGTTGTGATGTCTCTTCTCCTGAACGTGGGAGCCTCTGTCACGAATACGTTCGGTCCTCTGATCTTGAACACCCTCATCAAGGACAAGTACAAGGCATCTCTGCTCAACATGCCATTCGGAGCCGTACAATTCATCATCATCATCATCGCCTCCTATGCTGCACAGAAAGCTAAGCTCAAGTCTGCGGTTTTGGTCGTCCTCGTCATTCCGGTTGTTGCAGGTCTAGCGATGCTATATGCCTTGCCCAGAAGCCAAGTTGCTGCCTGTCTTGGAGGCTACTACCTCCTTGCCTTCTTGTTCGGCAGTAATCCACTCATCGTGTCCTGGATTGTTGGGAACACAGCTGGTACAACGAAGAAATCGATCATCATGTCGCTTTACAACGCCGGTTCCTCGGCAGGCAACATCATCGGCCCTCTTCTGTTCAACGCCGCAGATGCACCAAATTACCACCCAGGTCTTCGCTCTGTGTTGGGGATCTTCATCGCGCTTGCTGCCGTGATCTTGATCCAGCTTGCCAACCTGATGTTCCTGAACAAGCTGCAATCCAAGAAGAGAGTTGCCAATGGAAAGGCCGCTGTGATTCATGATGTTTCCATGGAGGATCATTACGTTGATATCGACACCGAGGGAGTTGGTGAACATGCATTTGATCTGACTGATCGGAAGAACGACGAATTTGTGTATATTTATTGAGATGTTGTGATGATTTTGTATATACGCTGATGACTCATGATTCACGTTTTTTTATGCTTAGAGAATAAACATGATTACGTCCTTTCAGGCTGCTTCTCGAACTCAATCCAGCACTCGTGCTCCTTTGTAATTATCCAGATTAACACTAACTGTCATTGCAGATGACAGAGACTGACCTTCATCCTTGCCTTTGTCTCATTATAGAAAACCTCAAATCTACTGGTAATCACCGGACTCGCACCCTCCATCCCCTTCCCCACCTTCGCCCTGTACCTCCTATAAATTGCCGCCGTCAAAGTCATCATCATCTACGCCATTGCAAGACTGTCAATCGCATGAGCACCTAAGCATGCGATCTAGCGTTGATGACTTACTGGATTCCAATACACATGCGCCCACCACTCGAGAACGCCCAAACCCACTTTTTCCTTTCTGCCACCTCTTTTGGGTCATCAAGCCATCGCTCTTGATTAAATCCAAGAGGATTTGGAAAGATGTCTGGATTGCGATGCAGGGTGCAAAGAGGACAATTGCATGAACAAGGCAGTGTTTAGTATGTAATTAGGCTTCAAAATATGATAGTAAAGTTGATATATATTGAGATGTCTAAAATATAAGAAGTGCGGTTTAGCGGAGGGTTTATTCAAGATCACCTTGTGCATCTGAACCAATGTAAGGTATAGCATTGAATGCACACCTCTCTCCGTCCAGACCCATAGCCATCAACTTCTCAATGTCCTTGGTGAACTTGACCGTCGCCCCGGCGTAGCGGTCTGATGTGACCGCGGTGCTGTTTGGGCTCATCTTCTTGACTCGCGTGTCCAGACCGCAGACTTTCTTGTTGACATCGCCGATTATCTTCTTGTACAGCTGTTCGGCAGCTTTCTTTCCTCCGGGTGCTTACTTCGCAGATGTCAACTTTGCGGATGTTGCCTTGTTGGTGGTTTCGACTTCTTGAACTTTGTTTCGGCATCGGACTCAGGGTTGTCGACTGCGGCAGTTTCCGGCCGTCCCCGCTTTTGCGGATTGTTTTGGGGCGTTGAGGATATCTGCAGGGGTTGGCTTGAGCCATGCCGTGCGTGAGTTTTGATTCGACATTGATGCTTTGATATCGTTGGAAAAATCGGAACTCGAGGTTGTGCAAAAGTAGGGTCATCTCGGTTGCGAATCCGGGAGTCGCGTTTGACGCGCTCGTGGCTCGTTCAGTCAACACGTGCTCGCTCCCCTCTTCAACTTTACCAACCCACCTAGTTTTGGAAGTGGTCATCGAAAAGAAGGCGCGAATCTTAGTCTCCTATAAGAAGAAGAGGGTGCGAACATCGGATTAATTCCCATGTCGGAAAACTTAATTAGTGATCGCGTGATTCTACGCAACCGACAAGATTCGGTCAACTTGGAAGAAGCTATAATGATGTACATTTCGATAATAAAAGAAGCAAAAGAGAGAAACGGGCCGTCATACGATACCTATGCTTTTCTCAAACTATCTGTCTCGTGGAGGATTGAACGCAAGGACTGAAACGCGCTCTCCGCGAGCCTGAATGCACGGAATTGTGTTGAGCTTTGGGCTATTGCTTGTATTTAAACAAAGAGCAAGTCCAAAAGCGGAATAGTGCTGCGGATTGACTTGTGGCTTAGACATTTAAGTTGAGCCTTGGGCACTCGTACATGCTTGATATCTATTGGAGGTTTTGCTACTTAGTCAGCCAATCTCGGGGTGCCAATGACATCATTGGAGGTCCGTTTCTATTCGTGGCTCCGTCCCACAGGTGGCTGAGCTGCCCAAACTTGCTTGCAACTAGCATGTGCAGGTTAAGGACGTATATATTCTTGACACGAAATTCTCAGTATCCTTCTTTCCTCTCATCACCATCACACCAGCACTCCACCTGTCCTTCGATACCGCATCAATAACTTCACCTCAACACCATCATCATGTCGGCCTGGGACAAAACAAAGCATGGCAGCAAAGCTGCATTTGATAAAGCGTGGGCTGGATTCGAGAGACTTGGCGTTCCCGTCAACAAACTCACGAACAAAATCGGGTCCGAAGCTTTCTGGCCCACGACACTCGACCACGAATCAGACAAAGCAGCTCGAATCCTGAAATCATTCTGCAGTAGGTTCTCTTGTCCTTCTCCATCCGAAAGTGAGCTGACAAAAAACAGAAGATGGCTTCTACAAGGAGGAACCCGATTCCCCAACTAGAAAAGGTCCAAAAAACAAACCCAAAGTACTCGTCAAGATCCCTCAGAAGGTGATCCAAAACTGTGTCGGACTTGCAATCTTCACTGTCATGCGAACTGGGTTGTGGGTTTCTGGAGCTGGAGGTTCCGGTGTATTGATCGCAAGAAAGGAAGACGGCAGCTGGTCGCCCCCCTCCGGCATCCTCATCCACACCCTGGGTGTTGGTTTCATGGCTGGCATTGATATTTACGACTGTGTGGTTGTTATCAATGATCGGAAAGCACTGGAAGCCTTCAGCAAAATCCGTGTTTCGCTTGGTGGGGAAATCAGCGTAGTTGCTGGTCCAGTGGGAGCCGGCGGAGTCATCGAGTCGGAAGTGATGAAGGACCGCAAGCCATTGTGGAGTTACATGAAGAGCCGTGGCTTGTATGGAGGCATTCAACTTGATGGCACGATCATCGTGGAGAGGAGCGACGAGAATGCACGGTTCTACGGGGAGCGTCTTCCGATCTCTCAAATTCTTTCCGGAAAAGTCAAAAGAGTCCCCGCCGAGACGAGGATGTTGATAGAAGTTGCGAAGCAGGCACAAGGAAGGACAGACGTCGATCCCGTGGTGTTGGAGCATGCAGCTCAACAACCTCCACCTTCAGATTTTCCGGTTGAAAAAGTTAACGAGCCAACCCAGGCACAGATGAATCAATTTGCACCACCTGCGAGTTTCCACGACCAAGCACCATATTTTCCGCCTCCTCCGAATGCTCAAGGCCAATATCAATCTCACTTTTCTGAGGGCCAGACTTCAGCATACCCCCCTCGACCAACTTCACAAGGTGAATCTCAATACTCCACACTGCCGCATGATGGCCAAGTACTACACTACCCACCGCCCCCAGGAGGTCCCCCAGGATATGCATCTTCGTCAGGCGGCGATCAAATTATAATCTCAGGAGGCCCTCCAACACACGATCAGAAAGAAAGCTACGGTCCAAGATATTCTTAGAAGGGAGCTTGGAGCAAGGTTTCTATGATGTATGAGTGATGGGTGCACGACCGTATTGCCTTTTTGTGTCTCAGATATTTATTTTGTTCGCATAATAGCAAATGACAATTTCGTCACACTAATTGTTCAAACTCCAACCTTTCTGTTCTGCACATATATTCCGCTCCTCATAATTCTCTAGATCTATAGCTCCCACAGCCTCATGATCCATCCTTAGCAGAGAGATAGACCACTGGACCCGATGGGATAAGAGTCTAATACTGCTTCGCCGCGCCGCTTGCAGCTTGACACTGTCCCCGTGCATCCAAGAACCCAACATTTTTTCTCATACTCTGCCATACCGCTCGCGTTCGGAAACCCAAATGTATTGATTCGAGAGCTACATTTTTATTGGATGAAAGTGAAGTGAAGAATGTAGGATGAGAGCATACTGACGCCGATAAAAATGAAGCTCTATTCGACGGATCTTGACCAGGAGCGTTTCCCCTTCCCTATTTGGTTGCTCCCTCGAAGAGACAAACAATAACCAGCAATTGATCTTTCCTATTTCTGGGATGCAAAGGTGCCCAGGTGTTGAGGGTGAGGCAACTGTCAGATGTCCGCCCTGAAATGTAGATTTGTGGTGTGTTTTCGGTAATCAAGAACTAGTGGTGAGTCCCTCGGGATATTAAGGACAAAAAGGGCCAGGGGGGGGGGTGGGTTGGCGCTGATAGATCCATTGATGCGTTTTTTCAACACGGGTGGTGCAAATCGTAAGCGTCCCACTGGTGACTCTGCGAATGGAATATCTCAGAACTGCTTGACGTTCGGGAAGGTTCTGTTTGTAAAGCCATTGACAACACCGATAGTTGTGTCGACCAACAGTGGATCTAGGTCAGTTAAGTTAGGTAAGGTTAAAACAAGGCGACTGATGGAAACTAAGAGACCGATATACAGTAGTGGGAAAATACGTACAAGTTGAGCTTATTCATTTTATAGATGACAAAGAGTCTCAAAGTTGAGGACGATCTTCGTACAGGGGAAGGGGAGAGGTGTATAACCCCACCTGGGGATTTGAAACCGTCATCGTCTATATCCGGCATATTCTAAGGGGCTCAGTAGCAAACTTGCTGCTGATAACACAAGCTAATACCACTTAATACGAGTACCAAATGTTCCCCAGTTCGGCATTTAGACTTTGCAATACTAAGAAGCTCCCGCGCCTCAGTAATGTAGCGGAACAAGCAAAGCTTTCATGGGTGAATTTGATATTCCAAGGCATGAATAAATGGCTGCTGTCCGAATCCGATTGAATGCGATACCCAAATTCAGTCCTCACACCTCTCAAAGTCGTACCAAGAATCTTCACATATCTTGCCGAAGCTTAGATCCCATTCACCACTTTCCCCGTCTGCTGAGCTGACAGATACTGGCTTGTCGAGTGCAAAGTTGTTATTCGTGGTCGTTGATTGATTACCCGCTGGGGATCCCCACATCGTCCAACCCCGGGCGTCATTCCCGGTTGTCAAGAACCGAAAAGTAACCGTGCCGCCAGTCCACGGCGTCACGTCAGCCGTCACTGGGACCCAGCGCTTCCACACCTAGTAGTTCTTATTGAAGCGGTAGTTTGTACCTGTACGGACTTGATGTCAGTATGCAATGTGCGAGAACGTCGGCTATATTTTTGCGAAGCGACAGTGTACCACGGGTGCAAGAGCATTCAGGAAGGGAAAAACGCCGCGAGACTTACCAAACAGAGCACTCCCGTTTGCAGTTACCTGGAATTGAATCTCTCCTCCAAGTCCGGCACCATCTTTTATCCCGAGAGACGTCCAGAAGTTTAATCTTTGACCTGCCGATACCGAGGGGGGCGGAACAGTGTACAGTACGTAATTACCCCACCAACCGCCGAGTAGACTGATTTACTCACAACATTGCCCACAGACCCGGCGGCTTCAAGGTGGTTGTCGGGATCACTTGACGTGGAAGATGTGAACGAGTCATGAAATCATAAACGCGAGTCCCAGGATTCCAGGGAAGAGGTGCGAGATTTCTCTGCGAGTTTCCATGATCCAAAAGAAACTGCTTGATTGCACTGCCAAAGGTATACGGGAGAATTAAAGAGGGAGTACTGATCGGGGCTAGTCTGGTCTGATTCCCACGAATTGGGACATACTATCTGTTGCGGTTATTAGCATGCTCAACATATCTTCCTGTTTTCGTCCTTGCCTTTACTCCATCATTGTACAACGTCAAGAGCGTGTTATAAGAAAACGTGGGATCGTTCGACAAAGGATTGATCTCGAATGTCCCGAAGTTATTCTTCCCACCCCTCTCATTGGATTGTCGACACTACCAAAGCTTGCTGGCATCCAACCATAGTACGTGACATCACTAGCACCATTTGCCGCCGTTGCGGTTTGAATGTCATCAGCGAAGTTGTAGTCGTCTAAGCGTGGTGTTTGGTGGCCATAGACAAGAGTTCGATCGATCCCGGCGGATGCGATCCAAAGTGTTTCGTCGGAAACTGAATGCATGATCATCGTCACTCGCTATCTTTGCCATTCTTCTGAGAAGAGATTTCCAGGGGTGACGGTGGCTGGTGGCTGGATTTCATCCCAACTTGCAAAGCCCTGTCCAGTGGGCGGTGTTGAATGAGCCGATATCTGGGAAAGGAGGAACTCGCCCAGCGCCAAAGTATTCTCCACCAGGCCCATAGATTCGTGTATTCTGTAGCCACTGTTTCCACTCGGTAATAGCAAGAGGGTTGTAATCTGCTCCAGAATTTGGATAAATGGTCTCGGAATCTAAGCTGACGCCCACGAAAAGGGAAAGCTTCGATGCCGTAAAGGACGCAAGAAGGCTTGCAGAAGCTTGGGCGTTCCGTCTCTTATACTGTCGGTATACTGTATTTAGCCTGGAGAGGGTAAAATAATTATTTCCAAAGTTGTGTGCATACTCTGAACCTCCTGAACTGCTGAGCATGGTTGTGTTTGGTTGAGATGCAAGGAAATCAAGAAGCGCATCACCCCACCCCCCGCTTGAATTCGGAGTACAACAATCTGCCCATCGCCCGTTATTCATGTGAACCATGGTCGGAAGATTGGAGGAAACAGCTAAGTTCAGCTGGTAGTTGAGATTTGTAGGATCGAAGCTGCAGTCATTGGAGGAACCCAGCGTGTCTCGGCTCAACGCCCAGGAAGAAAAGGACCATCCGAGTATGGTGAGTGTGCCTCGCAAGCCAAGCGAACTCTTCATATTCGACAAGATAAGAAGATCTGTGCTTGAGCCATGGCTTGCGAGTGAGCCTTCCCAGATTGGGAGAATGTAAGTGATGTCTCCTTTCGAAGTTCCACTTCTGCTTTCGATTGGGGCTGCGTAAGTGAGCCAAGCGAGACTAAGAGTAACAAATAGGAGAGACATTATTTACGGTTTTTAGCCACACATACCTGCGGTGAGACGCTGGCATCATCATCTTATCTACCCCCGAGCCAAAGGCTATGCCTTTGCTTCGAATTTGGTAGCGACCTTGAAAGAATGGGACATCTTAGCAAAAAGTCCGAGCCTCGGTCGGAAGTACATGTTCCGTAAGCTTAATTCAGGGGTAATCACGAAAGGACCGATGATCAGACTTGGACGTGGGTGTAGCTATACCCGTGGATATTCTGGTACGCTGTTGACGGGTAATTACCAACTAAAGAGCGTACAGGTATGGGTATATTCAACAAATACCCTAGTAAAAATGATGTTTCTGAGGATGTACTACATATGCAAAAGAGAGAGAAGCCACTTCAACCACATAGTAATTAGGAATCTAACCTTTAACTATATCCGCTATGCCCTCTTCACTGCCATGATTTTGATAGTATAAGTATTTGCTGTTCTTCTGCGATTCAAGACCGACAATACAAGTGGCACGACAAGAACGATATGAAGAATTTGGTAACACGCTCCGAACGTTGTATGAGGGTGAAGATGATCAATTCTTCATTCGAGCCCAGGTTGAAATCAGGGAACAGATTCAATTCGAGGCTGCTCAGCGAAACAATGAAGAAGCTCTTGGCCATGCTCTGGTGGAGTGATTCGTGTGAGAGAACATCGCACGTACTGGACCACGATGGCAATCATTGTCGTGCAAACGGGAATTCTAAGTGGCTCACTTGCTATTTAAAACTACCACGGCCTGTTTTATGCCAGTCTTGGCTTTCACGGATCAACCTCCTCGGCGTGTCTGATGGTTAGTCGAAAAAGAGGACGATGTCACGATGTGTAAAATCTCCTATCATTCACTCGAAAGCCGCTGACTCGACGAGGGCTCGGGTGTCTTGTCCTCGCCATAATGCTTTCCCTTCGATGCTCTCTCCAAATTCTATGGGGATGGCAAGTTACTTTTGAGTTGAAACTTTATCTCACCTGACTCGCCGCAAAATAAATTAGGATGCATGATTACTTTTGGATTGCCAATCTCCCGCTGTGCTAGTTGGGCAGTGCGGGGGGTTGATTGGGACACGAGCGGGTGAAGAGTGGGGTCTCTTGTAAGCTGTGGCGCAAGGCTCACCTCACGATCTGCTGAAGTGGGAAGGGGGAAGCGCAGTTCAAGGGTGCCAGCGAAGGATTTCGGGACTCCAGCCGTTCTTATCGTGGTGTGCCATGGTCGAGGCGCTGCAAGACCCCGAAGGAACAAGTTGATCCAATAGTCCCGTGCAGCGTGGATGATTTTTGGGGTGGAGGGGGCGCCCCGGAATCCTGTGGCGCACTTGGCGTTCGGGCTGAGAGCTGGATATGCGGAGCCACAGCCAGCTGACTCACCCTGGCGCAAATGAGAAGCTGATAAAATGACCATATCACCTCACCCAAAGATTTGTGAATTCGTTGTTTTATATATCGTTTCCTGTCAGGTTTCATTTTCACGATGCTCCAGCAACATCACCCCAGTGCGATACCGTCCTGGCCCCGATGGATGCAGTCAGCGGCTACATTGCTGGCTGAGACCTTCCAGCAAGAAACACACCAAGCGAGAGCATCTCTGGGGGGCGAGGTTTCTTATGTCAGTCCTCCTCTCAGAAGATTCACCAATGGCGAACGGATCATCGAACTGCCAAGCAGTCTACAGGAACGAGCAGACCAAATCATCGAGTCCGAAGAAGTGTTGAAGGCATACGGGACTCGAGCAGTTGAGCAAATGTGGGCAATTCGGCCATCAAGGGTGCAACAGCTCATCAATAAAACCGAGAGGGATTTAGAGGAATCGACAAGAGATTGGTTTGACGAAGAATTTTTCGAGGAAAAAGACCAATATAATTGGGGGCACATGACAGACGAGAAGCACGTCGCGACCGCTGCTCGAAAACAGATCAGACTTCTATCCATTGTTTCAGAACTGGTTCGCGGGTGCCAAATACATAACGACGCCGTCATTTTCTTTGAGGAAGGTGGAATGGTGGGGCTTGCCCCCGTTGGGACGAGGGTAGGGGACATTGTTTGCAGGATCCAGGAACTGGATACTGTGGGCATTTTGAGAGAACACGGAGATAACCTTTGGATGATTGCCAAAGCGATGGAGCTCTCACCCCTAGCTGAGATCAATCGATCCTGTACGGAGGTTGTGTTTGATGTGGATGTTGAGCATATGAGTGTCTTGACCAGGTTGTGACCAAACCTTTCTTTTGAATGCTGCTTGCTGCAGGATGTGGCCATCAGGATATGTCGAGAAAAAAAAGCTTGGAATGGAAATTCCGAAGATGAGATTCGGTGGAGTCTGCAAACAAAAATTTATAGTTAATGTGTGGCTTGATGGGCATCGCCGGGGCATTGAAACCTTGGTTAGCATAGCTTTAGGATGGTGTCACGGCGTCACGGGGCAATGGTGCAATGGTAGTCTCAAGATTAATCGAACATTTCTCTCTCGATAATAAGGGCCAGTGAATAGTCGTGCTTTTTGAAGTGACCAAGCTCGCCTATTTGGCCAACATAGGGGCTCGCTTAAGAATTTGTAATTTGAAGGGACGTTAGGGCTTCTCCTCAGCTTATATTATACCCAAATTTACCCGAACTCTACTTAGTATAAACTACGCAACTCTCTATAATATGATTTCTTGATGAAGGCGACACAATATCCGAGACCTCGAGTTGTCAGAAGTCCCACAGAGTGCCAAATGCGTGTAATCCCGCTAAGTACCAGAGATTAGTGATTTGCGATCGATCAGGGCTCTAATCTACGTACCTGAACGGCAACCCTGTGCCATCTCAGCATTACCCTGCGTGTTAGAGGCAATGAAAATGACCTCTGCTCCAAAGCTCGTCCAGGTGCCTTTGAGGAGTTGCACGGTATCTGGTCGTCCTCCTCGTTTCTTCGGATCCCACAGGATCGTTCTCTCCGGCTCAATATATTTACGAACAAGGCCCGCGATCGTAGATCCAAAGGTCTTCTCCTGATACGACCCTATCCGAATAATGAACCTAGCTGAATGTCAATAAAACCATACCGACAATGTTTGAGTACCTCATACCAATCTGGACTCTGAATGCAGGTAGACATTGCTGCTCCTATCCCAGTCCCAGTGCAACCGTGGATCCCTCCCTTGAATATTGCAGATGCATGCCCAACACCAGCTATTGTATATTAGTGGATAGTCATTCCGGAGATAAGAGCACAAATGCACACCGAACTTCAACTCCCTGGTCCACACGGTTTTGGACAGATTGACAACAAGACTCTCCGTGAAGTCACCTTGAATACCGCATATCATATAATTATTTGAAGCTTTTGGGCCCGCGCTGATAATTCCGAAGGCGTGGTAATCCATGACGGAAGTACGACTGATTCTGCCCAGGAGACCTTGCTTCATCCCGCGGTCGAATCGAAGAATGGCGACGTTTGGAGGTGGCTAAAGCTATATATTAGTCGATTTTTTGCAAGGAACTAGGGTTCACTCACAATTTCAACTTCAGCGGTGACCTCTCGAAGTGTCAACCAAGGGATAAGAACACTGTAAAGCATAAGTAGTGTCACCGGTCAGTTAAAGGAATGCTAACAAGACTGTCATGAACACGGCGAACCAAACCTCCTGAGCGCTTAGGAGGGAATTGGTATTGTGTCTCCATTGCCCAAGTGTGATATCGTAGGAGTTTCCCAAGATTACGAACGCCCAGGTAGTCTGGTTTTGGTCGGCACTATCATCGAAGTCGAAGTGGGGTGTACATGCATAGATCAAAATAACATCGAGGAGAGAAATCACCAAGTGGCTCAAATGGGTCGAATCTATACCGAGGCTAAACAGGTCGCTGTATGGTTAGGAGAGTCAGATGAAAATAACTCGATCGTTTTCGGGTTTTTTGGCGACACGCTCCAGTGGAAAAAACTTTAGGATTCTTTAGCCGGTCGTTCCAGAGCCCTACGAGCCTTCTACACTTTTTGCTGTCGAGACTATTGAAGTAGACTTTGGATTATCCAAGAACTTGTATTAGCTGCAAAGATCTATCTTTACTGCGGCGACAGATCGTGTAGCTGGTCTTGTATGTCTTGGTTCTTGGATGTGTTGGAGAACCACTGGCCTCCATGGATCCGGGAACTTGAGAAAAGTTCGGCATTACATTCATCTCGAGATACACGCATAACTGTCAGCGCTATCAAGACTACTTTCCCGCTACGAATACGGGCTCAGCGAGACCTCTATATTAAACAACAAAGTCAAAAATATCGTTTGGAAACCGAACAGGCCCACCCTCTCATCATCGCATCAGTCGCTGCAATGGCAGCGTCCCATCCTGGTCCCGCATTCAATGGAAAATGGGCTGCCCCTGCATGGACTTTCGGAGGGAGAGCCGCGCAGGTATCGTCAGGGGAGGATGAAATCGGCCCCCAAAAAAAAGCGATCCTGAGTAGGCTAGGAACGGTGGTGGTTTTCTCTGAGATTTGGAGACGTATGGGGTGCTTGGATATTCCCAATGGGGGGCGTTTCCATATAGTATGTTAGATTTCAGGCGTCCTTTTCTTTCAGCTTCAAGATAAATTGATTTTTAGGAGGCTGGAGCAGTTGTAATCTCGGTATTTGAGCATGAATCCGTAAGTCATGAATCGTCCTCTAGCCCTCTCTTTATGGTGACCAAGAGAACCAAGATTCTAGCAAAGGAATCTCGCCAAACGTGGGGATAATTGTCTCCCAGACCACCGGAGCATTGAAAACACCAGTGGGTTTCAACCCAAGTGTGAGGGTTTGTTCCTTTGCAGAAACCGGAACCGGGCCCAATACTGCAAGATGAATGCGACTAAACTCTGTCGGTAAGGATTCACTGAACTCATCCAACTCTGTGGCTTTGGGATCCGGATCCAGCCTTAATCCGGTTTCTTCGATCTCTATGAGGAGGTGAAGACATCTGTACGAGCGAAAACTATCGAAAAGACCTTCTCTCCAATGCGTGGAACCCAGAATTCTGAGAACCTTGCGACGCAGGAGAGGCCATCGGCACTTCATCCCTATAAAGTGCAATGGTGGAATGAGGCCCATATCAAACTGGAACTTTCCGACAGTGAGGCATAGCTCTTGGCCGCAAGTCCCGACAGTTCTCGCAGCTAGATCAACGATCTTCTCGAATTCGGGTTTGAATTTATCAAAGGCGCTCTCCTCGGGGGACAGACAGGTTGAAATCCAGATTTTCATCGCAATATTCTGGATCAGGACAATGTCTGCAGCTTTGCACTCCTGCCGACTCCAGCATTGTTGCTGACAAGCATAGAGTTGATCGAACGCCTTCCGCCAGCGTTGAAACTGCGCCTCCATACGAATCTGACATATGATATGATTCAGGGTGACAGCTTCGGGCCGGTATTTGAGGTGTGTAGTAGACAGAATCAAGCCCATTGCTTCGGATACCAGTTCATAATTCCGACTTTTCGCCTCAGCAAACGTGGAGAATGTGATCGACGGAGCAGATGGGTTCTGGAAGATCCGTGCTGGCCTGGAGATTGGCGACTCTAAAGGTTCGAAAAGAAGAGCGTGGACATTCAAACGCTCGAACATGGATGATAGTTCTGTCATCAACTCCTGCTCTGATAAGGTTTGGCCAGACGGGACATCCTGCCGGAAAGACTCCAGAATTCTCCAACCGTAGCGAACATGAGTGAGAGCTGCTCGCATATCCCCTCGCAGGAATTCTAAACACACGAGGAGTATACAACCCGCAAGTGGGACGTAAACGATATTCGAGGTATAGTGGGCGAGGGACCGAATTGCTTTGTTGTACGACTGGGAAATGCATCTCTCCTGGAGATCAAGCTGACTGCCGGTTTCGAGTTGTGCGGAAGCCATATTGACTGCCGAGAGAGCCTTTGATATGGCAGGCTCACTTTGACTAAGCTGTAGGACGAAGCGATTCCAGAAGAGATCATGGTGAAAAAATCCTGCCACACGGTACAGGGTGCGATCGGAGAATTCCTTCACCGCCCAATGATTCCTGTTGAGGAGGCCAGCGTCCAGGATAATGGGGACGTTCCCGAATTGCGATCGTGATTCTAGGACGTATCCATCGCATTCTCTCCCGGTCGACGTGCATCTAAGGGTGTCATCAACACTTGTTCGGTTTATTAATTGATTTGCTCAGTGGCCCACCTGAAACATGCTGGCTTCTCCTCCCCGCACTTGATTTTCCGGATTCTGTATCAATTAGCCTTGGCTAGACACTCGCGATAGAAGGCCTTACTTGCACGTTTTGCAGCCCGTGCGAACCTTAGGACCGCATTTCCTCTTCTTGCTGTTGGCGCGGCTAGCCATTGTGAGGGTGCTATCCTGCTTTCTGCGACGAGATCTGTATTCAATTGTGTATTATTGGGGTGGGCTGGTTTCAGTTATTTGTCATCAGATAATCGGCCAAAATTGATTGGCTAGCATATTAAAAGAATCACCCGACTCCAGACTGTACCGACAACAGCTCGACCCAAAATTTACAGTCTTTAATACTACAAGTTTAAAAGAGGAATACTATATTCGCGATATATCAAGTATTTTTTTATAATCTAAAAAGTTTTTAGAATTCTTTAAGTTATTCGAGAAAATCTTATATTTTTAATAACTTTAATAAAAGAAAATTCAAAGAAAACTTAAATAGTTATTAAGGAAATTATTTTATTATTAATTAGTATTAATTAAAAAATTAATATTAAAATCTAATTTCTTTAAAGATTCTAAAGCTTTTTGCTTTTATTATTTTAAAGCCTATTATTTATATTTCTAATAATTTCGAATTAGTTTATTTAAAATTCTTTATAAAATTAAAAGAAATCAGCTTTAAATATTATTATAAATATAATATTTGGAATTTAGAAAATTAAAAAAAAGTTTTTTATAAAAATAATTTAAAGCTAAAGAAAAAAAAAACTAGAATATAAAAGATTTAATATTTTAAATGTCTTTAATATATTCTAAATATATTTCCTTAATAATATAATTATATAATCCAGAAATAATAAAATATAATAGTACTTATTAAGTAATTATATTAGCTAACTAAATTAAAAGCTAAATTATAATAATATTATTAAAAGTAATTTATATTTAAGCTAAACTATTAAAAATAATTACTTTTATATAAGAAATATAAATACTTTAATAAGTAATAATAATAGTAATAATAGCTTTATTAAAAAATATAAGTAAGTATTATTAAAGTTATATTAATTTAATATATTAACTAATTTAAATAAGAAATATAAAATTAAGAAATATAAAATTAAGAAATTTATAATAATAAATTAAAGAATTATAAAAAAGACCTTATAAAATAATATAATTTATTTAAATAATATTAATAATTATAAATTAAGTAATTACTTTATTTAATAAACGAGCTATTAAATTAATATATTACTTTAATTAGTTTATTAATTCTTTTAATATTGGAATTATTTACTAATTTAATGTTTTTTATTTATTTATTATATATTACTTACTAAGCTTATTAAGCTTAGTAATATATTATTATTTTAATTACTTTTGATTTATAAGCTAATATATAATATATTATAGAAAGCGGGCTCGGTATTATTAATATTACTAATAGATAATAGAGATAAAGACCCTTACTTTAAACACTTTCTCCTCGACTTTTAGACTTCACTCTTTTATATCTAGTCATCTTGCAAACTGTCAATCTCTAATATATCAATCATTTTTCAATACGAGCCCCTTTCCACTTTCACAACATAACTTAACTAAAATTGATCCGTATCACACAACCTGAAATCACAAGTTTGGAGTGCGCTTGATTTTTTATTATTATGTCCTATAAAAGTTAATTACCGCATACATGGTAGAATCAATGACGTGATACCCCGTGAATATGAAGGCTCCGTTCGGTATCCAATTTCGATTATCTTTAAATTAAAGACGTAGAATCTAGACCTGTGAAGCTAAAGCGCATGCAACCACTCTCAACCATTACAAACCAGAAGCAATATCCATTGGGAAGATCAGAAAGTTCGACGGAGTGCGTTTCGTGAAGAACGCACCTGGCTAGCTGTTCTGTCGAGCCTCTTCGCAGCGAAACGTCTCCGGACAGTCGAATCGACAGTCGGTTTTAACCCGATTAGGTTTGATTCTGCCGCGTTTTCTAGCGCTATTGCCACTTGGTAGGGGTTTATATAGTCATACGATAAGCTTCGAAATTCCTTCTGAACTCGAAATCTGAACTAAAAATATATATAAGAACCAAAGATAGCTTTACTAATATAATAATTATATATTCGACTAAAAACTATAACTTTACCGGTATATCTTTATATATTAAATCGAGAAGTATACTAGACTAATTAAGCCCCCTATTCCCTACCAAATTAGTAGCTTATATAATTGGCTCTTGTAGTACGGTAGGCCATACTTTTCAAAAATCATATTATTTTAGTGATTTTGAGGTTTAGGTTATATAGTAAAGGCCGCAGCCTTTTATATATAACTTGCGGAAATCATATAAGAAAGCTGGTTTTTCTATAATTCTAGAGAATAATCCTTTATAAGTATTTAATTAATTAAGCTTTTATATATTATATACCGTTTATACTTTATTATTTATACTTTTAATTTATTATTTTATTATTAAGTCACGTTTTATACTCTAGTATACTTTATATGGATTTTTGTCTTATTATAGTTTCTTTCTTATATATTTTATAGTAAGTAATATAAGAAGAATAGAAACTTTATAGTTAAAGTAATACTTTTATAAAGTTCTGAGAAATATTTATAAGGCGAATTATTAGCTTAGTAAGTTAGGGAAGAAAAAGGCTATTATAATATCTTAAGCCTAAGGCCAAAATATTAAAGATATATAAATATTAATTTTAGTATTTTATATTAATTTCTAATATATCTAGTAACTTAAATATAGATTAGCTATAAGATATAATTACTAGTATAATATATAGGAATAATAGAAATAGAAGCTAATTATAAAAGGAAAAAAAGTAAAGGAAATAAAATAAGAAATATTATACTAAAATAATATAAGTTAGACCTTAGTTAGAAATAGATTTTAGTATTTGGAAATAAAGTTATATTATTAATTTATATATTATTTTTAGTTATAATAAAGACTAAAATAGAAGTAGTATTAGTTTTAGTAAAAAAGCTTATTTCTAAATCCGGAAAAAATATTTAAAAGAGAAAATATTCTCAAATTTAAATAAAATAATAAACTAAAATTAGAAATAAAAATCCAAAAAAATCAGAAATAAGAAATTATATAAATAAACTAGAAAAGCTTCTAGAGAAAGAAAAGAATATTAAGTAAAGAAAAGAAAGAGAATTTAGGAATATTAGAAAAATTAGTAAAATTAGTAAAATTATATTTATTATTATTTTTAATAATATTACTAAGTATATCTAGTTTAGTAAAATTAAAGAAAAATACTATAGGTATTAAGCTAATAAAATAGAAGAAAAAATATAAGTAATAGAAATAAGACTAGAAAAGTTATTATTTTATTATTACTAATATTAAAATTTAAATCTTAATTATATTTATTATTATTAACTAGTTTCTTTCTAATTCTAGTTTCTATTAAAAAATATATTTAAATAGAAAGTTAGCTTTTTAAGAACCTTATTAATAAAAGTTTCAAATATAGAAACTTTATAATTAATTATAAAAGAAATTATTAAAATTAATATAGCCGAAAATAAGTATATACTAGTACCGGATTTAAATCTACTACTTATAAAAGCTTTTAAAGTATTATAGTTTTAGAGAAATAATATTTCTATATTCTTGAAATAATATATAAATATATATAAGAACTATTATATTTCTCTTATTTATAAGAATTAGATTAAAGCTATATTAGAGTATTATATTAATAATTCAGGAAATTACTAGAAAACCAAGTTCTTTAAGGCCTTATTAAAGAAATTCCGAGAATATAACTAGGAAATATTTAAAATTAGCTATAATTTTCTTAATTAGATTATTATATAAGCCTAGAATAAAGAAATTTCTTCTAAGTCTTATATTAATATATTTAATAAAGTATTAAAGAAGTTATTAAAGAAAAAAAAATTATTTAGTATTAAGAATTTATAAAAGAATTATTTATTCTAATAAAAAATTATATTCTTAAGAATATAAACTTTAAGCCTATAAATATTTTTATTTATAAATATAGTAAGATATATAAAAGAATAGTAATATTTTATTAGTATAAAAAAAAGAAATACTATTTTAATATTACTAATAATCTAGATATATCTAGATTTAGATAAGAATGCTTAAATATAATAGTTTATAATATAGTTCCTAAATTAGAAAATAATAATTTTTTATTAGTTTCTTTTATTATATTTCCTAAAACTATTATAAATATAAGTAAAAAGAAAACCTAGCCTATAGCTAATTATATAAAACTTACTAAAAGTAGTAAACCTAAAAGAAATAATATTAACTAGCTAATAAGAAGTTTAGAAAAGCTATTTATTATTATTATAACTTAAGAGAACTTATAGAAATAATTTAATATAGCTATTATTATAATTTGAGAAGATATTTATAATCTATTTATATAATCTAGCTAACTATAATAAGTATAATAGTATTAATAGCCTAGTAAATATAATTTAAATCTTTAGAAAAAATATACTAGAAGTTATAATAAAGAATATAGAGAATATTATAATAGCTATAATAATTAAACTAGAATAAATAAAGGATTTAAATAATTATATTCTAGAAAAGGTTAGTTTTAAGTATAATTAGAAAATATTACTTAAGTTAATATAGCCTATAATATAAACCTAGAACTAAAAAAACGAATTTACTATAGGTATAATAGTAGAAATAAGAATAATAATATTAATTTAGAATATATTTATATTTCTTAATTTTATTACTTATTAATAGAAAAGCTTATAAATTATAAATATATTTACTAATTTAATAGAAAATAATATAAAGAGCTATTTAAGCCTAGATAAGAAAGTATATTCTTTTTTCTTACTAATAAATACTAGTAATTTAACTAAATTATTTCCTAAGTTTAAAGAAAAGAATTTAATTATAACTTAAATACTTAATCTAAAAATATCTAGAAATTAATAAGAAATATCTATTTTACTAGATAAGAAAGAGTAAAGGAAACTAGCTAACCGGGATTTATATATAGAAATAAGTAAGTTATATCTAGGAAATCTAAATAGCTACTTTGCCTTAGAGGAAATTATATTAGAATTAATAAATAGTATTAAGATTTAGCTATAAATAGTATTTCTATTAATACTATAACGGGTTT